AGGCCCTGTACGGGATCCACTGGCTGCCCTGTCAGTACCGCATTGATGATCACCGGATCGATCCCCGCCGGCTGATGCGTTCCCATGAGGGCCCCGACGGAGGCACTTCCTGGCCGTACCAAGTGCTGTAGGTGAATAGGTACGGCGGGGCGGGGCGCCAACGTCGGCGGCGCCGGCGGCAGCTTTGCCTTCTTAACGGCAGCCTTCTTCGCCGACTTCTTTCTGCTGCCAGCACTGGCCGCGCCGCGGCGCGCCGTCGGCGCCGTCGGCACCAGAGTACGGCCCGCCGCTGCCGCTGCTGCCGCGGCGGATGCCGCAGCGATGGCAGGCCCCGCCGTCGCGGGCCGGCTCTGTCCCGCTGCAAGCGCCGCCTCGACCATCTGCCGCATCATCAGGTAGTCCGCATCTCGATTGACGTACGTGTTCGTGACTGGCGCGTCCGGTGGCTGGCTAAGGCTGCCGTACGGACCGGAAACACCCGCAGTCGCGGCGACGGCGGCGCTGGCGGGACCTCCGGCACCGCCGCCGCCAGTACCTCCGCCCCCACCTGAAGCGCCTCCGCCGCTGCCGCCGGCCGCTACTGTACCGCTGGCGGCCGACGGACCGTTGGCGCTGTTCCCCAACGGCACAGTAATACCAAGCGCACGTTGATGAAACTGCAGTACAGCTTTCGACGGTAGAAACGCCGGCTGTTGTGGCGCTGTGCCGCCCTTCTTAGCCATTGCCGACTTTCGTTTAGGCGCCGGCGCGGCGGCATCCAACGGATTCACAGCGCCCGGGCTGGCGCTGCCTCCAGCTGCAGCTGCCGCTGCCGGCATGGGGCTTGGGCTGATGCTGCGCCCAAGCGGTCCACCGCCGCCGCCGCCGCCGGCAACGGCAGGCGCTGCCGCTGGCGGCAGCGGCGCCGGCGGCTGCCCCAGCGGCGACCCTCGCCCCGCGAGGGCAGCGCCGAAGGACGCCGTGAGGCGCTGCGCGGGTGATGCGGGGCGGCTGTTGCTGCCGATGGTGTTGGTGAAGGAGCCGCTGATGCGGGAGGGCGGCTGGGAGAGGATGCCGGGGGCAGGGGAGGGCGCTCGGACGTGGGAGCCTTTTCCAGGGGACTCCAAATTAGGCATCACCTGCGGACAGGAAGAGCGCACAATTCCGCGGAATGCGCCTAAACAGGAATAATTGGAATATGTAGTTTTTGGCAAAAAGATTTTATGCATGAGAATTAAGGACACATTGCGGGTTGTTGGTGAGTTGTCGTTTTTCGCGGATTGTTATAAAAACAAGATTCAAGGCCAGAAGAGATCGTCGCAATCGACAAACAAGCGCACACACATGCAAAACACAAACAACAAGGCCCCCAGTTCTGTCCCCGCCCGCACCAGGTACAGCTTCTCCAGTACGTCCAGCTCCTCCACCATTGCCTCGTCATCGGAGGACAGCGGCCCGAGGTCACCGTCGCTGCTGCTACTACTGGAGGGGATTTTCGGAGGCGGTTTCGGAGCCAGCTCCATGCTTTCCTGCAGAGTAGCCAGGAGGGGGAGGAAGGAGACGAAGAATGTTCGGAGGGGATCACGGCACGAACGACAGATGGAGGGGGACAAACAGGCAAGCAAAGAGGGGGGGGCCCGCGGAGAGGGAGAGGGAAAGAAAGAGCACCTCACAGCAGCACCATGCAACGAAAGGTAGCCAGAGGGTGAGAGAATGAGAGAATGAGAGAATGAGAGAATGAGAAAATGAGAGAATGAGAAAATGAGAGAATGAGAGAATGAGAGAATGAGAGAATGAGAGAATGAGAGAATGAGAGAAGAGAGGGAGAGAAAGAAAGAGACCGGCGGACGGAAGGAATTTGTGGCGTGCCCAAGCTTGCCTAGCGGCCAGCCTCGCCAGCTGGCTCCACCACCTCGGAGGCCCCGTCCCGCCTTTCCAGGAAAACACCACTCGCACCCGCACTCACAGCCCAATTCAGTATAGGAAGGGGTGGGCGCCCTTTCCTGCACCGGGCGAGGCTTCCCCCGGCGGCTTGTCCGACCTGGAGGACAACAGGGGATCCTGGAAGGCTCTCCGTACATCTCGGCCCCAACCACCCACACACCCAACCATAACCCCCACAACCCCCGGAAGGAGTCAGACTCCCCCCCCCCGGGGCCCCTGTTGACCCCCCCCTACCTGGAAGAACCGGCCAAGGGCCTCCGCGATGTTGTCCACGGCCGCAATCTTCCGCGGCAAGGCCGCCACATCCTTCATCGGCGTACGGCTGCTCGGTCGGATGCCGGCAGCGGCGGCAGCAGCGGCGAGGGCGCCTCCGGTTGCCGCAGCGCCGCCGCCACCAAAGGCGGTGACGCTGGCGCTGCGGCCTGCTGGTACTGTGGCGGCGCCGCCGGGGCTGCTGCTGGGCGGGCTTCGGAGTCCGGTAATGGAGGAGGCGCCTGCTTGGTTTCGGGGCGTGACGTTGCTGGGGGCGCCCATCATGCGGACCAGGGAGGTGGCTGGCGGGGCTCCACCGGTGGCGGCGGTGGGGCTGGGCCCGATGCCGCCGCCGCCGCTGGTGGTGGCGGGTAGCATTCCGAGAGAGTTGCGGCGGTTGCCCCTGGCCGGAAGCTGACCAGCGGCGTCCGCCGTGCCGCCGGCTGCTGCGGCTGCAGCGCCCCCGGCTGCCAGGAAGCCGGCGGCAGTGACTCCGGTTGTGGTGTGAATATGCATCATGTGTGTACGGCTTATAATGCGTAGGATATTGTGTCGGATGCGACGCGAGGGAGCCTGAGCGCCTAGTCGGGCGCAGCGGGGTTAGCTAGAGCTGAACGGAGGGGCAGCAACTGATGGTCCGGCTGCTAGGCGCCACGCTGTGCCGCCTGTGCACGGAGGAGGGCTGGCTGCGGGAGAGCGGGGGAAGGTGTGTGCGTATGGAGGGGGGTGTTTAAAGGCTATTGTGGGGAAAGGTAGGGACACGGAGGGCCAGGGTCGGGCAGGCTGGAGAGGCGTTTGACGGGAAGTGTTGCTGCACGGCCACGGTCCTGGCGCGGTGACGGCAAGATAAGGCGTAATATAAAGACAAGGCTATATGCTGCCGCCAGCAACGGTTGCAATTCGGGTTGCTCAAGTTGTGACGTGCGCAAGGCATGCGCAGCAGCGAGAAACGAAGAGGCATACACGGCTGGTAGGTGGTAATACCGAAAGACGTTTCATACCTTTCTTTGTTCCTCCTTGTGCCGGCACGCATCGGCGTCATTTTGCACCGGGTCTGAAGAGGCTCATGAGCCACAGAAGGACGCTGCCACGATGCCCCAGTGCTGTTGATGATAGGTTCCAGAAATATGTAATGTTGTAGACAGCAGAGTTTACAAATGATGCTGGAAACCAGGGCACTTCTACCTTCGGCTTACTATAGGAAAGCTAAGATTACCCTAGCCGCACGTGAGATTGATTGTTAAGTGAAATCATGTTGCCTTAAGCTATAATAATTGTAAGGTAGATTGTGCAAAAAATGTGTGCTCACGGCAGAGCTTCGACCTTATAAGGAAGGGCCACAGATGTCGTGTTAGGAAATCAGTATGAGAGTGGCTTTAATACCAACGCCTCTCCGAAGGTATTTGATGAAGGTGCGACCAGAAACTCCTGACGACGATACGGGATAGATAGTCCGAATGAACAGGTCACTGTTTTAATTTCACAATATTGAGGCATGTAGGGCAGATGCGATGCTTTTCATAGATAGAGCCATCGTATGTATTCCTAGGAAGCAAGCGGGCAACCCGCCATCGTACGCACTAAGTTACAAAGGTCTTTCCTGTGTGCCTCTCTAATAAGATTGCCAGTCAGTTATTATGACCTGCGATGCAAACCCTGTATAACTACTTCCATAAGGCAGGCAGAACTATTTCCATAACACTGCGTCCAACACATTACAGCGGCCGTGGACCCAAGTAGAGAAGCAAAAGCCGCACATAAACTACGTTAGAAACGAAATTGAACACCAACGCAGCGATATAATGGCAAAGGACAGAATGCGTCACATACGTTTGTTGGATCCAACGGAGGAAACGGTTGACAAAGGACAGGGGGCTCCCCAAGACGTCGACCTCCACGATAGTGACCCGCAAAGGCTTCGTTTTTTTGTGGTCCACAGACACATATCTATGAAGTTTCAGCAGGGCTTCAAGCTGCGAAGTAGAAAAGTTTGAAGCTAGACCTAAGGTCTTTTCAGCAAGTTTGTCCAGGGATGCGAGTCTTCAAGCAAAATAGGATATGCAATACTTACATAAGTCGTTGACAAACCGGATAGGTGTAGTCTTCCTTCATCTGTCAAAGATTGGCAGGAATGGACTATGACGCTTTGTACAGACGGCGTGATAGGGCTGCGCGGTGCATACAGGCAAGGCTAATGAGGTAGCGCTCCAATTATTGCCCTTTGTGGATACTTTGCAACACTTGGACTCGCGCAGGCTGCATGGCGCGCGTACCAGGGCCGAAAGGCCTTCTTACGGCTACGGGTACGCTTCTTGTTGGAGCCTAGGCACTCCTAAACATTATGCTTGCCGGTCTGATGATTGGGTTATGAGGACCGGTCAGCTGCAAGCTAGACCGTCCAGATAGGAAGCTAGCGATGCATGCCTCAACGGAACCCAGCTTTCATGGCATTACCTGCCTCCGCCATAGGCAGGCCCCAGCTGCCTGTCGTCACAGCCTGCATCCAATGCGCCCCGTACCCCCCGTGTGCAGAATGCGGCTGGGCGGATCCAGGCTGCAACCAAGGGCTGGTATGTCCGCAAGCAGGTAAAACAGACCTTTCCCCCGTTTTTCTATCCGCATTCAAAAACACACGGACCCAATTTCTGAGCTCATAGCGGCATGACAGCACACGCTGCTGCAGCGCAAGCAAGCGGCACTGTTCCTGCCCTTAGGTGGGTGCATGCCGCAACCTGTGCACGTGCACGAAATGCACGTGCACAGCTCCTGCCTGTCGACTTCCTGTCTGTCTATTTTGGGCTTGGGCTCCAGCGACTGCAATACACCCTAAATGCCCCCTCTCCTACCGCCCCATCGCCGACTCCCAGATTCAGGACCAGCGCAGCCGGCAGCAGTTGGAGCAGCGCTTTGAAGCTGCCTTGGACAGACACCGAGAGAAGATGAGGGTGAGGGCCGGTGGGATTTCCTGCGATTGCAACCACCTGGGACAGCAGCAAGCTGGTAAATCGTAGCAACAGCACCCTGCGGCTGCCCAGCCAGGCCTCTTCTCCCTCTTGCCAAACTGCATTTTGCACCACTCTGCCCCACCTGGCCCCACATTGCCACCACGCAAGCCTGCTCGCCCCGGCTTGCGACCTCCATGCGACGGCCTGCCTGCCTAAACCTCCCTCCATTATCACCTCCGTCGCCGCCACCTCAGGTGCTGGAGATGGAGAAGCGTGCGCTGCTGGTGCTGCCCGGCTCTGAGGTGGAGGAGTACGAGCAGCGGCGGGTGATGGCGGCCGTAAAGGTCCAGGCGCACTGGAGGGGCCTGGTGGCCAGACGCAAGATGGCGCAGTCACCGGAACGCCGCCGAAGGGAGCAGGTGCTGCGGCTGCGGGTTGTCGCCCGCCTGGAAAAAACCCTGTTCGGGGTTTCCGACCTTCCACCAAGCCGCTGCTGCCACCCTTACCCAGACTCTTACGGTCTGTACTATACTTATAAACGCCCTAGCCGCAGCCAATTTCTTACACCGGCAAAGACCTGGCCAGTACCGGAAATCAGTTTCAGGCTACGGACTTAACACGCTGGCTACAGGTTTCCTGGTCCGTCCTGTCCTGTCCTGTCCATGCCGCTTGAGGAAGGACCGTCGTCCTTGATCGCCCGCTACAGGCCGCCCGCCGCATCCAAGCAGCCTTCCGCAACGCCCGCGGCGCCCGCGGGAGCTCTTCAGCCGCCCCTCTGATGACCTCAGCAGCAGCAACAGCAGCAGCACCCGCGGCAGCTACGTCCGGCAACGAGACCTCTCGGGGGGGGCGCCGTTCTCCCAGCTGGCTTCGACAGAGTGGGACCTCCGTGTTGTTGGGTAGTCCGCAGGTGCAAGGCAGCCCGGCCACCCCCCGCGGTGGAGGGGGTAGTGGCGGGGAGGCGGTGGTGGCCAGCCCTCCGCAGAGGCAGGGGCAGGGGCAGCGAGCGGGGCTGTCGACGGGCGGGGCTGAGGCCGGAGGCAGCAGCGCAGCGGGTGGTGATGTTCATCCGGCTCGAGATGCCTCGGTGATGGGTCCTAGGCGTTACAAGGAGCTCCATGCGCAGGTGCCTACTGCCTACGGGGGAGCGAGGGGGAGTACGGGGGAGCGAGGGGGAGTACGGGGGAGCGAGGGGGAGTTAGAGAGAGAAATTTCGCGCTTGGAATGGAAATGGGGGGAGGCGCGTCATGTTCTGGGGGAAAGCTTTTCCGCTGGTGCACGGTGACTGGGGAAGGGTTGGGTTGCGGAGGGGAGAGGCCTCAACGTGTTATCAGGATATCAGGCGCGGCAGGCCCATCGCCAACAGTGCCCCGGTCACCATCGCCACCGCAATAACCAAACGCCGAAAGCCATGTTGAAGTTTGATACCTATTGGGTGCGTTAGACTCCTTAGGTCCATCTCCTTCCAATGCCTTCACCACATCGCACCCCGGCTATGTACATGCCATGTGGGGGCGGCCGGCCGTACAGTACTTGCACGGCCGGCCGTACAAAAGGGTCCATCCCACCACGGGAGCCGCCTGGAACGCGTGCGCAATTGGTACGTGCGGCTAGACCTCCCTCTCCTCCCTCCACATCACACTTTTTCACTCGGACACGCAAGTCCCCCACCGCTCCACCCCTACCACCGGGCTCCTCCACGCCGCCGCCTAAAAAGTGACGACGTTCGTCGCCACACGGCACGACACACGAACGCGACACACAACCCAACACAACACAACACAAGACGATGCAACGCAACGCAACGCGCCCCCGGGGACCCGGCCCGCACGCAGGTGGAGGGCAAGCTGAGTGCCTACTTGGCTCTGGCCAGGACCCGCGGCAGCCGGCGGCCCGACCCACGGGTCGCCGACACCCGCCTGTCGCAGCTCCTGCGCGAGTACCACCGCAGTGCACCTGACCGGCTGGCGGCGACGGCTGAGCGGCATCGCAGTCTGGTGGTGTTGGACACGTTGTGCGCCCAGCTGGATCAGGTAGGCGGGTTGTGGGGGGGAACATGGATGGATGGATAGGTGGGTGGATAGGTGGGTGGGGTGCGTCCCAAGGGGACAGAAGCCCTGGAACAGGTGCGGGTCGTGTGTTGCAGGGCTCGAGGCGTTGCGGATGGGATGGGGGGGATGGGGCTCGGGATGGCGGGACGGGGCTCGGGGTAAGGAACCGGACTGGATGTACCGTTGGGGTCCAGCGGGGGCACAGGGGGTGGGGGCAACGGGAGCCGGTCCAGGCGGTCAGCCCTTCCAGGTGACGGCTCTCCCGCCCATCAGCTGAACGCCGAATGCCCCCCTCGGGTCCGGAGCTTCAGGGCAGGGGGCCCAGGGGACCCCTGAGAGAGGGGTTGGCCCCACCGCTGGACGGCCTGGTATCCGCGTTTAATACATACTATAGCAGTGTGCTAAATCCTGCGCGGGGTGCCTTTGATTGCTGAAACCGGTCACGACTTATCCTTGCGGAGCGTCTTACCGGCGCGGTAAAGCAACGGCAGTGAAGAACAATCGACCCGGTCAATCCGCATAACCTTTACCCACAACACAACGCTGCATAACATGTTGCCATGGGCTTATGACTGGTATTCGCAACGGCAATGGCAACGGCAATGGCAACGGCAATGGGATTGCTAATGGATGTGCGGTGATGATATGATGTATGGTGGTGACGGCGAAGCTCCGGCCGCTGGCGGACCTGCCACCCGACGCGGCACCACAAGACTTCCCTCGCCCAGCCCGGGGATCGAAACGCGCGGAGCGGGCCGCACAGGCCCACGCCCTGAGCCTTGCAGAAGCCAAAATAGGCAGCCGCTGGTGGACGCACCTGCGGGCGCTTAACACGCAGGTTGGTCGGATGTGGATGTGGGGGTTTTAGGGTTGGGTGATGACATGTGTTGGGCTGGTGGGGTCAGGGCACCGGGGGCTTTTGCATATGTAAACGGCGAAGCCAGGGGTTTAGGTGTACCGGTGTTCTAGAGGGACGAGGAGGGGCCGGGATGCAGAGGCTGCCACATGAGGAGGAGCTCGAGGGAGCTGGAGGGGTCCTGTGGAGAAAGGAAGCGGCTGGAGTGGTGCGGAGGTGTCAGTGTCACACGCCTTGGCTTGGCTTAGGGTGGTGGGGACCGGGAGGGGGGAGTGAGTTGGTGGGGTTGCGGCTGGTTGGCTGGCTGGCTGGGCCCGGCGGCGGCGGGGTTGGCAGCACTTGGCCGCAGTGCTTTCCTCACCTCTGCACGCGCACTCACACGCGCTTTTGAGGTGTGTTGTGTTGTTGCAAGCTGTTCGCATGCCGCCTTCCCCTTGCAGCGCTTTCCGTAGTTCCGCGCGGAAGAAAGCGCCTAAGGGCGCTTTTGGAGAGACTTGGATATCCGTTAGACCCTGGGGATCTCCCGCTGTGCTGCGGGCGCCGTACAGCAGCAATACACGCACGTGCCGTTTCACACATGTGTCGCGCCCGCTATGCCCCCCACTCATGCGCCGCCGCCCACCTACCCGCCTTCCCCTCACCACCTTTACGTGACGCAGGCCGTGCAGGAGGCCCTTTTGGCCGAGGACGAGGAGCGGTGGGAGGCCCTGGATGCGCGCTGGCGCCGGAAGTGGAGGGAGGTAGAGCAGCTGGTGCGTGGCTGGGGTAGGGAGAGTAGTACGCGGGCAGCTACCTAGCCAACCACAAGCCCACAAGCCAGCTGGGCAGTGGGGGCCCAGCAATGGCGATGAAAAATGCCTGAGGATGCGGATTGTGGAATGCGAGTGAGGATGGAGACTAGTAAATGCAGGACACTCTCATCTAAGTGGGGGAACTCTCCAGGGAAGGAGGGAAGAGCGAAGTCCCCGTGGACCTCTCCCATGGTTCAATAAACTGTCGGGACTCCCGGCATTATTCGGTACATACCTCCAACCGCCAACCGCCAACCGCGCGTTCTGCACACCACGCAACCGCGCCTTGGGCCCAGCTCCCTCCTCTTCCCAGAGCCGCCCACCGCCGCACCCATCTTAGCAGCAGCTAACGAACCTTCTGGCGGCCACTTCGCTCCATCAGCAGCCAGGTCGCCAGCACACATGCAACTGCAATCCTGCCAGTGGCCAAGTGATTTTCCCAAAGCTTTATTATGCCTAACTATGAACCGCTGATACTGTGAAACTGCGAATGGCTCATTGTACTATCTTTGTATTATCTTCACTAGTTATGTAGCACCACTGTTTAACGACGGGAGTGCTCTAAAGCGGGGGACCTGGTCCCCATCTTCAGGAGAACCAGCGGGCCGATGCGGTTGAGGTCCTCCGCGGCGAGACCGGCGCCGGTGCTGCGGCCGTGGCAGCGGCCCGCCAGGCGGCGGCGATGCAATCCAAGCAAGACGAGTATGCGGCGCGGATAGCGCGGGCGGCAGTGGCGGTGCCGGTTGGGTCCCAGGCGCAGAACCCCGGCAGCGGCCCGAGCGCGGGACCTGGCGCGGCGGAAAGGACAACGTGAGTGGCGCTGTGGGGCGGGGGCGGGGGCGGGGCCGGGTAAATAGATATCTGTTTATACACATTTATGCAGGCAGACAGAGGAACAATGGGAAAACTGTTGCCGTGTTACTTCACGTCTGGTGCGCGTGAGCGGGCGGGCGGGGGGCTCCCCCGAACTGTGGAGAGGGAAGGGGCGTGGAGACAGCTTGTACGGAAAGCATCTGAGCTGATAGGAAGGAAGACCTCACAGGACACCCCCTGGGAGAGGGGGAGGAACGTATGTCAGCTGTATTAGCCATGAACCAGGGAGCGAGGCAGGGAAGGGAGAGGGTCGTGTTTCTTGTACAACTGAGACGCAAGAAAGGTCTGTGCGTGTGTGCGTGCATTTTAAGAAGGCGGAAGCGAAGATAGAATGGGTGGGACGGAGGCAAGTGGTTGCCGCGTGGGTGTCTGTGGAGTGGAGAGGCCGGGAAGGGGAGCAACGGGTGCTTATGCGGGCCCAAGAGGACGGGAGTATGGTTGGATGGTAACGACGTGAACAACTTTGGAGGGACCGCGGTGTGGCGGTGGAGCGCTTTCGGGTGGTACGCGGATGGGTCGCGGCTGTGCGGGTGGGAGGGCCCCAAAAAGCGCGATCATATTTAGCTACGAACCCTCCTAACATGTTTGCGTATGCATGTAGTGCATGTGGGTGCTAATTGCATGGATGCGGTCGAATGTTGTCGGACCGAAACTGGTTTGCATGTCTAAGAATGCGCCCGTAGCACACCTGGATAGGGAAATATGCAGAGGAGACAGGCTAAAGGTACAACTGATTGAGGGCCGGCCGAAACGTGGACCCCGTGGCCGAGGCAACTGTAACCAAGTTGCCGAAATATCAATATCCAACAAGTTTGCAGTCGACAATTGAACCACACCCTAGTTGGATCAGCCGGATCGAGCTAAAATGTGGATCTGCACCTGAACCGCGGAGTCTGCTGCCAAGTGTGCCGGAGGACGGTCGTCGCTGACGTCGTCAGACTGCGGCTCGGAAAGCCACAATGGCTTGGACGATTGGAGTCCCTGGCGCAGTCGCAGCTTCTGGGGGATGCCCGAAGCACAACACGAGAATGGCGTGAAGGTAGGATAATTACATCAATAAACGTGACACGTCGGCGCGTCGGCGCCTGGTATTGCGACGGCCCTGGTATTGCTACAGCTGCGACAAAGCCTGCTGAACCCAAAAATGAAAGTCCTGCACAGGAGCAGAATGAGTAACACGACGATACATATATGCAAACCAATTTAAGAATATCTGTAACGGATGTTCGCGTTGCCATGTGAACAAGTAAGCTGTCTACCACGTGGTTTTTCCACCTGTACGAGTTGGTGCAAGCGCGTGTCGAACGCGCTCTGCACTTACGAAGCACACGAAACGCGCACGGATGTAAACGCCGGTTCCTATGACCTGCATGCATAGCAACAGTTCACCACGACCAAAGCAGGCAGAAAAACAAAAGCGGCATACATGCGGCCTCCTTTTACAGGACGCTTTGACTCTCGCCCAACCCCTAGCTCACAAACCAAACCAGCTGTATAAATGTTTCACGACCACCCTGCCCCGCAAAGGGCTTATGTGGTGACGCTCACATCCGGCGGTATTAATATCGCGCGGTGACGATCATATATCCGGCGAATCAGTCAGTATTGCTGGTCTTGAAAGAATGGACAAGCAATGTCGCCATTGCCACATGGTCCCAGCCAAATGCTTTCAGCGTACCGGTCCCACGACATCTGCATTCGTACGATGCACGCATCTGTTGCTTGGCGGGCCGCCTCGATATTAAGGTCCGTTGCCTTCACCGTATCACACAGCAGACATATCGGCACGACGTCAACCGGGGCAGTGCGCCACCGAGTGTAGCATGCACTTGCTTCTTCAGCCAGCGGAAGTTCCCGTGTGTATGCGTTCACCAAATGGAAGTTCGCCTGATTGCTATGTTTCTGCAGTTGGCGGCGCAAGGCTAGCCGCCAGACCGTATCGAGTTCCCACGACCAGATTGCACAACGATACGATTCCGTATTAACAAACCGCATCACGACCATTAAACAATAACAGCTGCACTGCATCAAAGACCAAGTTCTGTCTCCACATGCAACGAAAAACGGATGTTGGTTTGCATGCATGGGTTTCGCAAAACAGGTACCTAACATCGCCACGGCAGCCCAGGGTTACCACCGCTACCTGCTAGCTTACCCCAACCAACTTAAGCCATGGTGCCTTCCCTACTGACTAAGCCCGCGGTAATGAGTGATCCTATGTAGACAGTTTAGCCAATTTAGGACGAGCCAAGGCTCAACACCGTGTAAGGTATTTCAAGGCATTAGAGGGCACATGCCCCCTGCTGTTCAGTTGTAGAATGCCCATTGCTACACACTACACACCCGACCCAGGATGCGTCACGGGCAAGTGTCTGGTGCCCCAGGTGTGTGGGTTGGTTCCACTTCAAGCAGAAGGCCAAAGCAAGATCGTTGTGATATAACCTTATGGCACCGGGGCTGCCAAGTAAAGCACCAGTGGTGGAATCATGCGGCGGTCACAATGGCCACAACAGCGGTGATGTCGTCCATCTTGCCTCCCCGAGGAAACATGCGGCTGATCCAAGACGCCTGCCGAGAGGAGGGCCGGCAGCAAAACGCAGGGCGGCTGAGGGCACTGGTTCAGTCCAGCATGGATTCATCCAGCGTATCAAGGCACAGGCGCGGCGAAGAAGGAAACAGCCATGCCAGGAGTGCAGATCAGAAGAGCCCTTTAGCAGCAAGGCTGAGGCGGAAGGGAGCGCAACATTACACTCCATGTACCGTTATTTGCTCTAGCCCTTTTCCTTCCCTCCCTCTCTCTCCCTGGCCCTCTCCCCATGTCTGGCCTCCTCCCCCTCCTCCCAGCGCCCTCCCTCTTATCTCACCGACGGCTGGTTGGCCAGCTCAACCGCCCAGGGAGATCGGAAGGCGGGGTCCTGCGCGTGGCGGAAAGCGGACCCCACCAGGGACGTGGCCAACTGCTGCGCAGCGGACTGAGCGGCGGCGGAGGCGGCGGGACCCGCCAGGCCCGGCGGGACGGCGGCGGCGGCGGCGGCCGCCAGAGACACGAGCTCCTCGTCCCACATGTTGTCAAAAAGACCGTCCGTGGCCAAAATGACGACGTCGCCGGGCTCCAGTGCCAACTGCCACGGATGACATAGTCAACAGGAAATTGAAGGAGGGAGAAATCTTCAACAGGAGCATCCCAACAAACGTCACCGCGTCAACCCAACATCCGATGGGCTACACGACAAAACTGTAAAACGGAACATCTCGCCTTTCCCGGATGACCCGCCGAAATTTCCCTCTCTTTTTAAGCAGGTACTGGCAGGGCACTTACCCCCTGGCTAGGACAACTGCCCTTGACAACCCTAGCCCCCCCTCTCCCCCCTCTTCTCACCTACCTGGTACATTTGCGCATCCTCCGCCGTGTCCGTGTCCGGCAGGTTGTCCGGGTGCGCCATCTGGTACGGCATGTTGAACTGGTGCTCCTGGGCGCTGGTGGCCAGGACCAGAGAGCCACGCCGCACCACACGACAACCGCTGTCGCCCAGGTTGGCAATGCTGAGAACCTGCTCGCCACCGCCACCGCTGCTGTTGCAGCTGCTGCCACCCGACGAGGATGCGGAGGGGGAGGTCGCTGGCCCCTTGTCCTGGGGTGCCTTGTTGGAGAGCACTGCCACGCAGGCGGTGCAGCTGCCGATGGTGCGCACCTCATCCTGCGCCCGGGCAAGCAGCTGGCGGGGATCTGCCCCCGGCCCGCTCTCCTCCGCCGCCCTCGCCGCCGCGTCCATGATCTCCCTGCTGTACTGCCCCGGGTCCACATTGGCCTCCGCCCAACCGCCCACTCCGTCCGCCACACCCAGGGCGCTGATCGCCACGGCCAGCGGGGAACGGGAGGTGGTGTTGGGACGGCCACCGGGGGCTGCCGAGCTGACCACACCGCCCGAGGGGGTCGCCATGAAGTAAGCGTCCTCAGAACCTTTATCTGCCTTGGCCACGTGGGGCACGCCGTACGCCGCCACCGACAGCTGGACCCTACGAGCCACCCCGGCAGCTGTGCCCGAGGATGTCCCCGCTACGCCTGCGTTTATCCCCCCGGCAGCTGAGACTCCCGCGGCAGCTCCCGGGCCGGTCAATGACGGCGCCGACGGCTGTCCTCCTCCTCCCCTCCGGGTCACCGCAGAACCCCGTGTTGGCGCTTTGGCCGCGGCAGCCGGCGATGGCGGCGGGGCCAACGACGACAGTGCTGACGAAGCTGACCTAGCTCCGCCGCCAATGGTCCTCTGTACGAGCGACTGCGCGATGGCGGCAATCTCGGCCCCCAGCTCAGCTTCAGAGAAGAACGGAGTGGTGCTGGAGGTGATATTGGAGGCGCCAGAGACACCCGCCGAACCGGCCGCCGTACGGGCACTCGGGCTGGTGTTGGCGTCATCCGCGGCCTCGGGTGCGGACTTGGGCCGGCCCCATTCCGTTATAGGGGGCGTTCCGTATCCTGAATAATAAAGGGAACACAGGAGTGTTGCACGGTCGGGCTGGGATCGGGAGCCGAGACGGTCGGGGAGAGTGGGAGGGAAACACTCAAGTGAGCCGGAGTACTGCAAGAACAGCAGAAAGGCCTTACCTGTCGCCTTTGGCGTTGGTGGGGTTCCTGCAGCCGACGCGGCAGCTGCCCTCCTCGCGGCCTCTGCTGCACCCGCTGCAGCGGCCATCGCAGCAGCGGCGGGTGATTGCGGTGCCTTTGGCTTTGCGGGTGGGCTCGTTGTCGTCGCCGATGTGGATGCCGGTGGGGACGCAGGCGGTGTGGTAGGTCCCGGAGCCTTGGGAGCAGATTGGCGTGGGGATGCGGCCCGAGCAGGAGGAGGCGAAGGTGAGGAAGATGAAGGAGAAGATGGAGGAGGAGCTGGCAAAACGGCGCCAGCGGCGGATGCACCTGCGCTGCTGCTAGCGCTTGCTGGAGCGGCGGGACTGGTCCGCAGAAAGTCTCCAAAGTCAGCTGGTGTAGGCACCTTGAGCGGGGTCAGGGGCTTTACCGGTGATGGTGATGGAGTGGCAGGGCCTGATGGTCGACCGCTGCTGGCCGGCCCAATCATGGGGTTGATGGACACACCCCCTGAGGCAACCAGTGGAGGTGAGGAAGAGGCGCTTGGCGGCACATTGCTGCTGATGGAGCTGCGCGTGGAGGCCGCGGGAGACGGGGGTGTAGGTAGGGAGGCAGACACAGGCGAGGAAGAAGCAGCCAGCGGGGGTGAGGTATCCACGCTGCCGGCCAAAGCGGCGGCGGCAGGCGGGGGCCCAGGGCTCTGCGGCCGCAGCGCCTGCGCATCGCTGGGCGAGGAACCGACCGTCGAGGGAGCTGACTGGGGCCCGACTGTCGCTGCTGGAAACGAAGCGGAGTCATAAGGCCCCGGGGGCACCGACCGTCGCAATGGCGGACCTGTCTCGGAAGATTTCGGAGGCGGCGTAGTTGCTTGAGCGGCGGCAACAGCCACAACCGTAGCAACCGTATCACCGATGACGTTGGAGCCTTCTTGCACCACCGACACGTTTGGCTGCCCGCCCGACCACGGCTCGTTAACAGCAGCGCCGCCCGAGCTGCCCAATCCAGTTCCTGGTGAGCTGAGCTGTCGCTGTCGTCCTTCCGCAACGCCGCCAAGCTCCCCCACACTGCCATTTTCCGCCAAAGGGGCGTCCGACTGCTGCCCTGAAATTGCGTGCCCAGGTGCAGCCGCTTCGGTCGCAAGGTTGGCCAGCTGTTGGGCAGGGCCCGCATCCTGGGCCCCCCTCACAACGCTGGAGACTGCTGGGGCTGGGTTGGAGGGGGAAAGGGAGTCTGGTGGATGGTTCGCCGCCTGGGCAGGACTTGAGGCTGTTGGCGGGTCTGCAGGTACGACCTGGTTTTGGGGGTTGGCAGGGTAATGTGGTGCCGCGGGTGAGGATGCGGCCTGCAGTGCAGACACCGCCTGGACGCTGCGCAGGTTGCTGCTGCCAACACTATTGCTGTTCCCGTCGCTGGCGGCTACACCGTTACCGCGTTCCTTGCCGTCATTGGTTTGTCGCGCAAGCCCTCTGTCAGGCCCAGTTCCAGCGCCAGTTCCAACGCCAGCAGCAGCAGCAGGAACAGCAGGCGCAGGAGCAAGGTCGTGCCCGTTGTTATGCACCTCACTATTGGCTCCAGCTAACAGGTTTTGCCTGTTGTAATCAGTACCGTTGCGTTTTGCTGCGACGTTGCCCATTGAGTTGCCATTACCAGTATAGGTGGGCGCGCTTTCAGGCACGCTCTGGGTTAGAGGAGAAGCTGCTGTGGATGTGGCACTTTTGTTTTGGGTCGCTGCTGCGGGAGACGCGCTTGCAGAAGCTGCTGCGGCTAGCCCTGCCGTTGCTTCCGTGACTGCCGGCACCCGGATAGCTGACGTGGACGGCGGTGACTGTGACGGAGGCGGAGGCACCGACGAACCGCCGTATTGGACAGGCCAGCCCGGTCGCACCGGCGTCAGCGGCTTAAACTCACTATCACCGCCTTCCGAGGCTGCCGTTCGTCCTGACTGCAAAGCAACGGCAGCGGCTGGAGCCCCTTGCACCGCTGCGGCCCCGGTGGCCGCGGTGGCATCTTGAAGGACAGGAACAGACGCGCTGGCCGACGGGCCGGCAGCAGTGACGGCGGCTGTACTGCGGCGGATAAGGACGTCTGACGCGGCGGGTACGCGGGCAGGTGCCGAACCGTTTTGAGTGGCTGGTAGCAGCGGCGAAGGTTGTCCCACCACCACCGCCGCTGCCCCGGAGGGCATGGTGAGTGGCGTAGCCGGGCGCACGCTGCGTGTCCCGTGCCCCCCGACCTTCTGCGGCGGCGGCACGGCGCCTTGGCTGGATGTCGCATACTGCCGCTCGCGCTCCTGCATTAAACCCAGAAACAGCAGGGTGGCGAGAATTGCACGGCGGCTGATATATGGGTTGCCCCAGCTAGCCGAGACTGCGAACAAAACCCGTAGATTCGCGAGCGATGTGTTACAATTTAGCGCAAAAACGTCCAATGGCATGTATTCGATAAATTGCACGCATAATCTAGTGCTACTCAGCAATACGGCACGTTATTGGTTAAATCAAATCGGGCAGTTGGCCCGAACGCGCTTGCTTCCAAGCAGATTAGGTTATATGCCCGCCAGCCCTACCAGCCAAGGTATGCATGCATTATCATTGGCGGGCGGGCCCCTGCCAGCACCCTCTCACGTACCTTCAACGCATCCTGCAGCTGTTGCACCTGCGCCGCCAGTCTCTGCACCTCCGCCGCCGCCCCCACCGACTGCTGTGCGGCGCTAGCACGGGAGTCCTCAGCTGCACGCCGCAGAGCCGCCACTGCGGAGCGAGCTGCCAGCAACTCACGGCGGAGGGTCTCCAGCTCAGCAAGCTGCTGACGAACCTGCAATTGAAGATGGCGGACGGGCTGATGTCACGTGAGGCTAACGAAGCCACCTCGCCCACGCCCACATAATGGCATCTGGTTCAGCTCGGATCTGGACTCCTCAACCGGAAGGCCCGACCCGCCTGCCGCCACGTTGAGGAAGACCGGAGGTTGCCGGGGAGAGGACAAGCCAGCGAATATGCGACCGTGTGCACAGTACGGCAGAGCCCCCAAAACCACATGCTCCAAGACATCTGCACCCCCTCTTCTCCCTCGCCCATCCCGGCCTTCCTGGTCGGCGTGTCCAACTTATCTGCACGCCCAGGCCTTTGTGCCCAGCCCGTCCACTTCGTTATTCATCACGCATTCGCCTCACCTGTTCCGAAGACCGGCTGACCTCAGCTGCCAGGCGCTGCTTGTCCGCCGCCGCCTCCTTCAGCGCCCGGCTGCTTGCCTCCAGCTGCACCTTCCAGGACTCCTCGATCAGCCGGGCCTGAGGACAAGGACCCAATGAGGGATGGGGGAAGCAGGCGATGGAACTCAGCTAGACAAACGGAGGTACTGCTTCGTGTTGCGCTGGTAAGGCCTGCACTGCCTAGGCCGGGCTGCCTTGCAGCCACACCCTTGCACAAGACAAGTACGGTGCTCAAGTGCCAATGTCTAGGCAAAGAGGAAGGCAACGAGCTTGCTGGAGGTCCCGCAGCAGTTTCCTTTCACAGGCCCAACCTGCTTCTCCACCGCCTCCTGCACCGCCTTGAGTTCTCGCTGCTGAACGTCGCTGCCGGCCTTCGCCGCACGCAGCTGGGCCTGCAACGAGAGGAATTCCGGAATGGGCCAAGGCGGTGCTGAGGATGAGAAAGACGTGATGCCGTGCGGGGAGATTTCAAGGGTGCGCGGACAAGTGGGGAGCGGCAGGGGCGGGAGACAGGTCGCATAGGAAGCATCTCCCCAACGCGGGGTTGCCGGAGGAGACGGTTGAAATTGCAAATTTACTATGGGACAACGGCACGGCAGGAAGTTGCGCTTGCACCAGGAAAGCATGTTGCCGGCTGTGTATGCGTGACCTGAGCCGTGTTGTACACGTAATTAGCTTTGAAGTTATTGCTGATTTCAAAAATCTGCCGCAGGTTGTGCTGTGCGCTGTGGCATTGCCAGACAATGCGCTCGTGTAATCGCAGAGCAATATGCTCTAGGAGATTGATGGTTGATAAAGTGCCTTAGGGGTGCCCAGAAGTCATAACCGTTCACATGTCCAGAGCCCAAGACACCTCCTCACACCTCGCTTAACCCCATCTGCGGGGCCGCACTGCGTACCTGCAGCTGCTGCTCCCGCGCCGCCGCCTGCTGCTGTACCTGGCGCTCACGTTCCTGCAACCGCAGTAGGTCAGGAGTGCGCTTCTAACAACTAAAGCAGCAGCAATTGCAGTCGTAACAGCAGCAACGCAACGTTGTGCGGATGCAGCATATGGACTGAAGTCGGATCAATGGTCGCCGTCCATACACCGAAGTTACACCGTATGCCAGTCCAACCCCATAATGAGGCAGCTCGAAACCCTGGGGTGCCGGGCCTCCCGCGCTAACGGCTTCCCTCCAGGTTGCACATTTGGACGTCGCTGTCCGCGGACGGACTCCCTCTCTGGGTCCTCTGCACCCGACACCCCACCCGCCCAATGGTCCCCCGTCCGGCATCACCGTGAGCAACTCCTTCACGCGGGACTGCACCACCTTCCGCAGCTGTTGCTGCGTAGGCCCCGAGGCGGCTGCTATCGCCTGCGAGTAGTACCAGGCACCATTAGGCCATCAGCAGCGCAACAGGATGGGATTCCATCCTTAATAACAATATTTTCCAGAAGGGAGGTTCCCTTGGCAACACACGATGAACGCAGGGCAACAACCAGTCATGCAGTAAGCTTGAGCGTCATCAAGGCAATGGCAGCAGCTATTCCGAAGAAAGCAAAAGCTTAGAAGAAGAAGCGACGCGCTCTGCCGCTCATTAATGGAAGGGTGACCAGAACAGTGCGCCAGCCTCAGGGCTTGGCCACGCATCATCCCCGTCGTTTCCCACGGTCCCTTACCTTCTCTTTGAGGCGCATTGATTCGCGTTGTTCTTGCTCCTGGCAGTCTTGCAGCCGGATTTGCTGTTCCACTACTCCCCGCAGCTCCATCTCACGGGCCTGCCAACAGCGGCATCATCGCGCCCGTAAATGCGGTGATGTTCAGCTTTGATTAACGGAATCCAAATCCATAAACCGGCATCGCAAGCATCAAAACACCTTTGCAATGACGATGGCAATCGGCATTTCAACAAGCTGATTAAGCATGGCAGCCGAAAACTCATAACATGCGCGAGCAACCGTAAAGTGGTTGCTCGGCATCCACACTACATCACACCCCGTAGAGAACGCTCCCCGCGAACTCCCCTGTTACATCCGCAGACATGAACAAGCTCGCATGAACCCCAGGCTGTCCGTGTCACCACTCCCGCAATGTAACAGCTTAACCCAAGCCACTCAAGCTCACATCTACGGCCACCTTGCATCAGTGGGTTCACCTCTGCCACGTAATTCCCACCGGCCGGGCCCACAGGGGGCCTCGGGCGGCCATGGCCCCGCTCACCTGCAACTCCTGGCGCACGGCCCGCTCACGGTTACGCGCCTCGGGCACCATGACGCTACGGTACAGCGCCGCCAGCTCCGAGGTGAGCGAGGACAGCTGCTGGGTAAGCCGCTGGATGCCCTGCAGCGAACGGGCAGGGAAGGGACAGGAACGTGGCTTAGGCGCAGGCCCGAGGGTTCGCCCTCCCCTACAGCTGTGCCGGGACCCTTGGACAGCTCCTCCCGAGGACCTACGCGCTGCTGTGGCAGACGGCAAAGAGCCAACATTCTAGAGTTCATGTACAGATACCCACAAACGCAACGCTTACGCTTTTCCCAGTCCTTTCCTCAGCTGCAATCCTGCACTGGGAGCTTTTAAAGATTAGCTTGCAGTGTAAATTCAGTGTTCACTTCATACCTCCGATACCCTACCTGCTGATCGCCCACAACCTCGCGGGCCTGCAGCGCCTTTCTGCACCGCGCCGCCGCAGCCTCCAGCTGCTGCGCCCTGACCACCATTGCCGCCCCCAACCTCGCCACCGCCCCCGACTGCAGCTCGGACAACTCCAACGCCAAAGATTCCAACTGACGACGAAGAGCAGACTCGCGAATGTCAAGACTGCGGAGCTCCTTTGAGCATTAATATTCCGGAGAACACCATCACCCGGGAGCGCGCAGGTGTGTATCAGCGACAGGGAGCAGCAGGAACAGTTTACCACGACCTATTAATCGCGGGCTGGGTGCAGTTACGTCAGGGACTGTCATGGGACGGCACGCCTCCTTTGGCATAGCTGTGCTAGAAGCAGGTCACAGCTGCCACGGCGAAGAACAGGCCGGCAGATAACACAGATGCGGCAAATACGGCAAAGGTCTCGAACAAACAGAGGAGACATGCCGGGAAGGCCACGGCACAAAGTGGGTTGCATATCGCCGCTGCAGTGGCAGAGCAACCGCTTTTTAGGTGTTAAAGAACTTGCAGGCATGTGTGTAGGTATCAGGCTTCCGCACCTGTACAGTCTCCGGAGAGCCCTGCACCGCGCTGGGCTTGAGTGCTGGCTGCGTGTTGTCAGTCCCTGGAAGAATGCTCTGGCGCAACTCATCCTGCAGGAAAGGTCCGGAAGGATGACATAACTCAGGTGGCATAACTCAGGTGGCATTACTCAGGTTGGCATCGCAGGCTCAGAGAAAGTCCGAGAAAGGGAACTGCTCTCATTGACGACGAGGGAGCAATCAGTTCTGATGTTCATGGGAAGCCACAAACCCCCGGAGACTGCCAATTTATAATAATGATCTTGCGCGGACGTTGCGGTTCCAAAAACCGCGCTTTCTTCCTCCTCAGGGGTCTCATGCTGCTCTTGCATTTGCACACAAAAACAAATCCCACTCGCCCAGCTCTCACCTCCAGCAGCGCCATCCACTCGTCACTGAGCACCCCATCCAGCTGCTCCTTCACCGCTGCCAGCTGAAACCTCGCGTCAAGAGCCTCCTGCCGAGCGGAACCCAGCTGCTGCTCCAAAGCGGAACGGAGCTCCGAAACCTCGGACACACGGCGGGCGGAAGCCTGCTCAGCGCGGAGCTTGGCGTCCTGAAGAAGTCGGAACGCAGGTACGATAATCAGTTACCATGCAGTCCAATAACGGAGACACTTGGGAATTCGACCGGGCCCAGCTGTTTGACGAAACAGCAACTTCAGCAACAGGAGCTAAAGGCTAGGCAAAGCAAAGGCGAGGTCCATAAGGAGCTGCAGGAGCCGTTGCGGCGAATGGAAGATGGGCAGAGGCGAGATGGTCCACGAGGCCCAACATGCAGCATGCATCCGCTGTCGCCAGCTAATGCGCTGCTTGCGGCAAAGGTGGGCGAAAGTCGTGGGCCACCGCCATAACAGGGAAGCAGGTACCTGAACCCACAACCCCACCGCTGCTCTGCCGCCCGCTTCTCAAGTAACCAACCCCTCGCAGTCCGCTTTGGGGCGGGCCCGATGGAGGTGCCGGGGTGGACCGCTTACCTCCACCTGCTTCCGCAGCGCCTGCACCTCTTCCTCATGAGCAGCGGCTTGCGCCTTGGCCATGTCTTGCAACCGCTCCGCATGCCGAGCACTCTCCTGCAGCTGTGAGTTCAGCAGCGTCACCTCCTTGTCCCGTTCCGACTGCAGGCCCGACAGCTGTGGCATGCAACGACCAGGCGTCATTGCGGCCAGTTGGGACCACGAGGAGGGACATATGATAGAGAGGAGGAAGAGTTAAAAAAAGATACCAAACAAACGGCAAGGCACGACAAAGGAGGAGTCCATGAAAAGGGGACAAAACCGAAGAAACCGAAGCATTGCTTTAAGGAATCGTGCCACGTGGATGTGGTGGCCTGGGCTGAGGTTGCGGCATCGACCCCATGGGCTCAAAGCCCGCGCTATAGAAGTATCACAACGAGAGACAACGAGGACAACCGGTCCTGGCTGAATCGGCGGGGGCAAATGCGAACCAGCTGCACCGCGTAGCGACCGTCTCGTACGTGGCCCTTACAAGGTATTTAAACACTCCACGTGGATGCGTGGGTTAAAGCAATGGCCACAAGAGCACATGTTGCCGCCCAGGTTTGTGTAGGATATCCTACAGACATCTGCGGCTGCCGTACCTTCTCCTTAAGGGCGGCGATTTCCGCCTGCGCCGACTGTTCGGCTGCCTCGCTTGCATCACGCAGCTGCTGTACCTGGTGCTCATGAAGCCGACGGAGATTATCCAGCTGCAGGCATGGCGGGACATACGGGTCAGGAAAGGCCACAGAGCACGCCTATGCAGTGTGTCGGGGGATACATGAGGAGTTGCGAAGGGGGTTGCGCTCAAGAACCCATGAACGGCTTAGGAAAAGACGGGGAATTGCCTGGCACCTGGATTTGGGCCTCATAGGCGCGACGGGCATGGATTACGAAGGAAGGACGTATGGCGGCGGGCGTTGCCATCGGGGCTGCGTGGGAGTTCACCTGCCCGAAACCCCGAAGCAACATCGGGCCAAGCTGCTAACCAGATGCGTTAGGAAAGCCGTGGCGTTCACATAAGTCTCCTTTGGTAAAGATCTGTGCAAAACGCAGTGGCGCCAGCAGGCCCATTTAAAACGACAAAGCTCAACGTTGGATTGCAACTGTTCAGATACGGAGGTAAACCTGCAGCACCCGGTTGCGGGCAGCACTCGCAAGAGCCGAACCCTTTTCCATGCCACAACTGACAGGCATTGCCTGTAGAGCTCCTGGCTGGTGCCCCACCCCACTGAGGAAAGACTGTCCCAAGCCCCACCTGCTTCTTCATTCCGCCCGCTTCCTCCAGCCGTCGCGCCTCCGCCTCCTTAACAGCCGCCTGCAACCGTTGCAGCTCCGGCTCCCGCTCGCTCTCCAAGGCCGCGATCTGGACAGCCGCGATAGCACAAGGAATGGGGAACAGGATTTACATGCGATGTAAGTCACGCAGCAGGGTGCATCACGCGACATTTCTGCACTCCGCAACGCAATGCAAACATCTCCCAGCACATTGCGCAGCACGTCGATAGCCTTTCACCCGAGTCCTTGCCAGACACCGATTGGACTAAAATCGCTCTTGACCAAGCCACTTTTCCAGGCAACCTTCCTTTACTAGCTTCTGTTGCTCTCTGCATTTTTCTCGTCGTTGTGCCCTTGATGGAAGCAAACAACGGGCCACAGTGTCGCACCCCGTCTTCAGCGACAGCAGCCATGGTTGAGGCGCCTTTGCGGACACAATAGCGGCACATACAGGCCGCGGTACGCACCTGGGTGTTGAGTGCCTTCTCCTGGTCCAATCGGCGCTTCTCTGCCTCCAGCAGCGCCTCCTGCAGCCGCTGAAGCTCCGCATCCCGCTGTCGCAGCAGCTCTGCCATCTGCAGGTGCAACGCAGCCAACACAGGTCCAGCGCAGCACCAATACGGCGTAATAGACCAGTCCGACCAGAGAGTCCTTAGTTCAATGTTGTCATGTATCATTGAGCTCAATTTAAGGATCAGGATCAGACGCCGTGGGCTGTCGACTGTAAATGCTTTCGTTTCACCAATTGATATTCACAACATGGTGTCTGAACGATATGGGCTACTCCTGGGCTTTATCCAACTGGCGTGACTTGGGAAATCCCTGGACCCTCGCCGGACCCCCACCCCTGTCACTCCATCCGACCTGGCAATCAGCTCCCACCTCCACCCCACCCGCCCACCTGTGCCGCCGCCGCCTTGCTCTGCTCCAGAACCTCCTGAAGCTCCGATTCTCCCTCGCGGAGGACAGCCAGCTGGGACTCACGCTCAGCTAATTTTCCCTGCCAGCAGAGCAGCCGCAACAGCAAGGACAGAGGCGGTCTGCTCAGGACACGTTGAGGCGGCCCTAATCCTTCCGTGTGCCCAGACCCTCCCCCGACAAACCTCCGCGCGACGGGAAAGCGTTCTCCACATGCAGACAGCAGGACATATCCCTTAGTAATAACTCAGTCGCGTGTTATCCCAGCCATATGCATGCGGCAGCTATTATGACGTGCACACCTGTAGCTTTGCAATGTAGAGCCGGTCCTCATCCGTGGCGGCTTGCATCTGTGTAGTGAACCAGGACAGGGCAACAAGGTACAGAGCACGTCACTTGCGCCACTACATGGGTCATTCAGGGAACAAAAGGAACGGAGGACAACGCTGCCATCGGCCCAGTGCCCTGCAAAGCCAGGTGCCAAGCAATGTCAGCCAGCCGATCGGCCAAGGAAGGATGACAGTTGACACGCAACCTATGGTCGGTTATCACGGTTCATCTGGCTTCAGCCAGCAGCCCCTCTCGTGGAGCCTAGTACGGGTGTGTGCCTGATATATGCCCTATTTCCCGTATAATGCGGGAAATAGAGGTCCTCCTTCGACGTCTCTCGGTCCGTCTGTCTGTCACTGCATTTCTTTTGGTTTTGTGCTCGCCTTTCATGCATTCATTTCCCCGTCCCCTTCTTCTCATATTGCAGCTCTACGGAAAGCTCTGGGTCCCCGCTAACACGAGTTTCGAGTTCACGCACCAGTCGCAGTTTCTCCTCCGCGGAGGCAGCTGCAACTGCTACTGCCGCCGTCCTGGACTGCAGCTGCGCCTCCAGCTCGCCTACGCGCAGCTCCAGCTCCGTGTTTTGCGCCCTCAGCTGAGCCACGCGGACGTCCAGGTCAGCCGCAAGTGCCTGGGCCTGCACGTCGTTCATACAGAGGAAACTGGACCCGCTCAATATTCGTCAAGTACAGGAGGGGCATGGGTTATGGAACGGAGGCTGTGCACCAGACTATCGTATACCCATGGATTTCACCAACGTTGAGGGTTGAATCGAATTGGCGAGGTGATATTGGCAGCACAACGCAGGCATACTTATGTTGTGGGTTTTGGGCCCCCCCTTCAGCCTATCACACCCGGCCAGTGCCCCAGCTACCCAGTACGGAGTGCATAGCGCCGCATCGCTCCCGTAGACCCTTTCCCTCACCACCAACAGCTTGGCCTGCGTGTCCGCCAGCTCCAACCGCAGCGCCTCAATGCGCTCCTGCAGCTCCTGCCGCTGCCCCGCAAAGCGGGCCATCTCCTCCCGCCCCAACTCAATTTCCTCTGGAGGGATCAGGGGCAAATCAAGGTGGCACTGCATGTGGCCTTTGCGACTGTGCTTTGCTACTGACCTTTGCTGCATGTAACCTTTGCTAATCAGACATTGCGCACGGCCAGCAGCTCGAGGCAGGTTAGCGGGTGGTCAGGTGGCGTGCGATGAGGCATCAGGTACGCATTCTTTCCCCTCGGGTTACAGGGATACGTGTTAACTGCTGACTTGTACACGGCTCATGCCTCGACACGGCTGGTCGGCAGAATCGGAAAACGCAGCGAGCCAGGCCCCGGCAGCCCTGTTGTTGCGAAGTCGAACAGTACGTCGGCAAGACAGCAGCCATTGCTTTTACGAGCCGCACCTTCCAGCGCTGCATTTCGGTCCTCCTCGCGGCGCAATCGCTCTCTCAGCGCCCCAACCATCGCCTCCAGCAGCTCCGCTTTGCGCCGGGACTCCTGCAAGCGATTAGGACGCCGCGGTATATGGAGGAGGTTTTAGGACATCGTTGAAACCGTTAGAGGAGCAAGATGCAACTGAACGAAAGGGCTTGAGGGGAATCGTGTTCCCCAGGGCCCTCAAGCAGAAAGTACCACAATCGAAACAGCTAGGCGTTGTGGCGAAGGCACGACACGCGTGCAGCCAAACCGCACGCTTACTTTCGTGGAGCGCGTCTTATACACAAAGGGATTCGGCCTTCGTCGATTTCAGTCCGGAAAACCTCCAGCACATAGAGCCAGGCATCCTGAAGCCCGAAAATGCAGCAGCTGCTCCTTCCACATCATGGCTACACGACCTGGAGCGCTAGGAAGCCCTTGACAAACCCCGTCAGGACAGTAAAACCGCCTGGCGCACAATATTCCCCTGCGTCCCATCACGTTGGGCCCCGGCATCTCACCTTCAGCTCCACCCGAGCCCCCGCCACTTGAGCAGATCCCTCGCGCTGCGCCTCCAGCAGCTCTCGCTCGCGGTTTTGAAGCTCCTCTTGAAGCGCCGAAGTTACCTACAGTCAATGATGGAGGCAAGGTGCGTACACAGACAACAGGGGTGCATGCAAACGTCCGGAGAAAAGAAGCCACACGCCAGCTGCGCGTAAGGCAGATGCTCCTAGTCGAGCAGCCGGCATTTGCCGCGGTCGGTTATGCCACCACGCACGGGTAGCGGAGCACGCCTCACACGACCGGGCCCTAAACGTCTTCAGCTGCTTGTCGTCCATCTGGATCAACATGTCGCCATTCCCATGGCTTCAAACGAATGCGCTTGGTGATGTAGGTCTGCTGACGTCGATCTGCTGCTGCACGCCTCTTCATCCACAGATTAGCATACAAGTACAGCCACACCATGCAGCTGCAACACACGTGGTGCAGTCATGCGCGGTGCTGCTGGACAGCGCAGCTGCTGTCCCGATGCGTCATGTCATGACTCCCAGCCGCTGCAATACCAGGACCACTTCATCTCCTGACGAAGCAAAGGTGCCTCGGGAACCACAGCACCCTGCGCAAATGCTGCGCCGCCCAGGCAGGTAGGGCAACCCTAACTCCTCCAATCATCAGGGCCCAACCTGGAGCCCCTGCGCGTGTCGCATGCATCCCATCCCGTTAGCCCATCCTTGGCCGTGTTGTGAGGTACCTTGCGGGCGCGCTCCTGCTCCAGCTCCAGTTGTCGCTGTTGACGCAGCAGCTCCGAAACCTCTTCGCTCTCATTAGCCATCGCCAGCCCATCAGCCGGTCGCTGACCTCCTTGCTGCGTCGCCGGCACATGCTGGGCAACACCTGGTACTGTTGTGTCTCGGACCGCCTGCACTGGTGCGTCTCCCTGTGCCAAGGACACCGCACCCTCGGCCGCAGTCGCCCGGCCGTTGGACTCCGTATCGGCAGCTGCAGGGACCCTGCAAGGGACGGGGGCCATTTAGACAAGATCAAGGGGGTTGCGGGCAGGGATGTGGGCGGCGAAGCGCGAGAATGGGGTGGTGTAGTCTATAGAAGCAGCCTCAATTTAAAATGGATTTCATTTTTTGCATATGGGTCTGGGTTTCAGGAGGCGCAGCCGTTGGTACTGCACCTCGAGTCAATGGCTCATGTGCAGCGACGAAAGATCTGCGATCCTAAACGCACAAGCTCCACATGTGCACCTTGCACAGATCTGCTACACTGGCACAGCATGGAGAAGGGAGCGGCTGGCTTTGCTTGGACGAATAATTGGAGGCTGAAACTGCTTGCAGCAGGCGCGGTGGGCAGCCTTCAACCTTCAAATGGGTTGCCAACGTGATTACCAAGTGGTGCGTACCCCGATGCCGTGGCTGTCTTCGCCTTCCAAACACCTCCAAGCAAAGTTGCGACGCCGGTGAGCGCCAGTAGACCGCCGGCCAGCGCAGGAAGTAGGCCACTGCCTGCCGGTTGGACGCTGGGCGCTGGGGCAGTAGGAATGGTTTGGACAGTCTGCACAAAGAGGGAGTGCATAAAGTAGCTGTTACGGGAGACTTCGTGTTGGTTGTGGAATCGGGAGTGCAGCACGCGCATACACGCAGGGCCGTACGCGGTAGTACGCGTGAGGAGCAGGCGCCGCTAAGCCCACGTACAGTGCTCAGCCCGCTCTTACTTGCTGACTGCTGGAGACTCGGCTTGTGTTGATCGTAAACTTTGCAGCGAGGACTGGAAGACGCCGGCGGCCATATCTCGGGACGACAGCTATGCTCCGGCACGGCGGTCTCGCGATGCACGCAAAACTGCATTGTTGTAAGCGGATACTGATGGCATGTCCTCCTGACAACGTGGTACAACAGCGAGAGCTTGACATCGTGTGGCAGAGTTTGGGAGATACAAGATCAAACTACCGATCTTTTACAATCACAGCTCAAAAGGTATATATTAAGATGTTGATTCAGCATGTTATTAGGCTGCGTTGGTCTGCTTCCGCGAAACTCTGTTTGACTTGTTCGAGAATTAGAAGTCGCGTTTTCCTTGAAGACTTTTAATCAATCCTACAGCTCCCTTGCGGCAGCATCACGTGTGGTAATGATGATTTTGGCGGAGTGCAAGTACCCCAAAAACGGCAAGGCGTTGGGTGTTACAGACAGTTAACCGCCAAGTCGGAGAGAAGCACGTGATATCTTACAATGTTGGCTATTCCTGAACAGTATAACTCCAGAGAAAACCGCAAGTTGTAAGTGACAGTTTCACAGTTACGGCATTTCCACAACCATCCACTAACCAATCGGCCAGAGATTGCCCTGCCGCAAGGACCTTTATATCTGGGTTATATCTGCGTGTAGTCTATGATCCACCTTAGCTTTCATCCTACAGCTCTGACCCCCTGGGCCTGCGCGGGTGCAGCATTTATATCCTGTCATGCGGAAAGTACCCCAGTAATGAGTTAAAAATACCGCTGATAATTGTATTGGACTTCAACCTGCTTTGCTTTCACCAAGGTGGAAACTTCCAACCATCCGATCCTAAAAGACGCGTGTGGAAAACACATACGTATGCTGGAAATGGGACAAAACTGGAATCAGAAGCGGGATCGCAGCAAACATTTCACAACACAGTAAAAAAATTTCTGTCCGTAGCCGCGATCCGGCGATACGGTTGGCGGATCCAAGCCAACGAATCGCAACGCTGTACATCCCTGCAGAAAGCTCAGCACATACGTACACAACCTGACAAATCCATTACGTCCCCAACCCTTTCCTGACGCTACCAAAGCAACGCAACCCACATCGCCAACTCCTCATCACAGCGGCCGCACACGCTTAGCCCCTGGCAAGGCCCCAAGCTCCGAAACCGCACCCTGTCCACCACCTCCCAATCCCACCCTGCCTTGGACTAAGCCGTACCCCACGCCCTCTTGCCCTCCCTCGTCGTCCTCCAATCGCAGTGCAACCGCCGGGGACCCGCAAACGCTCTCCGTGCGAGGCCGGCGCCGCGACGCCATCGGCGCCATGTGCCGCAGCAGCAGCGTTGCCTCCTCCTCCATCAATTTGCTGGGTAGCTGCAGACCCTGCTCTAGCGCACGAACGGTCAAGCGAAGCATGGCGACCTCATCCCACATCGCTTCCGCACCACCGCTCGGTGCAGCACACCCCTGCATCAGCCCAATTCTCTTTCCCCTGCCACTGCTGCTGTTGCTCTTGCTGGTGCCGCTGCCACTACACGACGCCGCCAAAGCCTCCAACATGGCCTTCCCCAGCCCACTCGAGCTGAAGGCGCCGCACACACGCCGGACGTCCGCCCAGCAACTGCGATCGTCGTCAACCCGAGTGCCGCTCCTTTCCTCTCCACCATCGCCACCGTCGTTCTCGACAAAGACCTCATCATATTTCTGAATCCACACAAGACAGCGCAACGCCACGGCTGGCACGCAACCCGCCGCAGGGGGCTGCTGCCTCCGGCGCCGCTCCCCCACATCGACAGGCGGAGAAACCCAAACGGGATAAGGAGCCGGCCAGGCAGTGGAGCCCGCAGCCGGCGGCCGCGAAGCCGTACCACACCGAGCGCTAATGTCCACACGTCCGTTACGACCACCGCCATCATCGTCGCCATCATTGCCGCCGCCAGTTTGGATGTTGTCATCAGTGTTATACAGTACCCAGCTTCCCAGCAGACTGCATTGCCGCAGGTAGGACCCCAGGAAGGTGGCGGTGAAGCGCAGCTGCTGCGCTGAGGGACCCAGCGGCAGGGAGCCCAACACCGCCTGCGCCAGAGCCGGGCCCCCCACGGACTGCACGCCCTCCGTTTCCAAGTCATCTGTCAACACCGCCGCCGCCGCCGCTACTGCCTGCGGCTGACGCCGCCGGCCCTGGCCCTCCATTTTCTGCCTTGCTCTGCCGCCAACCAAACCGCGCGGTAGCTGCCATGTGTATAGCGCCGCCGGTATCGGCCACCGGTGTTGCCCTCCGGCTGCCGCTGCTGAGGTCACGGCCGCGGCCGCAGCGGTGGCGTCCTGGTTGACGGTGACGCAGCTCATGGCGGCCAGTACGGCAGCGAGCCCGAGTACCTGGGCTTCATCCAGGCTACTACACAGCGCCGGATCGGTGGCCAGCTGCAGCAGCCGGCGGCCCAGCGCTACGTGCAGCTCAGGCCAGTGTACCACCACATCCAGTAGCCGCCGCTGCCATGCCAGGTGCGACTGGCGGCGACGGAGCGCCGGCCGAGAAGCCGCCACAGTCGCGGCCGGGCCCATTTCAACTGCATCCACGGGCGGCGCTGCAGCACAGTTCCAATGAAAAGGATTTGTCCGCGACGGCACAGGGAGGACGCAGGAGAGCGTTATTGCAACGGACTAGCGGGGGTGGGGGGTTGGGGTGGGCACAACGACCCCGGCGGGCGCCCCCACGGAAGGAATGAGGGTATGTGTGGTGTGGTGTTGGGCGGAAGTTGTGGATGGGAGGGCTGCGGGATGTAGATGTGCGCGGGCCAGGGGGCCTGAGTGGTTGTCGGGTCGTTACTCCTCTGGTGCCATGTTCACATACATGACTGTGTAAGGTTGCAGATTAGCGTCGAGACGTGCTTGTGCTTCTATAGTTATGGTAGTAGTGGCAGTAGTAGTAGTAGTAGTGGCGATCAACGTTGAGAAGTGGAGGACACAGCTGCATAGCTGCAAGGGCCTATGGGGTAAGCACGGGAATCTTCCAGAAGCCACTCGCCCGCCGTTGCCCTCACACTCCATGCGCGGCATGGTAGCCAAATCCCATGCACACCGTGTAGGCATCAACGGAAGCAACCATCAAGCCAGAAGCGTCAATGGCCACTCAGCCGGTAAACTCTTAGTTCATCCCTTTAGGGGAACTAAAGGGGAAATCGATGGGGTGACGTTACAACACCACCTTGTGGCAGTGTACCGGACCGGCAGATCTGCAGACAGGCGGACGGCCCATCTCCTCACCCGCCGCCGCCAATTCCAGCTCCTCCGCCGCGACGAAGGCCTCCAGCACCAGCTCAGCCACGTGGGCGGCCACCTCCAAAGCCGCCACCTTCTCCTTTTGCCTCTCCTCTCGCTGCTGCTGCTGCTGCTGCTGCTGTTCCATGGACGGCGAGCTACCGACGTCGGCAATCGCGGCGGCTATGGACTGCGGATGAAGCAACGGCTGCGGCTGCGGCGACAGCTCCTCAGCCAGTGCCGCCGCCAGTGCGCCCATCACAGCGTCCAGCGTGGCGCTGTTGAGGGAGGGGCCCACGGAGGCCAGCCGCCGAAGCAAGCCCTCGAAAGGACTTCGTAACACAGTCTGCGTGGGCACACACACATACACACGCACAGAGAGGGGTACGCGCGCGAGCAAACCCCAAATCAGCAAACCCCGCAGAAGCACAAGCATGATGGACCTCGCCGAAGGACAGACAGGCACGCGCGATACTCGTCCTTACTCTCTAGGGACCCGGGATGTGCGTTTCCAAGCACATGTTCTTCCCACCTCAACCGCGTGTAAAGCCCCGATCTGTCCACCTCAATCCACTTGTCCACTTCACTCTCACCTCCGTGCCTTCTCCCCCGCCGTCTCCGCTTCCGCCACCGCTCCTTTCGTGGCCTCGTGTAGGCGCTGCCGCCGCACGCGGCTCTTCCAGCTCCATGCCGAACTGCTCGTGCAGCTTCTCCCAGGCCTCCAGCTCGCTGGCGGTGATGAGCCGGAAGCACTCGCAAGCATCCTGTGGAGGTTGGAGGCGGGTCCCGTGCAGCGGTAGCGGCTGATGGCAAAGGTGTTTGCAGGGCGGTCTGCGGGCGGCAAGAGGAGGCGCCCCACGCCTCCCATCCCAGCCTCTCCCCAGCTCCTCCCCGAGCCCTGTCCGCTGGCTGACGACCTTCCCAAGCCCCTCCCAACCCCCACACCGTACGCACGAAGAAAACCTCTGCAATCCCACCTCCTCAACTTTACCACCGCAACCTGACCCTCTCCCTTGTCCGGTCCATGTGCAATGTGTCACCAAAGAATCCATCCCCGCCTCTACTCGTGTAAACCCCGGCAGGGGCCCCTGCGACCGGACGCGCCTTGAGATAGCGGTACCTCTTCCGCGCAGCGGCCTCATCCAGCGTGAGGCGCAGCAGCACGGGTTTCACGTCCTTGATCCATTTGGTCCTGTACAGACCGGACATCTTGCTCAGGTGGTCTTGGGGGTTGCGTGCGTGGGAAGGGGAAAGTAGGGGAGGGGAAAGCAGGGGAGGGGAAAGCAGGGGAGGGGAAAGTAGGGGAGGGGAAAGCAGGGGAGGGGAAAGTAGAGGAGGGGAAAGCAGGGGAGGGGAAAGCAGGGGAGGGGAAAGTAGAGGAGGGGAAAGTAGGGGAGGGGAAAGCAGGGGCGACGTGACTAAGGAAACAGGCGGGAGGGAGATTCCTCCCAATGCGAAACCAATTTAGTGGTCGGCAGCCGATATCCAACCCGCGAAGCAACCAAATGGCCAGCAATCCCCAAGACTCGTCCCGGAAGGCTAGCAATCCAGGCGGACGTCTAGTCGGTAGTGGTTCCAGTGTTGGCAAAGGGCAGAGGAGGGGCGCAACATGCGCGGGGCCCCGGTGCAACCGGGGGGGGGGGGTCGCGAGTGGGCGGGAGGGCGGCGATGGCAAGAAGGCGGAGGAGCTCCGGGCGCGTAGATGGCGGCCTAGGCAAATGAAGAAGCTGAGTGAAACCTCCTGCAACCATGATGCCCTCATGATTTTACCTTTCACAAAATCATATGCTGTCGGCCATCAAATACATCCCAGCTGGCTCGACTCACCGTTGCCCTGCAGGGCGAAGTTCTTTAGACATTCCTTGGCAAATGCTGGGTCCCCGACAGGGGCCGCCAGGCCTTTCAGGCCCCCAAGCGCAGCTCCGGGACCACCTGACCCGCCCGCGTAACCCGCGAGGCCGTGCGCAATGTGCTGCATGCGACTTCGCACCAGGCCAAGAACCAACTGGCGCTGATGCTCCTGGTGCTGATGGTGCTGCAGCTGCGCGGTGCTGGATTTACCGCCGGCAGGGCCTCCAGAGGCCGCGGCGGCGGCGGTGGCAGTGGTGGTGCGCAGCACGTGTTCGTACGCGCAGAGCGCCTGATATGACGTGGCACGCTTGACGTGCATCTCTACGGCACGCACAGCACCGTCGAATCGGCGCTGTGCGGCGGGATTGGCGGCATCAGGGAAGAGTAGCGGCCGCAGCAAGTCCTCCAGTCGGCCGCAGGCGGCGGCAGTAGCGGGATCTGCTGTGGGGGGAGCAGTGGCAGCGGCTACCAGCGCTTGAGAGCCGCTGGCAGAGATCGCCAGTACGACGCCCTCGGCTACTGCCAGCGCTGCAACAGCCCGGCGTGAACCGGCGAGTATCCGCTGCTGCTGCTGCACCATTTGGGCTCGCTCAACACCACCGGTGACGCCGCACTGGTCCTCAGTAGGGCCCCCGGCCCCATTCAGTGCCATGACCACCACGCGGCCCAGCATGTCCCACACCTCCTCCTCGCCCTCCACCCCGAGTGCCGCTACAGCTGCCAACATCGCGGACACTGGAAACAACCCCTCTCCTGGCGCCACGGCACCCATGCCCGCACTCCCCGCACTGCCTCTGGAATCATGCGCAAGCTCAACCCACGATCCATCGCTTCCAAGTCGTTGGTCAGCGCAGGACAGGAGCTTTAGGAGCTGCTCCTCCACCGTCCGCACCATCAGCGGGAGCCCCAGCACAGCAACCAGATGGGGGGTGCAGCGGAAGGCTGCACCCGCGGGGAACATAGGCCCCCCTCGCCACACCTCCACAGGGCCGGACGTGGCGGTGGCAGTGGTGGTGGTGATGGCCGGGAGGTTGTCCATTTGCCGTGCATTGCAGCAGCAGTCCCGGACCTTCTGAAGGGCCCAGCTGCACAAGAGAGGGATGCAGGATGGTGGTCCGAAAGGGCATCAGCGCCAGACGGCATCTCCATGGCTTTTGCTTTACCCTTATTTCCTTACGGCGAAGTGGCGAATCCGGCTCCATGTTATACTCCTTTCCCGCACATGCCCTGGCCATTATGGCCCCTCCCTCCCAGAATGCCCATCTAGGCTGCACACCTGCATGCCAGTCCGGAGTCCAGAGGGTAAAGCCGCTCCGAGACCGCCTGCGCAAGGAGCTCCAGGACCTCTGGAAGGCGAGATGCGACAGCAGCCTCCAGTTCCTCCGAAACCAACTGAGCTAGGTTGGCAATCACAAACGATGGACCACCAGCGGGGTTGCTGTCGTTAGCTTTGCCGCCCCCTACCGGCTCAGCTTCATTATCATCATCTTCCTTACCACAGAAGCCGCCGTTGTTATCATCTGCAGCAGCGTCAGCAACGTGGCCGATGCCGATGCTGGCGTGGCCGCCTCGGCAGGGCCTGATTTCACCGTTTTGGTCATCGTAATCGTCATCGTCATCGTCCGTGAGCCTCAGCAGCTCAGTTACTAAGATGGCAAAAGCACTTTGCTGTGTAGAGTGCTGGTTTGCGCAGTCACGTTCAGGTAGGTTGTGCAAGGTAGGGTTGACCTCTAACTCCCCAGGAGGTGGCTTGTAGGAAAGCTGGAGGATAGCGTCAACGAGGTTGTCTCTGCGGTCCCTGCAACTTTTGAGCATGGAGCGCATGAGCGCCCTGCTGCTGGCTGCTGAGAGCGACATGATGCGCGCCACCGCCAGCAGCAGATTTTGAAGCTGGCCTGGGCTGGAGCATCGTAGAGCCAGCTGCTGAACGACATGGTCGATAGGAGCGAGTCTGCAGCGCTGCAAGGCGAATTAGTATGTGGCGGCAAAATGGCACCGCTACAAAGCATTTATGGGTTGGGGATTATGGCTTTCCTATAACTTGCCTGATTGAAAGGTCTGTATCTTTGTAGCGTAATAATTTCTCTGAAAGCACAGTGAAATCATCAAAGTACTTAGCAAAACGGCTACAGACACCGCTGACGATGGCAGCGTTTGAATCTGAGTTCACAGCTAAAAAAGGCGTCATCGTAACTGCGAAACCATAAGTTGTGGGTTCTGGCAACAGTGCCTGGGACGGAGTCACAAAACAAATTCAGGGTTTGGATTTGGACGAGCGTAGGAATTTCCTAGTTCTTTTACCTCGGCGTTGTGATGAACATGGCACTTCCCCTGGCAAAAAGCCATTACCCCAGTGAAATTGGGCCATCTACCAATAAAGGAGCCATGTTCACTAATGACCGTACGGTCGAAAGCGGTTAGGATACAGCCCGATTATAACATTCCTGCATTGAGTATATAATATTTGGTACATTTCAGAGGCAGATTGGCCTGCCACACGAAGGAGGAGAGATATTTTCCGCGCAGGCCACTACACACATGGAAGGTCAGATGTATTGCAACCGCCGTGATAAGGGCAGATACAGTTACAGTTAACTTCCAACTGTTTCATCTACAGTTGGATGTCTTCCACTCGGAAAGTCGACGGAATAGCGGACAGCTACTGACATTCATATCAACGCGCATTGCTCATTTTAATTTAAGGTGAAGTGTCGAGGGCAAAACCCCCCTAGGGTAAGTCGTCCACAAAACCTAGTCCACAGTGCCTAGTCCACAAATCCGAATAAACCTGCGAGACGCGAGGAAGGGGAGGAATATCAGGGGGGCTCGTACGCCAGTCTGCGGCCTCACCCAACTTACGACCGTGATTGCCGCACCGACCACTACACGGGCTGCTGACGCTGATGACTCTTTCCACCGCTGACCATCCATCTGTCTGTTCGTCTGTCTGTTCATCTGTCCGTCCCCAGCATCGCACGGCTTTAGTCAAGCCTGTGAGTTACGTGTGAAGCAAGGTGTACATGCATGTTTTATGTCCTATGCATGTAGGATGCCTGCTGGTGGTGGTGTTGGCTGAAGGGAACAAAGCCAGTGGATGAGAGAGCGAGCATGTCGCCTGGGCCCTCCCCTCTCCTCTCCCCTCCATGCTTCACGTGCTAGGACAAAGCCAGGAAAGGAACGCGGCCAAAGACTGCTGCTGCAGCATCCGCATCAGCTTCCTAGTCACCCCGCTTCCCCCCCCCCCCCGGTTCTTTGGTGCCAAACGACGGTCGAATGACCTCCCCACCACCACACACACACAAATACACACACACGTTTGTGTGTGTGTGTGTGTGTGTGTGTGTTAACAGTGCTGGAGGTAATAATACACACATTGCCGTTGTGTGTGTTGGTGTCGGAGCCGGTACATCGTAAACCATCCCCCCACCCAGGGCTTGCGCTTGCTCGTCAAAGGACAAGTAGATGTATGGAATCTGGAACGCTGGTGGTACCGCTAATGGTGGTGGTGGTGGTGAGCTGCCACCTGAAAGGAAAACAAAAAACGACGACTGCGGCCCTTGCTTGGTGCGACGATGGTGAGGCTCCCAGAGGCTCCCAGGATTGGATTGGAGGGGGGGGTATGGACGCTAAGGGCTTCATTCCTCGTCATCCCCCACCCGGAATTGCGAACGGCGCAGGCATCAACTGCAATCTATGGTTCTGCTAGTACTATTGCATCTGCAACTGCTATACTGGTACCGCTGCTGTTACATTATGTAAATGCTATTGTTGCTGAAGCTGGAAAAATAGGGATATTGCGCAATATTCAATTAGCGTCTTCCAGCCATTGCCATCCCCGATAGCCCGCATTGCTACTGTAATTGCTACTGCAACCGTTACTGCTGTTACTGCTGTTATGTCTGAGACTACCGCAAAATCGCCATTACCACTGCAACTGCGGCGAACACCGGTACGTCGACGCAAGTGGGCCTTTTGCGTTGAGGCTATATATCTAATCCCCTCCCCGTGCACTGCTCGGCGCCCTCTCCCTCGCTCGTGCTCCTCCGGAAAGACCGTCCACAAGATATACATACATACATACATACAGGAAACCTCCTCGCGCTTCCACACCACCTACAGGAGATGGTGTAGCGAGCCCCAACCTGCGGCCACCTCAGGCTGCTGAACCAACATCCCCCACGCTGCCTGCGCACTGGTATTGGAACAGGGCCGCACCCCACCCCACCCCACCTCACCCCACCCCACCCCACCCCACCAGGGTTATGCCGACGTGGCACTATGCGGAGACTCTAGGGCGGCGGCGGTCCTAGGACTAGGTCAACTGCCACTATCGCTTCGCTCGTCGCGCGCGACCTAAAAAGAAAAGACGCAACCAAACGAATACACGCAACATACACAATTTCGATCCATCCTACGTAGGGGGGGAGCAGTAGTTTAGACAGTTCAGTTAGAGCACATCATATCCTCGGTATATAGGCTCCTTTGCGCGCACGGTTGGTCTTATGGTGATGTTATGCACGGCCGGTGAGTTGTTCTGATAGAACAGACAACTGCCCGGCCCTCGCTCATCCTCTCTGCAGCCCTACAATCCCCCAGCCGCCGCCGCCGCCGCCTCTCCCCTCTGCCAGCCCTTCTGGCTGGCGGGAGAAACAGGAAGGGGAGGAGTGCCCTCCGTCCCCTAGCAATAAAGCTGTGCACCGACGTCACCTTTTTTCCAAAAGTACAACCGCTCAACTGAAACCCAGACCGCCTCAATGACCCCACGTCCCAAAGCCGCAACCGCACCCATGTATACAGCCGCGAAAGAGAGAAAATTCGACCAATCCGTACTGGTAGTAGTACTAGTCGCTATGGTGATATATATTTATACAACTAGCCGACGCGCCGACGAGCTCTTTTGATATAGTTACTGACACTCAAAACGAGATGTTTTTAACCAACCGACCTCCGAGTTACGTTCTTGGCAGGGATAATCAGCTAAGCGCCGTACACGTCTGCGTCGTACACGTTGCAGGTGCTCAAAAGCAGCCTTGGCACGCACCTCAGCACAATACTGCCACGCAGCAACTTCAGGGCGGACGGTCCATCAAAACACACACAACCTAAACACCTGATATGCGACACACCCGCCGACACTTGCGCGCTGTCACATGCGCACTTGTCCTACGCCCTACTCCTCTTGCTGCACAGCTCATAAGCCAGTCTTCCATGACCGCTCACGACGACCCGTGTTCAATTCCCGCCCGCGTCAAGCCGCTCAACAATCCATTTTAAAAAAACAAAGTTGCTGCTGAAAGAGCCAGAGCCAGCGAATCCACCTAACAACCCAACAGCGCCACTCACTCTGCCGTGTGTGTACGTGCAGCTGCCCAGACCCCCACACTGAGATAGACCTCCTCCGACTTGTCGTAGTGTACGACAACTACATCTCGCCAAAGCAGCAGCCCGGTCCAGCACGTGGCGCATCCTCCCATAGCTGCCGTTTGTACCCCCCGGCCCTCTTGCACTCCCCTCCGCGTCGCACACCCTCTCAAACACTGCCTCACCGTCTAGAGGCCCTCTGGCCCACCAGCCTCTGGCGCTGCGGGGCGGCCCCCTCCTCCTCCTTCTCCTCCTCCTCTCCCTCTCCCTCCTCACCATCACCACCACCGTCATCATCGTTATCATCATCATCATCAGCAGCAGCAGCAGCCGCAGCAGCATTATCGTCTTGTGGATTCGGAGCTTCGTTGACAGTGCCCCGCAGCGTCCGCGTCAGCAGCGCTGCAGCAGGTGCGGAGTCCTGTCGCCCTAACGGCCGCGCTAGTCGCCGTGGCCACCCGCCGTGCACCGTACCCTCGTACACGTCGTACCATCCTGGGAAGCTAGCCGACAGGTGCCCGGCCGGAGGCGCGTAGGCGGCGGCTGCTGTGGTGGTGGACGCCATCGGCGCCGCACTGCGATTCAGCAATCCGCGGCCGGCTGTGTACGACCTGAAGTACGGCAGGGTCAGATGCAGGCCCTGGAGAGATGATGTCAGATGCGGATCGGCGTCGCCGGCGCTGGTGGTTGGAGCCGCAGGCGGCGAGGCGGCGGGATCTGTGTAGACACCAGAAGCTGCGACGGGGGCGGCGGAGGCGACGGCGGCGGAAATGGACATGGAGTGAGGCGCTGCAGCCGTTGCGAAAATCTCCTCCGCTGCCGGAGAGGTGCCCGCTAGGGCCGCTGCGGCGGTGTCAGCAGCCGATGCTGTCATGGTAACAGCAGCAGAAGCCTGGTGCCCCTCCGCGGCGGGCCCCATGTCCAGACCGCTGACCCCCACCGGACGGTGACCCCATCGTGTTGCCGTTGCCGCTGCTGCAGGTGGACCCAGCCGACTGGCCTCCAGTGGCTCCGGGCCCAGCCCCGCAGCGCCATACACAGGCGCCGCCGCTGCCGTCGCCACGGGGCCCGGAAACGGCACCTGCTCCGCTGAAGGGGTACCTTCCGGCAGCCAGCCAGCCAAGCCGGGAAGGGACAGCCGCGGCGGAGGCGACGCAACTGGGGCCACTGAATCAGGAGCAGATGTGGCGGCGGCGACCGATGCCGTCGATGGCGGCGCCGCCGAAGCGGCAGCGGTAAGCATCGTAGCGGTGGTGCCATACGCCGCGGCAGCGGTGGGGTGAAAGTAGGCGTGGGCGCGGGAGAGACTGATGTTGTAAGCAGCCCGTGGCGAGGCGGAGAGGGGCGCTAAGACGACTGGGGGCGGAACGTACAACTGACCTGGGGAGGAGAGGGGGGCAGGTGAGGGGGTGAATCGGTGAATAGATGATGTGCCAGTGGGTCAACGATGGCACAGCTGCGCTGCGCGACGGTAATGTGGCTGCGATTCTGACCCACATGCATATGCATGGGACGAAGCATAAGAAGGAGGGGCCCAAAACACACACGCGTACGGCAATCCCGCAGTACGTACCCATCGCAGTAGCGGGCGTCTCAGGTAGTGACGACGAGGAGGGCTGCCCCAGCCCGCCCCGGCGTGGTGCGCCGCCGCTGGCGCGGCCCGCGCCCCTGACTTCGCCGGCTCTGGTGGCGCCGCCGCCGCCGCCGCCTTGCCACCGGTCGGCCCACCCGCCGCTGACGGAGGGAACGGCCCCAACCCACTGTGGCGTGCCATTGTCGCTACTGCCCTGGGTGGCTCTAGTTCCCGCCATTGCAGAAGCGGCGGCAGTGCGACCCTCGCGCCAAAGTGCCGCCGCAGCCGCGGCGGCGGTGCCGCTGCCGCCACCGGCGGTGCTGTCATCACGTCCCGCTTCATAATCGATATCATCTGGGCTGCTGACACTGCCGCCGCCGCCGCCGCTGCCGCTGCCTCCGCTACAGCTTCCCTCGCCGGAGGAGCGGACAGTGTTGTCGTCGAAGGCGCCAGAAGCGGCAGCTCTCAGAGGCGACAAACCTGTCGCCAGAGCCAAACGTACCCCTGCGGCAGCTGCTGCCGCCTCCGCCGCCTCCTCATCCTGACGACCAGCACCGGCCGCCGGGGTACGGCGGAAGGAGATCTCAGATGGCGCTGTGGCCGCCGGCGCCGCCGTCACCGTACGGCAAGCGGCGCCGCTGGGGCCCCCCCCAACCGCACTGCCGCTAACGTCCGCTGCAGGAAGCAGCCCCTGCCACTGCTGCTGTTGCGGCTCCGGCGTTGGCGAAGGTGATCCTCTCCGATGCGAATCTCCGGGGGCATCCTCCTGGGTGCCGTACTCCTTGACGGGATCTGTCGGCCCGGCCGGCGCCGGAGCTGCTGCGGCGACGGCCGCGGCGGCGGCGGCGGCGGGGTATGATGATTGCGACAGCAGCTGCCTCGACAACAGGGACGCAAGGCGCCCGCGCTGCGCCGCTATGTCCGGAGATGCACGGCCGCCGCCGACAACCATGACCGTGTCAGCTGATTTGGCTCCTGCTGCTGCTGCTGCTGCTAGTCCTTCGGCTGATGATCCTTCGGCCGCCGCTACACGTCCGCCACGTGCCGGTGAGCCGCCGCTCCCGCGCCTCCTCGGGCTGCTCGTCCCCCTCCCCCTCTCTGGACTCCTTCCGCCGCTGTTGCTACTGCTGCTGCTACTGCTACTGCTACCGGACGGAGAAGAAGTAGACGGAGGCGGACAGGTTCCCTCCTGCCGCCCCTCCAACAAGAGCGATGCCGATATTGGCTCCGGAACTTGGAACCGGTCCCCCGAAACGGCGCGTCGTACGGAGGCCGTTGTGGTTTCGGAGCGCGGCTGTTGCTGTTGCATCCCCGAGGTGGATGATGGCGCATTGGAGCCACTGGTGCTTTGGTTGGCACCTAGGGCAGCGGGTACGGCACCTTGTCCGCTTGCCTCCGCCGTGCCTGTTGCTGTCTGGAGAGCTGCCAGGTGCTGACGTGGCGGTTTTTGTGGCTGTGGCGGTGGCTGTAAATGTTGGCGTCCTTGATGTCGCTGACGTCGCCGCCCTTGCTCTCCTTGCTGTTGTTGTTGTACTTGCATCTGGGAATGGAACTGCTCTGCAGCAGCCTCCTCCGTCTGCGGCGCATGTGAAGAACGTCGACCGGGCTCTTCCGTATGCCCCTCTTCTTGCCCCAGCCAAACGTCCAGGGAACCCACCAGGGGTATTGAAGAGGGCTGCTCCCTCATCTGTATTGCGTTGACCGTCCGCGCGCCAAAAACAGCTCAAGTTGATGGCGGTTTAGGGAACGAAGCAGCAAGCCGCGCGCAAGCAGCTGTACGTGCGCAAATAGGTTATTGTCGCTGATGTTATTGTTCTTGTTGATGCTGTTGTTAACGCTTCGCGAAATGGAGCAGTGGTGGTGGCAAGCGGGTTCTTGGCGTCCTGACGCAAACGACCCGGAATGCTGGGGGAAAACGTTTGCACTTGCGTTGTTACTTTGCCGCGTCATGCAGGTATGACATGCATGAAAAGGAAGTTGAGACGATGAATTTCCGTGCCATTTCGCAAAGGAGGGATATGTGGCAGGGCATGTGCCTTCCCTCCAATTGGCCACGTGGGCCCGTGGGTCGCAACTCTCCGAGATCCTTGGAGCATGCGAAGAGTGCCTCTTACGTTTACTTGCGCACGTCGATTACATAAAGATTTGCGGGAATGCAAGCTCACAAATGCGTTTTCCCTTGGATGCCCTACAAGGCAAGCTTCTCATCATGATCGTCACCTACGTCACAGGCGAAGGTAAAATTGGAAAGAAGCTCGACAGATCACAAGGCAAGCGCGCGCAGCAAACACGAAACTTCGAATAGTTTCACCGTTGCGAAGCCTGAATCACTGGTTAAAGAAACGGCAAAGAACTTGCCCAAAGTCGGTCGCACGTGTGACATTATGTGTCTGTAAGTGTGCATCAGCGAGTTATTCCGCATTTACTGAACCACACATCATACATCTCGCAGCACAAAATAAGCAAACTAACCAAACAGAGCCAAAAATACTTGCGCACGCACGCATAAAGTGTAGTAGTGCGATGCTATTATTGGAGCTCACACGTGATAGCGCGGTCATCTGACAGCCCCACCCGGGGGCCTGAAAAACACCACTCACTACTAATGCTGTGTCCTTCACCTCTCACACCCATAGTCATATCCTTTACATGCAACCTCCCGCGCCACGTCCTCAAGAGCCCTTCCTGCGCCTCACCTGCGCCCAGACGACCGCAGAGCCCTGCAACTCTTCTCCTTAACCGGCCAAGACGTGCAAACCCAAAAGCACAAATCCCCCTCCAGCATGCCTCTCCGAGATCCAGATAAACAACGTCCCCTGTCCCCAACTCTCCACAAACACGCCAACCAAGAGTCAACCAATCGCCTTTCCGAAGCCTTTGAGCTTTGAACCCCTTCCCCTCCACTCTGCCCGAAAGGCCACCTGCCGCGCTGGGGCTGCGGATTCCACATAATGGCGATACGGCCTTCTGCAGAGCCCCCCCCCAGCGACCTCATGAAAACATCCCCAACCAATACATACCATTACCCTTCCGCACGCAACTGCGCTCTTTGCAGTTCTCTTGCCCGTTCGTTCTCAACACTCCTCCAGAGGCTCCTCACAATCCGCATTTTGGCACTCAGCCACAAAATACCAAACAAATAACAGCATGCCGAAGAACCCCTCTCAGCCCCAATCGCGGCGACGTCATCACCTGCACCCATCTCATGCTGCACCCATTCTTGCGTCTTGTGGAGAGATCACAAGACCCGGATAGACTACGCGTATTACCCCCGGGTGCACCCCAGGGTGCGGCACAGCGCCACAGGGCCCGACTTTCCCCTGCGTACACGCATGTGCACACATGGGCCCTGCATGCAGACGCACCAAGGCACCAGGATTCTCACTGCCTTCCAGGGGCCCCTCCGTTGACCTTTGGCCAATCAGGCCTACAACATAGTCGCAACTAAAAGCACACCAACTCGCGGCACAACACCACGCGCGCACGGCTCTCTGCATGAGGAGGTGGTGCACCCAAGCCGCATGCTTCGTCTTCTTCTTCTTTGTGCTCGTTTAACCTAACGTTTCACCCACGCCCGTGTGTGCACGTCCCACACACAGCTTCCCCACCAGCCCAAACAGTCCGACATGAGGTTTGAGCTTTTTTGCGGTAGTTAGTGGGCGAGGTCTATAGAAGAGAGGTACAAAAGAAGTTCCTCGTATTGCATTCCCCGTGAGGTAGGGTAGGGTGCAGCGCACAGATCCAACGAAGCTAAGAACGGCCATACTCAGACAAATGGCTCCAACGAGCCGCTAAGAAGGGGGAAAGCAAGCTGGTGGAGGGAAATCCACTTGGAGCCCATCCGTGAAATAGTCCTCCCAGCTTGGTTCCCGCATCCCTCGTCCCTCGAACCGCGACCCTCTTATTGCAGCGCACGTCGAATGTCGTCAAGTGCACCGTCTAACGTCAGCATTTTACCGTCGTCTTAATGACTTATTTCTCAGCAGCATAGCGCACTTGGTTTCAGTTATAAGGCGTGACGATGCCATTCCCCAACTTTTTGAAGTCCACAGCTTAGGAAGTCCGCACCTCGTTCAAGGATTTTATCTCTCAGAATAAAAGATCACTGCGCCGGGCATTGTCTCCGGTTGGTGTCGGTTTTACCGGTGTCCACTACAACAAAAAAAACATTTTTTTACTTATTAGGCATTTTTTACTTATTGGGCATTACTTTATTTTTTTATTAAAAAGTTGCATACTTAGGGTAACGCACCACCACCTCTCAACTCGTAAGATGCACACCAAGCAACTCCACTGCGTGAGTAAAACACCATTGCAAGTCTCTGTTCGCGCACCCTTCCCCCCACCACCCACACACACCGGTACCTCCGGGTGTTTTCCCCCTCCTCAGACCACGTCCGCCTCCACCACAAAGGCCACAACCACCGTGATGTCGTCCAGCCGTCCGCCCCGGGGAAACAACCGGCTCAGCCAGTTTGCCTGCGGGGTCGGGGTTTGTGGAGGGGAGCGGAGGTGAGGGAACAGAGGGGAACGGAGGGGAACGGAGGGTAGGGGCAAAGGGGAATCGCATGCAGGAAGGAAATGGCGGTGAGATGAGGCTTCCTTGGGGATGGGAGGGGCCAGGAGGGGAGAGAGCCCATATGGTTAAGAGCAGACGAGGCGAGCAAAGGCAAGGCAGTCATAAATCATGGGAGATGAGTGTATGTGTGTATCCGTGTGTAAATGTGTATATGCACGTACATTACGTGTCTGCGTGTAAAGGAAAAAAACAGAGACGAGGATAACGAGGGACAGAGTTTAGGGTTTCACAGGGTATGCACTTACGCCCGTTCATGATGCTCAATTGGGACTCCTGACTCTTTGGATTTCACTCGTGCGCTTTTCGTCCCCAACCTCGCTAAAAACATCACACCTAATTACACCACTAAAGAGACTGCAACATTACACTCCATGTACCGTTATTTGCTCTAGCCCTTTTCCTTCCCTCCCTCTCTCTCCCTGGCCCTCTCCCCATGTCTGCCCTCCTCCCCCCTCCTCCCAGCGCCCTCCCTTCCCTCCCTCTCTCTCCCTGGCCCTCTCCCCATGTCTGGCCTCCTCCCCCCTCCTCCCAGCGCCCTCCCTTCCCTCCCTCTCTCTCCCTGGCCCTCTCCCCATGTCTGGCCTCCCCCCCCCTCCTCCCAGCGCCCTCCCTCTTATCTCACCGACGGCTGGTTGGCCAGCTCCACCGCCCAGGGAGATCGGAAGGCGGGGTCCTGCGCGTGGCGGAAAGCGGACCCCACCAGGGACGTGGCCAGCTGCTGCGCAGCGGACTGAGCGGCGGCGGAGGCGGCGGGACCCGCCAGGCCCGGCGGGACGGCGGCGGCGGCGGAGGCCGCCAGAGACACGAGCTCCTCGTCCCACATGTTGTCAAAAAGACCGTCCGTGGCCAAAATGACGACGTCGCCGTTGCGGACGCTGATCTGCAGAACAAAGCGTACAGCAATAGCATCTACCCAACTGGAACCCGAGGTGGGGGAAAACATACGAGAGGGGCGAAAATGGCAAGCAACGCACGTCGTATCACATCTAATTCTATCTCCCTTCGCTCTCACCCACTAAATTGTTTCTAGTCCGCCACCAACTTCAAGATCATTTGGGAAATGAGCGCCCCTTCCCCCCTTCCACAGCCTTCACCACAGCACCCAGCCCCCACGCCGGCCCCCTCTCCCCCCTCTTCCCACCTACCTGGTACATTTGCGCATCCTCCGCCGTGTCCGTGTCCGGCAGGTTGTCCGGGTGCGCCATCTGGTACGGCATGTTGAACTGGTGCTCCTGGGCGCTGGTGGCCAGGACCAGAGAGCCACGCCGCACCACACGACAACCGCTGTCGCCCAGGTTGGCAATGCTGAGAACCTGCTCGCCACCGCCACCGCTGCTGCTGCTGCTGCTGCCACCCGACGAGGATGCGGAGGGGGAGGTCGCTGGCCCCTTGTCCTGGGGTGCCTTGTTGGAGAGCACTGCCACGCAGGCGGTGCAGCTGCCGATGGTGCGCACCTCATCCTGCGCCCGGGCAAGCAGCTGGCGGGGATCTGCCCCCGGCCCGCTCTCCTCCGCCGCCCTCGCCGCCGCGTCCATGATCTCCCTGCTGTACTGCCCCGGGTCCACATTGGCCTCCGCCCAACCGCCCACTCCGTCCGCCACACCCAGGGCGCTGATCGCCACGGCCAGCGGGGAACGGGAGGTGGTGTTGGGACGGCCACCGGGGGCTGCCGAGCTGACCACACCGCCCGAGGGGGTCGCCATGAAGTAAGCGTCCTCAGAGCCCTGCTCGTTCTGGCGTGCGGGACGGGGCGATGCGGTACGGTAAAGCAAGGAAGGTCAGGAAACAGGTTAACAAAGCATGGAGTGACCAACCCGGACGTCCTGTTATTTGTTATATTTGTCATTCCTGTGTGTATATATTCGTGTACAGTCAGCGCGAATGGCTGGAACGTTTGAACGTTTGAACTTGCCAGAAGGAACAGGTGACCGGAGGAGAACGAGACAAAGACCGCAGACAACTGCAAGGGTCAGCTAGCGGCGATGTGCTTTGTGTTGTGCGGTGCTCAAGTGCCGCATTTCGAGTCATGCGGTGTATCAGGCGGCGTAGCATTGAACGGTCGCAAGTGGGTTTCAAGCATTGGGTCTTTGGCCCATGCCTTCTTAATTTCCTCCTGGCCCGTTCCGCAACCCATGGCCCTCCAAAGCCATTTTGTAGCCACCTAATCGTGAAGAAGCAAAGCCGTGTTTACCTTGCCAGGCTGAGCCATTGAGTGGATTGCCGCCACCAGGCTCAACTTGCGCGGAACAGCACTCGAGCCGGACGCTGGGATGGAGCCCCTGCCCGGCTCCGGCGGTGGAACCGGCGGACGTACAGCCGCTGTCACCGCGGCGGTGGCGGCAGCGGCAGCACCGCCGCCGCCAATGGTCCTCTGTACGAGCGACTGCGCGATGGCGGCAATCTCGGCCCCCAGCTCAGCTTCAGAGAAGAACGGAGTGGTGCTGGAGGTGTTGGCGCCTTCAGCGGCAGTAATCCCAGGCCTAGCCGTGGCGGCGGCGGCATCACTGCCGCCGCTGTCACCGCCGGCGCCGCCGTCCGCCGTGTCATTTGCCAACATTGGTTTGGGTCGACCCCATTCGGAGATGGGCGGTGCAGGGATTCGTGGGGGAGCTGCGCTCCAAGAGGCGGAGGGGAAGGGGCAGTGAAAGGTGTGCAACAGTGCAATGTCGCATGTGGGCTAGATTACAGGATGACAGGTGCAGGGTTATGCAAGTTATGGGAAAGGTTGCGGGGTTTGCAAGGCCTTGTTTATTACGGGTGTGCGAGGCTAGGGAAACTTAGGGTTCTCTGCGCTTTGCAGGCTGCAGGAGGAGAGCACCCCGCATGCGCCAAGAAGTAAACGGATAGGACGTGGATCATATCCAAATAGCAAGGAGTGGCGGAATCGTACATGCAAAAAGCAAGGGGTCAACGGCCGGCCGATACGTCCAAAGCACAGACTACGTGGCGTAGGAGAAGAACAACACGGGTCCGGCTGAAAGCTGTGACACGTAAGGAGCCGATCCAAGACCGGATGGTGGCAAATGAAACCTTGACCCAAAAGCTTATCCTTGTTCCCATCCTCCGCCTTGCGGTTCCGGGGCATTCTTGCTCGTCCACGGTGCAACGTTATCCAAACCTGGGAGGGTTCCGTACGCCGCCATTACTTACTCTTTGAATTTTTTGGTGGGCTTTCCCTGGGGGGATTCGCCGAGGGAAAGATGCGCTTGGCGGTCGTGTTGGCGGCCGACGGATTGCGTGACGGAATGGCAGGCGCCGTCGGCACTGAGGATGAAGGCCGTGATCCCGGCCTTGGGAGTGACGGCGGCGGTGACGAGGCTACTGGTCCTGCAGATGATGGCGGCGGCACCCTGGCCGGATAAGGCGACGTGGTCATGAAGTCCGATGGCTGCCGCAGCAGCTGTTGCTGCTGTTGTTGTTGTTGTTGTTCCTGCGTCCGCTGAGTCGTTTCAGCTGTGGTTGCCGACGGGGGCGACACCGGCGGCTTCACGTTGGCTTTGGCAGACGACTTGATGTGCTCCGCGGCAACATTGGACGATGGTGGCTTCAGCTGCGATGGTTGCTGTACCTCCATTTGCGTTGTCGGTAGCGCTGGCGACAGCGACACTGCCGCGTCACGGGATGGGGGAGGCAGTGGCGGCAGCGCCGACGACCGCGCGTCCTTCCCTGCCGGAGGTGCAACGGATACTGAGAGTGAGGCCGCCGGCGTGTCCGCTGCCGCAACAGGGCCAGCAGCGCCGTCAGTAGCAGTGGCAACCGTGGCATTATGGTCAACCTCTTCCGCAGTAGCAGCATCTGTCGCTGTCACCACTGATGGTGCAGCCATAGCGGAGGGCGAAGATGGCGCCGTTACGGCAAACTCCGACTCCAGCGGCGGCGGCGCCGCCGCAGTTCCTGAGACACCGTCGTTGCTAGCGCTGCCTGTGGTAACGGGAACAACCGCGCTGGGATCCCCAATCGAACCGGCGCCATTGCCGCCGTCAGCGCTACTGTCGTAATGCTGCGCCTCAGCCTCCGCCACCTCTGCCGGCCTGAGTTCCACCGACGTCAATATCCTGGACCAAACAGATAGCACTTCACTGCCACCTAAGCTGTTGATATCACCAACGACGGCACCGGCGCCGTCATTGGTCCCTCCGCTACTGCCGTTGCTGCTGCTGCTGCTGCTGCCGTCGGCCTTCAGAGCAGTTGATGGAGGCGGTACTGGCGCCACTGGCTCAGTGGGTGTAGGCTGTAGGGTCCGTGTGTCCAACGATGGAACCTGGACGTGCTCATCTGTGGGTACCGCCGCTTCAGCCTTCGCCTTCACCTTCGCCGTCTGCACCGCGGGGCCCGCAGCCGTCGACAGCGCCGGGGCCGTAACCGTCGCTGCATCTGTAGCTTCTGCAGCAACAGCGACTGCAGAGGGAGATACGTTGTCTGCTGCTTTTGCCCCGCCGCCAGCGCCAGCGCCGCCACCACCGGCGCCGCCACCGTCCACAACCGCAATCGCTGCCGCACAATCAGCAGGCGATGAGTTGGCCACCATCGGCACGACGCCGCCAAATTGCGCAGGCCAGCCTTTGCGGATGGGCGTCAGCGGCTGCAACGGCGGCATCACCGCCGGCGGCGCGGAGGCATCTGCCTGCCAGGGATCTGAAACTTCGACGGGTAGAAGCGGCAGCCGCTGATGCGTAGGCGAGTTGAGGCTTGCGCCGGTACGTGCGCCAGAGTTTGGGGCGTCGCTGTTACTGCTGCTGCTGCTGCTGCCGCCTATAGCCCCCGACTGGCTTGCGCCCTTTGATGTACCGATGATGGAAGCTGCTTCAGACGCGTCATGTTGCTGTTGCGACTGCTTTCGTGTTGTTTGGTGCTTTTGTCGGCGGTACTGCTTTAGCTCTTGCCCTGTTTGCGCTGTTTGGGCCAGGGATGACGGCGGCGTGGATTCGGAGGGTACTGGCATTTGCGTTGCCGGTGGGAAAGGCCGAGAGGGGTTCCCGTCCGTAGACTGCCCGCGGATGTCTGCTCCCTCAGCTGCAGAGACCGCTGCAGCGGCGGCAGAGGCCGTGGAAGACCGCCGGTCCCGCTCCTGCAGGCGTCGCGGGGTGTTTGCAGTTGAATGGTGTGAACAATTTTAATGTACAAAACGAGACGCGTCTAAACTTAATGGCGGCTCCGTGAAGACGCGTGGGTAGTGGGTAGATTAGCCTGCCCGCTTGCCCGGACCTTCGCCTGCCCGCCCACCAACCCCCACGGACACCGCAAGCCGCACTGCATTACTGGAAACATTTAATCACAGCATCCACACGAATCCTGTGCAGCGCATGACAGACCAACGCACACTCCCGCCTGCCATACCAGCCAAGGTATGCATGCATTATCATTGGCGGGCGGGCCCCTGCCAGCACCCTCTCACGTACCTTCAACGCATCCTGCAGCTGTTGCACCTGCGCCGCCAGTCTCTGCACCTCCGCCGCCGCCCCCACCGACTGCTGTGCGGCGCTAGCACGGGAGTCCTCAGCTGCACGCCGCAGAGCCGCCACTGCGGAGCGAGCTGCCAGCAACTCACGGCGGAGGGTCTCCAGCTCAGCAAGCTGCTGACGAACCTGCGGCAGTGTTGTCACTTGTTGGGCGGTAGCTCTCACAGTCGGCACGCGAGCCCATTGGCCAGCAGGCAGGATTGAAAATCCGGTATGAACGAAATCCACAAGCTAATGCGTCGATAACAGAAACAGGCATGGAAGTCAGGAGGTAAGGTCTTCGATAGCACCTTATTCCAGCCCCGGCCCTAGCACACCTGGCCCCCCGCAGCGTCTGCCTGCACTGCCAGCCTCTCCTTCTCCGCCACCGCCTCTTGCAGCGAGCGTGTGAAGGCGTCCAGCTGGCCCCTCCAGGAGCTCTCCATCAGCCGCATCTGCAGCGGAGAAGATGAGCGGGGGCGGTAGCAGGACGCGGAGGGGGTGAGAGGACAGGAAAGACGGGATGATCAGGAGGGAGAAAGGGAAGTGTGGGAGTGGTGAGGCGAGTGCCGTGCTTTGCCGGCAACATCCCTAAGGCAAGGAGCGGACGGGGGAAAAATGGCACAGCAACTGTCCGGAAAGCCACAAAAAAGCTCATGAAGAGCACAGTAGAGAGCCCATGAAGATCATGTAAAGACCAAGTGAGCATCACCAAGGAGAAAAGGGATCAGCTAAGTAATCAGTCGCACCCATCAGTCTCTCTTACCTCCAGCACATTCAAACGGCCGTGCGCCGCACCTTTACCAATAACATCCGCCGCCTGCCTCAAGTCATCACTGCTCAGTAAATATGCCTGCAGCACTTATCTTCTCTTGCTGGACTATCCGTCTATCTCTGGTATCTGCTTCATTCATGCCAGTGGTTCGTCTTATATCCCTCACCTCCCTGGTCTCCTGGGGCCCCCTGCCCCCACCGCACCGCTCCCCGCTCTGCTTCCGCACCTGCTGCGTCACTGCTTCCTGTACTGCCTTGAGCTCCCGCTGCTGGGCCTCACGATTCTCAGCCAGCCGGGCCTGGAGCTGGGACTGAAGGGGTGCAATAACATGCAAGCGTCCAGGGGCTTGGAGTGGGGGAGTGGGGGTAGGTGGGCACGTTAAGAGATGCGAGGACACGACATGGGGACGAGGGCTGGGGTGTGTGTCTGTTTGGATGTTGGCGTCCAATACAATACGCGGAAGGCATGGGTCGGGGCACAGGTACATCTTGGGAGACTCGCGGGGCTTGATGAGGTTTTCAAGCAGTGGATCGGCTCCAGCTCGGATCCAAAGACGAGGAGACACCTCGAGAACGGCGGAGGTTGGGTTACGGATGTGGTCCTTGGGAAGCCACCATTACCTGGGGCGTACGTTAAGAAGATGCTCTATTCCGGCAGCAGGGAGGGGTGAGCGTAGGAATGCGGGCGTGGGTACATGGACGCGTCCCGCAAGCTGATTGGGATCAACAGACACGAAGCATCCTCTATCCTGCCGGAGAGGACGGAATCACATACACGCACACCCGCACGCTCTACGTGGCATACACACCCAACACCCTCACCTGCAGCTGTTGTTCCCGGGCTGCTGCTTGCTGCAGCAGCTGCTGCTCCCTCTCCCGCACCAGCTGCCGCACCCGGGCCTGAACCGCCTGACGCAGCTGCAGCTGAACCGTCGCCTGACCGCCACCAGAACTGGCAGAAGCTGGGGCAGAGGCCTGCAAGACAAAACAGCACGGCCGCGGCAAAATGCGGTTTAAGGCGTGTCTTAACTTCCCCTGCACTGTACCCGGGCCGGGGTCAAACCGGGACCTCCGAAAAACCGGCCCATATGTGCTTGTTGGCCCTGTCCGCAAATCCCTCACCCCATCCCTCACCTGCTGCTGCATCATGCTTCGTTCCTGTCGCTCCTGCAGTTTTACGCGCTGCTCCATAAGGCCCCGCAGCTCCGCTTCACGGCCCTACATTGAACAAGGGCCGTGAGGGATGAATGCGTGCAGGGGTTCGGGATACACTCACACGACGCTCACAAGACACTCACACACACACACAAAGCAACACAACATACACTCCTCCATCCATCCCTGCTTCCTAATTAAACACTCCCGTCCGGCCGGCCGTGTTACCTTCACTTTTCGGCTGGTAGATGGTTTCCTAGGGCTTCCCAATCCTCTTCAGAACGTGCCATTATACGCACACACCGGCCTACCATAACAGATACCATAACAGACGCACAGCACAACCCTGACAGCCCCAGCACTTCCTTCCCCCAGCGCAGTCCAGCAAACACCATCACGCCCTTCCAATGAGGCACGCTTTCCTCGGGCATGCAGTCCCATGCGTAGGTGCCCCGCATGGACGCCCCCACAATGGGAGACCCACGGGCATACAGTCATAGTGCTCCCACCTGGAGCTCCCCCCGCACCGCCCTCTCCCTGCTCCTGGCGTCCGGACTCATCGCCAGTCGGTACAGCGAGCCCAGCTCCGAGGTGAGCGACTCCAGCTGCTGAGATGCAGCCCAGGAGCCCTGAAACGTGTGCGTGTGTGTACGTGTTATGCACGGCACGGGGCGGCCCCCGGCCGGGTAAGGTGGGGTAGAGTTGGGTGTGTAAGGATGCTGGCACAGAGACCGGAAAGAGGGAGGAAATGATATGTGGAGGGAATGTGGGTCGAGCGGGGAATTCAGAGAGAGCATAATCAGTACCACGCGCTGAAAACGTGCGACTACGCCCTCCCGCCACCCCGGCTGGGCTAGAGTACAAGTCAACTAACCGACCCACCAACCAGTCATGAACTTGATGCTGCATATTGAATCTCTCTATCCACATCATCTCCAATGGCACACCTGCTCGTCCTGGGCGGCCATACTTGTCTGCAGCGCCTTTCTGCACTGCGCCGCCGCAGCCTCCAGCTGCTGCGCCCTGGCCACCATTGCCGGCCCCAACCTCGCCACCGCCCCCGACTGCAGCTCGGACAACTCCACCGCCAAAGACTCCAACTGACGACGAAGAGCAGACTCGCGAGTGTCAAAACTGCGGAGCGCCGCCATTACACCTTGCTGCTGCTGCTGCTGTTGCCGCTGCGATTCGGTGGTGGTAGTGGTGGTGGTGGTGGCGCCTGCCGAACTGGGCTTGAACCTTTCTTCTCCTTCCCCACTTGCTGATGGCGATACTGCTCCTGTTACGCAGCGGCGGAGGTCCTCCTGGGGCGGGGAGAGGAGAGGAGAGGAGAGGAGGGGGAAATATGAGCTGGGCTAACGCAATATCAGCAACTGCCGGAGTCAATGGAGAGGAGGTACAGGTAACGTTTATAGCGGGTGGGCCGGGTGGTGGGCCGGGTGTGAAATCGGGTAAAAGCCTAGTTGGGTTATTGTTAACCCAACCCAAACCTTATCCACCAAACCAGCTGCTCCTGCTGGTTTTCCTGCTCACCACCAACAAGGACATCCCCATCAGCCCAATAGCCCACCCTTCTTGGCACCCTAACTTGTTAACCCTGGTAGTCGGCGATCGCATTCTTGTTAGGGTAAAGTCGGGGCTCACTCTTGTCTTTTTCATATTCTTTCCACCAGCCCCACTCGCCCAGCTCTCACCTCCAGCAGCGCCATCCACTCGTCACTGAGCACCCCATCCAGCTGCTCCTTCACCGCTGCCAGCTGAAACCTCGCGTCAAGAGCCTCCTGCCGAGCGGAACCCAGCTGCTGCTCCAAAGCGGAACGGAGCTCCGAAACCTCGGACACACGGCGGGCGGAAGCCTGCTCAGCGCGGAGCTTGGCGTCCTGAAGAAGTCGGAACGCACGCGAGTAATTGGTTCGAGAGGCAATCCGGTAATGGAGAAGAGGCGCAGGATAACACGGCGAAGGATAGATTCTTCGACTCGTGCATGAGGAAGTTAAGGTGACGAGGTTCCGGGGGCGCAGTGGTGGACGAAACATGAATATTTGTTACTTAGACGCTGCAGGAGAGCAACGACTAGAGCTCCTAAGTTAGGTTCTGAACGATAGCTTGTCGGCTCGCAATAGCATATTCATAAGCCGATTGCAGCTACAGTTCAGAACAACAGCAGCTGCAGGAGCAGCAGAGGGAGGGTGTGCAAAATCCAGGGCGAGATGCGGTCGAAATGCAGGAGGGAAGGGGCCGGGGCGGGATGGCAGCAGCAAGGGCGGCCACTGCAGGTAAAGCGCACCGTACCGCAACTCACACTCCACCCCATCGCACCTGCAGCTGCTGCCGCAGAGTCTCCGCTTCGGACCGCTGCTCTGCGAGCTCCCGCTCGCGCTCCGAGGCCGCACGCTCCGCTGCCGCCGCCGCCTGAGACGCAACAGCCAACTGCGCCGAGAGCTGCGCCACCTCCACACCGCGAACAGCCTCCAGCTCCTCCAGCTGAGGTGGGGGTAGAGTATGGTAGGAAGGAGGGTAGGTAGGTAGGTAGGCATGGGGGTTAGGGTAGGTAGCAAAAGGGATGGGTGTAGGGGTCGGGATGGAGGGGAGAAGACGAACCACGAACGAGTGAAAGAGGGGAGATAGGGTTGGCATAGAATGAGTGGGTTCGGTTGTGTAGATGGAAAAACTGTAAAGCCAACGCGCATGTCATTTGGTCAAGCAACCAAGCAGGGCAAAAGAACGCAGAGCGGTGTTGAGGGGGGAAGGACTTCGTACTGCGGTGAGTGATTTGGGGCGCGAGGCGATTGTGGTGCTTGTCAAGAGGGCCCCATTACCTCCTGGGTGAGCCGCTCCGTCTCCTGTGCCCCTCGTCTCTCCGCCTCCGCCAACTGTTTTCGGAGCTGCTGAAGCTCGGTCTCGCGACTCGCCAGTAGCTCGCCCAACTGCGGGTTTCAGAGCGAATGAACAGAGCGAATCCTTACATACGAAGCATGAAAATTAGGGTGAGGCAAGGGTGTAAAGGAGTTTGCCAGGAATGGGAGGCTATGGAGCTAAGGGTGGTAACTGGCAAGGTGGGTTAGAAGCACGAAAACATGGGGTTCGGCAAATGGCGGGAAAGCTCGTAGAACACATAACGCAAACCTAAGTATCAGCTCGTTTTCCCCATCACTCTCCTTACCAACTCGCACTACGCAGGCCGCCAGCCCATACAGTCAATCAACATAGCCATGTACACGTAACTCAGCACAATGCCATGCAGGGCGGCCAGTGTGCTCTGCCGATTTCTGCCAAACTCACAGTGCCTCACTCCCCGTGCTCCCAAGGCAAAGGTCCCCCAGTCCACCAGGTTTCCAGTCCCATACGACCACGTATAAAAATACCCAGACTACCTTCAGGGTCCACCCCGCAGGCCGCCGCAGCCGCAACCACCGTCTGAGAGCACCGTCTGACGGGTCACCAGAGGGATCTTCGTCCCTGCGGAATCCTCCCCCACCCCTGTCACTCTGTCACTCCATCCGACCTGGCAATCAGCTCCCACCTCCACCCCACCCGCCCACCTGTGCCGCCGCCGCCTTGCTCTGCTCCAGAACCTCCTGAAGCTCCGATTCTCCCTCGCGGAGGACAGCCAGCTGGGACTCACGCTCAGCGAGCTGGGCCTGAGAGGAGGAGATTCGGGTTGGGGTTGGGGCTAGAGCGATTAGAGATTACGCAAGCTGCTACAGCAGGAGAGACTTGTCGGCATGAGTGATATGCACACCTGCAGCCGAAGCAGCAGCAACAGCAGCAGTCATATCAGCGCAAGCAGCCCCGAGAGGGCCCGGATGAAGCGAAGGTAATTACAGAGGAAAGGGCTGGTCTGGATGATAAGCTGGAAAGGGCGGGGAAATGACCTTTTCCTGGCCCGTCTAACATTTTCTTGCTCTGTCACCTGCCGCCTGTGCATTGGAATTCGAAGTCCTAGTCCCCTGTTCGAAATCCTGTCCTCGCACCTGCAGCTTGGCGATGAGAAGCTGGTCTTCGTCCGCTGCGGCCTCCAGCTGTCGAGATCCATGGGGAAGTGGCAGGGCAGCAGCGTAGGGCAATGTGCAGGTTTGAGATACGCAAATGGATGGCGGAAGCGGCAGCAAGTGGGGCCGCGATGCCAAAGAGAGCGGGGAAGCAAACGAGAAGGGTGGATTAGCCACCACAGCAAAGGCGACAATACTGAAATACATTGCGTTTGCGTGTAGGACGAGCAGCAAAGAGGGCGAACATGGCAGAGTATACCATAGCAGAATCCTGGGATCCGGTCCAGAGCCTGTGTGCGCTCACAGTCGTGTGCGTGCGCCCACTGTGAAAGAATGGAACAGCTATAATCCTAGCACGTGCTGGCGCACAACATTTTTGACAACTCACGGGGTAGAAAGGCAAGTAAGGGTAGCAGGTGGCACTTAAAAATCCAGAACACCCACCGCCCGCATGCGTTCGCGCGCCTCCTCCGCCGCCCTGCCCGCCGAAGCTGCCTGCTCCCTCATATGCTCCTCAAGCTCCCCCACTCTCAGCGCCAAGGCCGCGTTCTGTTGCGCCAGTCGTACCACTCGGCTCTCCAGGTCAGCAGCACGCTGCAGTGCCTGTGCATGCAACGGGCGGAAACACACAGCGACAGCCTAAGGGCCAGCAAAGAAGCGGCCCCGAAGCGGCCGTATGCTATCCCTCAGCAACGTATGCCCGATACTGCGGGTATACGAGCGTGCTACTTTATGATGAACCGAGGCGCGTACGACTACCTTTCTATGATGCTGTGTAGCAGGTAGACGAAGGGTCTACTATCAGTGAGGTGGTGGCGGTGTTCGTTCATCTGTCTTGCCCCCGGTTCCACCCCCGCCCCGCTACCCGCCCCGCCACCATCCAATCCTCTAATTCCCGTATCCCCACCGCAAAGGCAATAAAAGGGTGTGTTCATTTGCATTTTACCTCACCAATCACCCGTTCAAATCCCTCTTGGGCCACTGGTGCCTCGTACGGGTTATGTTCCCTTCTTTGAAGCCCCGACCAGCCCCAATCCCAACCCCTCCCGCCCACCCACCACGGACAGCTTGGTCTGCGTCTCCAACAGCTCCGACCTCAGCCCCGTGATCCGCTGCTGCAGCTCCCGTCCCTCAGCATCTGACCTGGCCAGCTCCGCACGGCCGGATTCCACAGCGGCTGCAGAGCGGAGCATATCAGGGCAAGGCGGGGCGGGGCGGGGAGGAAAAACGAGGTGTGTCCGCCAGTGAAACCAGAAGGACGGACTATAACCGAGCAGGCCCTGTGTTGAGCAGGAGGGGTTGGGTTGGCCCCCCGCATGCCCCTCTTCCTCCCTGGGAGAATACTTTAGCAGTCTTCCCCTCTTCTCCCGAACAACCTTTGGCCGGTTGGGGGCAGTGCCAGGCCCGGTCGCATACAATGTAAACAATACATACACACATATAGAGACACTCGCGCGCACGAGTGCGGACATCCCACCTTCCAGCGCCGCATTTCGGTCCTCCTCGCAACGAAGCCTCTCCCTCAACGTCCCTACGATGACCTCTAACAGCTCCGCCTTGCGCCGGGACTCCTGGAAGAATTAACGCGGATGTAAATGGAAGTGGGATTGGTGCCAGAGAGCAATAGCGCCACGTGTAGGAACGCAAGGGGTAAAATTTCATCACGTCCTGCAGCATTCATCCCACAACATGCCGCGAAGCCACTCCATTACAAAATAGGCTGCACTTCCGTATCCGTGCACATCTACCTTCAGCTCCTCCCTGGCCCCATCCACTTGCGAGGCGGCCTCCTGCTGCACCCGCATCAACTCCCCTTCCAGTTCCTGTAACTCCCCTTCCAGCTGGGACTCCAGGTCCGCAGCCGCCTGGGGAAAGGCGGTGATAGGTTGGGGGTGATGCAGAGCTTGTGGTTGTAATGAAGACAGAGGAAAGTTAAAGAGTCCACCAGCGCACCAGCTTTGGCAGCCCAGCCACGTTCTTGGGCGCTGACCCATTATGGCTCCCAAAGGAATCGGTCTGACGAATCGCGCGGATCGTGAAGCCGCGCAACCTGTAGCTCCTGCGCGAATGGATGCGGGATGGGTGAGGTTCACCGAGGCATTACAGCCGTGGCGTGGCTGGACGGCTAGCGGGCGCTCCAGCATCCCGAGCTAAAAGGTTTTCTGCGTTTCAAAGGGATGTCATGACAAAATGCTGTGTAGAAAATAGAATGATCCAGCTTCACGCGAAAAAACTGGGCGCGCAAAGCATCACTCTGCATGTTTGGGCTGAATGCCTGATCATGCCCAGCAGGACTGAGCACAACTCTATGTGTATTTGGTTATAACAAAAATACATAACCGCTCAGCAAAAGGACATCCACCACCAACGCTTACCGGGTCGACGGGGCGCCAGGTCGAAGCGCATGTCTTGCAGCAACACGATAAAGCCTCGACTGTTTAAACATGACCTTTTTCCATATTACGGACGTAACGTGAAATCTGGCGCCTCCGAAGCGCAAAGCTCCCTCCCCCGTTCAGGCAGAAACCTCGCCTTAAGGAACCTAGATCAAGGGCAACCAATTGCTTCTGTGTTATGAGCAAGAAAACGTATACTTGAACGGACTGTACACGGGTCGTAACATTCGGGTTAAGGGGATTCCGCGGACGAGCAGCTGTGATTATGTCCGCGATGGTTACTTTTTCCTTTTTCTACGGACTTAATGGGCTTTGCTTTGTACGACTTGTAAAGAGGCTAGTTACGTTGGTAACTTACAGATTTCACAAGGAGTACACCGCATCAAAAGCTCCAGAAAGCCCCAGTCGCGATGGGATTGTAGTGCCAAGCTGACGAAACCTCAGCAAGGGAAAGAATCGCAAAAGCGCATGGCGCCGAGTCATAATGACCATTGATGCGGGCATCACGGTTCTCGAAACCACGCGCGAACCCATGTTTGCATGTGCTTGCCAACAGGCCCTAATGCGCCCACAGCCGAGCTTCATCCCGAGCTGCAGGTAACACAGGATCAATGCTCGATGGGGTCGGGAATGTATATCGACCATCAGCAAGGCTCTCATCCCTGTCGTACTCAAGCGGGGGAGTTCTTGAAACTTACCGGCCATAGTACCGTGTCGATATGTGACACAGGCACACATATACGCTCTGGCAGCCCAAAGATACCACATCGCGTTGGCAATATTACGTTGGCTTTTCTTACAGATGCACCTTGGTGCATTTCGGAAGGGGGTTACTGCCGCCATGCCTGGTCATGAGGGCGAAAAAATGAGGGCGAGTCACCGTCTAGTTAACTTTTACGGCGGCTCCCTAGGGTGGTCGTCTGTCGTTGGGGCCCCAGTCATCAATATCCGTGTCCAAAAGTATGGCCGACAATAAGGGCCCACACGCTTTTTTGTGTGTTTGCTCGCAGCAATTGCACAACAGCAATGATATCGGTGTGGTGATCCCCAAATACCTTGCCTGTCGCATTAGGATCGCCCAATTGCTTTCTGGTACAAGTCATGTACATCGCAACGAGGAACGAGATTACCCTGTCCGCGACGAAAGGACGTGAGGCACGTTAGGCGCCGTGCAAGACGGCTATCTATCATATATAATCTTAACCAGGCGGCGTGCGTGACACGCGCAGAAAGCACGTGACGCACCGCATTCACGCAATTGCACCATTGTGTGTCTATGCTTAAACACTGTAGATGCTTCGTTTACCACGTTGGGCAATAGCACTACCTTAGCTCCTCAAGGTCCGGTCCCCACGTGCGAACGATGGCATGGACGGAACTGGGCATTTTAAAACGTTATCTAAAGCGTCAGGAGACCTTTTCATCAAATGCCGCTGCTCGCCCGCCTTCTTTATTCCAACGGCTTAGCCATCCCGAGGTGAAAATCAGAACGCCGAACCCGGCGATTTACCGCGACCCCATGCCAACAGCCCGGCCCCTATGCCAGTGACTACGCCGGTGACGAGACCAAGCTCCACATGACTACTGCAGATGTTTATATTATCTTCACAGTCTCCGCCTATCTAAATTGTGAGACAAGCTTTCCCTGCCAGTCAATGCCTTGCCTTTCAACGCGGACCTTCTCTCCTGCATGACCAAAAGGTCATCGCCGGCGACCCCGCGGAATTACAACAAGTAAGTTTGCGATCGTGCAGGCATTTCCATAGCAGCAGGCAATGACCCCCAAGCCTCAAGTTTCTTTGGAAAGCGGCTTAATGCTTCAAAAAGGAATCTTCACCGAATTCGTTAGGAGTTAGCTCGACAAAACGGCTTATAACCGCATCGCTCACGGGGCACCAGCAAGCTCACCACCGAGTTTATGGTACGGAATGCAATTTCTGGGCGTCAACTGCTAATATTGTATCAAAATCTAGCCATGCTTCAGCCGCTCCGGGTGATAAACTTAGCATCCTCCTTGACTCCTTACTTGACAGGAATCAAATTGCAGGACTCGGTAGCCGAGGAGCGTAGGCAAGGCCTCGTTGGGGATACACTTATCCTCCTGCAGGTATCATTAGCCGAGTAATAAACGGCAGCTCGCACCTCACACCAACATCTGCGATGCCGACTGCATGTGCAGCATTATCCAGTATATACTCTCGGGAAGCGAGGCAAGGAATCAGACTTCCGGACGTCTCGGAAGGTGAATGGTATTTCTAAAGCTACAGCGTGATGCAAGGTCGCATCCAGCGGTTTTACATCGCCCTTGACTCCCACTTTAACAGGAGATTGAAGCTACTGGTGCCGAGATTTGCTCGGTTCCGCGGGGCGGCGAGGTAACTTTCCACGGGCCCGGGCAACTCGTGGCATATCCCATCGTGGGCGTGCGGCAGGCAGGTCTGGGCGCTCGCGCCTACGTGGAAGGATTAGAAGACAGCATAATTGATTGCTTAGCAAAGTACGGCATCACCGCTCGTGGCCGGGTTCCTGGCGCAACGGGGGTATGGGTGGCCGAGCGGAAGATCGCGGCAATAGGAGTCCGCATCTCGCAGGGCGTAAGGTGAGCATATCTCTGGGTCCGAAGCAGGCAGGAAGGATGTGGATCCCACTTGACGTACGGGGCCCAACAGCTGCCTCTTCTCGTCCATGTAAAGATGCACACGAGATCGGTTTCGGAGCCTCTGAACGAACTGTTTCTCCAAAACGTGTCGACTCTTCAGCCGTTCTTGCAGCACTTAACGGGCTACCCCTCAAAACGTGTACAGTACTACCAGGAGTAGAAAGTTCCCAGTGCTGTAGTCCTCCCCTATTGTGCTCCGGGAGCGGCAGGCGTGGCAACATATATGACCATCCGTCCTATGGAAGGTCCTGCTTCCAAAGATAGCGCCCTTATTCGCGTCTCTCTGCAATTCACACAATCCGCAACGTCAAGCCGGGTTTTAGCTGCGCCTTAAAGCTGTCTTCCCTGGCCACGGTAGCCTTCAACACCCTGCGACAGGAAACACGCCCTTCCACTCCGCAGTCATCTCCTTCCGTTCGTCCTTCCTCTTGGGCCCCCCCGTAGCTCACACGGCCTAGCGCTCAATGTTGACACGGATCTGTCGTACTTTCATCACATCGTACCGTGCGGCATTGCTGACAAGGAGGTCACCTCCATTCGGAAGGAGCTGGAGTCGGTCGGCCGAGACGGGACGGCGAGGATGCAGCAATGGACAAATGCTTGTCCAGATGGGGTTCGTGGTGGGGACCTAGGAGGAAGACGCGGCCCTAGCCTGGACTTGATGCAGGTCGCGGACGACTTTACAAAGGCATTTCGGAGCCGGTTGGGCTTTCCACCTGGCTGAGTTTGGTTGAGCTTTGCGGGCTGTGCGGATTGAGAAGATGGGACGAGACACGGCGCATTTAGGGCTGGAAGTAAGCCCTCAGGTGTGGGCCCCCGGAAGATGGAGGCGGTGGATGCGTGTAGGAGTGTCGGAAGGGGGAATAGTGCTGTGCAGGTGGGGAGCCTGTGAGTGCGGCTGGAGTAAAGCGTCGACACCAGTACTGGAGCCATCCATGCTCGATATCCCCGTCATCGGTGCATGGTATTCATGGGTTATCTTTTTTCCATATGATCCACCTTTACCACTAATACGAATAGAATTTTGTTGTGTATCTATCTCTGTTAGGGCTGTAATGTGGTCTTGCCCGGTACTGGTATCGGCGAGGAGTGGGGGCTGGAGTGTGACTTAGGGATGCGACTTGGAGCTCCGGGGCACTGCGAGACGCGCTGCTGTCGTGCTGCGCGGCGCTGCGGACGCAATGCGGAGGAGGGAAGTGGGTACCCGGTGCGAGCAGTTGCAGCTCTTATTCCCACCTGTGAGCAGGGAACACCACGCCGAGCGAAAGAACCGCATGAGGGAGGTGAATAGCTCTCCGGCACTGACTGGTCCGCTGATCCCGATCGGAGATTGCCCTTTTTTGGCTATGCGTTCACGGAGTCATTCGGAGTCATATGAGGGTAAGCGTGGCAGTAGTCGGCGTGAGCATATTCCTCAGAAGCTTGCCGAAAAAGGCTGGTGCCTTCAGCAGCAATACAAAGCTTCCATCGTTTTGCTAGAGATCACTTCCGACATGGAACAGCCGTCTGGCTGCCAACCAGGTACACCACGTAAACAACACCCACCTAGGATTGGAGTACTCACAAGCTCAATCGACACCTCCCTCCAGCCCTAAACTCGCATCCCGGCCTTCCCCTGCCCCAAACACCGCAGATGCAAGCTCGCAAACCGGCCTCGCAGGCAGCCCGTTGACAGTCTGCCGATAGTCTGCACCGGCGCCAAAGCCCATCCGTTCGTCCGTCCATATCGTCCATAGTTGTTAGTAAAGCAGTAGCTATTTTACCGTTTTTGTAAACTCAATGCTCATCAAGTCGCGCTGTGTACACAAGTATAGCGATCCACGCGGTTTCAAAGTCCTATAGAAAACTGCGAGGCGGGCTCAAGGCGTCCGCCCGGTAACAAAACCTAAATCGCCCGGCAATCCCACGCAGCGACCGTAGCCGTGGCGCCGTTCTCAGGCGGCGGCCACGCTCGGGTAGAGCTGCACGTGGAACTGACCGGCGGCAGGAATGAGGCACCGGCTGCGCCGGCTTGCCACACGACGAGAAATTTACGATGTACTTAAGACAGGCTATGTATGCAAGCATGCTCGCGCCAGTGTCATTGGTTGGGGCCCAAAGGCCAAGGGTCTTGCATGCATCTCACTCCCCGCCCGTTTAATTGCTTGCGGTTCGTCATCGTCTCCGGGCCGATGATGTATGCTCACTGACTCTCCTCCACATGCGTCCATGCGCCCCATGTGCACAGTGTCTTTAACGCAGCACACATAACCCAGCCCCAAGATGCTACCATGCGAGGGAGACTGACCTGACTAACGACCTGTCATGGACTAGCGCTAACGCACATGTGGGGGTAGAGCTCCAACTGCTAGTTCCTAACTGTGCACAGGAAACAGCAACCCACTTGGTATAATGTACCCCCACGGTACACGCTAGCACAAGCAGCCGCAGTAAGCTCTGGACGGAAGGGCCATCAGCCATCCCTTCCAAAGCCGACCGACCCACGGCTCACACATCTAAAGCGATGTGGAGCGCGTGAAGAGGGTTTTGCCGCATAAACCTCCAGACGACGTGCTTTAGGATGCGCGATGCAGTTCAAGTAACCTAAGCAACCTAAACCATTCGTACCATTTGCAGCACCATCGTCACCATCAACGTCAACAAAACATGTTTGCGTGCAGCACAATTGCGGAGCTTTACAGAGTTCTAACCGTCACCATCACCGCAGCCCATACCCGGCCCCGGGACAAAGGTTGTTGCGCTCCTCCCCGTACCCCCACCCCGTCTGAGCTCACCCCGTCCCTCTATTATGTGCGGCAACGGCCCCTCATCTATGTGTCACTATATAGAGCTGCGTCTCACTCAAGGCATGTTATATGTCAGCGCAACTAAGATAAGAGTAAACCAGGCAAACCAGCCACGTCCCAAAGCGCATGATTGGCCACAGCCAAAGCCACAGCAGCCGTCAACAGTTATCAATCAGTTCCCATACGGCTTTGCCAGGGCGGTCCGCCGCCATCCTGCTCAGCCCGTCCCCCAGCAGTCCTCGAGGACGTGGCCCAGATGTTGACCCCACAATACATCAATCGCAACACAACGCAACGCGAGAACTACCTCCTCCTGCAATCAGTCCTGTGCTTCATTGGCCCTTCACTCCGTTACTCAGCCGCCCAGCCAGCCAGCCAGCCAGCCAGGCAGGTTACAGAAGTCCAGTCAGTGAGGCAATCAACGAGGCAGTAAGCTAAGCCCGTGACCTCGGTTCCCTACCCGTCCTCCTCCGCCTCCTTGGACCCCTCCTCGCCCGACCCGCTGCTCCTGTTGCCCCGCTGCGCCTGTGGCCGCGCCGCTCGGCTGCGTGCCCTTTGCAATGACCGCATGCGAGCCTCGAAAGATTCCAGCTCCTGCGATGTGTGACAGGTCGCGGGCAAGACGGTGTAGGCCAGGTGTAAGGCTAGGCAACATGGTAAGAAAAATGACGGTAAGGGGTCGGGGAGAGGGAGGCCGAAGCTGCAAGTTGATAATTAGCAGGTAGCAACACAAACATAAATCAGGTTTGTGGCATGTTTTTGAGGATATGGGGGAACCTAAAACAATGCAGATTCGAGTCAAGCATCCCCCCATCGAACACACATGCGCACGCAAGCCGTGCAAACCGTACCTGTAACTCCCCCACCATGGCCACCTGCGTGCGCTCCTCCTCCACACGCGCCTTGGCCGCTGCCAACGCTGCGACCCTCGCTGCCGGCGTCTCCAGCGCCTCCGCCGCCATGCGCTCGTGCACGTTGACGTACGTCTTCTTGGGCAGCGGAATGTAGGTCCGACGCTGCATGCTAAGGCTCAGCTGCAGCTGGGTGCTGCTAGCGCCGCCGAGGCTGCGTTCGTACAGCCCCCCGCTGTGCGACGCCACCCCTGCCGTGGCAGGCCGTAACCGCCCGCTAGAGCCGTACAACGCCGCAGCACCGGACGCGCTGAGCGCGCTGCGTACGGCTTCCGACGTGTAAAAGCGTTCCGCCGGGTCGCGGTAGGACGGGTGGCCGCCGGCGCTGGCTGCACGTGCCGAGCTCGTCGGCGACACGGCGCCGGCGGCGTCCCCCTCCGTAACGCCGTGCGCATCCTCCGCCGCCGCGACGGCCCCCAGGTCAGCATAGGCGCTGCGCGGCCGTATGCCGCTGCGCGCGTAGCGGGCTGCTTGCTCAAGTCGTTGGCGTCGGAACATTTCCCGCTGCTGCTCCGCCCACAGGTTGTGCCTCGCCTGCTCCCGCTGTCGCTCCGCGGCCTTGCCGGCCTCGTGCTGGGCCTGCACATGCTCCATGATGGCCATATGGCGGGCCACCTCCTTGGGGTCGTTCTCAAAGTAACTGCAGATTGCGCGGCACACAGACGCGGACGGGAAGGTGGGAGCAGACGGAAGGAGGTCAAGAAAGCAGGCAGTGTAGCGCGGGAGCAACATGGGCCGCCCCGCCGCCCGTCAGAACACACAGAGGAAGAGGGGCCAGGACAGGTGCATGTCCGTCCTACCCGCACGCACCATGTACCCCACCTTCCCCATGCCACAGGTCATCAGGGTTGTAGGTTTATTAATTCATATGAGAGCCAACGGCTCATTCGACTTCCTGCCATTTTGCATTCACCCGCTGTCCGACCACACCATCCTCCTACTCCAGCCCTTTGGCCTGCCATCCGATATCACCTTTGCCCCACTGCCTGTGCTTGCCTTAGCCGCCTCAGGCCTGAACCTCCTCCCCTTGAACCTCCTCCCTCCCTCCCTTTCATCGCCCTTCCTGCCAATAATCCACACTCCCATGCCTCCTCCCCGCCAGCGAACAGCAGCCCCAAAAATTTCCACCACTCCTACTCGCCACGCGAAACCCGCACAACGCCTCCCACGCGAATCTCCCGTGACGGCATGAGTTGAGCGTTGAGCGCGAATTTAGCCGGCATCGTATTATTAAGAATCGCCTGACGAACCGGCTAAAGCTGGAAACGGTTGATTCACTACTTCGTGTGGGGATGTTGGGACCTGCTGCTGATACCGGAGCGAAGCCACTGATTGATCAGGCTGCTGAGATCTACTCGCGTAAGGGCTATACAGGCATTATTCACAAGTTGTTTTCTGACGTTAGCAAAATTAATTTGAAGCCATACGGAGAGGATGATAATGAGGAGGTTGCGACTGACCCAGAGATTGAAGTACTGGTACAAGCAACATACCCCGCTAGTGACCATGAGGCTTTTAGTGACAGTGACTACGAGACCGACGTAGAACGAGATACCGATGAGTCGTGCGTGGATGAGGATTTTGATGATGATGAGGAGGAGGAGGACGAGAAAGAGGAGCAGAAGGGAGGGGCGGCCGCGGCGGCCAAGGCGCTTGGCTTTCACTGAGTGTGCCGTGTCCCCGAGTGTAATGGTTCACGAGAAAATAACGAAAATAACGATTTACAGGGCAAAAAAATGCAAAGCGTCACTTTCCACAGCGTTTCAGCCAAGGACAGTGCCCCCGTAAAGGTTTTGCGGGGGTTACGGCCGTAAGTTTTTCGGCCGGTACAGGAGCCTGGTACGGGGGCCCCTCCGTAAGGAAAATTTGGGAGGTACGGGGGAGCCCGCAAGTTTCAGGAAGGTCAGTGTCGAACCCTGCTCCCGTCCCACTGCAACCTCGTATACCGCACCTCACTCCGCAGTCCTACCTTATCGCAGCCCACTTGCTGGCGCTGGGCACATCCTGCGGCCGCACCGTCCGGCTGGACGACACGAAATTGTGCGTGTGCTGCACACCGCCAGTCTCCCAGGCGCGTGTAGCGCCTACGGATACGGGGTCCGAGGAGATGAGGGAAAAGCCGCTGAGGCTGGTTGCTGCTCCGCTGGCGCTCCCTCCGCTGGCACTTGCTCCGCTGGACTCCTCGCCCATACTGCGGCTGGAGCCCAGTCGGCGACGCGCCGTGACGCTGAGGCTGGCAGGCTGCTGGGATGCTTGAGGTAGGCGATGAAGGCCGACGCGGGAGTGGCCCGTGCATCTGCGCGGGAGGACGGGAAGAGGAGGAGAAGGGTGGTAGAGATGATGGGTGATAGGGGAAGGAAAATGAAAGTCGGAAGCGGGCGAGAGTGGGGATGGGAAGTTGGGAGTGTGGAGCGGGACAGGAGGGGACGCCGTCGGAATGCGCGTCTGAGGTCGGTGCTGGGGATCTTCCTTGATGGTTAAGAGTTTTGCTTGAAAGGGATGGGGATAGGGATGGCGGGCGAGTGCTGCAGAGGTTGATATGGGGGAAAACGGACGAGCAGTGGCCTTGTAAGTTGCACCCCGGCCCGACTCACAGGAAATGCCCAACGCCACCACGGCCAAAAGCATGGCTTGGAAAGAGCATCGTGGGGTCTTGCGTGTGCTTAACCGTCAATAGGTCGGACTGAAGGGCACTTGGTGGCGGGTCCATTGTTCGCGAGGTTGCACCCCGAGGCTCCAAGCCCTGGGTCACAAATGCATAGACACAGAAACGTGAGGTACACTCAGCCCGCGTAAGGTACGCCTTCACAACACCGCGGCCCGCACATCACTACATCAATCCCTGTCAGAGCGGAGACCTAGACCACACGTCCCAGAATCACTATGCACCGCGAACCCACTTACCCCAGACAAAATTGCAATTCAATTGTCCTCGCGTGCTGTGAGGTAGGCCGGGTTCGCTGAACTCAGCGCGTTTCACCAAGTGCCTTGGTTATACATGGACTATAACAAAGGCGAGGCTGATTCAGCATAACTACGATAAAATATCCAGGGTATGTCAAGAAAACACCAAAACAGGGGCGGAAGTGAGAGAAAGAGAAAGAGAGTATCACAGAAAGCGTGACAGGCCCCGTCGATAGCGCCAGCTAAAATTCCAGTAAGAATGGAGATGTTTACATTGTAGAGCTGACCTGCTGTTGGGTCCGAAGGATCGAAGGGTACGGCATCCTGTGTTTCTCTGTGCTCCCATCGCTTGTACAGGCATGGATGTTATCATACACCACAGGTTAGCTCTTCAATCACTAACGAGGTGCTTGATGGTTTTTCGGACGCTGTTTATTAGGGAATGCCAACTGTACTTGGGCCGCGCCCTTAGCTCTACAATGAAAGTGTTTTTAGAGCACAACTGCTGCTCATAACTGTCGGAATTGATGCACTTGCTTAAATCGGTTGTCTGTGGCAGCCCGTCTATCCAAGCACGCGTGACGCCGGCCTCATAATATAGTGGCCATGATGGGTTCTCCCTTGATAGAGGACTTTTCGGATGCAGCAGCTTTCGTCCAAGAGGTGAGGTTTTCCTCAGAGGTTACGAGCGACATTGCATCGGCCTTCGACTGCTTCACTATGGCTAGCCAGCATGATCTTACAGCTTTGATATTTATATGCCATGTGCTGCGGGAAAGCGACCGCGGCTTCTGGAGTGCCGTTAGCGTGGAGCTATGTCAGGAAACTGGCAGTATAACGCGCTGGGGGAGGTTTTGGTTCCGCAAAAATAGCAAGCAGTGGTTGGCAAATATTTCCACGAGCGTAGCACAGCAGGGTCACGGACGATTCTCGCTTTGGGCGTTGCGGCAGTGCAAGTCGCCATAAACCACGTTGCCTCCGCTTGAAACCATGTCCTCCGTGCAGGACACCTCCTATACTGAACAGAATGCCAGCGAAGACGAGGTGGAGCGCAAGATTGCTGAAGAACACGCCAAATTTAAAGAGGCATATGCAAAGCGCCAGGAAGAGGCAAGCAGAGGGGGCAACAGTCTCCGGGAACCGGGCGCGGCAGCGGTGCCTCCCACCTGGCGCTCTCCAGCGCTGCCATTTGAACCCGTCTGGGATATTATCTCCTAGGAGGGCCAAAGCAGCTGAGGTCTGGTCCGGCATCTGGGTTTGCGCTGGAATGATCGGCCATGTACCGGCCGCCAGCTTTAGTGTCTGCTGCAGGCCCCATAATACCGCAGACACACCAGCGGGTGTCATATACAACAATAATTTATTTATAAACTTTCGATTCCTTGGCGCTCCGAGGCCTGCTCTCCAGCAGCTCCTCCTTAAAAACACACCTCGCCCACTACCAACGGTCGGCACAATCATCCGCTGTGCGTCCGCCGCCGATTTTCCTCCACCCATCATTCTTGTTACTTTTCGTTCCTTTCAGTCTTTTTATTCAGACACACCCAACCTCACCCATGCACAATAAACAACCGCCTCAAGTAGCGACAATGACAACCGTCAGCCGAATCACCAAACCGAATCAACAACTGATGCTCACCTGGTGTGCTCCTCCCTAGGGGGGTTATTGGTGCTTCATAAAGGCTTCATCGTGTGAGGATGCGGGCTCGGATGGCCTCGGTGGCCTCGGCACCTACCGATGCCATCGTATTCGCCATGATGACTACCTCCCCCCCCTCTCCCCTCGCCCCCCTCTCGGGTTGCAACCCCCCAACACCGAATTCCTAGGTCCGTGCCAGCCGGCCCTGGTCAGCGCCACCTGTGGAGTCTCCTCGACCCGCACAGCAAAAGGAGCGGGAGAGGGAACGAAAGGCACGCGGCTCCAACAGTGATGGTGGGTGCAAAGCGCAAAGGGAACAGCAAGCGCCTAACGACGACCCTGCGTCTGTCGTTTCCTTTCCAGCTGTGTATGTGTTCTTTATGTGTGTTGGGGGGGGGAAAGGGGTATTGGGCGGCAAAGAGAGAGATCTGCAGCTGCAGTGGGGCCCCCGAGGTGCAGGACAGCAGAGCCCCTGACGCTGGAAGAGCCCTCCCGCGCTTTCCCACTTCCACGTGCAGTGGATCTGGATGGCCCCCGCTCCGAGTACGAGCCACCCGTACGGCCGTACCTGCTGCAAGCACAGGCCTCGGGGAACAACTTGTCGTACCTCTCCCGCCCGCAGTCTGCCGAGCACCGACCAGGTGGGTTGCCCCCTCTGCGTGGCGCCCGCGGCCCGGGCTGGACTGCTTCTGAGTGCTGCAGAGCCCCTGAATGTGTGTGTGTGTGTCTGTGTGTGTGTGTTGAAGGCCCCGCGTTGTGCCGATCCTAGGGCTCTGTGGAGATGGTGGTGGATGTGGTGGTGATGGTGGTGATGGTGGTACTGTCGCTGCATGCGGTATCATGCTCACCACCACCACTACACCATCCGCTGGAGGGAGCACGTGCGACCGTTGTCCCTCGCATCGCCGTTGCCCCCTTGCCGTGCGCCCTGATGCTGTTTTCGACTGATAATGACTGACAGTGACTGATAGTGATTGCTACTGCTGTCTCATGCCATCTTGCATGGCGCCCCCTTGGCTGCTGTCGCAGCTGTAGTCGCCCGCAGCATCAATGGCCACCAGCCCAACCGCGTCTCCCTGTCCGGCATCGAGGAGGAGGCGGGCGAGGGCTCTACCTGGGACTCGCGCCAGGCGTCGGAAATGGGCCGCCTGAGGGGCACCTGGGGGGACGGCGCGTCCCCTTACTTGAGTGGTGCACGCGACGACGATGACACCGGCCGCGACCCGTTTGTCAGTATGTTGCCGAAGGTGGAGACTTTGATGGAGGAAGATGAAGGCGAGCTTCCGGATCGAGATGGGACCATTCCTGAGGAAGACGAGGAGGCGGTCGAGGAGGAGGAGGGGGATGAGGAGCGAGGGGGTAGCAAGGCAGAAGGGCTGGGGGGGAGGGGAGGTGGGAAGGAGCAGGGGTTGCGGAAGGAAGGGGCGGAAGGGCCGGGTGATCCCGTGGTCGATTCTCGATGGGTTGCGGAGCCGAGCGCGGAGGAGGTGGTTGAGGATGAGGATGAGGTGGGCAGCACCGGCGCCGGCGGCGGTCTCGAGAGTGGCGATGCGGAGGAAAGGTCTCCGCGCCGGCGGCAGCAGCAGCAGCAGCAGCTACAACCTCGTGCAGCATCACAGGATGGAAGAGGCAGCAGCGGTGTGGCCAGTGGTCCAATTGCTACCTACGGGAATCATCAAGGGGACGAGGAGCGAGATGCTCCGGTTCGCGAGGATGGAGAGGAGGAGGAGGAGGCGCAGGAAGGCTGGCGGCGGCAGCGGCGAGAATCCCAGACTATGGAAGAGGCCGTGTTGTCGGCTCGAGGTGCCCCATCGGTGGGAGCGTCGTCGGCGGTGTCGCACGCCCTGGCCATGCGCGGATTCGTCGAGCCGTTAAAGTACGACGGGTCGTTTAGCGGCGGCAGCGCCGGCCGGCGCTCGCCGGCAGCGGGCCGGATGGCGTCCAGGACGCGCGACGGGGACGAGGAGGAGAATGAGTACGCGGAGGACAGCTTTGAGGAGGATGAGGAGCTAGAAGAGCAAGACCGTGACGGTGATGGCGAAGCGCAGGGGCATGAGGGCCGAGAGCAGATGGACGCCGCACCGTCTCTGGAACCATTGCTGTCACCGTCTGGCGAGGGCTCCTTGCTGCGCGCTTCACCGTCGGCCTCCAAGGCGCTTCTGTCGTCGTCGATGCGCTCCAGGGCGGGGTCGGCGGTGCTGGCGCCCTTGTCGAAGGAGTCGTCGCGGTCGATTTCTGTTACGTCGCCGGTGCCCTTCCACGCACCGCTACAACCGCTGTCAGGGCATCAGAGCGTAGCCGCAGAGGCAGGGAACGACAGCCCCGAGGGCGCTCCACTGCCGTCACCGTCTGCAACGGCACCGCCGTCCTTGCCGCCCATCTTTAGGGTTACGGGTAGCGGAGCCGCTGACACGGCGTCCGTCGCAGAACAGCTATCTGGGCGCGCGCCGCTAGCGGCCAGCAACAGCCACCGCAGCATCAGCAGCAACGGCTCCGTCATTCCCACGCCTTCGGCGCTAGCTCCGCTGCCGGCGCCGCAACCAGCGCTGTCGGAGCTACAGCCGTCACAGCAGTTTGCGCTACAGCTGCTCAAACACGATATTGAGGTGTTGCCGCAGCATCATCGCGCGGCGGCGGAGGCAGCGGCGGCGCGGCGGAAGTCGTCGACGGTGCGTCCCGCTGGCGCCAGCCTGGCGGCGTTTGGCTACCTGGGCTACCACCTGGTGAGCGAGAAGCTGACGGCGCCGTCGGGGCCTGCCTTTAGGAGCGTCTCACCGGGCCGGGGGACTTCCCCTGGACGCGGCGATGGCGGCCTGAACGGCAGCCCGTCCCTGATAGCAACGCGCACCTCGGGCCCCATGGAGACGGCAGCGTCAGCGCGCAGTGGCGGCAGGCCCACGTCTGCGCCGCACATGCGCCCTTCCTCGGGAGTCGTGGGTCCAGAGACCAAAGCCGCCAAAGGCGATGAAGGCAGCTGCAGTGTTGGTGATGGCGGTGCTGCTGCTGCTGCAGCAGCGACGGCGGCGGTCGAGGGAGGAGGAGCAGGGGCGCCGTCGGGTTCGGGCTTTGTGGATATGGCGCGGGAGATGCGGGCGGGACGTCTGCTGCCGCCGGTCGTAGTGCCGTCGACGACACCTCGAGGCGGCGGAGGCGGCAACGACGAGGGCCCCGCGGTGCCGAGCGAGAACTCCGTGTCCGTGATGGGGGAGAGCGCGATCAACGAGGCCGTGTCACAGAGCCGCATGAAGTTCGACGTCTGGCTGGACGCGCTGAGCGGTGGGGGCCCTGCAGCAGCGGGTGCCGCCGGCCCGTCGTCCAACCTAAGTGTGAGCGGAGGGGAGACGGAACGGTCCGCGAACCGCGGTGACGCCGCTGCCGCCGCCGCCGCCGGTCATCGGCCGCCGCGGCCCATGACTGCACCCGCCAGCGGCCGCCGGCGGCCTGTCTCAGCACGTCCTGCCGGTAACGCCGCCGGAATATACATGCCGGCGCCAGCGGTGGTCACCGTTCCCAAGCCGCTTGTCAGACCCATGTCCGCCCAGCCGCACCACGTAAGGCCCACATCCGCCTCGATGAGCCGCGGCGGCGGCGGCGGCGGCATCGGTGCCAACTTCGATGGCAGCTTTGAGCCGCCCATTCCCCTGACGTTTCAGCCTCCGGACGCCGCCTCCGCCGCCGGCGGCACCGCCGCCGTCGAGGTGGGCGGTGTCACGGTTAGCGTTTACGTGGCCGATACGCTGAAGCGTATCGTTGAGGCGAATCGCTGGCTGCAACAGCTCGGCCTGGCGACCAAGCGATACCGTCTGAAGGACCGCTTCTCCAACATGACGATCCAGATGGTGGAGGAGTTGCCACCGCTGCCGTCGGAGCTGGCGTTTGGAGGAGGGAATGACGGCGGCGCGGCAGCCGTTATAAAGGAACTGACGTTGAAGCAGTTTCTGTCGGGTCACTCCAAGTTGAAGCATCAGGCAAGAAAACTGCGCAACGCCGCCGCCGCCGCCGCGGCGCAACAGCAGCCGCCGGTCGGGAGTCTCGCCAACGGTGCCGTGTACGGCATACCTGAGTTCGGCAGCGGGCGGCCTAGCAGGCCCATATCGGCGTCGTTTGCAAGCGTCTCGGGGGCAGGGGCCCTGACAACCCCACGGGCACGGCCGTCATCCGCGATGCCGTATAACGGCGGCCGTACGACGTCTGGCAGCGCCGGCGGCGCGGACCCACTGGTGTACGGTGCTGGTAGCTTGGCTGGTACCGGGGGAGGCGGCGCGGCGGCGCAAGCGGGTTTTCAGACGGGACGTCGTGTACGGCCGAGCAGCGCCAATCCCTCATATGGCAGGACTTCGGCGTTCGGTCCGTACAACTCGGGCTCATCGCCGCCTGCTGCTCCGAGCAGCCCCTTCATGCACAGCGCCTACGCGGCCCACGCCGCCGCCGCAGTTATCGTACCTACCACAACCAAGCCCCCCGTCAGCGGCGGTGCCACCGCCGCCGCCGCTGGCGGAGCTGCCACCGCTGGCTTCCCACAACCCCGTGCCGCCTGGGGCGCTACTACTACCGCTAACCCCAGCGGCAGTGGCTACCCTTCTTACCAAGGGCATCCCGCCACAAGCGGCCGCAGTAGCGGCGTCAGCGCCGGCAACGGCCTGCCGTACATGCACCGCTCGACAGCACCTCGGAGCCCCGCGGCGACGGGTTCCGATCCTGACCACACGCACACGAACATAAACGACGACAATGACTCGGAGCAGGCCCTGGTGGTTGAGCCGGACGAGCAAGGTGACGTGTCGCGTGCCCTACGACAGCAGCTAGGCAGCGCCTCAGACTACTGCCAAGCCCGCCGTCAGGAGATTGCGCGGCTCCGTACGCTGCCCTTGGCGTAAGAGGGGGAAGCTCGGCACGGCACGGGATGTCATGGCATGGAGTTGGACCATGCGACCGGGCGGAAGGAAGGAAGCATGTGGCTAGCTTCTCAGGGTGAAGTCCTTACACGCCGGCAGCCGTGCACGCCGTGGGTCCCCGACGGTCAGCCGCCTCCGCTAGCAGGGACGAGTTCACTGAGGCTGGAACCTAAGTCGGAACTCAACTGGTTGGCTGGCTGGCTGGCAGAATGCCGTTAGCGACCGTTAAGTACCGTTAAGCCGTGGAGGTCTCTCTTGGGAGAGAGGAAGGCGGGCCGATGTTGTGAAGACCGCGGATGGCGTTGGTGATGTTGATATGTGCTCTTTGGCGCCGAGCTGTGAAGTGGTGTAGCAGCGACGGGTAGTCCTGTGCTAGGTGAGGCTTGGAGGCTTGGGGGCCTTGGGGCGCACACGGAGGCGATCATAGTGGCGGTCACGGAGGCGGTTTTGCGCAAGGTCGGCGGTGGCGCTTCTCCCGTCGATATTTTCCGGGCGGCGGTGCCCGGTAGCGCCGCCCTCCCTGGAGAGCGGTAACACGTCGGGCCTAGGGGAGTTCTGCAGGGTTGTGCTACGTCGGAGCGGGGGGAAGGAGGAGCAGGCGGGGTCGACGCATATAGCTTTTAAAGTGGGCGGGAGTGTGAGGCAGCGGGTGTTCGTGGCCGGGAGAAGAGGGTTACGGGCGCCAAAGGGGCAGTGTGGGGGGAAAGGACGTCTTGCTATTGCGTTGCCGCGGGAGGAGTGGCAGCTGCTACCGCTGCTGGTGCTGCCGCGGTTGCTGTGGTTGCTGCTCGCGTTCAAACGTTCAGACTATCACACCGGTCAATCCGTTAGTACTTGGAAGCTGGGGGGCATCCGGCTGGGCGCGCCTGCTTAGGCACTTGGAACAGTGCCGCGGCCCGTAGCACCTCAAGGGGAGTAGATCCTGAATGTGAAGTGTTGGGTCAGGCCGTAGCTGCACGCATGCTACTACTGCTGCGGCTGCGGCTGTGGCTGCTGCTGTCCTAGTTGGAATGTGAGAACACCGCACGGGGTTGCGGAGTAAACAGGGCAGCGGCAAGAAGGGGTCTCTCGACGGCGCATCAATGGAACGTTGGGAAGTGCGGTGGGGTGGTTGGCAAATTTTGGGTTGAGGAGGCGGTCGGCGGGTGCAGGTGCTCGTCTGTAGGGGTGGCAACATCCATCCATCCCGGCCTGATGCGGCCGGCCCATGCGTGCAGACGGTGACGTGTTTGCTTGGGGACGTGGGGGGTAGTGAGTGTGCTGCCACCCGCCGCCTGGTATCTTCCGCCTTAGCGTGTTTAGGTAGAGGGAGCTGCTGGTATATAAGGCTCTTGACTTGCGACGCGATGACAACACTGACGAGGACGAATCCCCCCGGCGATGTCGGCTGGTGAGCTGCTGTTGCACGTGTTTTTTCGGCATCCGCCAAGCAAGAAGAGCCTTGTGGTTAGCTGGTTGATGGACGGTAACACGCCAACGCCCTTATCTTGTGCGTTTGTTAATCCTCTTGCTCTTTGTGCTATACACCTTGTTTTTATAAACGTTTGTGTCGGTGTGTGTGAAAGAGAAAGGGTTTGGTCCTCTGCGGCTCTCGTACGAAAGCCCAGCCGTTGTGCGCGCGGTGTCGGTGCAGTACTTGCGATGTGGCTCACAAGGGCGCGCGAATACCGTCCTTCGAAGGAGGCGACAGTCAGTGCCAGTCACTTGAACCGCTCTTATGTCGGTGTGTACGTGCAGCGCGGCTTGCTTGTACGATACGTTAGCCTAAGACACCGGTGCTAGTGCTGGGTGTCGGTTTGGTGTGGCACTTGAGTATACGACTGCGCCGGTGTACGATGCGATGGCGCAGGGGAACATGGAAGGTGGTGGGACAACCGCGGCGAGGATAGGGTGTTGGTCAAAAGAGGTGTCGGGGTAAGACCTTCCCTGAGCTGCGGGGCTACATATCGCCCGTGGCACGTTGATCGATGAATTATCCACTACAGCGGCGGTAGCGGCGGCAACGGCAGCGGTCGCGTCTCTCGGGGCAGTCGTAGACGTGTATGCGTTGCCAGCGTCACCGCATGCGGTGGAACGAAATCAGTTCGCGCGATCTGCTGCTTATTTAGGCGACGCGAAGGGCCTTGGGATGGCGATGTGCTTAACATTCTTGGTCAGGCTGGACAGTTTTAGTTACAAGTTACGATGTAGTTAATGGTAGGATTGTGGGTGGGGAGGCCTTTTGCTTAGCGGGCCCCTTTGCGCCCGCGTTTGCAGCTTCTGCGCGGCGCAAGGTGCATCTGTTTGGCATATGTTTTGGCAATGTCTGCACGTGCAATTCGCCATGTTTAGTTGCGATGGAGGAATAAGATACGGACTCGGTTCGGCAGCGGTGGTCAAGGGAAGGGAGGGATTATTAGAAGGATGCGCGTGCAGGTTGCCGCCTGCTGGAGGGCAGGAGGGCTTGGCCTGTGTGTGCACCTGTGTATGTGCGTGCCTATCTGTTTGCCTGCCTGTCTGTTTCTTATCCGCCATTTTCCATCTGTTTGTTATTCGCCTGTCATTGAACAAGACTCAGTCAGTCGGCTCAAAGCCAGAATCATGCGTGGAAGAGACGCAAACGTAGGGAGGTGACCGCCCTAGGACATCACTTAGGTGTAGTAGCTGGCATGACGATCCCCCAAATAATCTGCCTAAGCTGTCGAGAAGAACTCGGGGTCTCCCTGGGTGCTGGGGCCCTGAGAGCTTCGCGCCGCAGAGGGGAGCCCCATAGCGTGAAAACTGGATGCGCCACGGGGCAGCATTTGAACATCTGCATTCAAAGGTTACACATACATGTCGCTGTAACGACATCAAAACCGGATCCACCGCCTGAGCTGACAGGCAGCCTTAGGTCGGTCTGTAGCTACGAACCCCCGGAGCGCGAGCGAGGGACGGCGGCGGATGCGCACCGAGGGACCCGGCGCAAGGCAACTGGGTTGCAGCGGCATGACACGAATTGAATGCGGTCACGACGTCGATCTTTCAAACTGCCTTCTGCTCCGCCCCTGACTTTCATATACTACCTTACAAGCTGCTGCTGATACCTCGGCCTCGCAACGGCGGTTCTGGCAACATTGCCTGCCGAACCATCCAAGTGGAACGAGCAGCGTATCAGGGTACCACCAAACACTCAGCCGGCGACACATACACTTGCATTCATCGCCTCCCGTCTGCCATTATTTGCGAAGTGTAACGCGTGTGTGGGAATGTGACTGTATGTACGTAAAATGCGTGTGCGTGTTTCCTTGAGGTCGGTTGACCCTTTCCAGTGTCCCCCTCCCATCCCCCGTAAATCCATCCGGCTGCGGACCACATACGACTTTCACCTTCCGCACCAACGCACAAATCGGAACCGCTGGCCCACAATCAGCGGCCACGCTCTCCCCCCCAACCTTTAAATGACCACAGGCCAGGCGAGACTGTGCTCTAAACCAAACCAGTTCAAGCAACCCCCACGACTGCCACCATTGCAACCATCCTGACCAGGATAACACAGAGCCAACACGTCCTGCCGTTAACCAGCACAACCAATAATCACAGACAGCACCAGGACAAATAGCTAGAAGTCCCTAACAAAGCTATTTCAGCGCCATCGCAACCAGCAAAACGTCCCGGGGTACTGTACCGGCGGCTGTTACTGTACCGTCCAGGCAAAAACCGAGCAGCAATGTCAGCAATATGTGCCCTGGTCCTCCACCTCCAATTATATGCTGCTCTCCTCCGCCTTGAAATAGCAGCGCCCTGTCTTCTACAAATGAAACGCGCACGTCCATGGAACTGGCCACAAGAGACACTCCATCCCCCAGGTCCACCATCAAATTACACCACACTGCGCTAGTACACATGACATGACATGACATGACGTGAGGCCCCATAACGCAAGGTAACGCATGGCTTACAAATACCATATCGCTGAAAGTTTTGGAACACGGGCACCTACTGGTGGTGGTGGTGCTCATAAAGATGAGGGACGCCGCACCCGCCGGCGGGAGAGTGAAGGGCGGACAAGGCAGAGGGACAGCTGCGACGGCAGAGAGGGGCGGAAACAAATGAACAAATGAGGAACGGGGCCAATCCGGTGGTCCGCCAATCCCAGCACTGATACGTCCCTCCAGAGAGGTCCACGGCCAAAAGCACACACCAGCGCACACACGGGTCATATCCCGCAGACGTATCCCTCTGGGGTGAGGAGACCCACACTCCGCCTTCCCCCAACCCGCCACCGACTCGTCTTTCTTCTCCGTCCTCCATGCCGCTGATGAGTGCGAGTTCATCTGCCAGACGTGGCGTCGCCACGACGCTCCGTACGGCCGCACGCTCAACCAGCACCACGCTGCACCCCCGATTGACCCGAGTGCCGAGAACTTCAGTATACAATCCTAATGCCCTGGGGGTTCAGCCAGCCCGGCCCAAACCTCTGCTCGCAAAGCCCTTTCCCTCCCTGCCGCCTACACACATACATACATACATACACACATACATACATACATGCAGGCATGCATGCAGGCCCGGACCCTTCCCTCGCACGTGCGACCCCAATGTTGGAGGACAACCTCGACGGCAAACGTGCTGTGCCCTGCTGCAGCACTGCGTGGGACCTCACAGGGCTTCCTGGGAGACATGGCAATCCGGAAACCCCCAACCCTCAATGCCCCGGACCAACAGTCTTTTATAAATAACCACTCCACGAAACCCGAATACCGTCATGAAGCAGCTCCCGATCATTTTCAAATCACAAGCAAAGGCTTCCGACGCCAGGATAAGCCACCTGCCTTCCCTCCACATGCGCTCTGACGTTTGAACGTAGGAGACACTCGCAAAAACAGACACATACACACACTCCCATACGGCAGGTGCTCATGGCCCACAGCAGGGGGGAGGCGAAGGGGGAAGCAGCTGCCCAGGCTCAACGCCGCGCTTGGTGTGGTGCGACGCCCGGACCCGCAAAACCCTCTCCGTTCCCCCCTGGTTCCACCCAATACCATCTCTCGCTTGCTCACTTGGATGGCCAACAGTGTACGACAGTAGGACAGTGCATGGACACCGCGCAGGCGCGACCCTTCCGGCGCTTTGTGTTCTCAGTGCGATGGACAAAACGCAACGCGCCGTGGATTTTTATCGTGTGGTTGGCTACCCAAGGGGATAGCCACCGGTCGGAGCTAGCTCCCTCTCCTTGCTTTGTACTCAGTAGCCGTTTGAAAGGACGCTACTACTTCGTACACCCTCAACCTACAGCTCGCCGCTGCCGGCCCCGCCGCCGCCACCCCCACCGCCGCCGCTAGGGAAATGGCTTCCGCCGGTGCCGGGGCCCCCAGCGCGGAGCTCAATAAGCTGCACCGAAACCAACACATACACCACAACAATAATATTAAATAGTACGACAAGCACGCCTGCTACTAGCAGTACAATCTCGCAGGCGCCGTATTGGGGCCGCGGCGCCAAGCTGACGTCAAGCCCCGGAACCAAAAGCGAGGGTGGCCTGGACCCAACCGTACCGCCACCATGCTGTAGCTGCTGTAGCTGCTGTTGTTGTTGCTGCTGCTGTAGCTGCTGTTGTTGCTGTTGTTGTTGCTGCTGCTTGCTGCGGAGCTGCTGCTTCTCCAGCTGAGCGATGTCGGCGGGCGTCATCAGCTGCACCAGCGGCTGCCCCGACTCGTCACGGAACGCCATCAGGGCCTCCAGGGAGGGACTGCTACCGCCGCTAGCGCCCCCGCCGCCGCCGACGGCACCCCCGCTAACAGCGCCGATACCAGACGTGGCACCGCTTCCGGAAAGCACCGCGCTGGTGCCGGTGGTCACTGTTCCGCACGAGCCAGGCCGATCCGGACCCTGCTGCTGCACCCTCGATGCACCGCTCGTCGTGTGTCTGAAGGCGGCGGCGGCGGTGGCGGCGGCGGCGGCGGCGGCGGCGCCCCCACCGTTAGTTCCCATCAATACGGTGCGGCTTGGGACGCCGGGGAGGATGGCAAGACCCTGGGCAGCTGCCGCAGCAGCAGCGCCATCGCCGCCACCAATACCACCGCATTGACCGCTGCTGACGCCATTGTCCTGCAGCGCCGTCGTAGCGCCGGAGCGAAGCACACTCTCCATCAGGCCCGCAACGACCGCATCTGTGGACGACAAGCCTTGCCCTGTCAGGCCTCCGCTGTTGATCATATCCGGGGAGTTCGTCGCGCCAGCTGTCGCAGCAACCGCAGCCGCGGCCGCCGCCCTGGCGGACTCGAGCGGGTGGCGGGTGCCTGCGGTGCCGTCAAGGAATAGACCAGATCCGCCGCCGCCGCCGCCGCCAGCGAGGGTAAGCTGCGACGGCAGCACCGTCGGCGGCTGTAGCTCTGATCCCACGGTGCCGTTGCTACTCCCATTAGCAGATGGTACGCCGCCACGCTGACCGCCGCCGTACGCACGACCAGATCCGGGGTTTGCCCCGTTTGTGCTATGTGCAGCGGTGGTGGTGGTGGTGGTCGCAGTTGAGGATGCGCTCGCTGCCGCTGCTGCCGCCACAGCCACAGCGGCAGCGGCGGCGGCCGCCACCTCCGGCGTGGCTTGTCCCAGTGTGGGTTCGCTGAGCCCTTCGACGGCGCCCTGGACATGGACATGGTTCCCCGAGTAATTGGTGTGACTGTGCAGCTGGTGCTTGTGCTTGGGAGGGGAAGTGGGTTGATATGCCCCTGCTGCTGCCACAAGGCGCTGCCGTTGCTGCAGCTGTTGTTGTACTTGTTGTTGCTGTTGTTGTTGCTGCTGCAGCTGTTGTTGTACCTGTTGCTGCTGCTGCCCCGCCTGGGGCGACGGCGGCCTTCCTCCGCCGGAGCTGCTCATGGGTGACGAGGGCGCAGGCCCAACCCACTGCGTCGCGGCCACTGCACCGGCGCCCGCGGCCCCGCCCGCGACAGCGGCGGCGACCCGGCCCTCCATCGACCTGTGCGCCGCCTGTATCCGCAAGGACTCAGCACTGACGTTGCGACGGACGCTGCGGCTCGGAATCCCAGCAGGTCCCAGCACCATACCAACGCCGCCCTGCCCCAGCGGCGGCGGCGGCGGCGGCCCTGCACCACCGCGTCCGTGCGCCGCCATGGCAGTGGCCGCACCGCCGCCGGCGGCCGCCATCGACGCATCTGCGCTTTCCAACGGACTTGAAGAGGAGGGCAGGAACCCCGGACCGCTCGACGGCCCGCCGGCCAAGGCTTGCGTAATCATGTCGTACTGCAACGGCCCATTGCTAAAAAACTCGTCGTACAGGTAGTCTGTAGAGTGGCGACGGAAGCCGGCTCCGGGCACCTCACCGCTAGGCCGGGGGCTGCGGCCTGCAGCCAAGGCAGGAGAGACCGCCGTTCCCATCCCCGTTGGCGCGGCCGCGGCCGCTGCAGCGCCGCCGGCGAGCTGTTGCTGGTTGAGATGCGCTTGCGGATAATGGTGCGGGAGCCCGGTACCGTGGCCATGAGGCAATTGCTGGCCACCGCCGCCGCCGCCGCCAAGAAACTGGTGTGGATTGCCCACGGCAGCGCTATTCGGGACCTCAGGATTGTCCGACAGAAAGTGTGGCAGGAGGGAGGAGGCAGTTCCCCCGGCACCGCGACGCAAACTTACACGGGCGATGGTCCCCGTTGACGATGCCACACCGTTGCTACTGCCAGGCTCCCGCCAACCGCCGCCACGCCCTAGCGCTGCCGCCGTCAGCGCTGTTGTCCCTGCGCCAGCAGGCAAAGTGCCCCAGCCACTGCCGGGGGGAGCGTTCCCGTCAGCGGCGGCGGCGTTACTGGAAACAGAGCGCTTGCCGGAGGCTGGCGGAGGTAGCTGCCGGGATGCGGTAGCTGCGGACCCGACGCTGCCTGTGGTGACGGAGGCGGCGGAGGTGGCCGACCCTGGCAGGGCGCCGCCGATGCCCGGCACGGGCGGCACTATGGCCTTCATCAGCTCCTCCTGGAAAGGACTAAGTGCTGCAGCGAGAGTGAAACGACCCCCGCCGGCGCCACCAGCCCCGGCGGGTGGGGCGGTGATAGGCGGCAGGGGATTGCGCGGCGAAGAGCTGTCGGCGCCTGGCGCGGCCGGGCTGGCGCCCAGACCCGCCGCCGCATCTCTGGCTGGTGTCTGCGAGACCGCGGGAGCGGCGGCCCCGGTGCCGGCCCCGCCAGTTACCCCGCCCCCGCCGCCTCCAGCAACTCCTCCCGGTCCTGCCAACGCCCCGGCCCCCAGGAGGCTGTGTCTGTCGCCCAGGCTGCTCCCCCGCGTGAAGAAAATCATGTTGGCTACAGGGAGGAAGGGAGGGAGGGAGGGAGGGCAACATCATCAGAAGCATGCGGTGAATAGAGTAGTAAAGCAGCAGTCTGTAAGTATTGCATACCGTACTAGTGTCCGTGATTACCGTAACCATTGTAAACATATGTACTGTGCTGGTGTACGTACGTACGTACATACCTCCCACCCAGCCACCCTTCCAAACTCCTCTACCCAGGCAGACCATACCACCTGCCCCCACCGACCTCGCACCCGCACCCGCACCCGCGCACACCTGGACTACCGGTGTTCTTGACATTCGGCTGCATCATGTCGGTATCGGAGGACCGCGCCAGCCCCGCATGGCCCCGTGATGACGGCCCCAACACGCCCGTGTCGTCCCGCGTGAACAGCATCCCACCGGGGTCATCACTGCCCGGTCCGGGGCCTGGCCGCATGGAGAGAAAGCTGCTATTGCTCGCGGGGCCGGCCCCCATGCCGCCCAAATGGCTGGACGCCAGACGGTAGCTGGACCCGCCCGTCTGGTTCACTGCAGCAGCCAGGAAGCCATCCTCGTTGATGGACTGCATACTGCGAATGCCGGCGGCCGCTACGGCGGCGGCGGCGGCGGCGGCGGTTCCGCCGCTCCGGGCGCTGCTTCCCGCGCCGCCGCCTGCGCCAATGGACCCCGGCGAGCCCGCGCTGGCACGAGGGCCGATGCCGCTGTTGCCGCCGGCGGTCGCGCCGGTGGTCATGAGGATGCCGCCGCCGCCGTCGTAGATGCTGGCGCCGCGTGACGGCGGACTGCCCAAGAAGGCGCTGAGCGCGTCCAGCGCACCCATGCCGGACAGCGGCGGCAAGCCTAGGCTCGCCTGTGCCTGATGCGGCTGCAACCCCCCGTGCACCTGGTGCTGCTGATACTGCTGGTATTGCTGCTGCGGGTTGTGATGGTGGTGCTGGTGGTGTTGGTGTTGGTGTTGTTGGTTGTACTGAGCATTGTGGTGGTGCTGTTGCATGAGTGACGGATGCTGGAGTGAGCCCTGTTGGTGCTGGTGCTGGTGCTGTTGGGTCATGTACGAATTATGCTGCAGATGGGGCGGGTGGGGCGGATAGGACTGCTGGGGGTGCAGCAACAGTCCTGAAGGGGTGAGGTTGGCACTGCTGCCTGCGCGGAGCGCGGCGACGATGCCCAATCCAGCGTCAGAGCCGCTCGACGCCAGCTGGTACGGCAGCGGCGCGGCAGCGTTTGCCGCCGTCGCTGCCGCAAGCACTGACGGCGGCAGGTGGTGCATGGGCGACGTTGCATTATTCACCGTCGTCGTCGACGGCAACGCCTGCACCGCCTGCGACGGCGATGGCGATACGAAAGGCAGTTTGGCGGAGGGGTTCAGGAGGTCCTCGTCGGTTAGGGCGTTGATGCGGTTCTGGAGCGCCATCATCTGAGCCGCCAAAAGGTCCTCTGGTGTACGCCGACCATTACGGGAAGAGCCCTCGCCACCGGCATCGCTGCCGGCGACGCAATCGGTGCCGTTGTCATATCCGCCGCCTGCTCCGCCGTTGCCTATGCCTCGGCCTCTGCCGCCGCTGCCTGCAGCGGCTGCGGCGACAGACCCTGCAAGGCCGCCAAAATGTTTCCGCTGCGCCCCACCCACGGCCGCAGGCACCATCTCTGCACGCGCGCACAACCACACAGGCGGGCTCACGAGATATCTATCGTTCATGGACGGACGGACGGAGCGGGGTTCCCGGGAAGGGAGTTTGTAGCCACAGCGAGGAAGCACGTGGCAGGAACGTGTGCCAGGGAAGAACCCCGAGTGTGGCCGAGAGCACTTGCAAAGGGGGCCCCCTTTCTGCTTCTGGTACACTCTTTCCTTCGCAGCAGCTTCACTCGTTCGTGGTTTGTCTTTCCCCCCCTTCCCCCTTAGTTCAAATCCCCCCTCCCTATCCCCCGAGCCCCCTTCCCTCCCCGCGACGAGGCTCACCCGGGCCAGCCGCCCTTTGCGGAGTGATGTGGTGCAGGTTGGGGTTGAAGGACAAGTCCACGGGCATGTTGGAAGAGGACGTGGGCGAGCGCATCATGGAGCCGCGGGGAAGCCGCTCACGACCACCTCCATCGCCATCGCCAATACTCTCGCCGGCGTCGGAAACCCCCTGCCGCTGCTGCTGCTGCTGCTGCCGAGGAGGGGTCTGTTGCGCTTGCCTTCCCTGCTGCTGCTGCTGCAGTTGGTCCGTTTGGTCTCCTGGCTCGGTGTTTTCATGATAGTCATGGCTTTTGCGCGGGGTGGTGGTGGGAGTGGGCCCTGCGTGCCGTTACAGGTGTGGGCGTGGGTCCTAGATGAAACCATAGACCTTATCTTCATGTTGGGCATCTAAAGCAATGAAGTACGAGGAGACTTTACACGTAATCCCCTTGAGGGCCGGAGCCTCCGAGTCCGGAGCCTCCGAGTCCCTCACTCACCCTTTCGCAAGTTGGACTGCTGCCGGCCGCTGTTGGCCGCCTCACTGCCGCCGCCTCTCCCACCACCACCTCCGCTGGAGGCGTTGGCCATGGCTGCTGCCACCGCCGCCATCAGGGCCGTGGGCCCCCGGCTGCCGCCCCCACCCGCGACATTGATGCCGCCGGAGTTGCCATCAAGGCCGGTATGGGTGGACATGGCCACGCCGACAACCGACAGCGCGTTGCCGTCGTTCTCCGCGCCCATGACGTCCCAGTCCGACTCGAACGAGTCACGGGGCCTGCAGCGGCAACCGTCCGGCATGGTGATACGCGTTGCGTGGTCGCGCAAAAACATGAAGTCACATGTGCAGTGACTATCCGGTTAAAAGCGCATGCAGGTGTGGCAGCGGGATTTCCAAAGCCGCCCACGTTTTTATAACATGATATGGAACGAGTTTGGAGGTGTATACTGTGGATTAAACACAAAACTAAGATACGCAACCCCCCTCTCCTAGCCCGTTCCTTCTCCCGGGAAGAGAGGCCCCGTCCCGGCCGCCCTCCCTGAATCCCTCCACACACCACTTACTTGCTGTCGATCGTGCTGAACACCGCACTGCCAGGGCCGCCGCAGGCCATCCCCCCGGGGCCGCTACCGTTCCGAGTCGCCCTGCACTCCAAAGCGAGGGGTGGGGGTTGGGACGCCATGCAAACACCTCAAGCACCTCAAGACTGGACGAGCCAGCAGGGTGAAGGAAACGGGACATGAGGGAAAGGCGGCACCGGATCGAGCGCGCCAGCCCCAGTGCACTGCCCGCCACATGCAACAAGCGAACCACGGCAGGATCCTCTCTCCGAACCCCTCTACACCACACAAATCTGCACTTTGCATGCACACCCCTCCCGGACCCCGCCCTCTTGCATGGATACACTCTATATGGCTTCAAGCTTGGGGATAATTCTCTGCCACCCCTGAGGGGAAACCATTTGGACCTTCAGGGTCACCAACCTGGGGGAGGGAGAGGGAGAGGACACCAGTCGCCCATCGGCCGGCGCGATCCACACACACCCCGGCGCGGCTCATTCATCCCCCCTTACAGGCCACACAGAGGACTGTCCCACCCAATGCTACAACATCAAAGCTCCAGGATGCACACAACTCCTCCCGCCCAGCCCGTCCACCCAAGCACCCTTCCCCCCAGCCCCCTTTTTGAAAGCCTGCCGTACTTGTTCTGCAGGTTGCGCTCCAGGGACACCCTCAGGTGCCTGCCACTGGATTTTTTAAACCGGTTGAACCGCTCCGGATCTGCCTGGCCGCTGGAGCCCACAGAACCGTCAGCACCTCCCCCTGCTCCTCCAGCACCGGGCATCTGCTGGTGGTGTTGGTGATGATGGTGTTGGGGCCCCTGCTCGCATTGTGGCTGGGCGTTGGGGCCCAAGCCTTGGCCCCCCACGTCCATGGTCGTCAACATGTCCGGAGGACGGCAGGCGCTGCCGGCAGTGTCCAGCATGACCCCGGCGGGGGGGGCCTGTTCCGCGGGATCGCCCGCACGAAGCCGCGGCGGAGCCAGGCAAGCAGCCCACCACCTGCAGCGCAAGCCACTGAACAGCTGAGCCACTGCACACGGCAGCGCCGGCGATCCTCAAATCGGCCAACGGCCCGCGGCCAGCGGCCACACCCCGTGCAGAGTAGCAGACCGATCATTCAAAAAGCCCAATGTTATCTGTTAACCCCTTCCCATATAAGGAACGTCCTGTGCAGTACATGAACCGACACAGAGGCCCATACCCAAATCGAATACGGTAACCTATCCCACCTGCCCGCCTTGTCATGTGCGTTGGAGGACTTTTGCCGCCGGGGCAGCACCCTGCTGGGGCGCCCAGCCCCGCCAACACCCACGTCTACGCTCTCCTGCGACCGCTCCTGTTCCGCTGAAGGAGCCGTGCCGCTGCAGCTGGCCACACTGCCAGTGGCACTGGAGCGCTCGCCAATGGCGCCAAACCCGGCGCCGGACACCGGCGCTGGTCCAGGCGGCGGCGTGCCGCTGATGCTGGGGCTGATGGTGCTCTTTGAGGATGGCAGAAGACCTCGGATGCGGGCGAAGCGGCCGCCGCCGCTAGAGCCACGGCCCAGGCTGCGCAGCTTGCCTGTGGCAGCCACCCCACCCGCGGACGGCGAGGTGGCGGTCAGCTCCTTGCTGTTTTGCCTGACATCACCGGAGGTGAGCATGCGGGAGGCCTCCGAGGTGTTCGTTACCACGCTTTCCGAGGTAATGAGGATTTTGTCGGTCGATGGGAGGGGCTGATCCGGTTGCGCCGGTGGTGGGTTTTGCTGCTGATGCGACGGCGGCTCATGGTGTGGTACGAATTTTTGAAGGAAGCGGTTGGGCATTAGTTCCAGCTTGGTGTGTGCTGCAAGGGGAGCCGGCCTCGTACAGCTAGGGCTGCGCGGGGAGGGGCAGGAAGCAGCCGCGGCTGCGGTGCTGGGCTGGCGCTATGTGGCGATGCCGGCAGCCCTTGCTTGCCCCGGAAGCACAGCCGGTTGCAATGCCTTCCCCCAATGCTGGGGTGTAGGCGAGGAAAGCGCTGTAGGTTATGTCGTCAACTTGAGCAGCCTGCCTGCCTAAAGGTGGTCTCCGGCCGTCGCAGGAGACCCTGGGCGCGGGCGCTGCCGCTGCCAGAACAGCGCGGCCTGGCGAGCTCGCTCAGCGAGTACACGTACAGTCAGCTATCCAACGCTCGGTGCTCTTCGCCGCTAACCGGATGGGTGTGCCATCAAGGCGCAGCCCCAACTTCCTCGCTTGACGCTTAATCCCTGGTCTCAACATGGTGAGGCAGGTCCAATCGCGAAATAATCGAGTCCGGGACTTCGTGATGCGCGAAACAGCGCACGAGATATATCGAGGGGAAAGAAGGCTAATCGTCCAGTCAGTATATAAAATCACAACAGCTACGTTTGATTGACTCTGGAAGACGTCCCTTAAGCAAGTCGCAAATCCTCAACAGTAAGAAGCACTCTGATACGAAACTATCTACTGATAGGTTGACGGACCCCAAAAGGCTCTGTTCAATAAAGTTGTAAGTTGCAAATATGCTGTAAGGCCGGTAGAGGTTCAGCGGGAGACTTGACGTAACCTTTTGCCTCGACTCTCCTATGTGTCAGGGGCATATTACAACGTTCAGAGATAACACCACTCATACCTTTCGGGGCTTGATTGTCAAGTCGTCCGTCCAGGTACTAAATCCCCTCGTTTGCAGGGAAAAGTGCCTGTTCCGTTTTTCCGGGCAGCAATGCTACCAGCCGATACATGTGGGACTTCAACTTTGTCTTGAGCTATGTGGAAAATGCATATTTCCTAGAAAAGAGGGCGCCTACGGTCGGCCTGGCCTTACACGAATATGTCACTAGGCCCGCAACGCGTTCCTGTTAATATGTTGATGCCTTTCGGTTGTTAGAGACTATGAGATTAATCGCCTGTTTAGGTAGGCCCATTCCGGCAAAAAAGCTCGGTAGAGTTACATGGGAGAGGGGACATCTACAACGCATAATCCGCAGCCTCAGAACATCTCTCGGTTCCGTTAATACATCTAGAATCACGAATGCATATGTAACCATCAATGGTATCACGTGCGACATGGACCAGTACGAGGCCCCATTTCAACCCAGTTATCCGCCTAAACAATCCATGCTCACTCCTTGTTTCCTGTGAACCTTCTCATGGCACGTTTTCGTGTAGCTCCGTCATGTCCTGCAATAAGGAAAAAGGCGGGGAGTAGTTACCCTGAGCTAAGCTAACCACTTGGGACGTCCTTAAGCTCTTTCCGGAGTCCTTAAGCTCTTTCGTTTCTCAGCTTCAATTTACAGCTCCGACACCCAAGGCTCCATCCCCCAACAACCCAGCCTGCTCACAACGAAGTGGATCTATTGCCGGGCTTGGGATTAGGGAGATGTTCCGTGGTCCACGTTGGGGCCCTGCGATGCTGTCATTCCCGAATCTGCCCCGCCTGCTTTTCGCGTACATCCGCATTGCCCCCTACCGTAGGTGCCGATTTAATGTTGCACCAGAAGCTATAGATGACCCAACTTCCATACACATACATACACACATACACACACGCACACACACGCACGAGGACACGATGTCCATCCTTTTTTGGCATTCAATAAAGACTTGCGCCGCGTCTACTTTTTTCGTGAGCATGAGCCGGTATGCTAACGTACGCAAGCCTGCTGTCCTCGTTAGCATACAAAAGAGTACACGCCGACGCACACGCCCGTCCACTCACCTGCAAAATGACGTCCCGTACGACGTCCTGTGCGCCATCGCCACGGGTTGCATGCCGCCGGCAGGAGGGCAAAAGGCACGTCAGGTAGAGGAGTCGGCTGACAGCTACGCAAAGCCAATCACTCCGAACTTAAAACAGAAGCACAAGAATAATAGGGCGAATACATGCATCAAGGAGAGGGCGCCTGCCAGCGCTTCTAAACGACAACGCCATGTTGACAGCGTCTTGCGAAAGGGAGTAGAGAGCGTCGCAACGTCTGCCGAGATACCATGCGTGGGTAAGTTGAGGCATTACGGAAGCGAGATATCCGGAACGCACGGTTGCTTCCAATCCACCGCCCAATTCCACCCTATTTGGGTGCGTGGACAACGTCAGCTACTAATATGGCGCATCTGCGATACGCAACAACTCAAATTCCTCTCCTTTACAAAGCCAACCCTCCAATGGCACGGTGGTGGCGCTCACCGGCGTCAGGTGGTCGGCGTCGAAGTCGAAGGTGAAGGGTGTTGCGCACACGGGCTCATCCGCTACATCATGCAGGGAGGCCAGGTAGGGGTGCTCCAGCGCCTGCTCCACTGTAATGCGCTTTGTGGGGTCGAACACCAGCATTTTGTCGATTAGGTCCAGGGCCTACGAATGGCGGGAGGGAAGCAAAGAAGGGAGGGGGAGGGAGGGACAGGGGTTGGGACGTTGAAAGTTGCGGCTGCGCTCGGTGTTTTAGAGGAGCGAGGGAGCAGAACACTAAAGCAGCACCTCGTTTTAAGAGGGCCTAACAAAACTTTTGTAGGCAATGGTTTTATGTTGGTTTAATAAACAGAGAACGGAGGAGGGAGATGTGGGAAGTGAGAGGAAATGTGCACGTAACACGCAGAGGCCGCCGCTTGCCTTGCCTTCTGGATTTGACTTCCTTTACATAGATTTATCCTCAAACTCGGGTGGAAATAGCCTAACTTCACAAGACGCGAAGGCAAATATGGAGGGAGGAGATCAGGGAAATGACCCAAAGAATTAACTGGTTGCAGAGACGCCTTATGCCGTATGGGACATGCAGGATGCGACAAAACAGCCGCGTCCGCTTTTACCCCTTCCCTCCGCCCTTCCCTCACCCATCTGTAACCTCTCCTCAAGGGCGGTCCGTCCTCCCACCTACATTCATCCTCCAACACACCTGCTTGTTGGCGTGTGGCCACAACTGCGCAAAGTCTACTCGCACGCTCCGTGGCAGCGACCGGATGTAGCGCTTGGCCTTCTCCGAGGTGATGAAGCCCAGCTCCCCCTCGCTGGGAGAGCCGATGATCTGCCCAGGTGAGGGGAGGGGAGGGGGGGGGCAGGTGCAGGAAAACACGCGGGACAGTGCAGGAAAACACGCGGCGGCAGGCATGCACGGGCCAGCCCATGCTTAGCAATGGGAGTTACAATCCACTACTGCGATGCGGGATGTGCAAAAGACAGCAGTGGTGACCAGAGCTGTGAGGCAGTGCGCCCCATGTAGGATGGGGGCCCCACGGAAAAGCCACTCTTCTACCGGTGGCGATTGCGGGCGACAATGTGCTGACAGGGGCATGAAAAGGCCGCCGCGCAACATGGGCCGAACTTCGGGGCGGTCTTCAGACGAGATTTAGGGAACCACCCAGGCAAAAGGGCAGGTGCAGGTGGCACGTCAGGGCTCCATCCGTCTTGCACTCTTTCACCTTCGTGATGAGGCTCAGCTGGTGCACGTAGTCCTTGCCCGGGAACAGCGGCTTGCGACCCAGCAGCTCAGCAAAGATACAGCCCACGGACCTGGAAGAGAGAGTGGAGAAGGAGAGGTTCATTGAAAGGAGAAGTTGGGAGGTAAAGAGGCGGGGAAACGTGCTAGGGCAGCGGTCTGCGTGCTCGCGCCGACATGATGACCGAGCCCGGGCTAGCCCGGCACGCTGCGAGTTCACCAGGTGAGGCCTCTCCTCGTGCCTCCTACCGACTTCGCTCAACCGCCTCTCGTACTTCCCCTTAACCGCCACCGCCACCGCCACCCACGAACGACACCCAGGCGCTCCAACGCAGCCCCTCCACCCTCCTTGCTTGTCTGATGCACATGATATCCAACCCTCCTGCGGCCCCTCGGCAGCCTCTCCTTCTCCCTGCCTCCACGCACACACCACTCACCATACGTCAATGGCGGTCGTGTATCCCGAACAGCTCAGCAGCAGCTCCGGTGCCCGATACCACCGCGTCACCACGTACTCCGTCATGAACTCCTTCTCGTTGCTCGTGCTGTCAACGGACCAGTAAGTGCATCAGCAGGGAACCAGGGGCATGTTAACAACTCCTGCTGACGTGACGACAAGCAACCCGCCGCTAGGGGGGGAGAGGGAGAGGGAGAGAAATATAAACAAGGGAAACACACATGTCACGCCAGACTAAGGGCAACTGTCGTACTATGTGAGCGCGGATACGCACGCAGCAGGATGGAACGGAAAGCACCTCCCAACCATCTGTCGGCCAGTCGGTCCTCCATTGCTCCTTCCCGCAACTCACTGTCGCTCTATTTTTTCTCCCTCCCTCCCTCTCCCTCCCTCCCTCTCACGCACATGCACACATTCACACGCACACAAAAGCCGCCTCAGCTGGCTCACTCAACCATTACGCCGATGCTCATCCAGGCCCTCCGCCGCACGTGCTCGTCCCACCGCTATTCCGACCGACCCGCCGACCCAGATCACCTGGTCCTGGCCAGCCCAAAGTCGCAGATCTTCAGGTCGCAGTTGGCGTTGACCAGCAGGTTGGAGGGCTTGAGATCGCGATGGAGGATGTTGGCGCTGTGGATGTACTTGAGCCCTCGAAGCAGCTAGAAGGCAAGGGGCCCCCGGGAGGGCATGCAGGTGGCGGGAGAGCACCCACGGGGGACGCGCGGGTAGGCGGGAGCGGACGATGGGAGGGGTGGGGTGGGGTTTGTAAGGGTGGAGAAACAAGAGAAACAGACAGATATATACGGGCGGACGGACGGATGTAAGGGAAGCGACGCAAAACGCGATGTGGAATGAGCCTGACCAGGCCATGGCATGTCCTGGACGTGTAGGGAACCATCAAAGCCGATATATATACTTGCATCATTCCCGTGAGAGGCGGCGGAACGGTTCCGGTACAGTCAGCTGGGTCAGTGGGTGGGTGGCCTAGGTCGCGGCATGGCCGCCTCGCCCCACCAATCATCCATCTCTAGAATTACGAGCCAGTGAAAAAAGTCAGAGCCTGCAAATGCATAGCTCACTCCAGCCGCCGGATGTCCGGCCGTCAGCCACCCCGCGCGTGTGCACCGGCTCCACGCACTACATTTGGAGCATCGTGCTCCCCCATTCGTTCTGTTTTACCACCATTACGCCTTCCAGCTACCGCCGCCACGGAAGCTGACCAGCGCCAACCCAACCCAACCCAACCCAGGAAACACTAGGCACATTTAGGCACATTTGTCTAGGGACACGTGCACCACGTGCATATACGCGTTCATCGCGTACATGGGCGGGCAGCCGCCGTAAGCAGAGTCAACCTGTGACAGACAGTGATCTCAAGGGAAACGCTTACTAGTGTCGGGAACGATGGCACTCGTCGGCTGACATAGCGGTGTGTGTACGGGCCTACGCGATCACAAAAAATCTGTGAATCGAGATCCGCACGCACGCACGCAGAGACACGACAATACACATCTCATGGACACGGTCTGTCATGTTCTTCTCGTCGAGGTTCAATAACTAAAGCACACGTCCGGAAGCATGAAAACCTTACAGCCCGTATCGCAGCAGGTGCTGATGATGCATCCGGCTCCCGGGAAAGTGGCAATGGCAAAATGTATGGAAGCACAATCCTTTTAACCGCGAGTATTAGGAAACGGAGCGGTGTGCATGTGGATGAGCTAATGTGGGCCAACACCACAAGAATATGGAATAGCCACAGCCGTTTTTCTACTGCAGTTGTGTATGTGTGCGTGTGAGGGTGTCGCAAGCTTCCCGGGCCCAGTCCATGCAACCCCCACAGCGTGTTTCCAGCCGGACCTGATATAAGAAATATTGACTGTGGTCGTTTGACAGCTGCTGCGGCGACCGGATGATTTGATGCAAGTCGGTGTCCATCAGCTCGTACACGACATACAAATCCTTGAACGCATCCCGCTGCATTGGAGGGATGATATCCTTGATTTGAACAATGTTTTCATGCTGCAAGTGCTTCAGCAACTTAATTTCCCGCAGCGTGCGCTTGGCGTCGATGACATTGTCGAACGCGTTAGCAATTTTCTTGATCGCGACCTTTTCCTGGGAGTCCAAATTCTTGGCAGAGCTGCACACAGCAAGCGACGGCCGAAAGTGTCATCCGCACGTCAAGAGCGGGGGGTCCGACTGTACATGCAATGCAGGATGCGATTGTTACAGTGGACCCCGAACAATGCAATGCAGCACCCTACGTGGCGGGCCCGTTGGGACATTTCAAGTACCCACCAGACAACCCCATAGGCCCCCTTGCCGATAGGCTTTATCGGCAAATACTTGGCAGGGCATTCAAAGAGGCTGCCGCACACCTGCAAACAAAAAGCTTTCTACTCAGCATGTCGCGAGCACGAAAGCCGACAGCCCAAGCTCGTGACGCACCAGGAACTGGTTGTATTCCCGGTTGTGTGAATCAAACTTTCCAGTTACTTCCACTTGCTCCTGAAGTCCAATCTGAGCCTCCTTCAGGCCCTCCCCATCCTTATGTTCCGCCACTGCCTCTGTTGTAAAGCTAAGGTCATTATGTTCCGCCATTGCCTCTGTTGTAAAGCTAAGGTGACTTCATGAGTTCGAGTCACAAGAAATCGCCAGTGCATGCACAGACTTGGCTTCTTATCGCAGCTTCTCCTTTTTTCCCGCCAGCGTTTTGTAACAGAAACACCGAGTTCTCAAGGCTTTTGAGCACTTTTTGTGCACAAGTTACCCCAAATTGCTTTAAGCGTTGGCCTCCAGCTCTGAAACTCTCACTTGTGGCAAACAGATGGCCCTTTACATGGAACTGATATGGCTACCTGAGAGTCACATCTAAGCTAGCGCAAGGTGGGACTCCCGAGAGCGAAAGAGCTTGCTTTTAGGACGGTTGCCGTATTTGGGACGAGAAAAAACAGTTTAGCATTATTGGCGTCGCTGTGTTTGCTATTTCTCGAGCAGGTGCACGATAAAGGGATCTTTTATTGTACGCACTCCCCATCCAATTTACTCCAAATTCCTCTTTTTGCCTTAACAAAGCTGCGAACCCTATTACCCTACCGCCTTAAAATTTATCACGAAACAGTTGAAGCATCGCCACAGTGTTCACATCTTCGCTCAATATCTTAGCAGAGTTTGCGGAATGGTTGCCGGCGGCCTCCAACCGCCCCCAATTGAAGAGGAGGAGGAGGCCCTCCGGGCGCAAGGACAGGGTGTAATTTTCATCCTTGATGATGCTCAGCTAGAAGTGGCGCAAGTTGGCAAGGTGGGGCCATTGCCCTATACGACCGGGTGAAGTCGTTGGCACGCGGCGGCGGGCGCCTCACATCGATACATGTAATTGGCGCTTCGCAGACGTTCCAGCTTCTCAACTGCGACGACCATGCCACTTACCTTCGAAAACACAAAAAGGACCCGGCATTGTACCGTCCAGATATCTGCCACCAGGTGAGGAGTCTCCTTTTGCGTTGATACACCCACGCCTCCTTTCTCAACGCCATATCCCATCTCTATTCCACCCTCAAGGAACTGAACTGCACGCAGTAAACATGCCATATTGCCAGCACGACGGCTTGTGATATCCAGGCCCCCTCAAACCCTAAGTCCCCACAGTGCTTCGCGAAGAAGACACCTACAGCCGAACAATTGCAAGTCCACTCCACGTCCTCAGGCACATAGATCCGTACAAGTTATCTTGTTATGCAGGCAGCTAAGTTATATTGTTATGCGCACCAGTGTCATGTCTCCGGATCCCGCCGTTCTCATGAACTCGGCGTCGCTCTGTCAGGTGCTGACCCACGGGTCACCGCCATACACTGTGTCGCGCCATCCATACACAACGGCTCTCATATCACATACAAACTCCCCCGCACTCCTCGTTACCTCAACGGATGAACGCGCTCTTGCCGCTTGCTTCCTAACAGGCGCTCCTGAACATCTTGGACAGCCCGCTCAATAAAGCAGCCAAAATTAAGGTAAGATTAGATCCCGGCAGCAGCAGCCGAAAGCTGCAGGCTTCGGTGTCTTTCTTGGTGGTGCTGGGCCTCCGCAGGCACTGCCGGTGCGGAGATTTCCTGTGGTTCTTAAACGCGACCGATATCCCAGAGGGTCGGCCCCTTCGCTCATGGACCTCTCATGGCTGAAGGGAGCCAGCCTAGCGCCTCTGGGAGCTGTCCAGTTCGGGGCGTACCTTATCCGAACCGACGTTTTAGACTGTGCATTTAACGGACGACAGAGACTATTAAATGGAACCGATGGCATGTTGCTGTGGATGACAATGCCCTCCGACCTGCAGAAGGGCTCTCGAGGCGGGGCGGGGCGGGACGGGGTCTCATGGTCTCATCATGCAACTCTGTTGGTGCGGTCAGTGACGCCCGGTACAGCTCATCTCAGTGTGGCGGGGCGACACACGGGGTGTGGCCACACGCCGTGTGTCGCCCCCTTCCTGACATGCACCGACAGCGGCCGATAGCCAGGAGCATTCAGTAACATAAACCGCTAATTGGACCCAACCCTGGGGCTGGATTGTGTCCCCTCGCGGCCTAGCCTGCCTGTCTGAGCCCTGTGGGGGGTTCACGGAACGAAGGTGGTGGCAGTGATATGGTCGCCTTCACGGGCCAGGTTGTACACGTGCCACATATCCTCAGCTGCGGGAAGGTGTGTGTGTTTCGGGGACCGTGTGGTGACAACCTGTCGGTGAAACGAGGACGGAGAGTGCCACACGCAACCGCAACGACGGGGAAACTGAACCCAGCAGCATTTCCATGCCCCTAACTTTCCGGTCTGGTCCGTTGATAATCCTTTACGAAGTACCCAGTCCCATCTGGGTCGACGGCGCTTTCACGGGCATAGGGCGCTCGCTTGGCATATCAGTCCTTGGGCCCAGCCCATGTCTAGCCCGACCCTTCACCTAGGCAGTGGGCAGAGGCTCACACACGGGCTGCCTCTATGGTACAAATGTTGCCTATCTCCGCCCTTTGCTTCTTAACCTTGAACCCAAACATGTCATCCTGGGCCGGCAAAGGTCCGGACTGTTGCCAACGCCGCCCACGTCCCTGCCGAAACAGGCTGTGTACGTCCGCACACACAAGAACGTGCTATTCTCGATTAACCCCAAGACGCGGATACCCCGCACCATCAAACGTTTTTCGGGCCTTATGGTCCAACTGTTGCAAAAGCTCAGCATCCGAGCGACCAACGGACCGGATAAGCTCATGAAGGTGAGCGAGCCTAATGATTTCTGGGGTTAGGGAGCGAGGCGGCGGTGGATGCGTGGCGGGTGAACTGACAGATAAGTTAGCAGGTGGACAGACATACAGACGGAGACAGACTGACAGACGGATTATTGGCCTGAGTGCAGTGCAGTGCCGTTGCCACGCGCATACAGATCTGTACCCGATTGATTGGTGCCCATATGCAATTACTTCCCCTATAGGCGCATGGCACGCACCCGTGCCCGCACGAAGACCAGGATTCGATCCAGGAATGGAACTGACAGACAGGCACGCGGTTCCTACTCCAAATGTTGAACCTAACTTTGTACGCATGCTGCGTCCTACTCTGCGTTGTACCTAGCTGACCCACCGTCGCGCTCATGCACCAACAGGTGATTAAGGGCCCGGTTACCAAGTACCTGCCTTTGGACTGTAAGCGCGTGGGCTTCTCCTTCGCCGCTGCCAAGCGCGTGGCTATCCACGATTATGTGGCAGCCATGGATGACAGCAAGCCGGTGGTTTTCGTGGTGGGGGCCTTTGCGCACGGCCGCATCGAGGCGCCTTGGGTGGATGAGGAACTCAACGTGTCAGAGTACCCGCTCAGCGCAGCGTACTGCATCAGCCGCATCACGAATGCGTTTGAGATGAAGTGGAAAATCGTATAGCGGCGGTACGCAGTGCGGGATTGATTGATTCAGCAGGGGTTCAGGAGCCCTTAACAAGCTGCACACATACATGCCGGCTGTGTGCTTTTGCCTTTCTTTCAATTGACGTGCCTCTGGGAAAGGCGCCGTGGCAGGCTGGATGCCTTCGCTTGCAATTTTGCGTCCCATCCGCAAGGCCCCGCACAAGCCTGCATTTCCTTGTCATCACACAATTTGCACATGCCCGCGCTGGCGATGATAGGACTGCCAGCCTGGCAACATGGAGCCGGGGTAAGTGCCGGGCTGGCACTGCGCGAGAATGGTGATTTCAGTGGTGGTAGTGGACTGGAAGTGTAACCAACAGGGCCAGGCCATAAGTGATACCATAGCCTTGACTAAAGTGGAGGGAGAAGCGAATGCGGCATGAGGACTCCAGGGGTGCAGAGAGGAGCAGCTGGGGGCCCCATGCCTCGTACGGGATAGTGGCTGGTGAACCATGTACATGTAGAGTGTGGTGCCTCCCGCCAGAGCACAGCGCCTACGTGCCTTCTGGAGCTTCTCGAAGTCCACTATTGCAACGTGGCGCTTTTGAGAGTTGCACACACAGGCTGTGGCGGTAAAGTTGATGCGATGAAGATTTGTTTGGTAAGGTATTGTACAGCGGCGGATAGAAGATGGAGTATGGGATTCCCGTGCTATGCTGTCACACTGGGAAGTGTGGCGGCTTATTCTTTTTTCGACAAGGAAAGAAACGAAGGAATTGATAGCATGTCCTTGGGTTAATATCTTGTTATTCTTGGAAACTACTGAAGGGGGTTATGTCTGCTATGCTGCCCTGCATATTGATTAGCGGACTGCTGGAAGTAGGTCAGCGGGTGGTTGCAACACTTACCTCGGAATTGAAGAGCCCTAAGAGCTGTTTTCAATACGGCGCTAACCAGCCCGGCAAATGGACGGCAAACCATTTTGTTCGCACACGTAAAATTCCATGATCTGACCCGGTAACAAGGTGTAAGCGTAAACCACAGCATGCGGACAGGCGAGCACACGTAAAATTAGCGGGTGGCGGTGCGGGTTTAAAGACACTGGATGCCGAGGAAAAAGCCACGTGCCGCTGCGCCCGAGAAATAGCACTTGGCCTAGCACTTGGGGTGGCTTAAGCTCCCAGTTGCGTAAAATAAAACAAACATAAAAAGCACTTTGCGAGCCAGTTCAGAAAAGTATAACGCACATTAAGCAGGTTTGCAATGTCCACATGTATCGCTTCACACATACACCCAGCATCGTTAAGACTGTAGAATAAGCTTCAGGCCGCTTGCCACTGCAAATCAATTTCATTCAATATGCTTGATAGCAAGTCCGCAAAACACAGGCCACGACTGTGGACATTGTATGCTCGCAAACGGTTGTAACCAAGCGGAAGTATACGGCCCAGTCCCGCCAACGCCACAAAATGCGTCCAGATCTGCACACGCCCCCACGAGACAAGGGCATATCAGAGCCGGATTTCAGCCTACACAACACGGTCAACCCAATCATTTCTTCGTCCTCGGAAGCTGCGCAGGAAGCGGCGCAGCGACCTTCTTGGCGGCAGCAGCCGGCGGAGTTCTAGGGGTCACAGGTCTTGGCGTAGGGGCGGCTGCCGGCTTTGGCGTAGCGGGCTTAGGAGCAGCAGGCTTAGCCTTGGGCGGAGCCACTTTGCCATTCACCTTCTCCTTGAAGCTGACTGACGCCCGGAAAGCGGGGGCCTGCGGAAAGCCAAATTTCCGAAGTCTATCCTTAGCCACACACAGAGCTCGCCGCGTCGCAGGTGCGACTCCAGACCCGCTGCCCGTTAGTTGCACATAGACGTGCTTTAAGGGAATACAAAGATAGCGGACGTGACTCACCGTTGCAGCAGGGATCGTAATCGTTTCTCCGGTACGCGGGTTGCGTCCATTCTTTTCCTTTCGGAGACGCGACTCGAAAGTGCCGAATCCAAGAACCGTCACCTGATAAAAAAAGATAAAGATAGCGGTCTCTTGCATGCTCGGATGATTTGACACGCGATGATCAGACGTAACAAGGGCTTGCCGAAGTAACATGCGAATCACTTCAGTCAATCATAACACAATACCTTGTGTAATACCCAATAATACCCATATGCGCATCTTGAAGCCCACGTTTGGAAAAGTCACCCAAGCTTACTCTCTTGCCAGAGGTGACTGCCTCTTGGACGGCGTTGAAAAGAGAATCAAAAGCCTTTGTAGCCTGCGCCTTCGTTATCTCCGCCTCCTTTGCGATCTGGTCGACAAGGACTGCCTTGCCCACTACGGCAGGAGCCTTCTCCTCAGCAGCCCGAACACAAACAGAAAGCCGCCGGGGAACGGACGCCCGGGCTACATGAAAGACATGCTGATGCGTGATCGACATGCGCCTGGCGGCGAGGGCCATTTCTTATCAGGGTTCAACTGCAACAAGAAGCAAGGGTACAGCAGCAAGCTTTAGAGCCCAGACTTTTATGTGAATTACAGATTCATGACTGATTTCGGCTGCTTATGACTTGTGCAATGTGCTCTTTTGAAATTGCTGTACTGCAATCCCCCAATCCGTGCAATCGCCGACAAACACCGCCTCGAGCGTCTGCAATGATGATATCTACAACAAACGTATATTAATACCAAACAACCACATTACATCTTGGATTTTTCAACACAACTTAGTCCTAGCTGACGCATAAGTGCATCCCACCTGTCATTTCCAGTTGTCTGTCCTAGCAGACCCTGATCCCTAGTTAGCTGCCCTTTCAGTGCCTTGCTTAATCTGTCCTACCAAGCTCACTGCCACACAACTCGGGCGATGTAACCTTGAGTGAGCTCCCTCTGTAGCTCACACTGGAGCTGTTAGACAGTGGGTTCATTAAAGCTATCTTCTTCCATCTCCGGTAGCCCAGCCCGTGTGGCCGGCCCCCGTCCATTCTCACGCTCCTGGTGCGCCAGATGCTATCAGTACCCTGCCTACCACCACCAGCACCCAGCCACCCACTACCACCAGTCCCCAGCTCAACACCAACACCCCGCCTGCACTGTCTCCCCTTGCCCTGCTGCACTGCTCCAGAACTCCCTGCCATGTCCCTGTGCTTCCCCTTCTTCCCAGCCCCCGCTCCCAGGTCGTCATTGTCTGCCAGTTGCTGCTTTGCCTTGCAGTGCAGCGTACATAAATTCATGCATTCTCGGGGAGGCACGGCTTCATCATGCCATGGACATCCCGACACACGATGCCCTTTTTTCAGCTCTTACAACGCAGCCTCCTCTGGGCTCGCCCTTTTAGATCCTGCAGTGGAGAATGCGGCACAAATACCACAGATGGGACGATGAGAAAGTGGCCTTACATAGTCTGATAACCTCCTCATTGGACCCCTTACTTAGACCCTCATCGCAGATTGCGGTGATATACCACACTTGCAGCGTCCAATCATCTGGGTGTGCCCGTCACCCACGAGGCCGAGGCGCCGACACAAGGGCTGCTGCCTCTTTGTCACTCTAGACCGGCTCCACTTCAGGCTGCATGGCCTGACATGACGTGACGCGGAAGCAGGATATCCACTAGCACTTATGGCCATTCGCTGGCCCTACCTGCGAGTCAGGAGCTGCCGGCCTATTTAGACAACCGCGTCAGTACCACAACGAAGTGCAGGGCGCACGGGAGCCGATGGCGGGAAAGATGTGTAGCGGCGAGGGTGAAGACGGCCTGCAAGGAGTGCGGGGACTGTGATATAAGAATAGCAGCGGGCAGCAACCCTGCTTGTATGGCTAAATCCTAACTCCTGCTGCAGAGCTGCTTCGGATTTGCTTCAGATTAGGAATCCATTTTTTTGTCCTCAGCTGTTATATCGTGATTACACTACCTACAACCGCAACCGTCCCCGCAGCGAGATGCCACCAGCAGCGAACCTAACAACCAAACTCTGTCCGGACAGCTCGCTGTCAATGACACCGCTTAAGTCTCCATCCACTCCAAACAGCTTCCCAGTGCTGCCGCGCTGCTGATTGGCTTGGCCCCTCCCATTTTCGTTCTCCCCGCTGATCGGCTCGACCAAACTCTTCACTGACTCCCCCTTGCTGCTCCGAAAAAAACTGTTCAGGTTACAGCACGGCGAATAGCCATAACGGTTTGTGATCGTCTTTTTTCTCAAACTTCGTTAAAGCAGCAACGGAGAGCACACGTCAGTACGACAAGATTGTACGGCAGAGTCACTATTTACAGTTGCGTCGTCCAAGGCCCAGATGAGAAACCATACAGCGCTTCCTGACCTCCAAGGCCTTCAAGTGCATGTGTGTTATGGTGTTGCCATACGTATACCATATGGCCGTACCCGCCACCTGTGGACGCGGTCCCCATACGGAGCCCGATCCTGTCGTTGTCCACTCTGTCCCCCGGTCCCCCACAGTACAGTGCCTTGGTCACCATCACCACCACCACCATTTCGCATTTGCACAGAATGAATCCGATGTTCACTCCAATGGCATTATAGTCCGAACTGAACCAGCCACATTTCGCACCTACTTGAGCTCCAGTTCAATCCAAGCTTTAGCCTTCCTACCCCCTGCCATAGATTTGAAGCATAGAGTGGCCGCGAAGCATCATTCAGATACTTCACTTCCTAGATAGATAGCCAAAAACAGCGGCACGCTCGCTGGCGCGCGCCGTGCCAAAATCTTCCGCAAGCACGCACATGCTCATCAGCAAGCTTACTGCGTCAGTCACACACAGACACAGAGAGACATACACACACACTCACACAATTACTCTCTCTCACACGAGAATTCTTTCATTGGACAATTTAAACACACTGCTCGCGCTTTGTGAGACATCCCAATCATACATACATACATACGTACATTATTCCCGCCACTGCAGCATACATTGACCCCCCAACCCCATCCAACCGCATCCAGGGATACGGATGAGGAAATTCTTCGCAGTCCGTCCTTCCGTCAGTGCAGCATCCCGTCGGGAAATGAACATATAGCAGTGCCCAGCAGCATGCGTAACCGCATTGTGGAGTACGGGTCTGTGTGTGTGTGTGTGTCTCCAGACACGTAGCCATACCTAGATCCATATCACACCCACATCCACAGCACTCAACCCACATCCGCACCCACACCCTTTTGCCATTTGCCTTGTCAATACACAAACAGCAATACCCCGCCATCGGTATACTTTGCATCCGTACCCACATCCGTACCCGCAGCCGTGTGCACTCCCACCAAAATCCTCCAAATCCCCTCGACTGGATCAATCGGCAATCATGCCCTAGCCCTGGAGAGAACTGACGGGCTCCCCGCGCGTGTGTGTGGCCGGAAATCAGGCATCCAGACATCCTCCTTACTGATCAGCCAATAGCCTAACCAGGCCACCCCGCACCCCCCCCACCTCCTCTACCCGTCCCCTCCGTCGTATATTACAGCCGCCCATCCCCCCAGTCCGTCATTCAGATGCATGAACCATACCCTCCTATCTCCCTCTGTCTCCTGGAAGCTGTCGAAGCTATTAGAGGCGCCAGCTCGGCATGACAGGCAACCCGTGGCATGATGCCTCGCCCGTGACGGTTGCACTGTGCATGGGGTGATGTCGGCATATATCGGCTGCATTGGCGCCGCTGCGTACGTCAATACACCTAGAAGTCCCCCCACTCCCCCCCCACTCCCACATCGTCCCTGCCGGCCGTGGATTCTTTCTTTTCTCCGGTAGTGGCCTTTTCCCCTCCCCCCCCCCCCGGGACGTGGGGAAAGGGGGTTCCAGAGGAGGGTTCTTCTCCTCGGTGGGCATAGGTGAGGGCAATCCCCACCCCCACTCCCAACTTCCGCCGTCCGAGCCTAATCGCCCCACACCCCTCCCTACCGCCCTACACCCTCTGTCTCCCGGCCTGCCTGCCCCGCGTCTCTTCCATCCTGTATCCCACCCCAACCCAGCGAGTCACCAGAACAGCAGCAGCAGCGACAAAAACGTGAAACAACACAATACCAATACCAATATCAATACCAGTAAGATTAAAATATTGCATCGCCCAAGGTTCTTCCCCCTTGCGTCAACATCAATGTCAATGACAGCAGCAGCAGCAGCAGCGGCAACAGCGGCAAATAAACTTGCATGAACAAGTCGCATGATGTCAGGTCCGTGAGGCAAATCAAATCGTTTTTCCGATTGTGTGTGTATGTGTGTGTGTGCGCGTGTGTTACAGTACGGAGACAGAACTGCAACCCCAGCTCGTCCGGTGCCACTCCCGCTCGCTTGGAGGCCTGACCTGCTGCCTGGTCCGCAGCACACCCGAGTCGCAAGGGGGGACCTCAAAGGGGATCAAAAGGGAAGCTGTCGCCGCCGCCGCCGCCGCCGCCCTGAGTGGAAGCCAGCGATGAGTTAGCCGCACCAAGCTGGGCCAAACCGGGCATGGCGGCAGCGGCAGCGCCGCCGCCGTTGCTGCTGCCGCCGCCGGCCGCCAGCAGCGGCAGCAGCGCCATGATTCTGATGCTCCTCGTAGCTCCGGGTGTGCGGGGGGAGCTCCGCCGGGGTGATAGGCACTCCGCTGCGACGTACTGCACATTGCCGCTTGAGGAAGCAATGGCGGCGGCCGCAGCGGCCGTGGCCGCGGCGGCGGCGGCAGCACGGCGTTCCGCCAGCATCCTTACGTCGGCGGCGGTGGCCAAAGCGCAGGACCCAGAACAGTGGCCGCCACCGATTCCAACTCCGCTCTGCCGCCGCTGCTGGTGTGCTAGTGCCAGCAAATATGACTGCGGCTCGGAACTGCGTTCGGCTTCCTTTGCTGGTTCAAGGTCCTGTTCACTTTCAAGTGGTTGTTGGTTACGGTAGTTGACGCGGTTGCGATCGCAACAGCCGCCCAGCGCAATGGATGCTGTGCCGAGTATGGGGCCACGGAGGTGGTGTCCGTTTGGGGAGGAGGGGGTGTCTGCGACGGCTGCCCTACCTGCGACGTGAACCTGGTGTTCAGACCCGAGAGGTCCCAGGATCGATTCCGAGCCGGGGCTACGCGGCGGTGCCATCGTGGTGGCGATGGTGCTGTGAGAGCCGATGGATAAACGCCGTACATGCTGGCGGCCGCCAACTCCGCCACCGCTGTCGAGGCCATCCCGTACAGCACGAACGCCCCCAAGAGGGTTAGACCGACGACTGAAGAATAACTGCGCCCCCGTATCAGGATGATACATTTTTGCGCCGATGCCGGTGTTGCCGGCACGAAATGGCTGTGGCGACGGCGGCCCCTCAGCGGCCGCAGCTAACAGCCCGCCGCCGCCGCCGCCAGCATATAGGAACAACTGCCGCAGGAGGGCAACCGGAGACCCATCACTGCCGCCGCCGCCGCCGCCGCCGCCAACGCTGCCACGACGGCCGCCGGGCCGCGCGTATGTCGTACACGTGTTCCGCCTACTGGAAGCAGAGCCTGCTGGGTTCCGGAGCCCCGGCGAGGTGAGCGCGTCCGGATCTCCTCGCCCCCCACACGCGTTACTCCCGCTCGCGAAACCGGCCCACGAAGTCTTGTTAATGCCAACACTACTCGTTATGCTACAGCTCCTACGGCCGCTGCCAATTGTTGCTACAGCCGCCGGGAACAAGGGGTTGGTGAAGTCTACCGGGGTTTCCCTGATGCCGCCGCCGCCGCCGCTGGCACTGCAAGCGCCTCGGCCAGCTGTTGATGCTGACGCTGCTGCCAGTGCTGCTGCCGTTATACCTATGCCTTGCCCGTCACACGCCAGCGCGATGGCTGGGAGCGCCTCGCCAGGGCCTTCATTCTGGAAGTCATCGCTGCCACTACCACCACCACCAAACATCCCGCCGGCTGCTGCTGCCGCTGCTGCTGCTGCCGCTACTGAGAGCAGCAGCTCATCAGTGTGAGCGGTGGAACCCGAGCTGGGGCGTCGCAGGGACGTACGTACCGCCGCCGCTGCCGGCTGCCGCGGGCTCTATCACCGCTACCCCGGTTGATCCTCACGCGGCGAAGCTGCGGAACCTGGTTCGCGCTGGAACCGCCGCTGTGCGCCGCCGCTGATGCCGCCGCCGCCGCCGCCGCCGCGGGCACATCCAGACCTCCGACTGACGCAACTGCCGCGACCACGGCGGCTGCTGCCGCCACCGCGTCAGCCGCCTCCACTGCCTCCTCCTCCTCCTCCTCCTCCTCCGCCAATTCCGCCACCTCCACGAGCCGTTGGTGCCGCTGCGGCTGTTTGTCAGCGGTGCACCTCAGCGCCGCCGCCGCCTCGCCGCCGCTGGTGGTCATTTCGGAGGGTAGCACGTCCCGGAACTGACCTAGGTTCGCCCTGGGCCCTACAGGCCCCATCATCGGTTCAAGGGGGGAAAGGAAAGAGAGGAGGACGGGATGGGGGAGTTCAAGAAGGGAAAGGTACATAGCGCATAGGTGATGTGGGCGGGTTGGAGCGAAGTGAAACCGAATGAGAGTTGGCGGTTTGCGTGCTTTGCAAAGGTGCAACTTGGTCAGTGAACGGGAGTGCGCGGGAGTGGAGACGTGTATAGGGGGTGAGCGGGCAGCCCGGGGGGGGGAGAAGCTAGACAGGGGATTATGGAGTAGGGGGAGGAAGGGGGAGAAGGGATAATGTGACCGAATTTGTTGGTCCGGTTGGCAATCAGCTGGCCTATGAGTGTTTGGCTGTCACCCGCACACACCCCCGCCTGGCTGCATGGATTTTCTCCGGGGGAGAAAACACCATTCTGAACCGTTATGCACCCATCGGCTGGTACGGATGACCACCAGCCACCCGCTTCACGTTTAACCTAATCGAGAAGCTGACGGTACGTGGGGGTATCGGCACAGTACAGTTACTGCATCACTGCATTACTGCATTTTTAACGGTATCAACTACCGCCCTCCTGTCCAAACCATCAACGAACTTACCTTTAAACCAGGTCTTGGCGCCGTACACCGGAAAGTAATACCTGTTGTTGGAAGAGTACGATTTTTCCGATCAGAGTATCAGCACATCATGTGGATTGCGGGTTGGAGGGAGCCGGGGCCCCGGGGCCCCTGAAGAACTCGCCAGCAGCGCACGGCCGTTCAAAAGGGGGATGTGTTCCCCCCTTTGTTAGACCGCATCCGGAGCTGATCCCCCGGGGCCCAGCTACAGAGAATCTCAGCAGCGCCACCCACCCGGCAGTGACCGGCGCGCCCTCGCGGCTTTAGCCCCATGTCCTGCACCCCGTGTCGCCCCCTGGTGGCCTACACCCTGATGGCGGCATCGCGCCGCCTAAGTCCCCATCGTGAAGGTGGTAATGCATGCATCGACAAAGTTGATGAAGGCCAAAGGCTCTCCCAAATAGTCCCCCCACCCTCCTCCCCCCACCCTCCTCCCGCCCGCCCTCCTCCCGGCCCCCCGCCCTCCCCCGTCAGCTCACCAGAGCAGCAGCAGCGCTACCACCCCCAGCACCATAGGGCCCGACCAGTTGCAGTTCTGGAGCGACACCGGGTACGTGGCCGGCAGCACGAAGAGGACCAGGACGGTGCACAGCCACAGAACCGTAAGCACGTTGTTCGCACAAGACAGGCTGGGCCGCACCTGGAAGGGCCCCGGGAGGAAGCGGCGCCGGCCCGTGGTTAGCCTGAACACCATCCACCCCGGGGAGAGCAGGAAGGCAACCAGGGAGGGCGGGAGGCAGGGCACGGAAGGGAAGGTTGAGGTTAAGGAAAAGAAGTGCGCGCGTCATTGGGAGCTCGCGAACCTCTGAGGTAAGGCGGTGGGTGAAGGGTCTGTGTGTGTGTGTGTATTGGGGAGGGAAGGAGGTGTGCAGTAGCTAGGGACTGGGTTGGATTTTGACAGATCTGGGCATTTAAAACAAAGTAGTATTGCAATCCCAGATACGGCGGCATAAGGCCTCTGAACGCGGACGACCCAGAGTGCACACAGGCTTTTCGAGTGTCGTGGTAGAGGGGAGAGGGGGAGAGGGGGAGGGGAGGGGGGGAAAGGGGAAGGGGAGAGGGGGAAAGGGGGAGGGGAGAGGGGGAGGGGAGAGGGGTCCAGCTAGCTGGACGCCATTCCGCTTATCTTCCCTCTTCTCCTCCTTCCAAGCTCCATGGGTCAATGGGTCACTAGTAACCACTTTTTTAAAAGCACCGCCCCACCCCGGGACAAAAGGACAAAAGGACAAAACGGCAAAACCACCCCATTCTCACTTAAAGACCACGGGCACCAGGTACGCCACGTAGCAGGCCAGTACGGCAAATGAGGTCACCGCTGAGAACTGGCGAGGCCAGGGGAAAGGCAAGTGGGGTGGGGGACGAGGGGGGGGAGCTTTCAGAACCTCTTAAGGCCATGGCGGTGGGGTGTATTCTTATGGTTTGTATGTGCACTTGCAGGGTGTGGGAGCCGTGTGGCCATTAGGCGGCGTTCTGCAAGGAGGGAGAGGAGCAGGACCGCACGAACAGTGCCCCCCCCCTGTCCGCCACTTTTACTTCGCGAAATTGTTGAGTGTAGGGAGTGCCCGCATTCACACAACCCTGAGCTCAACTCCATTCACACACACACACCCTTCACTCTCCGGGTCAGGATCCGCCTGCTTCTTCCTCCTCCCCTTCCTCACCCGCAACCCACCCACAACCCCCACCCGACACATACAAACACACACACCCTCCCCACTCTCCCGCCCCCCCCCAAACCCCCACCACGACACTATTGAAGCACATGGGTATCGACAGCGCCGCCGCCGCCGCCACCATGTACACATTCGCCCACACAGGGGCCCGGCTGCCGGGGTGCACTCGCGCCGCCAGCTGGGACAGGGGCACACCGCCGTCCCGGGCAAAGGCGTACAACATCCTGGAAGTGGGGAGAGAAAGTGTGTGTGTGTCCTGTGTATGTGTGTTCTGTGTGCGTGTGTGTCGTCCGTGTTGTGTGTGTTGCGTTGTATGTGCATACGGGGTGCATGACTTGAAAGGGGCATGTGAGGCACGGGAGGGCAGCACATGGTCAGAGCACCGGGGGGAAGCAGGGGGCCTGGGTGGCCGGCGGGCCATGAAACACGTCGGGGCGAGCACCGGGTAGGGGAGAAGTAGAGACGCAGGGCGGGCGTTTGGTGTTGTTATGGTTATGCCTTCCGTACGTACACGGCGACGGACGGTGAAGTCATCAAGACAGATGGTGAAGTCATCAAGACAGATAAGTATTGGATGCGACGGTGTGGCAGGGATGATGACTAGTGCTGTTGCTGGGTAACCCCCAGCAGCTGCATGCAGTTGCATACGGCCCCCCCCCACCTGGGTCAACCCCCGCCACTGCTCACGGCATCCATGGTGTAACCGCTTAATGTACGAATGTGTGGTACTGCATGTCGTCACCTACCTGGCGTTGTTCGCCAAAGCCTGGAAGCTGCAGAAGTACGTCCCCACGATTGGCATCGCGAATAAGGCCCCGCTGCTGCTGAAGGGGACGTCCACCCCGTCGAGCATCTAAGTGAGGGGACCAAGGGGAGGGGGGCCAAGGGGAGGGGGGCCAAGGGGAGGGGGGCCAAGGGGAGGGGGGCCAAGGGGAGGGGGACAATGTGCATGTGTGTTTTAGGGCTGGCGGAATGTCCGGGGGTTCTCGGACCCCGAACACCACGGGGGGTTAGAAGATCAGGCCACGTAAGCCACCAGTACCGTACTTCCTCGCCGCTGGGAGATTTCAACACTACTCGGCACACCTAGTTTGTTTGGTGTTGCTCCCGTCCTGTGCTTGCCGGTGCAAACACCTCCCCCACCCCCACTGCACCACTATCGTTCCATCATACCATCCATACGCTTCGCGCCCTATCTCGTACCCCCCCCACAAACATTGCTGTCACACACACACACACACACACACACACGTGCTGCTCTCCCCACGGATGCGCGTGCAGTGCTGCTCCACGCAGTCCGGGTTCGAAAGCAAACACGCGCCTGCTCGTCCTGCGCCGCTCACAACCGAACTCCCAGCCACTATCAACCACCCTAACCACCACTCCAACTGTCCCAACGGAACACGCGGAACCCTAACAAAAGCAAACCCCCCCGAATTCCCCAATGCACCAACCTGCACCAGCATCTTGAGCACCATATTGTCCTGTCCGCTAGGGTCGAATTTAATGGACTCATCCACCTTGACCACGACCAGGGTCAGCATCAGCACGAAGCCGCACAGCCCGGCGCCCAGGATGGACAGCAGCATGGCGGCAGGGACAACCAGCTCGGCATGGAGCGTCTCCTCCGCCACGTGAGCAGCTCCGTCGTACCCTGTAAAGCTCCACCTGGTGCCGTACAAAGATGTACACATAAAGGAACGTGTTGCGAGATCAAAACAACCCGATTACTATGTATTGTACGTACATGCAATACGAGGGCACAGACAAGGAGAGAAAGGAGGTAAGGGGGGAGTTCGCTGGCACCTTCGCAGCACAAGAAGTCATAACGTAGAAAACACGTTTTCCCGTCATGCGCTATTCATCACACGCCATCAGCCATCACGGACCAGGCAGATGGACAGCAGCATATTTGAAACGGAATGAAGTTTAGAAAGAATATCAGAAATAGAAGAAATACCGTAGCATGGAAAGCTACATGTACCACACAGACAGCACTGCACAGCGGCTGACGCCCCCACTCCCCTGCCAAGACAGGTTTGCCAAGACAGATTTGCGCTGGCATGAATGTCGGCTGGCATACATATATATCCACACGCCCAACATGACTCACTGCGCCATCAGGATGCCGAGCAGCACGGTGTACAGCGGGCTGGTGATGCCAGTGAGTGTGCTGTCCGACTGCCAGGACGTGAAGACGTACTGCGTACGGCAGCAATCAATCGTAAGGCTAGTCAGTAGTCACAGCACGACACAGCGCAATGTGCTCATCCTTGTTTCACACTCCTCCGCACATCGCAGCGGGCAGGGGTTGCTAGGAAAGCGGGGAGAAGAAAAGATGAAGGAAGCTTTTCCAGGCTGATCCGGCGTGTCTGGATCTTTTGTCTCGTTCGAAGGGAAGGGATGTTCGTGTTCTGTGAGTTCCCGTAAGTCGTCAATCAACGTTTTTGCCCTGCGCCGAAACGAGTTCAGTCCGCTGCCCCCTGGTTACACGCTGCACATTGAAGCCCCGCCCTTGGCCCCGGCCCGAAATGTTAAGAGTCGCGGAGGTGGCGGATGTCCGGGTGCTACCCCGGATAAGATAAGGCCCAGATGTGCATGCAGGGGCACAGAAGAGCCGCCGGGGAGGGGGCCCCACTCGGCGCCCCGTGGCCTTCCTTTCATACACACATCCCCCTCATCCCCCTCATCGCCTCTCCCCGTCTGCCTCTCTCCAGATCCGCCACCCCCCACGGGAGGCCATTTGAGGACGAGCCCCCGGGAGCTTGGGTAGCTCGCTGCCCCAGCCTCACCTCTACAGGCTGCCTCTTGGGCGCTAGGAGCAGGAGAGCAAAGCAGAAGCCCAGCAGCGCGATGATGTGCCAACTGGCGGGTTCGGGGGAGGCGGGAGGCGGGGGGAAGGACAAGAGCAGTTGTGCCCGGGGTGAGGAAAGGAAAGCTGCCCCCGGTGTTAGCGCGGACGCAGGTGGTGGATAGCGACTGCTGGGTGCCGTGGTTAATGAATGCGTCCCGTACCTGTACCGCATGTTGTCGTAAGGTACGGAAAAAGGGGAGGAGGGGGAGGAGGAGGAGGGGGGGGAGGAGGGGGAGGCAGAGAGAGCGGCAACGCAAGGAAATACAAAACACGTGCTGTCGGTTTGATGAGATGACTCCTCCCCCCCGGGGAACCGACCGCGGTAAAAACAAGTGATACAAAAGGACAAACCACGCCAGGAAACACGGCATGCACCTGTCCGAGCTAGGCGACGGGGCACCTTGAGCCAACCACGCTAAAAATCCCCATACATACATACATACATACATATAGGCAGGTGGCCGGCAGAAGTTAAGGCCTGGCTCCTGTTCCAGGACGACCCGGGTTCAAATTCGCCTGCCGACCTCTCGGGTGTTTGAGAGGTGTTGAGATGGGAGGTGGCCCCCCATCTTGGGGACGGGTAGGACGTGATATTATCAACTTGCGAGCTGACCAGGAACTAAGTTGAGGCGCCGTTGATCCGCTAGGTTAGGTTGGATGCTAATGGTGAGTTGCTGAACCCAACGAATACATCCTGAAATCGGATTGGGTGAATGGATTAGGGTGCCCCTCTCGCAGGGGAGAGCAGGGAACTGCCTCGGGAAAGGGGGCCGCTGGTGAAGCTATACCACCCTGTCACGACATACGTACTATATTCCCAAGGTATTCTATCGCCTGAACTCCCTTCATATCTCTGCAGTTAGGTCTTCTAAAACGTCATCACTTCTTCAATGCTGTACCGCTCCACCTCTTCTTCTGCCGTTTCTCCTATACCCCTTCAACTCACAAGGCCCCCAAGGTGGTGAGGTAGGACGTCACGCGGGCGGATCCGCAATTGAGAATGCACACCGTCGCCAAGGTCGCCAGCAGGATGCCCAGACGTTTAGTCGGGCCGAGGACGATGCCTGCAAGGCACAATCAAGTCAAGGTGGTGTTGTGTGTGGGAGGGGGAAAGACGAACCACAAACGAGTGAAGCTGCTGCTGAGGGGGAGGGAAAAGGACAAGATAAGGAAAGCCGCCAAACCCAGGGAGGAAAGTGAGCCCAGGGCTTCCGGGCTCCCTTAGGTATTCTCCGCCTTAACCCCCTGGCAACCGAAACGACTCTGGCAAAGAAAAACCACCTTAGGCCCTAGGTCCGTTAGCTCGAAACCGACCCTTCAAACAACCCACCCCTCCGCCGAACCACAAAACGCCCAGGTGCATGAAGCGATCAACCAGCCTCAAGCTCCCCCCCCGGGTGTTCACCCATGCCATCCTAGCCTAGCACAGCAGCAGTGTGTACGCACTCCGTGCACACGGACTAGGCAGCCCGCACACACCGTACTGTTGCTCCAGGGCGACGTCCACGAGTCCAACGAACGTCTTCAGGAGAGGTTGAGTGAGAAGGATGTAGAGGCCGAGGGACCATGGAAATACGGGAATGGAAATACGAAGGGTACGGGGAAAGTACGGAGCGGCTGTACGAAAAAAGAGTGGGTGTATGAAAAGGATTGACGATCTAGAGGGCATTAAAAAAATGGATCAGGGGAGTGGAAATGAGTTGTGGCGGGCTTGGAACAACGAGAAGTGGTGTACGTATGTATGTGAGCATGCCGGGGCACACGCATGAAAATGCACAGTTGCACTCCGCACACGCAAGAATCTCAGACGGACGTCGAACTCACATAGGTGGCGGATGCGGACAGCGCGGACTGTCCCAAGGTCATGAGCCAGCCTGTCAGGAAGCAGGTCAGGTTCCGGAGCCGAGGTGGTGCCATCTTGTACGACCAGTAGTACAGCGCGCCAGAAGTTGGATAAGCAGATGCCATTTCCTGAGAGATGCAAGAAACAATCGCAACTTTATAAAGATATTAGGACGGCGTGGCGGAAAGTTGGGATGACATAGATGTTATGGAAATGCGTGTTGGCGTGGTGGGAGGTTTCTAGACCCAAGTTATGGACTGCCTATTTAGGCTACTACTTCCGTTTCCCCTGAAATGTCCTTTTTGGCTAGAGTTAACCGGCCACTACCTGAACCGTATAGATAGCGCAAAAACCATTATAGCCGTTGTGAAATACTTTTATGCCTGTTAGATTATTTATGGCGCACTTGAAAAACGCACCTTCAAGAACTTGATCCGTGAAACGACGTGTCTGTATAATAAATATAAGTCTGTGTCAAATAATACAAATCTGATTGGCTAAACCCTGTTGTGTTTAGTAATAAAATTGACCGCAGCGATGTCGCTAGATGCAACTAGTGAACAGCTTGATTTGCTCGAATGCATGAGTTGCACGTCTCGGCAGTTCAGCACTTCAGCAGCACTCCAGAAGAATTTAGGAGGAACGATAACCATGATAATAACAATACATTCAATTCATAAAAACTAGTTATCAATGGCCAAAACAGGCCACAGGAGCTACTGCAGCCCCAATCTACAATCTACTTTCATACTCACGTCCCATAGTGTCCCTCGGTCCTGAAGCCTTGCGGCCCCTGGTGGTGCTTCGAACGCCTCCGCAGCATCGTTCTTCGCGCGCTTTCAGCTCTCGTACTACATTGTATGGCGTCCCTGAGTCGGGTCGCGTCAATCGACCCTCTGCTGTCCGTTCTTTTTTTCCTCGCCCTTTGATCGCAGCCTTCGCCCTCCGCGTGCCTCCTTGCTTATTTCACTCCCTTCTGCCGCTTTCCTGTCTACCCAGCCCGCCCAGCACTGTCCTTATGCGGCCACAGTCATCGTCGCAACCTCGAAGTAAACTTCCTTTGTGATCGCAAATAAATTAAATATATTATTATTTCATATATAATAAGAGTAAATGAATTTACCATATAGTTGCATGCAGTCATTGGGAAAAACTATTGATAATACAATACAGAACCTATATGAATAATAAAGAATACTATAAATTTCACCGTTTGGTGGATGATCCTTACCTAACATTTCATCAACTTTAACTTCTTTGGCGGCTGCTACAATAGTATCAACATCGATTGCTATATTAACACTACCGAATATGTGCACTACCTGGTTAGTAGTTTCTACATGTAAATCATAATCCGGTGCTAGCTTATAATTCCTAACCTCTTTCGCTTCTTTAAAGGTGATTCCATCAATATCAAGGGCAAAACCTGCCTCTTCACCTTTAACGATGACCCTTTTGATGCTAGAGGAATAAATGCATTACCAATATTATCACAACCCAATTGGTATATTCAACAGGCTGAGCTTCCTTTTTTAAAATAGGGCCAGGGGCAGCAATTATTTCCAAAATAGCCATAGAATAAGTAATAAATTTCTAACTAAAAATTTTCCTTATTATAATACAAATATATCCTTGGGTAAATATAGAAAAAAAAACTTCTTAAGTTATTCAAACGGCTTAACCACAACCATAATCACAGCAATTACCATAAAAATTACAGGGTTTGTAAGTAAGTTCTTATCACTGGGCAAGTCATCAGTAGCGGAAAATTTAACCACCAAGCCCAAAAGTGTTCAGAGGATGACGTCCCCCAGCGTCATTTCTTCCTTCACCCCGCACGGGTTTTAATTTAATTGTAAGGCATACACACTTGAGACTATTCATACACTATGCAACAGCCCCCTGTTGGTGGACTTCTCACCGCCAGGCTGAGACCCACGGACAGCGTCAGCGCCATCACCGCTATCCAGCCCCACCTGCGGTACAATTACGACGCACCGTACGGTACGGCAGGGTTACGACAATCTGTCACTGAGTGCAGTCGGCTCCCCACATGCCTAGATGTACAGTAACAGACTTACAGTCCGATAACCCGCTAAGAAAGGCGCAGCACAAGCAGAGCAAAGAACTATACGCATTCGCGTTTGCATGTGCCTGCCGTACCGCCTCCCTGCAGCTTCCCCTCCTCAGGTGCAGAAAGTCTGCCCGACTTACGTCATCACGATGGGGCCGCCGTACGTAAAGCCGATACCGATGCCATATGGGCCTGCGGGGATTTTGGGTCCGCAGAAAGTGTTTTCGGAGCCGGCGCGGGAGCTGAATCCCGTCTCAAGCAGGATACCTAGGCGCTCAGCTGCACTTGGGCGAGATGGGGGCATGACATAACGGTGGGGCACGTGTATGGCTTGTAACCGACTTCCCAGCTATGATGCGGCCAGGGTCAGCTCCGCTTCCCTTACACCCTGTTTTCCTGCGTTACAATCCTCCTTCCCTGCGCCCTGTCGTTTTCTGGCGTCCTGCAATGCCCTTTCCATGCTGCAGCCCCACGGTTGCCTGGGACCCCGCACCCACCCACCCACCCACCCACCCATCCAAGGCTGCGAAGCTGCTGAGCACGTTAAAGTTGCATCCGAAGCAGTTGAAGAGAGTAAGCCTGCAGTTTGGTGGGCGGGTTGACGTAAAGGAAAGATGCCGTAAAATGAAAGAGATCGTGAAAGCAGAATGCCGTACAGACCACTTGACGCAATACAGATATGGTTGAACGGACTCGGAGGGCTGGTTCAAACATGAGTACGAACAAGAGAGGGAGAAAGAACACTGAAACTGGGAATCTGGAGTGAACGACATCCTCAATGCATGGCGCGAAAAAGGATAGTTGTTATTTCCTAGACACGGCGTTGGGAACTGTGCGGTGCAATGGCTCAGGAAGTGACGGCCTGGCTTACAGACATGGGCAGAAACGCAGCCAGTAACGCAAAAACACATTACACCTAACCACTCACTCACTCGCGAGCCAGCTCCTGCCGGTATCCCATCATCTGCAGCTTAACTGTATCAGTGTTGCCGCGGCGGCGGGGGCCCCCGGCAAAATTAAACGAGGCGCGACCGCCCGGGGGGGCTGGGTTGCGGCCTGTCCACCGCTTGCACTGTGAAACTGGGTCCATTTTGTCTCTATCCCTGTCCTTGTGTGTGAGGCAGCTGTTGTCCTGCAGCGATGCAGTACAACATAACGAGCAGCACGCCAGGATGGAACTTTCCCCAACCCACAGTTCGAGGCGAAGCGGAAGGGAGGGTTCAGTGCAGACGGGTGCGGATCTGGAGACGGAGGGGCGCGGGGGCACCTGCTGCTGCTGTTGAAAACCTGAATGCTTCATAAGATAGCGAGTTTCGCCTGCCCGCGAGGAAGGACTCCAGCGGAAGTAGACCGTGAGAGATTGAGACCGTATGAAGACGACCTCGAACACAACGCTGGGTTGCGCTCAATTATATGCCGCGGACCTCAGGCCCTTACATCGGCCTGGAGGCCAACCCAGCCGCCCCGTTGCACGCATTAACGCCAATTGATAGATTGAGATTCTCCATTGCAGATGCCAAGGCTGGTATGAACCCCTGTAGCAGCGTCTGCGTGGATACTGTGCCTAACGCTGGCAGGTCCACATGATGTACATACTGTTCCCGTCCCGAATTGTCTTCCACCGCAGCCTGTGTTACATATTATGACTATACTTACTGAAGGCGCGGAGAAGACCGTGGACTCCTTTCCGCTCAACCTCGCCATCGCATAAGTAAACACGGGCCCCGACACCGCAGCAAAAGGGTACTGGACAGTAGGATCAAGAAGGTGTTTTATAAACTGACAGATGTTACGTCATTTCTGCATTCTATTGCACATACGCTATAAACACGTGTTATGATAAAAAGTAACATATTCTGGTGAAGGAAACATAACAGTTTGATTACTTCAAGGCTATAACATGCATACGTAAATGCAAATTTGTTAGGCTTCCTGAACATTGTTCCAAATTCCAACTTTCCGATGCTGCCGGACAGCCACCGGAAATTGTAACCGAACGGTTACGCGCATCGCTCGTGACCTAACTGGCATCCAAGCTGAATTAAGGTGACAAAACTTGTTAATCTGGCTTATGTAAACACTTCTTCTGAACGTGTTGAGTCGTTGCCCGGATCGTGCGCATTTGTTGCACTGTTGGGATTTCCTCCCAAATCGTAAAGCGTAGGGCTACAAGAAGCGCTTCATGTAAATTAACGAATCTGCAAGTAAAAAACCACCAACCCCTTTCAGAGGCATGAGTCATTACGCCTCGCGTTGCGGTACTGTTCGCAAGTTTGCCGTCGTTTAGGAACGTAACCCCACCTAGTTTGGTATACCCAGCGTCCTAACTATGCCAATGCAAAAGTATCTGGGCTACGAGAAGCCCGGGGCAGGCACCCGTCTAAGGTCCCTTCCTTCAAGTCGTTTCTGGAGTAGCTTCTAATTGCACAATTACGATGCGAGACTGCGTAGAAAGATGTACTTATGGAGTGCTTTCGCCTAGTGGCCTAGCAGCCTTCGACAGTACGGTTAGGCTCGTAAATTTTGGACACAGGGCAGATTCCGGCCGGAATCCGCGGACACTATACTTGCCTTGAGTCAACAGGTAATCTCGCGTGCGCGCTTCCCTCGCGAGGTGTACCGATGGCGTCTGAGTAGCTTTGACCTCCGCTCTAGCTTTGACTAACAAGGACCGACCGCCGCAGCTACGCCGCGATTTCGTCACAGCTTTTGGAGGAAAGCATCCGGGCCAGTCGGTAGGTTCTACTTGTGGACACGGCGGTTACAAATGCTAGCGCCACTGAGTTGAGGGCAAGCTACCGGACAGGCGGACACGAATCACGGACTCAAACAACCCCTAAAAAGGCACTGCGCATACAGGATCCGCCGCCCGCAGCTACATGCCTTAGGGTCCATTACGCCTAGCCTGCAACAACGACCAAGCGAAGAGACCGCGTAATGCGCGGTTGCGCTCCCGTCACGCTCGACCGCTTGGGGATGACGGGATGAACGCAGTGGAGCTTTAGGATTTGACGTTCGGTATGATAAACGGTGCTGAACATGCCGCGGGAAAGCGTTAATCAAAGAGAATAGCTATTCCCTCGCTAGACATGATTCGTTGTGCGCCTGTTAGCTGCCGATTCGATTCGCTAGCGCGGTCCTCAACGCGGCTTTCCCCTGGGACACCCCTTCAACGCGTAAGAATTTGACGAAAAGAAGTGAATAAAGGCATTACCTTGGACTTTTTGCGAGAATGTCTTTCATATCCCTTACTGCTACTTATGTCGGCATTCTCCATTTCAGATACCTTCAGTAACCACCACTATGGGTTGTAAGACAAGGAGGTTGCACCTGCAAAACGGCGGAAGAGTGCGGAAACCGTAACCCCCGAGGTTTCCGCGCCAACCGCTCAGCTTTTTTCATGTTGACGGATACCGGTTACTGCACGGCCCATGACCTGAACTAAGCATTGCGCAAACGCTCCTTATGCTTAGGTCGGTGCTTCGGTCCAAACCTAGAACCTGGGGCGTTCCGTTCGCTCAATGGCCATGGGCCGTCCAGCAACCCTACAGCTGCGCCAGCGCCCACAAACGCTCGTAACCCCGTTACGCCTGCTGAGCACCGCGTCCCGGACACACCATTCAGTCCCGCGCACAGGTCATGGCATGCATTACGATCATACATCATTAATAAAAGTATGTTTCGTATATTGCAGGCGGGTGGACAATTGTAATAGTTTACGTACGGTATAGTACGATACAGTACAGTTGTAACAGTTTATAACACTAATACATCGGTGTCTACAACACACGCACTAAGGCGGGTGTTGGTATGCGGCCGCTCGCATAGTGACAGGGCGCACAGAGGCTGCGATTTGTCTACAGGTGTTGGTTGTATTGCCATAAACCAGGCTATCCATACGCATCAATTAGGCTCCATAAGCGGGTAAGCCCCATTCGCCGCCATTATGAAATTGGCAAACGCGATTAAATACATAGGACAGCGTATGCATGTGCCCCGAATGTACTACAAAAGTGACATTGCAGCTGTGGGTTACAGCCTGTGGGCACGCGGCCGGGCAGCAGACGGCACAGCGCTGGCGGCATATGAAGCAGGACGCGAATCCGATGCTTCGGCTTTTGGCGAAACGGAGTTTTACACGCCGGGGGCTGCTGGCGCTTGTGCTTGCCTCGCTGGCCCCACCATCCTCTTCCGTATCTTGCATAAAGGAGTTGTCCTTACCGTTGATGGCCGGCAACGACAGCATGCATGTGTGTGTCGATGGATGTGCGTGTCAAACCCTAGAGCAATAATTGCCTTTTCGAGTACACCGCCTCTGAAAGCGATATCCAACAATTTACGGTGATGGACGGGTGTGCTGGCGAGGCGAGAAAGGGGACGGGTCAATAGATTGCCTGCAGGTAAACGACACCGTAACCGCGCCGTGAAGAAGCTTCTCGCACAACTATAAGGGCATCCCCAAGGACTTGACATCCCTAGCACCATAACGTGGAGACATTCAAGAAAACACGGCAAGTGTGATAATGCCGCCGCTAACGCATACACGGTGGGCCAAGGACAAACAACTTCGCAATGAAGTGCAGCAGCAAAGCGCAAACATTGGCTGGCCAAAGATCAGCGCAATAAACACCTACACGGACACGCACATCATCCCATCATGACACCCCTGCAGAGCTCGACTAGTGCTTGGAAACCAGCACTATGCTGCCCACCAGCCAGCCATCCTGTGAGCTAGATGAACAGCTAACCTTCAGACAACACGGCCACCCCGCCAGGGTTCTTCACCAGGGTACCCAAAAATATCGGTCGTGTCCGAAACCCTCTGAATAACCTTTCGGGGCCCTTTCCGAAAGTTTCCCTGTCAGCCTGACAGTTTTTTTTCGGGAACCCCCTGCGGCAGTGCCTACCCCCACTTGCCGCACCCCTATCCCCCTCCACACACAGACACGTCAAGGCCACGGGCCGCAGCAAGCAATCGTACTCCCACACAACGCATTCCGGTGTGTGCGTGTTGCACCCTTCCCACCTTATTAATCTACCTACCTACCTACCTACCTAGATTGCTAGCTGTTTACCGGAGCCGCCCTCCCACCTGCCCAATATTCTCGTAAGGTTTGTGGATAAGGATATGTGTGCGTGTATGTGTGCTTCTCCCTCCGCCAAGGTCATGTCCGCTGGTTCTTTCCGCGCCTGGGCTCTTGATCGCGTCACCTTGTCACCTGGGCACCCTTCCCAACCCCGCCGAGCCGCCTCTTCTTCCCCTCTACCCCCGTACTGCTACGCCTGCTGCTGTTGCTGCCCGCGCTTTGGAGGCGGCACGGCAGCGCAGGCATATGGGGCTGAGTCCGGATGTGAGGTGCGGTATCATGAGCATCATGCTGCCGCGTAGTGCGTTGTGGTCCATGATATGTGTGATGAAGGTCCTTGGCAGCGAAGCTATATCTTCGTTGCAGGAATTTCGTTCAAGTCATCCGGCATTATCACATCCGTTAATGAGGCGCTCTGCTTCCCGGCTCCGAGCGGGGATAGAGCGCCCGGGCACCTGGCCGGATACAAGACCCGCTGCGGGGTGCCAGGGGGATAGGTGTACGCTGGGTGCTGTGACGTGACGTGAAAATGCCCCCTCACTACGTAATTGCGTTGTGCGATATCAAGCTAGACGGTGAGTGTTCTCGTGTTGAAATATAAGGTGTGTGAATGAACAAATTGTGATTGAACAAACCGATGCGTCCACAAAGATATCCTCTCACGAAGATGCTCTCAGCTGCCTGCACCTCTCACCCTGCACCCTGGTCTTCCAGACCCAGGCACTCCTCGCACGCCTGTACAGGCTCGTACGTGAGGCGTCGAAGCCGTTGCTGCAGCCAGCTGGACGGGGCCATGCATGCCCCTCATCCCTTACCACGCACCCGCCTACGTATACAAGCCATACATCTATCCCCAACGATGGCGTCGGTTTCTCCTCTCTGCTTCGTTATGTGTGCGCGTTTAACCCTAGAACCGAACCTTTCGCGCTGCATACCCCTCCTAATTCGGAGTCTTCAGGCTCTGGTATCGGACCTAAGGACCTAAGAAGAACCTAAAGACCTAAGAAGACCAATGAACAGCGACCAACAGCTACGTTTTAGTCCCATTCGTGGTGAAGCAAACGGGTTGTGTGAAGATGATATCTAAACGCAACGAAACTGCAGCGTTGGGTGTGTCCCGTCAGCCCTGATAGTACGATGGCTGACCCGGCGGGTACGGGTACGACGGCTGCTGTGGGGGTGGCGGTGGTGCAGCATAATGCGGCGGCGGCGGTGGCTGCCCGAAAGCTGGCGGTGGTGGCGGCGCGCCGTGCGGGTACCCGCCGTACGGAGGATATCCGTACGGGTAGCTCCCAGGAGCCGAAGGCGGCGGCGGCGGCGGTGCCCCGTAACCCTGTGACCCTGGCGGCGGCGGCGGCGGCGACGCTGCATAGGGATAATGCGGTTGCGGCGGTGGAGCGCCGTACGGCTGATGCTGCGGCGGCGGCGGTGGGTGCTGCGGCGGCGTTGAGGTCGACGGCTGTACCGAGGGCGAGTACGACGGTGAGGACGACGGCGGCGGTGGTGGGGGAAGCCCTCCTGGCGCCGGCGCCGTGGGAGAGTACACGGCGGCATGCTGTGGTGGGGGCGGTGGAGGCGGCGGATGTGTCCCAGACGCAGACGGGGGGGAAGGGTAGGCAGCCGGGGGAGGGGGCGGCGCCCCACCCCGATGGATGCCTGCAGAAGTTCGGATCCGGGTTGAGTTTTGTTTGGTTTGGAGACCGATTCGGAGCGGGGACAAATTTGCAGCTGGTTTGCGCGTTTCCCCATTCACTTCCCCACCGGTTGCTTGCACCTGCCATGTTGTTGCACATGTGGTTGCTGCCCCCAAACCCCCAGGCCCCTCATTCCATCACAGTCCCATCCCCCCTCCTGCCTGATCCACCCACCAGCCGCAGCCATCCTAGCAGCCAATCGGTCCGCATCCTCCTGCGCCACCCGCCGATCATTCTCCTGCACGAGCTCGTCCCGCTGGACCTGCCGGCCGTACATTACGACGACACACGGACATAGCGAGTAGGGCACATGCTACAGGCGCAGCAGCCCATGCCAGCATATAGGGGGGTTCAAGGTTTCTATACGGCCCCAGGCCACTACATTCGACTGGGGCTGCATTCTTCCTTTCCCGCATGCGGGTGTGGCGGCGTTGGTGGATGGGCCCCCCCTCGTTGTCACCCCCTTGTCACCCACCTGGCGCGTGTAAGCAAAGTCCGCCGCCTCCTGCTTGGCCTTCCGCACCACGTCACTCATCCCTAGGTAGAACCGCAGCCCCTCAGAACAGTGGTCTAGCAGCTCGCGGTACTGCCGGACAGACTGGTTTTGTGTGGGTGTGGGTGAGTGGGCGGGGGCGTAGAGGGAGAAGAAGGTATGAGTGGGAGGGTGAGGTGACGTGTGGGGTGGGGGTGGGAGCGTGTGTGTGGGGTGGGGCCCGGGATGCACAGCAAGGCGCGATGACACGCAGTCGTAGTGTGCCGCCTCGGTTTGGTTGTGGTGCATGGAGAGGTAGGAGGGTAGGTGGTTTGGTAGCAGTGTCAAGATATACACATCTTGCCGCAAAACTTACAATAATTGGTGCGCACATGCACAGAACATACGGGCTTTTAAAATCTCGCTGTGTGTCTAATATCTTCTTTTATAAGTCATTCGTGCACCCACTTCGGCCTGTCCTCATAACGCGGTACGTCAGATTGATTATTAAAACACTGACATAACAGGGCATGGTGGTGGTGGTGGTAGTGCTGCTGCTGCTGCAGCTGTTGAGCCCTAATGCCGTACCTCCCGGATGCCCGTCGCCGCCGTCTCACACGCCGCCCGCCACCCGTCCACATCGAACAGCGCTCGGAAAGTGCCGTTGGCGGCCTGAGTGGCGGCCAGCAGGCTGTCCTGCGCTGCCAGGTTCTTGTCCACGTCAGCAATCAGCGAATCGTACTTTTTCAGCTCCTGTGCAAAACGCCGTTGCAGCACCGATGCATCACGACAGATAGTACCGCAAATGCAGAGACACGGTGTTTCGTTTTTAGAAAAAAACATATCAGCGAGTTCAAGGGGTAGTAGGATGGGTGGTCCACTAAAATGTTCCTTGCTGAGGCGTTGGCGGTAGTCGTGATGGAGTACGGCTATGTAACCTAGCGCTAGGGGGAAGGCTATCCCCCGTGCGCACTGACCATGGAACGAATTCGGTAGGCCACAGCCCCACTCAAATAACCCTTTTCCCGTGCTCCGCTGCTTACCTCACTCACCCCCAAGGCCCTCGGATAACCCTCCCCGCTTTCAATTTGATTTTTTCTCCAAGCTCCTGGCATCCTTAACGCGCCCTTCCCGCCTTCCTCCCATCCACTCTGATGACCTCCCCCAATACGATACGACCACACCAGCTCCACACCAGCTCTAAACACGCACAGGCTCTTTCAGCACTTCCTTTTCGCGGCTCAGACCACACCCATTATGACTCATATAGCACTCACCTCCTTGAATAGCGCGTCGTGGTTTTGAGGTGGCGTGGCCATGACCTTGGCCAGCACGTTGTCCCGGTTCTTAAGGGCCTTGAACGCCTCCTCCATGCCACCCCGCTCGTTGGCAAGAGCCTTTTGGAGGGGCGGCCCACAGGGGGCGGAGAGGGGGAGAAGAGAGGGCATAACGAGGATCATGTACGAATGCGGGTACGATTGCGGGCTACTAATCCGATAAACATTAAGCCCAATGGCCCCCACTTCCCCCCCTTTGTATAGCCCGCCTCCCGCCTCCCCCCCCCCCACCCTCGGGGTCCTCACCTGCAGTGCGTCCATATTCCTTCGCAAGGTGGCCACCACCACTGCGGGATCCTCCGGACCCGTGACCACCAGGGGGGCCTGAGGCAGCGGAGGAGGACAACCACCACCACCACCACCACCACCACCACCACCACCGGACGCAATTATCAACAACAGCCGGATCAGGATCAGTAAAAATTAGGAAAAAGATTGGCAAAACGGGAGGTGGCTGCAAAGGTATCTATAAGAGGGAGTAACCGCAGGTACAGAAGCAAGCGGACAGGTTAAACCAGGTGGAAGCTGACCGCCGGCGAGCAGCGGAGGGGACAAGAGGAAGCCCAGCAAGGCGCAAGGCGGTGGGGGAGGACCTCCCGCACAACTTCACGATCTTTCGCCCCGCACCGGCAATGACTTCTCAGCTAAACATTGCCCGTGTGCCCCTAAGTCTCCCTCGCCAGATCGTTTAAATTTAAACTACCCCTCCTCCCTTTGCGGAGCCTTCCCTTCCTCCCTCCTTCCCTCCTTCCCCATCCAACGCCCACATACCTGCAGCCGGGGCATCTGTGCTGCCGCCGCCTCCACATTGAGGCTGGCGAATGAGGTCTCATGCTCCGTCAGCCTCCTCAGCACCCCCTGGTCGCTGTCACCCGCCTTCTGCATGGCGGACCTGAAGGGGGTGAGGCAGGGGATGGAATAGCACGGGAAAGAGAATGACATGTACGAGTGCTGGAGGGCGGGGTGCAGAGTGGGGGGAGCGCGGGGCTCGGGAGGTCGAAGGTGGGGTGTAGAGGAGGTAGGATTGTTTGGGCGAGGATGAATCACGGTAGCGGGCATGCGGGAGTGAGTTCCGGGGGGGGGGGAAAGCTGAGGAGGGAAGCCGGGTATTCGGAATTTTGTGGGGCCTTGGTGACGTTATCAAATTGAAATACTGGCTTCGGCGACATAGGTGAAAGCAGTTGAAAGCCACACGTCAGCATCATGACGAGGCGCACGCGACGGACTGCAAATGTCAAGAGCCGAATGTCAAGGCCTGCGCTGGCAACCAACCTTTTTAGTAAGGTGCATCTTTAGTCAACTGCCCGTCAAAAAGGAAGACAGCATACACCCGCGCGCAACTCACACACACACACACACACATACACCCGGGGGTTCGTACGGTGTATGCACTCCGTGACATGCAGCATACGTACCTGTACTGCGAGATGCGGTCCCAGTACGGCTTGGAGGCAGTAGCTGCCGGTTGTGGCCGCCAATTGTCGCCGTACCTGGTCCGCGCCTCGCCATCCGCTCTGGCGTCGGCATCCAAAGACTCCTACACGAGGACGAGGTGGTCGAGGTGGCGGTTGAGGTGGTGGCGAAGGTGGTGAAGTTCTGGGGGAGTGAGGGGCCTATGACCTCATGACCTCATTAGGAAAAGGCCGTTACGGGCTTCAAGGCGGAAAACAGCGAGCGGGGTTGGCGGAGGAGCTGGTGGTGGCGTCGATGACTCTAAAGGGAGGGAGGGTCTTTGGGCTTTTTATTTGACGACGGATCTTTCAGGACTTAAACCTTTCACCCGTCCTCGTGACTTAATATTAGCGATGCCGACAGTTCATATATTTGCTGTCATCTGTTTACAGGACTTCATCTACCTTCTATCTATCTTCCAATACTGACCTGATTTCGGTCGCAACATCACCCACCCACCTGAGCCGTCATGGACACCACAGTGCGGCGGGTACAAGGCTACAAAAGACATGCATGTCGGTTACACTTTCGGAGCAAAGGTTCCGGAGCAAAGGTTAGCCTGGCAATTGAGTTTTCGCACATCCCACAAAAAAAAGCTTTCCCTCCTCCACATATGACCACTACTTCCCTCCCAGGAGCATCCTTGTACAGCACCCTCCGCATCCCTTCCCCCAAGCCCCCACAAGACTAGAGTCCATACCACATACAAACAGCCACACACAAACACAACCCTGACACGTCCCCCCAACCCCATCCCCCAATCCTCGCACCTGCGCCGACAGCAGGTCCCCGTCCACCTCCTTGCGAAGCTCCCCGATCTCCGACAGGATCTGCCGTACAAGACCCCAGGTACGAAATACGACACAGCGCGTGTTCTTGTCATTTTGCCTTTTTTCATGTGTCAAATGGTAGTAGAAGAAGCGCAAGGGGGCTTACAACAGAACTTATCTAAAACCAAGCACGAGGGTGCAGCCAACAGCGGCGCCCCTCCTGAGGCCGCATGGGCATTACGGGCAATACACATCGCAGACCACACACACAGACGCATGTGGCAGGGGAATATGAGCCGTGGGCATGCCTTTAAACCTCCCCCTCTGTCCCTTTCCCCCTCCTTTCCCTTCCCTAGGGCGAACTCACCCCCTTGATGTGGTTGAGCCCCCCGATGTTCTCCACCTCCTCCAGCTCGTACTTCAGGCCATCCGGGAGGGCTGCCGAGGTGCGCACGTCGAGAGCCTGAAGAGAACCAGGTCCAGGACGCAGGGGGGGAAGGCAGGTCCAAGGAGGCGGAGATTACGTGTACAAGTGCAGGGAAGGGAACGCGAGCAGGACCAGCAGAACCGGGTTCAGCAGTGCGGCTCTTAGCGGCCTCATCCCGCCCCAAACCCGGCCCCCATCACCTGCAACGTCTCCGGCAGCTCCCACTCCCTGAATTTGATCCGTGCGTTGTCGGTTGCCGCCGCCAGCCTGTCCAGTTGCTGACGTAGCAGCTCATCCACCTGGTCGGTGTACTTGGACAGAGCGCGGGCGCTGGGGAAGGGTATGGAGGGTAGGGGGGAGATAAGGGGGTGGGGAGGGAGGGGGGAGGTGTTGAGGGAACCGACCGAAGAATGGAACCAGCCATATGGGGATGGTCCGGTCTGGAGGAGACACTGCTGCAATTTGCGGTTTAAGGTCCTGGGTTCGATTCCTGAGTAGACCCCCGACATTGTCGAGAGCGTGAGATTATAGCTAGCTGCTGAGATGTGGAGTTGAGGTCACAGTTGATGGACCGAAATTCGCACGCTGGATTGGTGGCGATTGCCGAACCCTCTGTCTCTGCGGATGTTCGGGTGAATGGATGAGGAGGGATCCTTAGTAGGCAGGATCAACCGCCTTGGAATTGCAGTTCGTATGGCGTAATACAGTGCGGTAATGGTGGATGGTGCTGCATGGTGGTTCAATCCTGGATATGGCAATCCAAATGTGTGCAAATGGCCCAGAAGCCTCCCACTCTGTAACAACAATAATAACAACAACAACAACATATGGGGATGGCATATCGGAATAGAAAAAACGAAAGGGCGTGGGGGGAAAGTGCAAGTAGATTGGTAGGGAGGAATCATGTGATGAATGTTATGTGGTATGAAGGAATGACATCACTTCCTCCATCTCCTCTTTGTCCACACAGACACACATAAACACACACACACACACAGACAAAGACAAAGACACAGACACAGACACAAACACAGTCGAAGATGACCATTCTACCACGTTGCTGGACTACTTGGCTTCGACGAGGTTACCACGACTCATATAACATTCCCGCCAGCTCCTGGCCGCGGGGCGGGGCTAAGATCGCCAAAACACACACGCGCACCTGTTTTCCGGCACCAGCCCCGCGAACAGCTGCTCCCCTGCCGCATCCAAACTGCCCGCGGAGGGGGCGGCCGACTTCACCAGCAGGGCTCCCGAGGTCACCGGCAGCTCAGAAAAGGCGGGAACCTGTGACACCAACACCAGCGTGGAGGGGTACTGAACCATTACATACAGCGCACCATTAAAGTGGGCGTAAAAGGAACAGCAGTGGAGGGAGGCGTGGAGGGAGGGGTGGGGTGGCAAGAGAGGTATCCAGGGCTTAAAGGGACCACGGGCACTCCAAACGGTTGGGTGTGATTGTGCTGATTCGTTGTGATGGTTAGTTGTAACGATTAGTTGTAACGATTAGTTGTAAATGACAGCTAGTAAGGTCCCCTTTTTCCCAAAATGTTTCCAGTTCCCCGCTCCGCCGAGTTGGGTAATCAACTTGGAATTGAGGCGCCTAGAATCGAGGCTCTTTTAAGCGCATGCAAGGTACGCACATGCGCAGCATACACGCATGCACGGTTCGCGCCTCTTACCTACTTTAGGTTCAGAGTTCAACAAGGCGCGGTACATACGCGAGCACGACCCAAACCCTCAAACCCGCCCTCCCACCCCCTCCACACCTTCATGAGGTAGATGGAGTTGTTCTCCTTCTCCGCCTTCGCCAGCAAGGACTGGACCAGTTCCTGAGGGGGTGTGGGGGCAGGTGCGAGAGGCGGGAGGCGAAGGCTGTTGCCGAGCAGGGGCGAGAAGGGGTTGGGTGTGCCAGCCAGAGCGAGCGTGTATGCATGTGTGCATTTGTGTATGCGAGTACATGGGCATGGCTGTGTTTTAATAATAAGAAACTATGCCGTGAGCAGCTTTACCGAATGAAGTGCTTCAGCGGTGAAGTGCGTGCGCGTGTGTGTGCGTGTGTTCGCGCGTGTGTGTCTAGCCAACGTGGAGGCAGGTGTGGGGGGGGAGAGAGGGAGGGGTTTGGGAAACGGTGGTGAGGAGGGAAGACTGCGGTTTCAGGAGGCAGGACCACAGCCGCCCACCTGCGTCCGGTTGACGCTCTCAATCATGTCGCTGTTGATGCCCTTGGCGATACGCCGCGTGTTCTGGGGGTCGCGTGGGAAAGGAGGGAATGGGAAAACGGCGATGACGGGTGGTTCGTGACGAGATCAGGACAGCGCCTTCACCCACCCACACACACCCTCCACCGACCGACGAATAGGCCAACGCACCAACCCAGGACGTGCAACACCTTTCCCCTACTACAAAACCTTTTACATTCAGCCAGACAAGACAGCCATGGGGGTTGCGCTGTGCGGGATGGTGGTCCTCCATGCGGCACCCAGTCGAATCTCTGGTCCTCTGGTTCCCCAGGGCTAGCAGCACCTGCCCCCGACGAACGGCCCCAGCGGCAGGTGGCACCTCCTTAATCCTTCCACAAAACACGTCAAGGGAACAGCCTCCCACGCTCCCTCCCCTTCCCTTCCCTCCCGCCCCCCCCATCCGTGCACCTGCAGCCTGGCGAAGGCCTCCTTGAGTGCCGCAATCTCCCAGTTGATCTTGTCATCCGCATGGTACTGCCGGCTGGACTGGATCAGCTCCTCGACCTGAGCACCGCGGGAGCGGAGGGAGAAAAGGGGAAGGAATGGGAAGTGAATAGGACCAAGGGTGGTGGGCTGGGCTCGTGAGAATGGGTGGCGATGGCGCGCGGGTAGGCGGTGGATGACAGGAAGTTGGCCAGTAATAGGAGAGGGGAAAGAGAGCGAAACGACCGCAAAGTGGAACAAAATAAAGCGGTATGAGAGAGAGGCAACATCTTCGGTCTTCTCGCTCCACTTTGAGCTTACCTGGTATATGCTGGCCTTCAGCTGCACGTGTTGCGCCCAGCTCTTATCGAAGTAATTGACGAGAGCGGGGCCGTCGAAGAGGCGCTCAACCTCCGCGTACATGCTTCCGGTCTGGGAACAGAGCAAAAAAAGTCGAGAACGTACCCTGTGTATAAACACGTACTCCGTGTACAAGCACATAAATATGAGAAGCGATACATGTACACGTGATCGTAAGCTAATGCAGTTTCGTTTATGTTGCTGGGCTTTGGAGGCAAACAGAGCACGAAGGGGCAAGTACCATGTCCCCAGGGGGCAGCGGTTTTGCCGCTGTTGTGGTACTAATAGCCGAATTGAGGATGAAAAACACGTGTTATTGGAATGCCCAGCCTATAATGATATTCGTGCTGAAGAGGGATTCGATCATCAACAGAGCATGTTGGAGGCCATGCAATGGGAACCCGCACGTCTGGCGAGGATGTTGGAACGTATGTGGGCTCACCGAAACTCAATTACCCCCTTTGGACGCTAGCCTGGGCTGATGTGCGGTGTTTTCCTTTCCTCCGTGGCTTTTAGGCGTTGTAGTATTGCCCTTGGGCCTTCGGCTCGTATGGGTAGTCTTACAGGTATGGGGTCACGCACCCCCAACCATGTAACACACACACACACACACGTGATCACACACACACACGTGTGATCACACACACACACACACACACGTGATCACACACACACACACATCGCATCTCAAGCAACCCACCCAACCCCCCAGCTCCATGCGGATACCTGATGCGATTCTATGCACACTTATACAGTACACAACTGAACCTTACAATGCATGTTGGGCTACATCAGAAGACGCACCCACGACCCAGCCAAGGCTCGCGTTCCTCGAACTCATCACCCTCGCTTTCCTCGAACACTTCCTCCCCCCTTACCTGCTTAGCCAGCCTGGCGAGCACGATGGGGCTCTTCTTGTCGATCACCGCCTTGTGGTATACACACTCCTAGGGGTGGGGGTTCGCGGTGTGTGTGTGTGTGTGTAGGCTATCGGAGTGTGGACAGGGGGAGGCTGTTGTAAGGGGCATAAAGGAGGAGGGGAGAGCCCAGGGTAGAGCGCTGGGTGCCGGTCGTGGGGGTTGGAAGGCGTGCTCAAGGTGTGCGCGATGTGATGCTCGTTCACTGACAGGTTGACCCTGGTGATGTGCCCCCTCTCCCGTACGCACCGAGTCCACTCCTGCCAGCTATCACCCCGGTGTGCGAGTGCTGCGGCGCAGCCAATACAGAGTCATGCTTGTGCCCTACGCCTACTCCCTCCTTGGGCCCTATACACACACACACACGCACACCAGGTTGGCTGCCTAGGGCTGCCACGTAACGTGGTTCTCCCTACTTCCATGTCCATTTACTTCTTTCAAGTGGTGCTCAGTTCCAAAAAGGTATATACATACGTACATACATACATACCTGCGCCTGTGTCAACATGAGCTTCTCCAGCAGCACCGAGCACTCCGTGGTGATGTCCACGGACCGAGGGGTGTCGGTCTTGCCGGATTCGCCCTCGCGCATCAGCTGGAAGGTGCCGCAAGCCTCCTTCAGAGTGCAAGTGTGGGTTGTGGGGTGAACAGGATGAACGCACAACAGCCAACACAACAGCTATACAACAGCCCAAGGAGTTGGAAAGCATGGCCACTCCAGCACAGACAGGCTTGCGGAAAGGGTAACCTGGGGCAACCGACCAAACCCGCCGCGCTGTCGTACAAACTTGCTTCCTTTCCTACCTCCCATCCTCCTCCCTCCACAAAACCCGCATCCCCGAAACACACATTCCTACAAATCCAACGCCCCACCGTCCCATCCCACCTTCCACGCGCGTCCAGTGCTTTGCCCCTCCCTCTTCTCCTGCACCCCTTTCTACGTCCTCGTCCCGACTCGCCTGGTAGAGCTTGCATGCTGCAGTGAGCCCCTCGGCGCTGGTTCTGTCGCTCTGCAGCGCCTGCTGAGAGGCCAGACTCGCCAAATTGAAGAGCACACACGCCTTCTCGTAGTGGATGTTGGACTGGACCACCCTTCGGGAGGGCCGGAACGCGTCGTTCCAGGCGAAGGACACCTGGAGGAGGAGGAGGAGGAGGAGGAGCTCATCGTGGGCCGTGAACCGCGGGAAGGAGGGGGGAAGGGCGAGGGAGGGTGGGGACCGGGGCGGGGGGTAATCCACACGTCATCTGCCCCTGCCACACGGCGGTCTGCCTGCGTTGGGAGGGGTGGGTTGCAGCCTTTCCCCTAAGCGGTGCCCCACCAGCCCAGTCTGTTTTCCCGTGGTCGTGTCCCCTTCCCCAGTAGGACTGCCAGTCAGCAGGCCGGATCCCGTCCCCTCCCTCCGTTCTTTCTATTATTCATTTTACGATCACGGCTGCGACATCACAGTGTTATCCTATCTTTATTCTCCCTCCAAGAGTTCGTAGCCGCTTGCGTGCATCGGCTGTTCCAATGGAAGAACCCACATCCGCCTCTCACTCTTCTGGTCCATTTCCCCTGCCCCGTTCGCCTCCGCCCCACCTGAGCGTGACCCTTTTCCTTGCTGATGGGAAACCGCGTCTCAATGGCGCTTAGGTAGCGGTAGTACCTTAGAAAGGAAGGCGGCGGGGAGGGTGGGAAAAAAGTTGACATCGCTTGATCTTGGCATTGACTTTTGCCAAGCCAGAAGTTGCATTCGCGAGGGATAGCAGGCGTGGGTGCAACCGTGCTGTGCGTCTTTCCGCGGGCGCTACACCTGACACTCCATATCGTATCCGCTGCACAAAACATTGTGCATAAGTTGCACATCAGGCCTTTCTTTTCGTATGGGTCCGGTTGGTTTCCCTCCCGGCTGCTCAACTCCGTCCACTGTCCAATATAGCTCCGCCAAAGCGTGGCACCGTGAAGGTTTGGCACAGCTCGTTTCCCGTGCCAAACCTCACCGGCGAGGACTTCTATGCCAGTAAACAAGTGGATGACAACTGTGTATCGTCCTGATTACATGTTATCGAAGGGATTCGAGGGTGTGTACCCACACTCTATACGATCGGCTGTCGGCGCAAGGATACGCCGGGTGAGGGCGTGCGAAGAAGTGCGACGGTGACGGTGACACCCGTATCCAAGGTACGCCAGAGGGGCTAGAGCCAATGTGCAGGGAATACAAGCTTTTGCGTAGCAAACGAGGGATGGGCGGGCACCAGGCCCAGGCAAACGGCCCGGAGCACGGCTGCACCCAACCCCCGCGAACACGAAGCAGCTGCCTTCAGCCCCCAGGTGGAGCCGTTGATAGCCTTAACGACAAAAGGAGTCCTGGTTTCTCACTTGGTAAGAGTCTCACGTACGCCAGGCTGTGAACCGTTTTGAGCCAAAGCGACCTCAGCGCGCAAGCTCTGAACCCGCTCTAGGTCGTCGGCAGCATCGTCTGCCTCCCGGTCAGAATACGTAGTTCGGATGTAAGCAAACAATGGACTCTTCAAATCGACTGTTTCCGCCTTCTTACAGTGTATCGCAAGCATTACGGATTGCGCGGTTGGCATCTTTGTTACCGATCTCTATACACTCACGTACGAAGACTTTCAAGGCTTCAATTCATGAAGTTCAACAAAATTTTCAAAGTATGCTTACTGTTGTATGCCCAAGGTCGTTTGGGAACAAACGGCTAATGGCGACGGTTATATGGGCCTCCCACCATTATATTTTGGCAAAAATCATGTGCACACCTTCCTCTTAGCTTTATGTGCACCAGCTGCTGCACGCAGCTATAATAACACATCTTAGCTGGGTCGTTTTGACGTTCATTTGGGGCCCTTGTTAACATTGGGCCAAAATGTGCGGAATCCTAGCTGTGCTCAACTCCACGGATGATAGCCCGGCGATGAGGGCGAAGGTGCTGGCGCTTAGTCGTCGCCAGAAGCATCGTGGCCCCGACTGGTAAGGGCTCTGGTAACCTGAGTTGCGCCGCAACACCGTTTTAGAGGGATGACGACTATCTGATCGGCTTGCCAATCGGCAATTAAATAATCTATTTCTCCGAGCCATACGAATGTTCGTCGGCTCCGATGTGGCGTGTACCCGGGTAGCAGTCCTGGCATCAGTCTTATCTCGGCCTTGGAATTTTGGGCCAACGACCGGGCTTACGTACCTTCCTCCTCCTCCTTATGCATGGGCTGGCGGTCTGGCCAGGGGACGACTCGAATCCTTGCGGTCGTAAGTTACTCCCATGCGCACCGCCGCCTCCCCTAACGCCGCGCCTGCGGCAGTCCCCTTGTAACGCTTAAGCGCCTGCACCGCGATATATGAATTTTGGTTCAGGTCGGGGATGCACCAGTTTGGCAACAACTTCCTGGCGCATGAGCGGCTTGCGATTATGGATCCCAGCTCGGGCGATCAGCCGCTGTACAACGAGGACAAGTCTATCGTCGTGACGGTGAACGGCGAGATCTACAATTATAAGGAACTGCGCAAGGAGATCTCTGACAAGTGCCCTGGCAAGAAGTTCCGCACCAACAGCGACTGTGAGGTACGTCCGTACCGGGGCGCCATGGTCACTCACCTTACAGGATGTGAAAAAGCCCATCCCCTTATCCATATTGCGGTATGCACGTCGCGAACAGATCGCATTGCAGAGCTCATGAGGCATTGGGTTGGTGGGGTTGAGACCCAGGGGCTGGGTTTTACAGGTTTCAAAGGCCCAGGACACGTATTTGCATTGGCTGTGCACCCGGGTCCATGTGTGGATTTGGCCGCTACCCAGCCTGGCGCTGTTGCAAGCGAAGCTGTTGGCCACCGAGGAAATGGCAATTATGGCGTGCATAGACAATTTCCAGCAGTGGCAGTAGCGCTGCAGCAGGGCCAGCGGCGACAATACGAGTGCAGCAGTCGGCACATCGGGAAACAGCACCAATTCACTGTGGCAGCAAAAGCCTCCCTCACCTGCGCTGGAGCTGTAGCAACTACAGCTGCACCTCCACTGCAGCCTTGAACCTGCATCCCATGCGGGGCACAGCAGCTGCGGCGTCGTCTTCTGCATTTCCTCTCCCCGGCGCCATTCATACAGGCCGTGGCTATAACGGTGGCGCCGTCGCGATGGCTGAGATGGCTGAGGTGCTGCTGCCGCTGCTTCGGCCGCCATGGGCCGTGGCCCATGCATGGCCCACATGCGCTGCGTGCCGTAGTGCAGGCCGGTGATGGCCTTCCCATGGCGCAAGGCCGCGCGACAGCTGCGTGTCACCATTGCTCTGAACACACGCTTTGACCCCGGAAGTGAGCTTGCAAATGCGCAATGGAATGTGCAAGGACCGTCGCTGTCGAGCGCATGTGGCCGTGGCCCATGGCGGCCGAAGCAGCGGCAGCAGCACCTCAGCCATCTCAGCCATCGCGACGGCGCCACCGTTATAGCCACGGCCTGTATGAATGGCGCCGGGGAGAGGAAATGCAGAAGACGACGCCGCAGCTGCTGTGCCCCGCATGGGATGCAGGTTCACGGCTGCAGTGGAGGTGCAGCTGTAGTTGCTACAGCTCCAGCGCAGGTGCGGGAGGCTTTTGCTGCCACAGTGAATTGGTGCTGTTTCCCGATGTGCCGACTGCTGCACTCGTATTGTGGCGCGACAAAAGGAGACAGGCGACGATGTGCCAGCGCCGAAGAGCTCCTCATGGATGTTGAGCTAGGGCGCTGCATGCTCTTGACGGATGACCCTAGCAGCTCGAATCAGCAATGGCAGCAGCACTAGCACCAGGTTTGGCTCGACGAGTAGGAGTTATGGTCTTGGCGTTATGGTGTTGGCGGCGGCGACTGCAGCAGTAGCAGGGATGGGTGCGGCTTACTCCATTAGGGTGGACGCGCTCACCGCACCGTCGGCTTTTCCATGAACCTCGGCTGTGCCGACCAAGGTGCCGACATGCACCTCTGGACCATAACAAAGGCTGTTCAGTGGGATGAAGCAAAATGGCTATGCTGTCCAGCAGCTGCTGGTAGCCACCTGCCGCTTACCACAGACTTGGACAACAGCAGTGATACGTCCAGAGGCGAACAAAAGCATGTGGATTGCGGCTCCAGTAACGGAATGCCAGGGCTGCGTAGTCGAGACTGAAAGCCATGGAGACGGAGTCCATGCTACGCATCGACGTGCCGGGCAGTAAGCAGCCAGCAGCCCAACAGTGACGCTATTGGTCAGCCACCTGTGCGAACCCAGTCGCCCTTTAGTGGCTGCTGAGTGCGTGTGTGCTTATCGAGTTCGGCGTTATATACGTATGTGTGTTCTGTGTGAGGCGCCAGAGGCTGCGGTCCTTGGCCTAGGGAGATGGATGCCGCCGGGCTCCCTGGGTGTTTCATACATGCTGTTATTATGAAATCCTGCCCCGCATCCAATCAGCTGGACCCGTCGGGGATCGTCTGGACTGTGGTTTGGCGACGACGCCTCATGATGGGGCCCGAGAAGCAATAGTTGTCGCAGTAGCAGCTAACCGCCATTCGGTCGGCCCAAGGCTCAACCCTGCCTAATTCATGATGCCGTATATCTCTATTGCCAGATCCACCCTCTTTGGAACAACCGTTGTGGTGGTCGCCCTTGCCCTGTGCGTGTGCTGCCGGCCGGTCGTTTCTTGTAGGTGATCAGCCACCTGTACGAACTGTACGGCGAGGCAGTTGCCAACAAGCTGGACGGCTTCTTTGCCTTTGTACTGCTGGACACTCGCAACAACACCTTCTTCGCGGCGCGCGATCCGTTGGGCGTCACCTGCATGTACATTGGCTGGGGCCGGGATGGCAGCGTGTGGCTGTCCTCCGAGATGAAATGTCTCAAGGTGGGGGAGGTGGAGCGCCGTGGATGCGGAGATGTATGGAAGTGATGTTCGTTCAGAGGGTTGTTATTATTTGCAGAATATTAAGACAATTAGAAGAAAGTAGAGGAGCCCGACGCGCTCGTGGGCGGTCAGTTATTTACGCAGCTAAGGCTATGGGGTGTGTGTATGTCTATGCGCGAGAAGGGGGGCCACACGAGGGTGGTGATACTGATGTGAATGGAGGTAAGTAAGCACTCGCGTTTACCGTTTGTATCCCCGTGGTTTCTGGATTACATTACCGAACTCGTGCATGCATATTCAATCTCTAGCTACAAAGCGCTTTTGCACGCGGGTCCTTTCCCCGTAAGTAGTAGTAACCAAGCAGTGGAAGCATGAGCAACAGCTGTTTGCACGGTGTTGCCGTACGCCCGTGAGCGCTTCGTTAAGGTCCTGAGTCTGGTGTTGGGTAGTGCGCTAAGTCACCCAATGTCATTTTCATCATCCCGCTCGCGCCAACGCTGCCGGTTGGCCGCTCTCCCGCCGCAGGACGACTGTGCGCGCTTCCAGCAATTCCCTCCCGGCCATTATTACTCGTCCAAGACAGGCGAGTTTGTGCGGTACTTCAACCCCCAGTTTTACCTGGACTTTGAGGCAGAGCCGCAGGTTTTCCCCTCGGTGCCCTACGACCCCGTCACGTTGCGCACGGTGAGCCTGGGGCCCCTAACGAGAATTCCTGTGAACGGGTTTACGCGTGAACAGCGAGGACCGGGTTGCAAAAGTTTCATGTCATATGTAGTGGTAGAATTACATGGGGGGTGGCTTAGAGTCTGTCTTTTGCGTTCAGGAAAGTAAAGGCTGTGTGTGCACGCGGTGGATCGGAAGTCGCGGTACGCCCGGAGGAGAAAAGCCGCGGAGCCTGCGGTTTCCAAGACCAGGCAACACAATCACGACCATGATGGCGATGGTATAAAAAAATTTAGCATGATGCATGGAAGAGGTTACTTACTCGCTGCAGATTTTTGTGGCATAAGCAAGCGGCAGGCGTACTTGCAGTTTCAATGTGAAGGTTGATTGGATATCCCCAGTGCTGGATTCCCAGCTTCATGCTCCCACGACCGCTCTGCAGGCGTTTGAGGCGGCCGTGGAGAAGCGCATGATGAGCGACGTGCCCTTCGGTAAGTAGTGGCGGTTCTGAGAGGCTCACTTCCGCTTGCGTAACGTCCCTTTGTCCTCTGAGTACGGATGTCCTGAGTACGGAATGTTAACGCACGGCGATCAGCGAACTTACACACGTGCCATTGGGCATGCGTGGACGAGCAGAGCAGGGTGTAACTGTGATGTAGTTTGGACACAGGAGTTTGATGGAGTCGTCTGGGAGGTGTTGTGTTCACGGTAGAGCTGTGATGGGTCTGGTGTGGGGGGAATGGGGCCTAGGAGAGGCTTGGATTGAATGGAACCAAATTCGGCTGTCGACATGGCAAAATGGATGGGCGGGGTTTGTGGATTGGGTACTGCAGGCGTGCCAAATTCGTTTACCTGTTAATTCTGTCTTCCGCGTCCCACACGGACTCATCACACGATAACACTCGCGCGCACACACATGCACACACACACACACATGCACACCCTTTCACTCTGGAAAAAAATGATTCCGTGTTTAAAGATTACAACGTTGCTTACCGCTTTCTTCCTTCCTTGCCTGTAGGTGTGCTGCTGAGTGGCGGTCTGGACAGCAGCCTTGTGGCCTCTATCGCGGCCCGCAAAATCAAGCGGGAGGGCAGTGTGTGGGGCAAGCTGCACAGCTTCTGCGTTGGTCTGGAGGGCAGCCCCGACCTCAAGGTGGGAGGGCAACGGGTTGGGCCGTGGCTGGAGGACAGCCCCCGACTTTCACAGCAGTCGGGTAACAGCACGCAGGGTTAGGAGGGAGGTGTGCGCGCATTGCATATTATGCAGGTGCTCCTGTTGTGATGTTTCCATGGGCTTGAGTGTCATGTTTGGTCCCGAGATAAACCAGGGTCCAAGTTTGTGGTCTTGTTTCGCTCTTGGTCGGTTGCGCAGAGTATTTTGGACAGCTGTCCAGTCGCCTCTTCCAGTCGCAGTCCACCTTCCCCCTCTACACCATCACTTCGTTTCTTCCTTCCCTCTCAAGTCTTAAGGGTATAGTCGACAAGTTATTACTCCCTGGCCACACTCTCCATTGCGTCTGCGTCTCAATGCACAGGCAGGTGCCGCTGTGGCTGAGTTTCTGGGCACCGACCACCACGAGTTCCACTTTACAGTGCAGGAGGGCATTGACGCCATCTCGGAGGTCATTTACCACATCGAGACGTTTGACGTGACCACGGTGGGTGGAAAGGCCATTTGTGCGTGGTTTCTGTGTGCGGGCTAGCTGTGACGCGTGCGGCTTGTAAGTCACCTGCTGTTCACTGGCTGCCCCAAATCTGCACCTACTTTTAATTGGAAATGCGCTCTGGCATGCCTACGGCCTCGGCACGAATTTTTTAATTTCGTCCTGGGTATAAACCCTTTGTGAGCTACAACGCTGCCTTCCCCCCTTCGGCCACCTGGCTACCTGTGCATGTACGCGCGTTACGTATGTGTAGATCCGCGCCTCCACTCCCATGTTCCTGATGAGCCGCAAGATCAAGGCCCTGGGTGTCAAGATGGTGCTGTCCGGAGAAGGCTCGGATGAGGTGTTCGGGGGTTACCTCTACTTCCATAAGGCTCCCAGCAAGGTGCGGGGAAGCCGTTTCCCAGCTGGCCTGTCGATTGGTCGGTTCCAGGGTTGGTGGGGTCGGTTCTGCGGTCCTAGATTGGTCCTAGAAGTTTTGGAAAGAGATGTATTGCAACCCTTGTCATCCATCGAGCGCTTGATTGGGACTGCGATTAGGTTGACGGCCTAGGGTGCCAGTAGTCGCAGAGGACCAATGTTTGAAGGTAAGCAGGAACGGGTGTTGTTCCTCCGGTGCGCGAGATGGGTCCACCGTGATCGGTGTCTGGAAGCCAATCCGCTCCGTGTTGTGATGGAGATGTGCTTTCTAGGTTGCCCTGCCCCATATTTCTTAGCGCCTTTTAGCCTCTCCCCTCTGGCTTTCTGGCGTCGACAGCTCGACCCTTTTGTATCTTCCTACAGCTCCTTTTGTCTATCCGGTGGTCCTTCCCCCTCGTTTACTAGCGCTGTATCGGCCTTTCGTCCAGTCTTACAATTTCATGTAGTCACATTTGCCATTCATCATTGTGGTGGTGACTCCTCAGGATGAGTTCCACAGCGAAACGGTTCGCAAGCTGAAGGACCTGTTCAAGTACGACTGCCTGCGAGCCAACAAGGCCACCATGGCCTGGGGTGTAGAGGCGCGTGTGCCCTTCCTGGACCGGGCATTCCTGGATGTGGCCATGTCCATTGACCCGGCGGAGAAGATGATTGACAAGAGCAAGGGTGAGCTGGGGGCTGAATGGTGGCTGGGAGCAAATATTTTGGACGCAGATATGAAGCCAGCCTACTCCACGGTCTATTGACCCACAGAGTGTCACAGCCGTGCACGCGATGTCGGCCTGAATCTACCGGTAGCATCTGGCAAGAACACTGTGGCTGGTTATCTGTTAACCCAGTGGTATTGATGACGACTAACCTGCCAGCGCTTATTCCCGTCTCTTCCTCTTGCCACCAGGCCGGATCGAGAAATACATTCTCCGGAAAGCCTTCGATACGCCCGAGGTGGGGGATGGGTTTGGAAGGGAAAAAAAACTTGGTGTCGAATCGGGCATTGATGGCACATGAGCAGCAAAGGCAAGCATGAAGGAGGTGCATCGGCGACGGGATGTGCCCTGGCATGTCTGCCTCTGTGTTTGCGCGGCCGCATCCGTATGCTTTAAAGGGGATTGCCTTCCACCAAGAGTTGCGCGGTGCGATGTTGTGTGCACCTAGAGCTTGTATAGCACATAGCCCTAGGGTATATGGCATACCCTGTTATGTATCAGCTGGACTCTGTACCTCTGCCGCACAGGATCCATACCTGCCTAAGGAGGTACTGTGGCGCCAGAAGGAGCAGTTCAGCGACGGCGTGGGCTACAACTGGATTGATGGGCTCAAGGTGCGTCGGGGCCTGCCTGGCGCTCGGTGGTTCTCTTACCAATAGTCGTCTTCCTGTATCTCATCATCGTTGGAATAAACTCCGCAAGGCACACGGCAACACCTATCACCAATCCTTCACCTCCTTCCGGCTTGCAGGCGCATGCTGAGAGCCAAGTCAGCGATGAGATGCTCAAGAACGCCGTGCACAGGTGCGGGATATCGCCGTACCTGGTAACCCTTTTGACGGTAGCTTATGCCCTGTCCTTGCACACAAAGGCCCACGCCTTTCACGTCAAAACCTTGTCTCGCTGAGGATTATTTTCACGCTTATAAGGCTTCTCTCCGCATCGCCATTGTCCCAGTCATCTTCCCCGCCGAACAGCTTTGAAGGCGTGTCCTGTTTGTCGACTTTTAAGGGACTTCGGGTCGCCTTGCTTTGCCCTCTTTTCCACTAGTATCTTCGGTCTTGTTAGTCGTTGTACGTTATCTCTCTCCCGTCCGCCTCCTGCTTTAGGGAGCAATTTTCCTGTGTTTTCCCTTGAGTCGAGTGAGTTTTCCTGGATGTCTCCTTGGTCCTCCTGTGCCCGTATGCCTGCGTGCCGCGTCATCTTCGTATCTTTCTGTACACGGACATTGCACTCGCCTTTTTTCTGTCCTCCATTTCCCCTTCTCTCCAGATTCCCGGACAACACCCCGCGCACCAAGGAGGCCTACTGGTACCGCTCTATCTTTGAGAGCCACTTCCCGCAGCGTGCTGCTATGGAGACGGTGCCGGGTGGTCCCTCAGTGGCTTGCTCCACCGCGACAGCCGCCCTGTGGGATGCAGCGTGGGCCGGGAAGGAGGACCCGTCGGGTAGGTCTTGGGGGGTTAGGGCGGTGCGGCCATTGAATGGATGGACAATACAATATGGAATGTGGAAGAGTACTGGGGGCTGCCTTAGGGTGCTAGAAAAGTGATGCAGGGACAACAGGCAAGGATGAGGTGGCCCTCCAGCTGTGTATGTGCCTGCATCGGTGTCGACTGTGGTGCCATAACAGTATGAATTATGTCCGCTTTTCCCTCTCGCTTGGATTTGTACGTCGTTCAATGAAAATGCTGACGGCTTGTTCAGTCATTCCTTCCTCGGTCATCCGAGCGTCATATTACCAAAACTTGGCCTTACTTCTGAACGTTGCGCCAAATTGCAGGCCGCGCCGTGGCGGGCGTTCATGACGCTGCTTACGAGGAAGGCGCGGAAGCCAATGGCGAGCCCGCATCCAAAAAGCAAAAGGTCTGAACAATGCCCAGTGATGAACGGCTGCGCCGGTAGGGAGAGGCATTCCCCCATGATGCAGGGTCGAGCGGTTTGACAGCATTGCAACTGCCGTTGTCTTCGTTATCCGCACTACGGCAGCACGTACATGGCCCAACGAGAATGGCCTTTTTTATAACGGGTTAGGGTTGCGCACCGGTGGATTTCTAGGCAAGTGTTCCATGTCCGACATTCGTCCAGCTGGCCTTCGAGCTAGACGAAGAGCACCTGCGTTGGCCTTGCTTCCGTAAGGGGGCATTCCTCTTGACTTCCAGCATCGGGGCTGTGGTCTTTGGCTGTGATCTACGCCCAGAAGCTAGCGGCTGTTATGGGCCGGGTACACAGTGCTTCAGCCCCGGGGCAAAAGAGTATTACATGTTGGCAATCGTGACGGGGGTTGGGTTGTATTGGATACTAGGAGTGCGAGTGGCGGTGGTCCGAGGGTTTTGGGATTGCCCGCGGCTGCGGCCGGGGAAGTGGTGGTCGAGCGGGAAACCAGTAGACAAACGGTGTGGGTTGGGAACTGAGGATGACTTGGCACGAGCCGATGTGGGCCCTGCACTCTTGACACCTGAGTGGCAAGGAACCTGGCATTGTGGAGAGCTTGTTTAGTTTGTTTCCGACTCTTGGAAGAAGCGTGCGGACGTTCATGTGCGGCGCGAGTGATACGGGACGTTTACTGGCCGTTGGGGCTTTTATGTCTCTCCGGTTTAGGCAGTATTGGCAGCACATCAGATGCTCCGCGGCAGGACACAGACCGGAAAGGCTCCTTAGTGGCGGTATCTGATGTAGGGTTGATCCATGGGGACGGCAGCGGCGCCCAGTGGCTTGTAGATAAGGTGGAGCAACGCGATACCTTGGATTACCCGTGCAGCGGCAGCCACGGACGTTGTGAACAGCAGGGCTGCATGCAAGCCTTGCAGCTGCGTCAGCGCAGCATGACATAAGACCCGCGGTGTGATGAGCGTTGGTGGATTCTCTGAACGTTGCCATGCAACAGCAACCGGATGTTTCCGGACATCAACTATAATATTGTTATTGAAACTTCTTCATGTCTATGCACGCACGTTGCTCATGGGGTCTTGCAGGTGCGAGCTTGAGGGTTCGGTGCGCAGCGGGCCTTGCTATCAAGTCCATTGTCCAGACCGTTAGTCCCTTAGGTTTGAAAACGGGGGATGAAATGTGAGATTGGAGCTGACATCTTACATATAGGAGAGTAACAAGATTAACATGAAACCACCTCGCATGAACACACATCAATCCAGGCATATCCTGTCCCAGCCTTCAACACCAAACACGGTCACTCATTTCTTCAGACGACTGCGGTCGTTACGTGAACTCCCAGCCCCAACTGGCAGGGTCGTTGCAGTTTCACTGAAACGCAAAAACATCTGCAACGTGACCAATAATAGTGAGTTAGATGACAACGAAGCCATAAGGGTCCCAAAACACCACTGCACACACGACACATGACAAGGATAGCAATGGCCACGTGCAAACCGTCTCCTAGTTGCTATTGCGAGGTCCCTAGCAGCTTGGTGACACGCATCGAGCAACCTTAACATCGTAAAGACTGTCTTCAGCAAAACCGCAACCACAGAGCCCACTGTAACCACCACACACAGAGTTGACATCTAAATCCTTGCGCCTGGGAATGTGCACGCGTAGTCTGCCAATACTGCAATTACATCCACCGGTGCGTCACCATCGTTGCGCCCCAACAGTTCGCGCGCTCTTCGGCTCTCAAGTCCGGGAGCCTGCCACACGCGCATCCAGCCTTTAGCCGTGTTTCGCATTCCCGCCAAGCCAACCCGCACGTAACAACTGGCCCAGCCAGCTAGTGAGCGCTGCGCGCTGACCCTAACCCGCCTGCGTCCGCGCCTAGTGGACAGGACTGCGCGCTGGGGAAAGGAAAAGGAGTCAGCTTGAAGGGCCCACCACATCCATCCTGCTCTTGTGGTAATCGCCCTCCCGTTTTCCGCACGCCTCCTTGCCTGGCCACAAAGGCAATACGACACCGCGCAAGATTGGAGTCACCTCATGCAATCAGTTAACGCCTGTATGTGCCGGACAGGCACATAAGGCCTCAGGGCCATAATGCCCTGGAACAGACTGGAGCTTCATCCGCAACCCGTAATCCGTGCACTCCTGTTCTGCACTCCGTGCCCGTCATTTTGTACCAGGGGTGGCAAAGTCAGTTTATATACTACATGGTACGTGCAAAGGTTACTTATACAGCATGAAGTGCTGAATTTGTGTCCGCGCATCCTACAGACGCACGCACGGTCCCTTGGGATTGGCCCGCCTGCACGCAGGGAAAGAACTGCAGCCGTGCGCACATCGCATACGGCATTGCGGCTTCAGTGCGTGGAGCATAGCAGGCCACCTCATCGGTGCGCGCAGCTCAATGTACCCCAGGGCAGAGGTGCCTGCACCAGCTGCCCCCCTGAATTGGGCTTGGGCTAAGTCAAAAAGTCTATCTTGAACAGAGCAAGACAGCTGGCCACTCCCCTTCCCCTTTGTCCATTCTCAGATTGCCAGCCCAAACACTGTGCAGATGCAATAAAGGCTCTTGTTCTCCCATCGCACGGTGCGACTTCCATCTGTCGTGCTGTCCCACCAACATGACGCCGCTGTATGCAAGCCAGCGCCTGTACATGGGGGCTTATTGCGTCAAGCGGATAAAATTCAGATACATATGCAATTGTCATAGGCCAGATCCCTTACCGTTCTTTTGCATGATAACGCAGGTCACGACATACTTGAACGGCTTGTTGAGCGCTGTTAGTCTCTTAATGCAGTGCTCTAAGCAGCTGGATGTCCACTGGCTGACCTATATGGTTAGGCGGTCTTTGCTGTGGGAGGAAAAAAATCCCCTTCTGTGCTACGTGCATAACTCACCTTGGCTTCGCTGTATTGCTGGTTCTGCAGCACCGCATCTATTGATTCTTTTATAATGTTGCTAACATCGTCGGCGACGAAGGCTGCCTGCGACGCGGCACCGAGGTCAATTACATGCGAAACTCGCAACGAATTCCCGCCTAAGCTAATTTACCTCCTCAACGCTTGGATCAGTTGCCTCCATTCCTCCGTCAAGGGACGCCTAGGAAAGGCTTAGGGATTGAGGAAAATGTGCTCGAAGTTTCCAACAGGTGTTTCAAACGAGTATGTCACAAACAAAGTAAAGGATATAAGACATTAGGCCACTATAGTTGTGGGTTTCCAGGAATTGTGCAAACGTTTGCGCTAGCATTGCTCGTTATGTACAACATTTCGTTTTGCCCTCCTCAATCAAACACCTCCCATGGGCGCCACGATGTATGAGCAAATGCGAAAACACTATGTGTAAAGATGACGTCGCATGCTTACTTATACTCGAAGTAGTGTGCCGTTGCTCAGAACCCTTGGACACATCGTCTTTCTGCGTGTACCTCAGCTAGGGCTGGTATTTCATGATGGGCGGTGGCAGCGCCGATCAATTGAATTCTAATGGAACATCATGAATGCAACAAGGAGCACGGCACCGGCGAGGTTGTCGGGATTGTAATGGCCAAACTGCACTATTCCACAATATTCCGGGGCAACGCACTTGCCTAGTGCATCGGCTGGTGGCAAAATTGGACTATCCGCGACACCCAACATCCACCCACCTCCCGCCGCGGCCCCAAGAGGCCGGTCTAAGTTAGGGCTAGCGGGGGGCTAGCAGCGCTAGTCGCGACGCGAGGCCGTGCTACATGAGGCGCGCTTCAGAGCCGACAGATGCGGGATCCACGTCAGCTTTGCGATCGGCGCGCTCTGTCACCTTCAACCAGGTGCAGGTGAAACCCCCACGAGGCTAAATCTCCACAATACCCAACCGCATCCCTGAACCCTGCCGTGTTTCACACCGCCACCACCCCATACACACAGACCACGGCCGCGGCCGCGGCCTACAAACGAGGCGTTGTATTGTATATATGCTCTTAAAACGAACGGAATCCATCCCTCTACAGCTGCGCTGCTGGCCTCCATCTGCTGCCTGTCTGCCCCTCCTGGGCCTGTAGGCTGCCGAGCTGGTAGAATTCTTACGAGCCATGACGGCCGCGCTCCTTGCACCTCCGTCCCAGCCAGGACTCAACTTCATGCCGCCTCGGGGGCCCTTGCGTTCGCTTTATCCTCAGGGCCTCGGTTGGGCACTGCTATGCCCTTGTGCCCTCGTTTCCTCCAACCCTTCTTCCCCTACAAGTTCCGCTGCTTACTGGCCCCCACTGCCCCTGGCAGCCGTGCCCACCCACACTCCCCCGCACCCCACCGGGCCTTGGACGTCGACAGTTTACCTTTCCTGTTATTGGCCCTTTGCTTCTAATACCGGTGATTTCCCACCGTCGGACCCTTCCCTCGTCCCCGCTCGGATCGCTTTCCTACGTGCATTGCCTGTTACGTGACTCCCTCCTTTCCTGCCCCTTTCCCCGCCACAGACTCCTCGCGGCTCATCGGAAGTGCCGCGCAGCAGCAACCGGTACCGGCACCCCAGCGACTCGGGCCGGGATGATCCGTCCAGCTTGCTCAAGGAGTGAGTGCGGTTGGGGTGATGAGGGGGAGGCAGAGGGGCCGGAGAGCAGCAGCACACCAGGGGGGCACATCAGCAGCTGCATGCACACGAAGGGGAGAAGATGAAGCGGGGGCGCAATGGGGCCCGCGGAACGGCGGGGTTCGGGAAGGTTCGGATGGACCTGGCCGTTGAGTGGCATCTGACTGAGCCATGGGTATGGGGACGGGGCTGCAGGACTGGGCGGCTGACTGAGCCATGGGTATGGGGACCCTCCCCACGCACCCCGCCCCCCAGGGGGCCCCCCCAACCCCCGGCTGTGTGGGGCTGGGCCCTGCCAACGGGTAGAAAGGCATGCCAGGAGACGAGAACGGCAAGCAGCGGCTGCGGTTGCTGCTGCGTGTATCAGCTTGTTGGGTCATGGAGTGGATCCCCGGGGGGTCGCCTCTCGTGTTGTCTCCGCGTTATGTGGGGGGAGGGGACTGTCGGAGAGGGCAGCTGGGGGGCAGCTGGGAGGGCCGCCGCCCGGGGAGTTTAAAAAGGGACCGGCCGGGGTCCGTGAGGATGTGTGGCAAGGGGCATGGGCGCATGGATATGGAGCCCTGGGGGCCGGGCAGGGTGCTAACTGGGTGGTAGTGAGGAATGGAGAGAAGGCGCAGTGCGCATCCTGTCCGTTGTTGGCTTCTGTGAAAGGGGGGGGCGCCCTGAAGGGGGTGTTGGTATTGTACTGGGGGAATGGGTTTGGGAAGTTTGGGTGGGGATGTGGGGAGTGGGATGGCGGCTGCTGCTGCTGCTGCTGCAGGCGCCATCCATCCATCGATCCCCCTGCCGCCATACACGTCGCAATCTGCTCTCCATCCCGATCATCCCTCGATCGCCGATATCCATTCACGCATCCCCCTTTCTCTCACCGCCTCCCCCCTCTCTCCTCCCTCAACTTTACACCCCCACAGCTTCGACTCCAAGCTTCAATCAATCCAGGATGTGCTCAACAGATACCAGTCGGAGAAGTCCACGCAGGCGCGGGGAGGTGTCCTAGGGAGCTCGGGGTCAGGGTTGAGCGTGTCGGGCAATAATGCCGGAGGCGGAGCCGGGGGCTCATCGGGCAGCGATCACCACCACGGCCACCATGGCTACCATGACCGACCTGCTTCGGGTTCCAGCTCGGCCCCTGGCTCTGCGCGGAGGTGGCAGCAGCAGCACCACCACCACCAGAAGCTGCAGCAGCAGCAGCCGCTTGACCCTGGGGCCATCATGGACGAGGAGGTCTTTGTGCGGGTGGGTGTGGGGGTGGGTGGGCGGAATGGGGGCCCGGCCAGGTGTGGGTGTGGGTGTGTGGAGGGGTTGGAGGGCGGGTGAAACACATCACTAGGTTGATTCTTAGGTTTCCTTTTGCAGCAGCTTCCGCCTGCAGCCTTCTTCCCATTCAGCCTCTCGCTTTGCGGTGCGTCGTGAGATGTACCGCGCCGTCAGCCCCCCCGTTAAGAGGTGGTAAGACAGCTGGACAGATAACCCTCAGCGCCTTTGTTCCCTTTCATATTCGAGCAACACTTGAATGCCATTCGTTATTACAGGTATATTAGTTAACTGCTAACCAAATTTCTAACCAGGATTTCATTGCAGTGTAGGAATTATTAAGGGGCCTTAGGGTGAGGGGCTGCTCCGAGCCCGCTCTCTTCGCGGACACATGCTTTCCCATCCCTCCTCTCCTCTTTCCCCCCCCCCCCCCACACACACAGATATTTGTTACCCACTGCTCTCAAAGGGGCCACTTTTTCCTCCTCCTGGCCCCTTGATGCCTTCACGAGGGCCCCCTTCCCTACAGCGGCAGCTGAATCTTTACACACACACTCACATATTTTACACATACACTCCCTCGTTTCTTCCCCCCCCCGCACCCTCTCTCGCCCTCTCTCGCCTCCGTCTCGCAGCACGTGCTGGCTACCCCCCGGCGTGTCAAGTCCGCAGTCCCGGGGGTCCCCCGCGCCCTGTCCGCCCGCATCGAGTACTACCGCAGCCACAGAGACAAGGCGCAGGTCGGCGGGGTCGGGCGGCTGAGCCCGGGGGGGGAGCGGCTCGTGTCAGGTTACATGAGTTGGTATCCTGCATGTCTGCTTGCCTGCCTGCCTGCCGTCCTGCCTGAAAGAACTCTTATATAAGGGTAAAAAGTATTTAGCGGGTCTGGAAGGATCGTCGGTACATTGGCAGTGCGGACCGCTGCTGGACGCCGCAGTGGACGTGTCCAAATGGATCCGGAGGCCCGTGACCATGATCGCGACCGTGACCGCGACCGTGACAGACACATCAGCTGTTGATCCTCTGCTTCTCGCATCACCATCATCACCGCTATCACCATCATCACCATCATCACCGCTATCACCATCATCACCATCATCACCATCATCACATGGTTTCCCGCGCCGGCCCCCTCGTCCCCACAAACCCCCCCGCAGGAGAAGGCTGAGAAGGCGCGCGGGGAGCAGCTGGCGGCGCAGCGCGAGGCGATGGCCAACGGCACGGCCCCAGGCACCTCGCCCATCAATTTCATCGAGGCCAACCGCCGCAGCATCGTGCCGTACGCCCTGCCGCCCAGCATCCAAATGACCATAGATTCCATTCGCGATCAGGGTTTAACCAGTTTGGCGGCGTGCACCACCCGCCGCAGCCGCCACGGCACCGCCAGCTGTACGAGCTCCGGAACTGGCGCCGTACCGGAGATAAACCGCTCGTCCAGGCCCTGGTCAGGGATGTCGAACACGACGCTATCGTCCGCGCGCGGCGCCGCCGCTGGGCCGTACTCACTCACCGTCAGTCCCGTCAGCACTCCCGCCGCCCATGCAACCCGCGGGCTTGCGATGGCGGCGACGGGAGCTGGCGGCGGCGGGGGCGGCACATTCGCAGGTACGGGTTGGGTGCATCCGATATCGGAGTTGGAGTTGGAGGAATCGGGGATGCGGGGCAACGTCGGCGGCATGGGCGGCCAGCGGCCCGGGAGCGGTGCGCGATCAGCGCCGGCGGCAGGGGCTCGCCATGCGTCGACGTCTTGGGACGGCAGCGCCGACGGCGGTGGCGATGGCGGCGCTGGTGACGGTGGCGGCGGCGGCAACCGCAGCCGTGTTCATTCCCCGGTATTCCTCACGGCCTTAGAGCTGCAGGCCCCGAACCCCACCGCCCAGGGCTACTCGACGGCGACGACGTCGCCCATTGGAAGCCGCGAAGCCTCCCCGTTAATCCGCAGCCGTTCGCCGGCCGGCAGCGGCGCCGCCGCCGCTGCCGCCGCCAGGTCATCAGGTCTTTCCCGTCCCGGCACTGCCACCAGCGTCAGCAGCTCACAGTACGGCACGTACTCCTACGGCGTCAGCGGCGGCGCCCTGATGCGTGCGAGCACCAACTCAGCCGGGGCTGGCGGTGCTCCTGGGCCGGGGGTTGAGGCGGGCAGTGTGTATAGCGGCGGCGGCACCGGCACGAGCGTGGACGGTAGGCGGCTGCGATTGGCGCTGACGGCGAGGCCTGCGAGCGGGGGCTCCCCCACCCGACGGTGGGTGGTGGTGTGGTTGCGGGCTGGGCTGAACTGCGGGGTGATTGGATTCCGGCGTAGGGAAGGCAGTGTGTGTGTGAGGGGGGTGCCCTGTGGGACAAACACATCCGCCGATTATTTATGATATCCCCTAGAATCTGCAGTACATAAGTAGTACGGACGCAGCTATCGTAGTAATACTAAAGGGTTTGTGTTCTTTTTGTTGCCTTCAAGTACTTGCGGCGTATGTACACGTACCTCCACATACTCTCTCCATCCCGGAGCCCGTCCCCCCCCCCCACCCCACCCCACCCTCGTACACAACCTACCTCCCGGGCCCCCACACGCAGAGTGGAGTTCATCGCGGAGCAGTCGGGCCGGCGAGTGGAGAGAGCCCTGTACGCGGCGGAGGTGCGGGAGCGGGCGGTCGCACTGGATGTGGAGCGGCGGCGCAACATCGTGGCGGCCTCGGAGCAGCGGGCGGCGCTGCGGCGGGAGGAGGAGGCGAGGCTGGCGGCGGCGAGGGCGCTGGCAGAGCGACAAGAAAGGTGCGCGCACAGAGCAGCACGGCCGGCCGTGGTGGCGGTGCTGCTGGTGGTGGTGGTGGTGACGGTGGTGGTACCTGAGCCAGTTCCGGGGGTGCGGGCGCTAGAGGGGGTGCGGGCGGATAAGCAATTTACTTTAGGAGCAAGGGCCGTGTCTTACGACCAGGCAGGCAGGCAGGCGGGCAGGCGGCTCAGTAAGGGTGCTCAAGCGGCGCCCTCGCCCGTGCGTTGAGAAGTGCGGTTTTGTTCCTTACCTGAAGGCGATATGGCGGTAGGTATCTGAATATAACCTTTGATGAGAACTATTTGGTCTTTGACACGACGAAATGCGTAAGTTCTCCACGCATTATAACTATTATATTAACAGTTCTCTTTCTCCCTCCCCCCTCTTGAATTGCAGGCAGCGGCAATGGACGGGGATTGTGGGGCTGTGCTCCAAGATCTCCTTCGTCGCGGAGAGGGTGGGTGCGTGGGTGCGTGGGTGGGTGGGTGGGTGGGTGCGGACGGAAGGGTGGGCGGTGATACCTCGCACATCCACATCGCTTCCGGAGTCTAAAAGTACAAACGGGGGCCGGTACGTTTCACATTTTGGACGTCGGCACCTGCTTTCCTGCGCTCTCGTGATCTCTACATCACATTCCTTCTTCGCCACACTTATCACACCGCAGTTCTATTGCCGCACAAACCGCCCGCATCCGCCCCGCCAACCTTGTTCCACTGAACCAGCCAGCTACGAACCGGGCCCTCACTTCCCGGCCCCGGCCCCTGCCCTCACGCCCCGGCCGTGTAGATCATGGAGGACCGGCGGATCAGGGCTCTCCGGGCGCTAAGGAAGGCGGCGGCGATGAAGATTGCCTCCTGGTACAAGGGCATCCTGCTGAGGTGCGCGGCACAGCCCACAACCCACCGGGAGGACGGAACCAGCCTCCGCCGCCACATGCACCTCCGCCTCTGCCTCTGCTTGCGGCTATATGAGCCATTTCTGTGTCAGTGACCACTTCTTACTGACTGTTGATATGCCACCCTGTCGGATGTGCCGTATCTCACCCGCTCACCGCAACCCCCCTCACTTCACCGCAGCCCGTCACATCGCGAAGGGGGGGACAGGACGTGGAGACCCGGGGGGGGGGAGTTGTTGCACGGCTTGAGGGAAATAAGGGAGGGGAGGCGCGCGCGCGTGTGTGTGTATGTGTGTGGAGGGGAATGTGAATCCACCAGGGCTTCCGGAATGCACCCGTCCAGTGACCCGACCATCACCCGGACATGACTACGTGCCCCCTTCCCGCCCGCTCCGGCTTTCCCAAAACGTCACGGTTACCGCTGCCTGCAGTTGCACCTTGGAAGACTCCCACTGCATTGATTTCGTCGTCTGCTGCCGCCTTCCGCCTTCTGTTGCAATCGCACTCTCGTCGGCCGGCCACTTAGCCCTCTTTCTATACCACTTACCACCTTCCAAGCCTCCCCCTCACCACACCCCTGGCAGCAGCTTCATTCGTTCGTGGTTCGTCTTTCCCCCCCTCACCACCCTTTCGGCGTCGGCAGCTGTTTCCTAGACATTGCAAATGATCGTCCCGCTCTCCCCCCCCCCTCATCCTGCTGTGGCTTGTGTGTCGACCTGGTGCTGCTGCTCTCGGTTCAGGCGGCGTCAGGTGGAGCTGGTGTCCTTGATTCGGCGACTGAAGGGGCTGCTCAAACCGTATCTCGCCGTACAGAGGGAGCTGGTACGGCAGAGATGCACGGCTCGTATCGTGTCCTTTCTGCAGTACACTCAGACCTCCAACATGGCGGTGGTGGGGGTGAGGCGGCTAAAGGCGGAGGTGGAGGTGCTGCAGACGTGAGCCGGGCGGGCTGCCTGGAGGGGGGCTCGCGAGCTCGGCCGGGAGTGGTCAGGGAACGAGAGGATATTAATAGGGTTGGTTGGGTGGTCTAGGTGGGTTGGTGGTTAGTGGTTAGTGGTTGAGATGGGGGGGGAGGGGCTAGCGGGTAGATTTGTGCTGCTGTGGTTGAGCTGCCTGCTGCCTGCTGGCCGCCACATGCCGTTAACTCGTTACTTCACCGTGCTGGCTTTCCTCCCCCCCCCATCCCCTCACCCCCCGTGGCGTTCGTGCCTTCTTCCTGCTCCCACACTGCCACTTCCCCGCACGTTGCCGGCCCCTTACTCTGTGCATATCGTCATGCTTTCCCTCTGCCTCCATGACCCTCTGCTGGTTTTTGTGCAGCGCTTGGCGCAATGCGCTGCTGGTTCGCAACACCCAGCGACAGATCTTGTACAACCAGCTCACCCGGCTGGAGAGGGACATCGTGTGCACCAACAAGCGGATCGAAAGGACTTATGCGGGCCAGGTGGGGCCCGGATGCCTGCGCGCCTGACGTCTACGTGTGTGTGTATGCGTGTATGTGTGTCTGTGTCCGTGCGCGCGTGCGTGCGTAAGTACGCCTTGTCAATCTATATAGTTAGGTACGGGGCCGGGGGCCAAGCGGCAGTGTCCATAGTGTGTGTGTACAGCAGGCCTCCGGTGGGAACGTAACCTGCAGCACGTGGGTTAACGCAGTCCCGCAGCAGCCCTGGACGCCAGATCCGATGTCGCCCTTAACACCTCCTTGCCCCGCCACACCTAGCCAAGTCGTCCACTGACACGTCACCCCACTACCCGCACCCGCCCGCAGATGTTCCGGTTGGGGAAGTCCGTCAACATTCTGGAACCCGACGGTGCGGTACCGCCCTCCGCCGCCGCCGCCGCCGGTGGTGGTGGTGGTGGTGGTATTGCAGGCCGCTCCTTTAAAAGCTTGGGTGCAAGCAGCGCCAGGTCTCATGGCCCACCCCAACAGCAGCAGCAGCAGGCGGGGGGAACCCTCACCATCTCCGATGCGATGTCGGTTGTTCCCGCGGCCACGGACGCCGGAGCAGGTACAAGTGCACGCGGCAAGTACGACAGGTACGACCAAGGTTTTGGTTTTTGTGGCGCACGGCACAGAGCTGGGTGTCTCATCCTTAGATCGTCCAGGAAGGGAACGGGGGAAGGGGGCCTCATAAGTCAGATCATGGGGAACGGCTTGCATGGTGAGCCCCGAACTCTCTTCCTTCACCATCTGCCAATGGAAAAGGGCGGGCGGGCGTTAAGAGAGCCATCCTGAATGACACACATACACACACATACACACACAGAGACACACGTAATACCTGATCACGCTCCACTCCATCGCCCATCCCGCCCCGGTCATCCCGGGGGCCGTAATGCTCGTGAGGTGAGGTGCGGTGAGGTGAGCTGAGCAACAGGGCATTGCCACGACCCGAATGCGGATTACGCGTATCCATGTCCGCGCGAGCAGGTGGCAGTGGCAAGCAGCAGCCCAAGCAGCGTTATGATCTTGCGAGGTGCCAATCGTTCGAGGGCGCCAATGGGGCGGTGGCACCAACTCACGAATCTGCCCCACCATCGGTGTCCCTTCGCTGCTACTGCTGCTGCTTCTCCTGCTACCGTTGCGGCTGTTACTGCTGCTGTCCGCTCGCGTCGTCACTGCAACTGCTGCTGCTGCTGTTGCTGCAACTGCTGCTGCTGCTATTGGTGTCACTGCAGGATGCGTCAGCCTTACCGGGGCGTGTTGGTCCACGAGGGGCTGTTGGAGGAGGAGGACGAGGTGCTGCGAAGCCACCTGGAGATGGTGCCCAGGGAGGTGCGTGGGGGCGGCGTGGCTGTGTGTATGTGTGGTTGTGTGTGGGGCGGGTGGTGGGGTGGGGAGGGGGGGGAGCGGATACGTGGAATGCAGTTGTGGGTCGCATGCGGACGCGGAGGGTGGGGAGGAAGTGTGGAAATGCAGTCATGCAAGCAGGGAATGGGGGGAGGGGAATGGGGGGGAGGGGAATGGGGGGAATGAGGGGAAGGGGGGGAGGGGAAGGGGGGGGAGGGCAGGAGGAGACGTGGGAGATGAGCCGGAAGGTGGGAGGTCGGAAAGGGGGGCCAGGGGCGGGTGGGGTGGGTGTGTGTGTATGCGTACCCCAGCGTAGGGGCGGTGGAAGCAGGCTCGGGAGTCTCGGGAGAGGGGAAGGGGTGCTTGGGCTCTGCCGCACTGCCAGACCTCTCCCCGCGCACGTCCGACACCGCCGCGTACCTGACCAAGGGCAGTCCGTGACCAGGGCTTTCCGTCGGCCACCTGACCAAGTGACCAAGACTCGGTCACTCCAGGCCAACCCCGCCACTGCCGCACGACCCAGATTGATCCCCTCCGCCCCCGGGTTGCTCGCTCCTTCGGGTTGACGTGACATCCGCCTCTCCTCGTTGCTGAACTAACCACTGGGCATATGCAGGAGCCCCCCCCCGTCACCGGAATGCCGTCGTGCGGCTGCTGTGGGCCCTTACGTAGACATATATACGGACCCCGGGGGCCCCCCCGGGTCTTCCAGCACATGTTTCCCTTCCTCACTCGCGCTCATACCCTCCCGTAGAGCTTGAGTCAGCCGTTTTGCTTCATCCCCCTCCTCCCACCATAAAGTCCACAAACCCGTATAGCATCGGCACTTGAGTCGTCTAACGTTTTGCATGTCTCAGCCCAATACCCCGCCCTGAAACCGCTGTGCACGACGACCTGTACCACCTCCCAGCCGCCGCCATCACCACTACCATCGCTAACAACACCACTGCTGTACACGCACACCCCAGGTTCGCGAGCAGGTGGTCAATGCCTTCCTGCTCGAGGCCCGTCGCGAGCACCGCAAGCTGCTGGAGCAGTACAGCAATGAGAAGATGTTGTACCTGGCGAGGAGACCAATTGAGGAGCTGAGACAGAAGATGCTTCGAGATGCGGGTGGGGGCGCTGGTGGTGGGGGTGGGCACTGGTGGGGTTGGGGGTCGGGGGTGGTACTGATATAGATGGTTGCGGCGGGGTCTGGGATCTGGGTCCTGGGGCTGGCGTGAGTGGTGTAGCACCGCTGGTGGAGCTGGGCGCTGCGAAGCCTTGGGCCGCGTCCTTTCCGTGCTTACCGGCTGCCGCTGCCGCTGCCGCTGCTGCAGCCTATCCTGATTGACCCCTTCTTCCACACTTGCACTCCCACTTCCACTTCCCCCCATGCTGCAGGTCTGACGATGGAGCCAGATGTCAAGCCCCCCGTCATGCCCCACATGCGCCTCGTCTACCCCCGGCCCAAGCTGAAGGAGCTTCTCCGCCGCGCAGTGGAAATCAACCAGGCACGTCTGGCGGCGGCGGAGGAGCGCCGGCAGCAGGAAGCGGCGGAGGTGGCGGCGGGCGGCGGACGCAGCACCCACTGGCTGGCGGAGCACCGCCACGGAGGTGGTGGCGGAGGCGGCGGCGGAGTCTTGTGGGCGGATTTGCACGGTGGTGGCGGAGGAGGAGGGGGTGCGCACGGCGGCGGTGGGGGTGCGGGCCTCTCACGTGCCAATACCGTCCGCCGGACCTTCTCCAGGACGTCGCACCGGGGCACGTCACACCGGTCGTTGAAGGTGCCGCCGCCGCCGCCGCCCCCCACGACGCAGTAGAGGCCGTTGTGGCACAAAGGCAGGGGAGGATGGAGAGCTAGGGTTAAAGGGTGCGGGATTGGGGGGCGGTATTCGGGACTCGGGAAGGTAGGACTGGGGGGCGCCAGAGGGCGGGGGCCAGGAGTGGGGAGGGAGAGGGGGGAGGGGGGTCGCAGACGTTCGCGGGGTTCGAAGCACCGCCTAGGTGGTGGTTAGGGGTGTGTGTGAGATCCGAGGTGCTGAGCGAGGGGGAGGACGGAGGGTGTGGTGAGGCGCCCGTGTGGTGATGCGCCCTTGGTTCCCCCAAGAGGGCGACAGGGATGACACTGGCCAAGTAGCCGGGATGGGGGATAGGAGCTCCTTACCTCGATTGGTGGTGCTGAAGCGGACTGTGTTTCACGTGGCCGATATTATCGAGCGTCGTGCGTACTGGAATAATCTTTGGTCGTGCATGCATGCATGCATGCATGTGTGTTCATTGCAAGATTGTACGAATTATCAACATTGTATACACACACGCACGCAAGCACAAAGCACGAGGGGGGTCGTCCACGGTAAGCCCAAGAAAGGAAGGCGGGACTCCAGGAAACACACGAGGATGGTGGGAACGAGCATCATATCGGGTACTTGATAATGTGACACGAGACTGACTGTTGCCTATTTCATCGTACTCCAGAGTTGCCATGGCGGTTGGGGTTTCCGTACTGTCTGTGATGCGGTCGTGTGGCTGGTTGTGGTTGGTGGGCTAGCATGTTGGACAGTGCTCAGCATGCTCAGGGCTATCTGCTGGGCTCTTCGTTTCACGGTCATGGAGTAGTGCGGGTAGTGCGTTGTAGTATGATGTACAGTGTCTAGAGACACGACAGACTCAACAGACAGCAGATGCTTGGCGGGTAGGGTCAACAACATAAGATTCATTTCGGGATGGATGGTGCGGATGGCTGTAATTGGTAATGTAAACGGCGGCCGAACTCGTTGCTTCGGTGCTTCTTGCCAAGAGCAGTGAGAGGATGTTTTTTATTCGTTCGCTACTGCTGCAGAACATCTTTGCGCTGTCGTATCGCGGGTGCTGTGTTGACAATAATGTCACCTTCGAGGGCACCTTGGGGGGGGCGAGGGGGCCGACCGGCACCAGTGGAGCTAGTGCACGTACGTGCATGGCGGTGCGTGTGTGTGTGTGGAGGGGGAAAGGCCGTAAATATTACACACATATATGAAAATGTGTCTGTTATCGTTATCCATCATGGTGATGATGATGGTTTTGGTGACATGATGGGAAGGGGCAACAAGATGGAGCTGTGAGCCAGGCAGCTAGCTAGCTGTGGCGCAATAAACTACCCAACATAACGGGAGCGAGATCCCATCTCGCAGTCCGCAGCCTCACCTCACAATACAAAGTAAGAAGTACATTCTTTGCGTCATGCAAATGAGACCGACATACATACATACATACATGCATACATACATACATACATACATCACAACACCGGCGAGTGACGCAATGGACCACTAGCTACTGATGATGTGCGTTCCGTTATGAACCTACACAATCAGGGGTCATCCATCATGCATATTAGCCAGCATCAGCACTATAGACGCCCTTTCTGCTCGGCCTGACATCGTCGCCCTTTGCACATCATTTCCCTTTGTTAATAAGAGATGCCTTACAAGGCTGCTGTGTGTGTCCTTGACACCAGCGTGGATGGGCGCACAAAGCAGCATATTGCAATTTTGGCAGCTTGATCTCAGTCCGCCGCCTGTGTCTGCCTGCTGCCTGTGTCCCACAGATCTGGCATTATTACTCCCTCGCCCCTACTAACTAAAGCTTCCCCAGGAAGGTGCCAGAGGCGAATACCTTGTAATAGTCGGTGTACACCTGTATGTGCATATCCATGTGCATTCATTTGGCAGAAGCAGAAGCAGCAGCAGCAAGGACGGGAAGGAGTTGATAGGAGCAGCGACGGCGGTGGGCAACCGCACATAGAACCGCACGAGGCACCCAAGCAAGTTCCCATCCCAAGGGGGGTTATCGGCAACGGGGTCCGTTGGGCGGCTGCGTCATCGCGACATTAGCACGACCAATTATTGTGATACGGTGGAAACATGCTGTGCATATGAGTGGACACTGTCACTCGGTGGATTTGCTAGCAGAATGCGTGGATGCTAACAAAGATTGATTGAAGCCCCTCTAAACTCAGGGCTCGCGAGGCCGTTCCGGAATGAGCAAAACGACGTACCGGGTCTACACACACACCGCCACCCGTCTTGCTGATGTGTGGGCAGTGCACCTTAGGTTCGACAGTAGCATACGCCATGTGCAGGAAGCGGCAGTACTGGTTGTTACCCTGCATGTGCGTATGTATGTACGTACGGGCAACAATGTTATGGAGCGATAGTTGCAGGTACGTGGGCGCCGCAGTGGGGTGGCAGTCGAGCAAAGAGCCCCGCATCCATAACTTGAACGAGGGCCCTCAGGGAGCATACGGTGGAAGGCTGCACTACTGCTTTTAATCAAGGCTGTCAGTCATCCTTGCCAAGAGGCTGTCGTGCACCAAGAGGTTGTATTGTTCGTATTATTTGTATTGTATCGTTTGTCTTGTGGTTCACATGGATTGGGTTACCCACGACTTGTTGTGGCACAGAGGAGGTGGTAAGGCGGAAGGAACTACTTGGCGCAAGTCTGCTGCAGAGTCACCCGTGTACGAGCATCCTGCTCTGGCAGGGACACCCAGCGCAGCTGCAAAGGACAGAGCCATCATGTCTCGGGTGGTAAGATGTACGTAGGCCAGGTCGCCCGCGGCCACTCCCTTAGTTGATGGAGGCCCCAGCCACCCAAGGCCCCACGTGAACGCGTAAACCTGACGCTTTTGACACTGACATGGGAGATGTTCGTACCGGGACGCGGGAGATGTTCGTACCTGTATTCCGTACACCGCAATACGTGGGATCGATGACATGAAAGTCAGGCAGTCCGTAACGTTGTCGTACCCAGCGTAGCCCTGTGGCCGGCACACCTGCGACAGACAGTACGGCTCAGTAATCATGTGATCCATTTGGCCCCGGAATGTCTGTGTGCGGGCCCCGGGGGCACGGGCCAGTGCTTAGCTTGCTGATTTTCGTCCGGCGGGCGATAAAGAAAGCTGACACCCGCGGAGGCCTCTACTAGGGATAGGTTGTAACGCCGCTAAGGCGGCCCTTGGCTCACCGGGCCAACGGTATCGTACCAACGGTACATCCAAGAACTATTCATAATCTTCCAATACCAAACGGTATTTATCAATACCACCTTTTATCGTTGGATAATTTCCTTTTTCGCAACTGCTTGCCAACTGCAAGCTTTGTTACAATTTTGGTATCTTAGACCAACCGGTCAAACGACCTCGGAGTCAAGCACTCCATCGCTTCCGCAAACACATTCCAACTTAAGAAACATTTTCTATCTGACTTACATGGCGAGCCCAGGGAATACCATGCGCACCCAGTCGGCGAAGGCCGACCATGAGCGCTATCAGCTGCGCCAGGTGAGCCCCTCTAGGGCAAAGGAACTGGTACAAAAGGTCCAGGAAATGTATGAGAAGTACGTAAGGCGTGCCCAGCGTAAGGGCATAACACCGCCGTCGCGCATGTTTGACAAAGTCAGACAATTCTGCGACGAGCAAGGCTATCGCTCCGCACTAGGCTTCCTAATGGAAGCTAATGAGGAACTCTCCTATGTGCAGAAAAGCCGCGAACTGCGGGAGCGTTTTAGCCACTGCGGCGCATGACGCCGACAACAACGCCAATGGAGCGCACGACCCAACAGGTCCCGGACCCTCGCGCCCACGTACTGCGCAGCCAACTGCTGCCGCCGCGGAAGCCGGCCAGGGTAACTGGGCCCACCGCCGCGCTCAAGGCGCAACGCGGCACACGGCAGGGTGAGTTGCGCAAAGAGTGTGAGCGTAACGACATCACTGCGGCTAACCTCGTCCCGCCTGAGGGAGGGTTGCCACCACTTCCCACCCACACCGCCCAATTGGCGCAATATCACCATGTCTATTGGTGCTTAGGTCCCCGCAACAAAATGTTGCACATATTATCACGCGAACTGACGCTATGGACCACACGGTACACCCAACAGGTGCAGCCCCACGCGACGACGACTATAATAAACGGGTGCTGGAAAAAAAAAAACTCGAACAAATGTCGAGGAGAATAGAAGGCATAGAGGCGCACATCCAGGCCCAAGCCGCCACACCGCGCCCGCCTCCTCCTCCGACCGCACCCATCATAACAGCGGAAAAAGGCCTCAATGCGCAGCCGGCACAGGCCAATGACCAGGCACCACAACCAGTGCCTGGGGGATGGATGAACAGATACGGGGACACGTATATTTGTTGTGGAAAGAGCGTAGGGCGTTGCTGCTGTGTTGCACTGTACAACATGTACCGTTCTAGACATGTACGGTATTACCGTACGGCATATGCATTAACTCATACATATATTATTTCCATACACGTCGCGCGCAGGCTAAAAAACACGTCCTAAAAAACTTATGTCCCCAAACCCTCAAACCCCGCCATGAACCCCCGGAGTACGCCTTGCATGGCATGTATATGCCGCCATCTGCTTATTAATGAAAAACCAATAACAGCCCCGCTTCACTAGCCCACACTCCACATGCTTGGAGACATACATGTACATCGACCACCACCACGCACGCACGCGAGCATCTCTCAGAGTGCACTCACTTGCTCGTGGATGGCACAGACAGCCCTGACTATGGTGGCCGACATGGTGTCCGAGACACGCGGATCGGGTTTCACGAGCTCCTCTTGCATCTGGGGCAACCGCACGAAGTTCCAGTCGCCTGCATGTGCGTGCGTACGTATGTATGTGGTTGCGTGAGCCGCAGGGGAGAGGTCGGGGACGGCGGCACGCCAGGCCGAGCTGCTGTGGGTGGGTAGCAAAGAGGTCGCGAGCTTTTCTCGCATACAACATCCTCACGTGCGTGATAGCCTGTCATGTCCCGGGCAGCACGGCAGCTGAGCGCGCTCACCCTTTATAATCTTCTGGGTGACGTTGTCATGGTAGTTGAACATGATAATGGTAAGGTTGGTAATGCGCTGCGTCGGATCACTGGCCAGATAGTACATCAAGTTGAAGGTGGTCGCGGACACGTTGCCTGCGAGGGGGAATTCCGGCAGGGTTACAGCAACGAGTGGAAAAGGGAATGAATGAACGTATGATGTATCAAACGCAGAAAAAGGTCGGATTGTGTAAGAGGATGGAAAGTAATAAACATGTGGGCACGGCATGCGGTACCTGGCAGCGGCTGGGTCGCATGCGGGCGCACTGTGGGTTGCATGTGTGGTCGACGCCCGGGACGGGGAGCAAGACCCGGTGCTGTAGGCAGCTACAGCAGCGCTTCAGGGGACGGCCACCACCATGCTCGCTCGGGGATTATTCGTACCGAACGGGGTACGTACGGGAGCAGGGTGGGGCGCGGTTGGGTCCTGCTGGCAGCTGGTAGGTGCTAGGGTTCCCACCTACGAGGCCAGCGTTAACTCTGTGCGTTCAAACCCTTCCGCCAAAGAGCTAGCAGAAGGACCAGCACTGCTGATCCCGCTGGGCATCTATGACAGATATACCTCGGGCTTTCCCGGCAATTCTACGAAATCGACTTGTTGGACACATCTCCCATCGCGCCCCCGCCTTATTTGTTATACATGGTCGTGGGGATGCATACCCCGTACCTACGAATACGAGCCGAGGGCTCAAGGGCTGCCAGATCGCCTATAAGCACCGTCCTACCTCGCACTTCAGACAAAGCAAGTGATAAAGGAAACTAACGATCAAAGGGAACGATAAGAGTTGGGGTGGGACCACATTCGTTCCAGCATCTTCGCCAGACGTTCAGGTTACTACTTCATAGCGTCCTTCATGTGCTCAAAGCGAGGGAAATCCACATCATATATGATTTCGCCGTACACCGGACAGTCCAGCAAAAGACGTGCTGCTCATCTTCAGTAAGGCTATCAGTACCGCAGCAGGGGCATACCCGCTCCTCCCTAGGTACATAACATCGTCCCTTGCGCGCTCTGTTCGCCGCCAACGCCCAAAAGCAAAGCCTGAACTTACAATTCGCTGAACGCGGGGTGACTGTTGGCTTCCTGCCCGCTTGCTCAGCTGCCAGAATCATTCCATTCTTATATTTCGCCATGTGGATTCCCGGTTGCTTACCGTCTGACGGGTATACGTCTGGCTGGACATCTAGACGCGTATGCTTGAACTCCGATACCACACCTTCCGACAATGGCCTATTCATTAGCCATTCCCTCCATCATCTGCCTCACGTAGCCCTCCTTAACTTCGCGACCACTGCGCCCTAACCGACCCTAGCTTCTTCCAGGCATGTTTACCTCCTCCCAACAGCGCCTATATACGGTATTTTTGATTGGCTCCTGTACATTACAGTTGGGACGAAGTTATTTCGTTCGCATTATGCAGCATGCGTATTGCCAAAACCCGTCGTTCCGTTCGTTTTGCCGCATTTCATTCTGCTGTCCACAAGCCAACTTTGCCTTATTATTGCTGCCAGCGCGCACACGCGTACCTGTATTCGCAAAATGCGTCATTTCAATTGCGTTTATGCGGGAGCGGGTGCTCGGGCCCAATGGGTGCACGAAAGTTGCCACGTAGTCAGCAACCTCCTCCTTGCCCCGGTATATGCCTGCAGGCAGGTGGCATACATGCTGTGACGCCCAACATGCAGCAACTCTGGGAACGGCATAGCATCGGATCGATCAAACCCGGCGAGCCAGGCTGATGGTGACTTCTGACCTTGAGACAAAAACCGTAACATGATGTTTTGTTAAATATACGGAAAGGAGTTGGAATTGTGCCTACCGAGTGGTTCAATACGCACGACCGCGTTATCGTCAATAAAGTTCACCAGCTTGGCGACCGCAGCATAGAAAGCATCAAGGCTGGGGCCCCCAGGTGGGGTAATAGATAACTTCATAAGCTCCATATTGGTATCGCGATGACCTGCGATGCGATTGAAATGATCGGGCAATGTTGGCAGTTCCGGAAGGGACTTAAAACCGACGTTAACTCTGCCGCCGGCCGCTCTTGCTCCTGCGGCATTGCCAAAAAGGAAAAATAGTTTAATAGTTTACTTGTTCTGCTTACACTGGTAAAGGCACTTGGCGGTCCTGCAGGAGGTCTTGCAAGAAGGCAGGCAGTTGACCATGGACGAATTGCAGGCGCTTGTGGCAGCGCCCAAAGGCGACAGAATGGTGAGAATCAAAAGAGGTATAAACATCGCAGCAAGAGCGTTGGCCTTGGCCATGCTGAGTACTTGAGGATTTGACCGGTCTAAGGCAGGTCTGGCAGGTAGCGAGTGAGCAGCAGCGCAGAAGGCACGCTACTTAACATGCATTCAGACTAATACAAAAGCATCAAGATGAACGTGTCCCGTATATTAAGAGCTCGTATGGTGTGGCACAGTCGTACGTAGCCGCGTCAGCAACAGGCAGGTGTGAGTGACAATAGGCTTGGGGGTTATTGATGTTCTACTCGTAATATCCTTGCAGCGCCATTTTCATATTGGGTTCATTTGGCACAATCAAAAGTACAAGCTGGAAACCCAACGGAATGCGGCGACCTCGTCGACGAAGGAACGTGCGTACTTAGGGAGCCATCTGTGGTCATTCGATAATGCAAGATGATGCCCAAATAAATTTGATCATACTCATGGCCTTTCACTTAGCCTAGAGGTGAAAATGGCGCCCACCACCTGAAGCAAGGCCGCGTTAGGCAAAAGGTTAGAGTAGTGCACCTTCTTAGTAGCATTGCGAAACGCCCGTGTAGTAGTATATCATGCTGTCCCAACAGAATTTGCAGCCGGCTGTACTGCAAGCTTTGTTACATGTACAGTAAAAATGAATCTGAGATTATTGTTTTATCGATCCAGCCAAAACCATCAGCGTCTTTGCGTCCCATATAAATTAAAAAAGGAATATTGAACCATTTTACCGTCTTTCCTTTAGTTCACGGTTTTATGTCAGGGCCACCACACCCATCCCGGTCAGTTTTGAAATTATGAATGAATCAAATGCTGACATTCACTCTGTGATTGTGCCTTTCTGAAAACCGGGAAGGTAGAAATGTTTTGCGATGCTACCATGAGGATGCGGCGACTTCGGGATGACTGCCCATTCCAAGGTTAGGTGTGTACCGCTTTTGCGCGCCAGCCAGCCCGCGACACACACTTGCGGCCGCAAGTGTGTGTCGAAGTTTGCCGGCTTGCGGGTTTACAGAAAATGATTACGAGTTTAACGTGACATTTTAAATGCCATGCTTGTGAGCCTCTTAGGCGTGAACGCATTTAGGGTGTATTTCCATTGCGGATTAAGGCCAGGAATTAGGGCACGGAAGTCGTTGGTACGAGCAGGAGGGTAGGATCCGGGCTGGAATTGGGGAAGAGCTCTGTCGCAGAATTAGCCTGGATTTTATTCCTGACAAAAGAATTGGTCCGTCGGGGTCTTGAATTGTTCTGGCGGGCTCGCCGGAGGTATTCGAATTGCGCTGTGGAGCCCCGGAATTGGGCTGTGCTGGGCCTGAATTGGCCTGTCCGGGTGTCGAATTGGCCTGTCCGGGTGTCGAATTGGCCTAACAGGGTGTCGAATTTACCTGTTCCGGGTGTCAAATTGGCCTTGCAGGGTACCGAATTAGCGTGTTCAGGGTGTCGAATTGGCTGTCAAGTTGGCAGGATTGGCTCAGGCTGGCATCCGGAAGCACATGACTTTAAAGGAATTTACAGAAAACTTTGCAAGGGGACCGCTTACCGCGTGTTGGTTTCGATCCCAGGACGTGGAGCAGGAAAACTTGCACCCCTGGTTACCGTACTCTGGCAATGTAGGGAGGCAAGCAATTAGGGCCACAACTGCAATACCCAAGTCAAGTCAGCCGCCGAGGCCCCACTGTTTTCCTACCACACTTCATCGGCAGTTTGTCCAGTTCATACCCACACTACTCGTATGCATGAATAGGTTCGGGTGGAAACAATGGGAATCTCCGATACACACCACTACACTCAGTACCACGAGCTACAATGAAAACAAATGACAAGTCGGGTGTCGGCTTCCTCGAAGCCGGAAAAGGGCGGGGCCCCCCTGCATCCGTACAGGCCGGTAGCTCGCGCGGCACGTGTGACAATTGATGGGTAGTGTCAACGCGGTGGGAGATGTGCTTTGTTGCAGCAGTGCTGATGGTGTGGGAGCTAAGATTGCACCAGCGGAATCGTCAGCACCGCCTGCGGGCTCCACGCGAATCGCATCCATCCCGGGTGCATGCCGCATGGACAGTGCGGCAGACCGCAAGTCGGAATGCCCGTGCGGGCAAATGGTAACGCAAGCTGGGTGAAGCTCGGTGCTGTCTGTGATGTTTATCCCCGAAGCGCCAGCGGCCTCAGCAATCCGCCCCACAGCCGCGTCGCGATGAAGCTCGCCGAGGCCCCGAGCATTGGCTAAAGTAAATGTACAAACGAGCAGCTTGCGTATTTCATAGATAAATGTAAGCAAATTTGTCGGCCTGCTGGTGGCAAGTCGGAATGCAAATGGTAACACAAGCTGGGTTTTCAAGTTATCATACGCTGTCATCTCAGAATTCAATTATGAGATACGCGGCACCTTTTGAGATGAAATTTAGCCCGAGAGGCGTTGATGTGACTTGTCAATTGAGGCAGCCAAAGTTGTTTGTGCTCATACGATCTTTGTTGGCTACAGGCAAGATACCTTGCAATAGAGAATGCTATATAGTACCGATAACGCGTTTCAGCCGGGCGCGATATTATGTTTGGTCGGTTACACACACACGGCCACACGTATCGATGGAGGACAGAGGGTTATGATAATCCGCACTGGAAATACACCCTTAGCGATGCAGTTGTATTGCGATCACACTCTTCCGACTTTGAAGGGTGCCGACTTCTTAGAAGCCGAGTGCAGCCCAGTGCAGCCAGCACACCCTGCACGCTTCGCGCGCCTTCCCTAGTCAATTTCTTACTGTCGTGAGAACAGTGCATAGGGTACAGGGGGACACCATTACTGATCCCGTCGTTATTGACTTCACAAACAAGGACCAGCTAGGCCAGGCACATGCAGTACTGCCCCGGGTGGTGGACATTGATCTCCCTATCCTGCTGGTCGACATCCACCTCACAGACACCCAACACGTTCAAAGCAGTGGTTACACACACAATAGCAATCTGTTGAATTTATCTACTTATCAAGCACGCTTAACCCCTGAAGATCAGCATGCTCGCACATCCCCTTTCTCACCCAACTATTATCCCACCCCCAACAGACGTCTTAGTCAAGCAGCGCACCATGCTGCTGATGAAATGGGCATCTCCGTTCAGGATTACACGAGGTTACAATGGGGTTCCACATTCCTCCATCGTCTAGATGTGACGTGCAACAGGTCGCAGCAACAACAACCGACACCCGGACGGTGACAGATCGCCGCATCGAGGAGCTGCAATCTCAACGACATGTCCATCAAAAGCCTTGCGAGCGGCCCGTGACGAACGGATGATGCTCAGAACTCGAACAGCGTAATTCCACACACCTAGAGCTTGCCGTGATCCTGTGGACGCTGGCTACATTATCCCCCACAGAGCCCTAGGAGCACAGCGGCTGGCATTTCGCTGGCCGCACCCCGCACCTCGCACCCTGGGAGCAGCGGCCGTGCGACTCCGAAGCCACCTGCTGCAGCCGCCACCATCGCCATGCCCTGGCCTATACTACCGCATACAGTGAGCCCAGTCTCCCCTCAGCAGTGCGACCGGGTACCAGGCACTCACCCGAATCCAAACGGACTTCTGACTTCTCAAGAGATTTGTACACATACATACAGTGGGTAACCTCTGCCGGCACTGGACCCCCTCTCCCACATCTGACTTCATGCTCCCATCCCCCACTCCCCCTACCACATACCCTATACATCCCAACCTTCCACACCAGCACCCACGTCCTCCCCGCCATCCTTCAACACACTCGCCACCCGCCGCTTCCCAACCAGCCCCCAGTAAACACCCCAGCAACCCCCGCTGCTGGTTGTCTTTCCCATCCATACTCCAATGACGAGATGATGATGTGGCACATTCACACTGCCACTGGCTCCCTGGAGTCTTGCCCCGTCCCAGCGGCAGTAGCAGTGTTGTCATCACAGTTGTACGGCAGCACCTCCCGCTTGATGTTGTCTTTGAGCCACTCGATGACGGTGACGCTCTTGACCGTCTCCCGGACGTCCTCCAGCAGCTCCTCGCGCTCGAAGGGCTGACCCACCGCCTGGGGAGTAGAGGGGCGGGGTGGGGCGACGTGGGGATGGGGTGTGGGGGGCCGAGGGAAGAGCGAGTGCGAGGAAGGTAGGGGATGGGGTAAAACACAAGCACCATCACAATTTGCACCCCATTGCCAACTGCCAACCAACCTCCAGCGAGTTACAGTACGGAGTACGGCTTCTACTTCCGGACTCCTCTTCCCAAGCGGTCTCATATTGTCGCCGCAGCCACGTCCAAAGCCCCCCAGGGCTCTAAGACCCTCCAAATCCAAAACCGTGCAGATCCCCCTACTACTGCGCACCACCCCACTGTTCTCCTGTAATATGCAGAGTGCTGCCCATTTCCCCCCGCCTCCTCAAACCCGTATTCGTGCTATCACCCCCCCACATCACCCCGCATGATCACGCCCCCACTTTCGATCTTTTGCCTCCTTCATCCTGCCTTCGTTCGTACCTGCATTTGCCGTACACGTAGATCGTACTCAGCCTCCACAGCTCCCTCGTCAAGCTCCAATCCCCGGCTCACGAAGATGTCATCAACGGCCAAATTGAACTTCACCTGCGTGTGCGTGTGTGTGCGTGTGTCACACCTGGTGTGGATGGCATTTCATTCGTGACGTGGTGGTGGGAGTGGTGGTGGTGATGGGAGCGAACAACTGCCAGTACAGTCCACAGTCCCATCGTTACATGCCAGGACACATCATCATCAGCTCTGCCGCGCAAACGATATGCATTGAGGAGCGAAGAAAGGGCGCTGCAAGAATCGGCTGCTGCTGCTGCATGTAGTACATGGCTTGAATGGTTGATCGATCATTGCTGCCCTTGCCCTGCTCGTCCCACAGCACCCAGCATCTGGCTACCATGATGTACGGTGCCGTAAACCAGGATGCAATGTACCCACTCCCACACCCATTCTCTCCCCCCCTTTGAGCCCCACCTGGTCCTCCAGATCCTTCCGCCGCTGTGCGATGAACTCCGCCGCCACCTCCTCGGTGGCCAACTTCTCAATGTCTTCCTGACTGCCGATTCGCTGTGATGGCGGGGTGGAATGCGGGGAAGGTTTGATTAATAAAGGAGAGGTAAGGTGCGCCTGCGTATTGGGGGGAGGGAGAGAAAGAGGAAGGTGCAAAAGACAAGCGCAAGTGCCAACCCTACCCAACCCCAGTGAATACATAGACACGAATCGGGGCACAGAAGGCTTCCCAGAACCTCCCTCGAGGCCCTTTCCCTCCCCTCCCCTCCCCTCCTCCCCCACCTCATCACCCGGTCACCCCCCCACACCACTACTCCCGACCCCCCCTCCCCCTCCCCCCCCACCCCCGACCCTTCACCCACGTCCTCAATCATCTGCAGCAGCTGTGCTTGGAACTGCCTCTCCCCCAGCTGCTCCACCATGCGGGCGGGCACCTCGGGAATCGCCAGGGAGTCCGCCACAGCCTGGACTCCAGGGGCGGACAGGGGGGACAGAAAGGGGGTAAAAGGGGGGAAGGAGGAGGGGGGCGTAATGCCTGGAGACTTCGACAGGGGGTCTAGGGGAAAAGGCAAGATGCAAACGCGCCTAGACGTGGCGTGACGAACATGGGACGTGAGTACCCAAGGCCGGTGCAGGCGGGGTGGCGGGGTGGGAGGGAGGGAGTTGGACGGCAAAGAGGGAAAGCTGCAGGTCGTGGGCTGTGGGCGGTGGGTTATCATGTCCTTTTGCTCCCCTCTCGTCTCGTCTTGCAGGCTCCGAACCACCCCCAACACCATCACCCCCAACACCATCACCCCCAACACCATCACCACCACCACCATCACCACCACCACCAGAGTAAGATAGGGGGAAAGATCGGGCCCTCATCCCATGCCTTGTCAATACTGCTGCTTTTGCCTGCAGGACATATCTAAGCCTTCCTCCCTCTTTTGTGTGTTAACAAAGTTGAGGCAATGTTAAGGCATCACGATGTCCAACACCTCATAAGCGCAAGACTTGTAAACGCCAGATCCTCCCCCTTCCTCACTGGCCCCATCCCCATGCCCCAGTCGGCGGTTTTCCCTCCCCCGCCCGTGTTGCTCCCCCACCCCACCCCACCCCTCCGCACTCACCACCTCCCCCTGACAGCCCCCACCCCATGCACCCACCTTGACCACCGCATCTTCCAGCTGTTTGTCCAGTTGTTGCAGTCGCTGCATGGCGGTGGAGGCGATGAGGGCCTCGCGCATCTCAGCAGCAGACCGCCATTTGCCTGCGTGGTGCTGCTCAACATAGGCGTCGTTGAACTGGGGGAGGGGGGGAGGGGGGGAGGGTGTGTGTAGCAGGCCCGAGCGGCACGGGTGGATCATGTCTGTGTCTTAGCGTGTGGCGGTGGAGCTCCGCCACGGACAAGGGGAGGGGGGGTTGGGGTGGGTGCGTCGGGTGCCCCAGAACGCCGCTGCGCGAGGGAGGGAGGAAAAGGGCCCCAAAGCTCCCTTTCTCTCTCTCCCATAAAGACATAAATCGTGTAGCCATGTTGCTTCCCCCCAACACACACACACACACACACACACACGCGCGCGCGCGCGCGCACACGCACACCTCGGGCAGGGTCCATTCGAAGATCTCGTGCACCTTGACAGTCGCCACCACCGGCATGTTCTGACAGGGGCGGGGCGGGGGGGTCGGGGGGGATAGTTGGGGGGAAGGATCAGTGCGCCGTAAGGCGTGTATTGAGTTTGGGTCGAAGAGATTTAAAAGAGATTCGAAGACTGGATGGACTAAGAGGTTTATGAGGGACTGGGGGGAAGGAAGGTGGATGTACGGCGGAGGCGATGCCCGAGCGCGGTTCAGTGCTATCCTCCTGAACACAGGGAGACACAGCGGGGTTGAGCGACTTCTACCCAAACCACTCCTCCGTAACCCCTCTTCTCCACACACCCACACCCACACCCACATCATCCCTCTTCTAAACAACATGTACTTGAAAATGCCAGCTACATGCATATTGAATTAGGAGAATACGTCGAGAACGCACGTCGCTGGTGGCTACGGAGCTCGCTTCGGTGAAGTTCGTCGCGCGCCGCCATCGCCACTTACCTCGTCGCGGCTCAGATCATTATAACACAAACAAAAAACACCTCCCTTTTCCCTCTTTCCCCCCCCAAAGAAACACCCGTACACACCGCCCGCACCTGCCAGAACTCCACTTCGTAGTCCTCGGGCATCATCATCTTGAATGTGCGGCTCTCACCCACCTTCATACCCAACATGCCTGAACAGGGATCGGGGAGAAAAAGATGACGCGGCATGTACGGCATATGTCGGCAAATGCGGTAAAAGGCAACAACCTAATAAATGACACGAAAGGTCTTTCCCCCACCACCACCACGCTTCCCGCCCAATCAGCCTGGAAGAAATTACACCCTACCCCCGTAGAATGGGCTGTGAGAAAGAAATAAACATTCAAATACACAAACACACGGGAACCTAAAAAGACACGCAAGCAGTGACAACCCCGCACGTTTCCAAGCCCAAAGAATGCAGACACGCCGACGCCATAAGGCCCACCGAAAATCCCCTCAAGAATTATTCCCCGTCCACCACCATCACCGGCCCTCCTGTCTCCCCCCACCACCCCATTGGACCAACACTCCCCCAACACACGCAACCCTCCCCCCCACCCCCCACAGCCCCTCGTACGTCCCCACCCACCCGAGGTGATCCCAAGCACGTCCTGCTCCGTGTCAAAGGATATGCGGGTGTGCGTGAGGCCAGGGAGGGGCTGGCCGGAGGACTCTGAGCGGACCTGGGGGAGCGGCGGGGGAGGGGGGGAGGGGGGTTCCACGTGAACGAGTGAAGCTGCTGCCAGGGCAAGAGTGTACCAGACGTAGAACTGACCAAGAGGCGAAGGGGGAGAGGGGGGTACCACAGGACGATATGTGGACGGGCAGCAGCACGGCGTGAAGGGGGGCAGTGTATTGCTGACTTGGGCCGCAGTGGGGGCCAGCAGGCCAGGAGGGTACGCGAGCAACTTGCGTCTTTGTGTGCACGCGCACCCGTGGAAGGGGCCCCGGGGATTACAGGAATGGCATTTGGGGGGTGGGATGGGTTCCACGGATCTTGGTCGGGGCTTTGGTTACATTGGTCACGCAAATATGTCATGTAAGCACACACACATGTACACATGTACACATACTTACATACATGCATACATGTCTCCACCCCTGGGTCCGCATGCTGTTCGCCTACCTACTGCGCACAAAGACACCGCATTCCCCGCAGCCCGGGGGGCCCGGACGAGCACGTAGGGTTCCGGAGGGCCAGCCGTCCCGTTCTAGGTCTAGTAAGGGTAAGGGGGAGGTGCCGCGCGGGATGCCTCCCTCCCCGCCCCCCCCACACGGACTACCGGAGGACCTAGGAGCTGTGTTTCGTGGCGGTCGAGTCGTCCTCTTGGCGGGTTTGCCTGTCTGTCCCTGGCCCCCGTGGTGTTGGTCGGGCCCCACGGGTGTGTCATCCCTCGTTTTTTGGTTTGTTGCATCTCCCCTGGACCAGCCCAGGGAGGGAGAGGTGGCGGAGGTCGGGAGCCCGCTGAATGTGCCTTTCCTAACAAACGGCTATTGCCTGGGTGGTTGCAGCGGCAAGAGACCTCCCTCGTCCGTCCGGGCGCCGCAGCGTTTTTCCTTGGGCTCACTGCTGAATGGGGGGACCCTGGAGGGGGGGGACCATCGTCCCTCCCCCAAGCTTACAGGCCCGTGCACATCCCCGTGCACATCCCCGTGCGCATACCTCCATATCCATGACCAGGGTGTCCCCCGTCTGCAGGCCCCTGCCCGCCGCCACGCGACTGAAGCCGTGCTGCTTGCGGTACTGCCGAATCAGGTCGTCAGCCGCGGCGGCGTCCGTCTGGAAATCTCCCGTGTCCCTGTGCGTGTGGGGGGGGAGAGGAGGGGGGAGAGCGGCGAGTGGGTCAGGCTAATGGGGACAGTACGATAATCAGAGACCAAAAGGGGCACCAAATCCCGTCCGGCGCGCGCCTCTTCCACTCCTCGTAGGCGGGTGGGTGGCCGTGTTGGCTTAATGCTGCAAAATCACACAATAACACGCACCACATGAACATCCCGTACATAATCACTTACTTACATACACACACACATACCACGGGCGGGACGTCCCAAACCCCCCACACACTACTCCCCACTCGCCCCCAAAACCATGCCCTCCCCCTCCCCATCATGCTCCTGCTCTTTTACCCCCACATTCCCGTCCATTTTCCGTCCATTTCCACCTCCCCCCCCGTACTTTATTGTTACTGAAAGCTGCTCCAGGGGAACGGCCCACACCACGGGGGGAGCCACGTCGAAATGCGCGTTGAAGGAAAACTCGGTCGCGGGGTCGTAGCGCTCCAGCATGGAGGGGAAGTCGGAGGAGGGGACCTGGGGGGCCCGGGGGGGGTTTGTGAGGGGTGGTACGAAGGGGATCACGTGTGCGGTACGGCACCCGGAACTTGAAAACGACATACAAACATACAAGAGGGGCACACTACCGCCAGGTCGGGGGGAGAGCTGGTGTTTCCTATGTCCACACATGGGCCTTATACCCGCCGCCGACCGATCCTTTGCGCATACCCCCTCCCACCTCACCTCACCCCTCACCCACATTTCCCCAGTCCCCCCGCGTGTACGCTGCTGGGTATCTGGGGATGTGTTCACCCGGGGAAAGCCTGCCTGGAACCTTGATCTTTGTCAAGCCGGGTAGCGCACTCGGCTCCTTTACAAGCAGCGGAAGGATGACACATCACAAACACACACACACACACACATGTCCACACACCGTTGCCAGTTCCCGTCCATCTTACAGATCAACAAAGCGCGCACACACACATACACACACATACATACACATATGGCAGGCGGCTGGCAGAGGTTAAGGCCTGACTTCTGCTCCCAGTCGACCCAGTCGACCCGGGTTCAAATCCGCCTGCCGGCTCCTCGGGTGTTTGAGGAGTGATGAAATGGGAGGTGGCCCCCCATCTTATGGACGGTGTAGGACGTGATAATATCAACTTGCGAGCTGACCAGGAACTAAGTTGATGCGCCGTTGATCCGCTAGATTTGGTTGGATGCTGGTGGTGAGTTGCCGAACCCAACGAATACATTCTGAAGTCGGATGGGGTGACGGATTAGGGTGCCCCTCTAGCAGGGGAGAGCAGGGACTGCCCCGGGAAAGGGGGCCGCTGGCGAAGTTGACCACCCTGTAACAACATACATACACACACACGCACATAGGTTCTGCTTGTTCCCCCGACCTAGTCATTCGCTCTCATCTGCTCCCCCGACCCCGACCCCGACCCCGACCTCACCTCCACACTGGCGGGGTCCACTGGACGGCCCTGACGAGCCGCCTCAACACCCTGTCGTACAGACGCAACAAAACACACAGTCCGCCAAAGAGGGGAAACAGGTTTAAGTCTACTTAACGAGGAGGGGCCAAAAGGGAGTGGGGTGATTGTTGGAACTGTAATGAGAGTCAGATCCGGGGGTCTGGCTAGTGGACCGACCGCGGCGGGGGAGGGTGCAGAGAGGGGGTTTGCTCGGTAAGGTGGGGGTTGGCGCCTGCAAGGCGAGGGACTTGACGTGTCGCCGTGCACGACGCACCACAACGGTGAAACTTCGTGAGCGCCCACCCGCCCACCCACCGACTCGTCGACCACATTACCGGGTCCAGTCCACAGGCCAGTCCCGCACACGGACGAGTCCTCACCCCCCCCTTCCAGGCTCCGAGGAATTGCCCCCGCCGTCAACCTTCCCTCTCTATCTGGGCCGCCCACCCGCCGTACCAAAAACCCATGTGGCCTCCCCCGGTCCTTTCCCCGCCTTCATCTGTGTCGCCCTCCGGCTCCGAATCCCCCGCCCCTCCCCCTTTCCCCTCCCCGCCCCACCCGGGGAAGCGCCTCCAGCAGCAGCTCCTCCAAACAGAAAGTCTTGAACTTCTCCTGACCGCCCACCTACAAACGTGGTGATGGTGGTGTGTGTGTATGTATGTGTGTGGGGGGAGGAATTAGGCGGGCGCAGGAGAAGGGAGCAGCAGTCCTCTTATGCGATACAGCCAGTGAGTGCATGCAAAGCAGTCTGCCGCGCCGCCGCCATCGCGCTGCCCTTTCCCCCTCGCCCTCATGTACGATAAGCAGCTTCCCCCGCGGCCGTCCGTTCCCCCGGTGGCTCCTCCGTTTCGCCGTTTACCTTGGAGATGACCATTCCCAGGGGCAGCGGCTTGCCCGCCTGCCAGCCTCGGAGGTTGCCGATGACGTCTCGCTGTGCGGGTGGGCCAGAGTGGTGTGCAGAGTAACGCGGGGGGGAGAGTAACCGGTTTTTTAATAATCTGAGCCGAGAATGGAAGATGGAAATGATCGCGGCAGAGGACCCTTCCTTCCCGCGCATGGTGAAATCCCCATCGGTTGCGACAACTGCCATCCACATGCATCCCTCCCTCCCTCCCCCCTCCCTCACTCCCTCATTCACAGATTTTCAGCCACCCAGCCACCCGGGCCCCCCCCGCTCACCTCCAGGCGCTTCACTCCCCGCTTGAACACGTCCTTCACCGCGCGAGCTGGCACCGTGATGGCGACCTTACGGCGACACAGGGACAGCTCCTCCACGGACACAGACACATCGAACTGCACGGTCACACGGGTGATGGGGGGAGAGAGGGACAATAAACAAAACGAGCTGTAATTAAAGAAATTGGCATGGGGGTGGATGGGATGGAACGACACACATTTTCCCTTTGTTGCAACAGTAAGGAATGGTCCCAGCCTAAGAGGTCCATAGCAGTTTAAGAAGCGGAACCTGCTCCACGGCCCCGCCACACGGACCGCTGATCAGGGTCCCGGGTCAGGGAGGTCCTTGCTAAGAGGGGGTAGCCGCCCCGCGGGTCAAGGTAGGATGAGAACTCGAGGAGTGGTGGGATGGGGGGGTCCTGGCTCACACACTGGGAATGGGATCTCCAGGGGGGGGGTCAAAGGAGTTGATTGGGGGGTTATGGATCGGTCTGTGCCATGTGGTCTATTACCTCAATGGGTTTCTCTTTGACGGCTGCAGCACATACGTGGAGTCCGCGGATAGGGCGGGGGTGCGCGGAGGGAGCCAGGGAGGGGCAAGGTGCCCTGGGCGCGCAGAACGGGCTCGGCGCGTGGGCCAGCACGGCGGGGAAGCGGGCGGGGGCGAGCTGCGCCGGGGCCTGTGCGGGAAGGGGGGATAAGACGAAATACTGGCGAATGGAGTAGATACCAAAATCCGGGAAGGGGGGAGTGTGGGATGGAAAACAGGCGCCAGAGCAATTCTCGATGACGTAGGGATAGGCGACAGGCTTATTTCAGTGTCTTATGTGGATTAGCAGAGAGCTGGTGGTAAAGGTTATGCCTCCTGGAGAAGGGCTCTTATCCATGTGTTGCGGCGCCTCGCAAACTATTTATTGTGACGAGGTTATAGCAGGGTATCGGGATGAAATGTGCTACTCACGTATCGTCATGTTTTCCGACGCACCTGAGTCAGCGCAGAGCAGCGTATCCCGACCGCCGGCGCTGAATTTGTGCAAGCAGGCCGACGAGTCTGGCCTCCGCAAATCGGGTGCTGCCGAATTGACATCATGGTATGCGCTATGTTTGCAGCTGCCTAGCAAAGGACGCAATTCGTGGGTTCGCGGGGACGCACTTTGTCCAGTTCGTTACACCCAAACGGTCACCTTATAGCTACACACAATGTACCTCCAGGATTTGCGGAATTGCCTTGCATAGATATCAATGTACTGCTGTGAGCTGCTATGCACACAGCTCTAACCAGAGGCCAAGACGCTGTACGGCACTATTACGGCTCAACGTTTCTGTTGGTTTGGATTCACTTATAGTACTACTGAAGTCCTGTAACATCGCGTTAAGATATCACGCCCCAAATTTTTGGCGCAATCGCTTGTTGGACGGCCGCCTTGATTTGTTGTTGAAAGCTTATGTTCGTTCACAGGGAAATGCATCATAGTTTCATGTAGTATCGAAAGAAAAAATGGATAAATACGTAAGAGGAAAAGTTTTGGGCAAAGGTAGCTTTGGTTCCGCCATCCTGGTCACGAATAAGCTAGACAACAAGAATTATGTGATAAAGGAGATCGATATTTCTCGAATGCCAAAATCGGAGCGGGATGCAGCGGAGCAGGAGGCAAAGGTGCGCAGATGCTGCAGCTGTTGGCGTGACATCAGGGAGAATGATCAGGGTTGCTTTGAAGGAAGGTGTACGCCATTATAAATCCCCTTAGTACGCATGAATATATAGCTTATTGCACTCACCCGCTGAGAGCACTTTCGTCCGCGGCCGCTGGGTTAGGCACGACATACCTCGACGTTTTGAGTCCTCCGCCTTGAGGAGTAGCATGTTATACAGTCTCTTTACCTTTCTACTCTTGAAACCATCCATGGAACCTTCTGCAGCTGCTTATGGCGCTTAATCATCCGAACATTGTGCGCTGTATCGAGTGCTTCACGCATATGAACAAGCTCTGCATCGTGATGGACTGGTGTTCAGAAGGTGGGTGGGGGGATGTCGGATGCAACCGGAATCAACTGTTGCGTACGGCGCCGGAAGCGGCGTGTTTTAGGGGTTCGGGTTCTGTGCTTTTGGGCATCGTCGCCAGTGCTGCAGGACGCCAACGGACCGAAACGGCACGTTGCAGGTAGCCAAAGTTCCATGACTGCGGCCGCCGCTGCGTAACGTCACCATCCTAATGATGTATCCCTTCCCCTCTTCACCACCACGATTCATTCCTGTCAGACAGGCACACATACACACGTAGCCCGCAACGGTCCCCCTGTCTTTCCCCCCCCCCAGGCGACCTGTACGGGCTGATTCAGAAGCGCCGCGGTCAGCAACTAAGTGAGGACACCATTCTGGACTGGTTGGTGCAGATGTGCCTGGGGCTCAAGCACGTGCATGACAGGAAGATCTTGCACAGGTAGGGAGGGAGGAGCTTCCTGAAGCGAAGGGGAGCCTCTTCCTGGGCACAGCTTCGGGCTCGCGGCGTAAAGCTTCCTAGGGCTGGGTCGCTGGAGGACTGGAGTTAACCACCACCATCGACATGACTATGGGGGATGGCCACAAGGCGATTCCGGCCGCGTTGGGGCTGCTGATGCTGGCAGCGATGACAGTGATGATGCTATTGTTGTTACTGGTAGTGGTGGCGGTAGTGGTGGTGGTAGTTACAGCTGTTGTAGCTGATGCTTACAGCTGTATGGAGGGGCTGGAGGGGCGGGCGCATGGGGAATAACGCTTTCTCAACCCATCCGTCTCCCCACACTCCCTGACCATTCCCGCTTGCCCATAATATAATATCTGCTGTACCTTGCTGCGGCACCCACATGCTTGTGCTGATCCCTGTTCCTCCCGTCCATACCGGGCGCCCCCCCCCCGGACACTCCGCCCCCCCCCGGCTTCACTCGTTCGTGGTTCGTCTTTCCCCCTACGACACGTTGTCGGGCGTCGGGGACGTCTGGTCCTCTCCGCCTCCCCGCCATCCTCTGGTACCGCAGAGACATCAAGACCCAGAACGTGTTCATGTCCACGGGCGGGCTGCTAAAACTGGGCGACTTTGGCGTGTCCAAGGTGCTCAACTCCACCTTCCAACTGGCAACCACCGCAGTCGGCACGCCGTACTACCTGTCACCGGAGATCTGCCAGAACCGAAAGTACAACCAAAAGGTGCGGGGAGGGAGCGGCCCCTGGAAGAGGAAGGCGCCACGTGAGCGCAGAGGGGGGGAAGGAGGGAGAGAAAGGGAACCCCCCCGCCAAGGCAGTTTCCATACGCATACGCAGAGAAGGTTTGGGTCTTCGCGCTCTCCCTGGGATTTCTGGCTCCCAGTCCTTTCTATGTCGCCCAGCGGGCTTGGAGTACTGCTCGGACGTCCTTGGGTGTCATTGGGGTTGGTGTCTTGCAGCTATCAGCTATCAGAGGCCGCGACTCCGGGAACAGATTTTAGCGTTTTATGAAGCCGTGAAAGCACTCGTATGTTGCAGCTCGTTGTCGTGTAATTTCCGCTGATTTCAGCTCCCACCGCCACCCCTTGAGACCTAGGGCCTCCCTCCGCCCACCCCACCCCACCCCACCCACCCCTTCCGTAAAACACCGCAGTCCGATATCTGGTCGCTGGGCTGTGTGCTGTATGAGCTGGCGACGTTGAAACACGCATTCGAGGGGCCCAACATGCGGGCGCTCATCTCCAAGGTACGTTACTATGAGAGGAAGTGCGTACGGCATGGTACGACATGACACGCTGTTGATTGATGTTGCGGGCAATGGATGCGGTGTCCATATCGTTCCAGTCCAGAAGCTTCAGGGAACTTTAGGGGGTGAACTAAAGAGGATGAACACTATCCGAGTTTCCTACTACAACTAGGCTTAGTTCGTCCCTACACTGGACGCCAAGCCGCAGACACCAACCTATGCTTAATGGGTTGGCCAACACACCTAAACCGCCGCCTACCACTCATTTACCTTTCCTTCGTATGCTATGCACCTCTTCCTTTCCTTTCCGGCGATTGGTTGCTATGTAACCTTGATAAGTTGGCCAACCCCTACTGCTGACTTTTAATTTCTAGTTTTCTGCATTCTCATTCCCATTCTTGGTGATCGCAATATGAACAACCCTCGGATTTGTTTCCTCGACCCTTCTTTGCATGGCGTCCGCCACTGTACGGCACTACCGTACAGATCATAAAGGGCAGCTACACGCCCATGCCCTCCACCCGCACCCGGGAGCTCCGGGAGCTATGTGACCGCATGCTGACACTGGACTGGCAGAAGCGACCCTCCATCAACGACATCCTCGCCACGCCCATCATGAAGGCGCGCATTCAGAAGTTCTTGTCAGCAACGCTGCAGGTGTGCATGTGTGTGTACGTGTGTGTACGTCTATGATTGTGTTCAAGAAGAGGCCAAGTAATGCCAAGGAGGGGCAGTTGAGCACGGCGAGAAGCAAACCAACACCAAGCGGGCCGTGGGGGCCCCCGGGAAATGCGCCCGGCTGTGTGTACGTATGTATGTATTGTAGACCTGCGGCACGGGGCTGGTTAGCAGGCGGGGGAAGACGTCGCAGGGCGGTGTGAGGCGGTAGGTCGGGTGCCAGGGGGTTGCGGGGTCAGGAGGCACTAGACCGGTAGGGGAAGCAGGCCAGCCCGGGCGGCTTGGCTGTCCCAAGCCGCCAACCGAACCACAGCCCCTCCTGTCCCGCCCGGCCCATGCACCAGGCACATGAGTTCAGCCACACCATCATCCACGGCCGCCCCAAGCCGGGCCAGCTAGTGGTGGGCGCGGGGCTATCAGCTCTAGCCGGCTCACCTGGAGCAGCGGGAGGAGCGGCTGCTGGACAGGCACCCTTGGCGGCTGCGTTGCCGGGTGCGGCCGGGCAGGGCTGCGGCGGAGGGGCGATTGCGTACAGATGTCGAGGGAATGTTAGCAATTAATGCTATTATAGCTAAACGGATAAGTTAAATGGGATTACAGCTGAATGGGATAATGTTCAAGTGCACCCGCAAGTGCTTTTTAAGAAGTTAAGGCCCCGGCGCCTCTCCGGCGCCCCGGCCTCGAGGAACGGTACACTTCCACAGCAGCAGCCGCAGCAGCAGCATGGAGGACACAGGTTGGGGGAAACTTAGGGGAAGGGGGTCCGGTTGGGGAGGCGAGGTGAGCCGGGAAAAGGGCGGAGATCAGCGCAAGGCATCAGCGCCTACTGGCGGAGGGGCAGTGATTTCCGATTTACGCGCCAACATGGACCGGTTTGGCATGGGAGAAGGAGCTCGCTCCTTCCACAACCAGCGAGGTCGTCCTATCCCGAAGAGGCTTGGTGTCGAAGATGGCATGGCACCTGCAGGTGGCGCTCCCCAGCAGCGGAAGTTGTTGCATGACGGGGTCCTGGCGTCTCGGGGCGTGTTGGTTGGGCATCGGTACAGCATCGTGTGCAGCGGTGTTCGCCGCCCATGCACTTGTCGTGAGGCATGCTTCCTAGGTCTGTGTATTCGTCCCTGTGTATTCGTCCCTGTGTATTCGTCCCTGTGTATTCGTCCCTGTGTATTCGTCCCTTGCACGGTAGCGAACGGGGGGGGGTTCCATTCCTGAGGTGGGAACATTCTCTTGTGCGCCGCAGGGCCGTCCAGGCTTGGAGCAGCAGCAGCTGCAGCAGCACCGTTGCAGCCGCCTCCAGCCGCCGGGGGGTCACCGGCCGCGCCGCCTCGGCCGCCCGCGGCAGCGGCAGCGACTCCGGGCGCTGCTGCCAGGGTTGGATCAGCGGCGGCACAGGCGCCTGTACGGCAGAGCGCCGCGAGTCCCAACATGATGCCACGCAACGGGGCCGCCCTCGGTGCGGCCGGCGGGGGCTTGGCGGCAGGGCGAGCTGGCGCGGTGGCGCCGGGACGAGGGGCGGTGGCGCCGCCGGCGCTGGGCGGCGCTGGGGCAGCGGCGCTGAAACAGGCTCAGGAGGCGGCCAAGCCGCGTGAGGACGCGGTGATGGCCCTTGCGGTAAGAGGGTGTGGAAAATGGGCAGGAATGGATCGGAGCACACTTATTGCGTGCGGGAGGGGGCTTGGGTTGACGCGATGCAGGGTTCGGCTGCACGCGAAACGGGTCGTTGGGGGTTAGGGAGAGAAATGCGCAAGCAAGTTTGAAGGTTGGGTACAGGAAAGAAAAAAGTGGCGGTGTGGTCGAAGTACGACGTGTGCTGGTAGGCTTGGCAGCAGTGCCATGACTGCTGTACGGGGGCTTGCAAATGCCGTACACGCAGCGGTTAAAGGACCAGTTAACGGCCGTTGTGTTCAGCGTCACGGAAGCTTCCCTCACCGCCTTCACCAAGTTGCAGCAGCTTACCCCCGCTTGGTCGTGATGTGGAGGGCCGAGATGGGGGGGGAAGGGTCTCGCAGTCTCATTCTCCCCTTCATCCATTATATGGTTGGCATTCCATCGGCAGATCATCATCATCAGTGTGCTCCGCTGCCACCTACCGCTAAAATACAAAATGGGGGTTCGGTTTACAGCGGGCGCTCTCTCCAGGGCTTAATTTTGGGGACCTAGGAAACCTGATTGTAGCCCGAATGGGGAACAAACTTTTGGGGGTTCCAACGCCACACTGAAAGCCACTGTCGAAAGCCACCGTGAGGAGCATGACCAGTTGTATTGGGCAGGGGCAGCTCGACGGCCCGTGGGGCGTTCTCCGTTAGCTTCATCTCGTAGCTTTGTACCGCAGCTTTGTCCCCCACCGTTCACTCCGTTCGCTCTGGGTGATGGCGTAACCCCACCTTCCGAGTACCCTCTCTTTTATTCGTCCTCTGTCCGTATCTGGATGTTAAGGATGGCGTCGCCAAAAGTCGTTTCCGGTTAGATTGGTGTGCAAGCTTTCTAGGCGAACGTTCAGGCAGGAAGTCTGGTATCTTGCGCGCTGCCTTTCGCGCCCCTTTTCCATGGCGTGAGTGTATGGCAACTCCTGCTCCCAAGCCACCAGAGCTGCTATGCGACATGGGGGAGGGAAGGGATCAGCGAAACGGGGGATCGGCCTTGTTGGGGGGCCACGCAAGGGTGGCAACCTGCTCAACTCGCTCACCTATTTGGACGAACACCCAGCACCGTACGAGCATCGGGACGAGGATGGTTAAGACGGGCGCCTCCGCCACCCGCACCCGGAAAAACGAAACGTAGTACAGATAATTTTACCTACCATTCGGCTATTATAAACCCTAAACCGTCCGCCACCCTCTTTATGTGCACGGACTGTAACCCGCCGAACGAGCATGGCCTAGCCTCCAATTCCCCCAGCCGGCTAGCCCCAAGCCTCCGAGCTGTGTAGTGGCAGCCGTGGGGCATTTTAGCGGTCCCATCAGGAAAGGAAAGAAGTGGCAGCCTTGGTTTTGTCTTATGTGTGAGATTGGGTGGGATCAGAGGGTATGGCGCTGAGTGCGGCACTGAGCGGGCAGAGCACACTGCCCTGACTGGCGTGCACACCATACACATCATCATCATCATGATCATCATCATCATCATCATCATCATTATCATCATGGGGATCCCGAGGGTGGGGAATACAGAAGGGGAGAAGGAGCGGGAGGAGGAGGAGAGGGGGGCGGGGCAAGAGGAGGTGGAAGAAGAGGAGTGAACACTGGGATTATCACGATCCCGAGGGAGGGCAGGGCGGGGCAGGCTTGGGCTCGGTTTGGGCCGCAAATCGGGTGAGTCACCCAGCGTTCCGTGCGCTGGGTTGACGGCTTGCGGGCAGGTGGTACTCGATTGGCAAGTCGGCCAAACACAAACGGGTACGCGGCTGGGGTGGTGCCTGGAGGGAGGGAACGGAACTGATGGGGGCCGGGCCGGGCAACCGGAGGTGGGGACTAGGGCAGGCAGGCGCGCGTGCTTTCTCCACTCGCGGCTGCATCTCTCCCCTGCCCTACCCTGACCTGGCCCCGGCCTTTCCTTGCCTACGCAGCGAAAAGGCCAACCGCAGCAGCTGCAGCCACAGTCGCCATACCAGCAACCACCTCAGCAGCGGCAGTGGTCCAGGCCCTTGTCGCCTTCGCGCCGTACATCCATGGCCCGGCAGCCGCCGTCCTCGCCTCCGCCTGCACCGGACCGACTGCCGCCGCTGTCACCCTCCTTGGTTGGTTGGGAATCCATTATTGAAAATGGAAAACCGCGTAATGAACGTTTCCTGCTTCGTTGAGGAAAACACATTTTTAACCAAAGGAATAGAGAGAGAGATTAGCTTTTTGGTTTCAATATAAAGTGCGCTGGGTTGGAAGCGATAGTGATCTACAAAGTTGTATTTTCCGCCGCTGGTGCCTTGATTAGAAAACCTCGAAGTGCCGCCACACCGCGCCGCTGGCTGGCCGTGTTTCGCTGTCTTCTTTTTTTTATACCCACTTGCGAAACACGCGAAACGCGCAAGCTAATTTCTGTCCTGTCCCCACGTGAGTACCGCGTCATTACCGTAGTCGCCGCTGGCACCTTCACTTTCCTTGGCATCACTCGCCTGTGCGTGCAAACCCCCCTTGCCCTTGGTCGGTCGCCCCCTCGCTCCCGGGGGGAGGCCCCGGACTCACCTGGCGGGGTCCCTGGCGGGCATATGGCTCCCTTTTTCACACGTCTCCCTTTTCATACATTTCCCTACAGCACCACACACCAGGCGCTCACTCCCCGAAGCACTCTGCTGCCCTCCCCCACTGCCGCGCACACCGCGTCTACCGCCAAAGGCAAGGTCTCTTAACTCTCCTCTCCTCTTACATATAATGCGACTCTCTCAGCTTTTGGCGATATAACTCCTCACCATACTTCATCGCCTATTTCTCCATTTTTCCCTTCCTCCGCCACGCCACGCCAGGCCAAACGCGCAGCCGATGCGGAGGCCAATGCCAAGCGGGAGCTGGAGCGCGCCAAGGCTCGGGAGATGGCGGCGCTGGGGGCCCAGCGGGAGATCGAGCGTCTACGGCTCGAGGAGCAGCGCAAGAAGCTGGAAGGGGTAGGTGGAGGGGGGATACTTATGATGAGAGCGCTCTTGATGCTTTTCCGCCAGAGCTGCCACCTTCCCTGGAGTGCGACTCGATGGGGGGATTTTAGAAACGGAACGTTGGGAGGTTCTGGGTCGTGGGATATAGTTTGAGAGTGTGGACCCGACTTGTGTCCGTGGACCTGACAGAGCTTAAAATCCGGTGCCCACATGGCGGGCTTTGCCCTGTCCGCCCTGTTATGTCAACGGACCATGTGTGAATAGGAGAAGGCCCGGTTGGAAGCGGAGCGCAAGAAGCGCGAGATGGCCAAGGTGGAAGAGGAGCGGCGGGCTAAGGCGGCTGAGGAGGCACGGGCGCGGCTCAAGGAGGAAGAGGCGCGGCGGCAGCGGGAGACGGAGGTAGGTGTGTTGGGCGGGAACTTTGCTGTGGTGGCGCACAGCAGCAGCCGGGGGGAGAAATGGGGCCCCCGTTGAGGCGGCGTCGACACACGTGTCAGTGGCCTGAGGAGGAGGATGAATTGGGGAGGTGGGATAGCGTTGTAGAGTGCACCGCAAAAGCAAGAGGGGGGGGTTTAAGGTGGTAGCTCACCAAAGCAACACCATTCCGAATGTCCATGTGCCGTGGGGTTTCGGGCTCAGTGGGTCAGCTCCAGGGTTTTGTGGTTTTGCGGTTGCGGAGAAGATGACATGTGTGAATGGCAAAGGCGGAGCACTGGGGGTACGACGAATCACAGACAATTGTCAAAAAGAAATACCATACACGGAGCACTGGGGCCCGCCAGGTGCTGAAAGGGTTTTCGTCTTTGTGGCGCGGCTTCCTGGTACTCAGGCGTGGCCCGCCCCCCCTTGCGCCTGTTGTGTCATCCGACAGGCTAAACGCAGAAAGGCGGAGGAGGAGGCTCGAAAGAAGGACGCGGAGCGAGCAGCGCGGGTAAGACGTAGTAGGATGTGAGACCGCGCTGCTTCAGCTGGGCTATTTGGCGGGGGCCCTGGCGGAGAATGGCGGCCCGAAATTACTAGGAATTAAATTTATAGCTATAGTATTACGGTCACACTCTCCTCCCTGCTCCCCACTTCGGCAGCTGGTTGCTTTGGGTGTCTGCCGCTGAATTACCTGATGTGTGCGTTTTGCGTGCAGTTCCCCCGTCCTCCCTCCTCGCGTCGTGTGTAGGCGTAGGAAGGGCTGTGTCGTGCGGGTGCGTGGCCCTGAGGCTGTGTGAGCGCGTCCTGTTAGCGACCTGATGTTTGGGTCGGTTGGCCAACGACGAACTCGCTCTATCTGTCTCTTTAGAAGCTTGGCTTGGAGCCCCGGTACGGCCCCTGTACCTGCATCTGTGTCCGATGTTTTGTCTGTCGCTCCTGGCTGGCAGGAGAAGGAGCGGGAGGACATGCGCGCGAAAATAGCTGCCCAGCGCAAGGAATTCCAGGATAGACAGGTACGCGGGTCCCCGTACGTGAGGAGTGCAGGGCAGTCAGGTTGGGGTCGTGTGCTCCTCCCTGTCGGAACCCCAGTCGCTGCCCTGGCCGTAACGCGCCACAACACGGCCCGGGTGCTGGCTGCTGGGTGCAGGCGGAGGCAGCTCGGAACCGCGCGGCGGTGGAGCAACAGATGGGCCGAGCCGCACAACCAGAGGTAAGTACATACATGCCTTGCATATCTTTCATACATCTATTACATGCCTTGGCTGAATGTTTTAGATGCGTGAGACGTGCTTGTTCCGCACGTAAGCTGCGTCTGCAGGGATGCGCCTCCTCTGCCCTGCCCTGTCTTCTGGCTCTTGCGCTCTACCCCTTTCTTGGGGCTCCTGGTTGAGATGAAGGGTTTGGTAATGTGCCCCGCGATTATGTCCTCTCAACCCGCGTCTGTCCGAGCAGCATCAGAGGTCTGGATAGGAAAGCTCTGAGATTAGGAAGGGGGCATTATAAGGGGATGCAAAATCCAAAGCACCAAATTGCCTTGTTGATCTCCCCTCCCTCCTCCCGCCTGGCCGCGCCCTCTCTCCCCGCCCTCTTCCCGCCTCAACTCTCTCGTTAACCTCGTCACCCGCTTCTCTCACCCTATTCGCGTGGCATCCTTATCGCCTCGCTCCGTCGCGTGGCCCTGATAGGTCCAGTTGCTAGCGGGTCGGCCCCCACGTCGACAATGGTCTCCCCCCCGGGTGGAGGAGGGGGGCAGGGGGAATGGGGTGGCGGACGAGCCGGGGCCCTCGGGGGCCGGTCCAGGAGCAGGTGCTGGTGCTGGTGGCCGCCGCAACAACGAGGACTACTTGTCGGCGGAGCAGCGCCGGGCGGTGTGGGAGGAGCAGCGCGCGGCGGCGGAGCGGAACCGGCGTGCGGTGCAGCAGGTGGGGCCCCGGCGCACGTTCCTTTCGTTGTGTTTACGTTATGATGCATTTGCTGCTGAGTTTTGGAACCAATTTTGAATGTTAATGAGCCATGGTGGTAGGGGTGGTGATGGTGGGGGTTGGGGGTTAATAATATGATGCAAGAAGCAAGTTGGAGAAGCTTGGCCTCCTGGAATTTTACCGACATTTGTACTTTGCTGTGTAGCAGTGGTCGTCTTGGGGCACGCAGTTGTGAGGAGATGGGAAATCCCGTCCCCCCGCCCCAGCCCCCTGACGGTGCGACGCATGAGCTGTGCCATTCTTTTCCCTGCCGTACAATACACTCGTACACCAGGCGGAGCGCCACGGCGGCATAGCGGAGTTCCTCGGCGTGCCTAGGGACTCGGATGACGGGTCCCGGGGGGTAAGGCCGGGGGGGGGCAGGCCGTCGCCCCCGCCGGCAGCCCGAGGGGGAGGAGGAGGAGGAGGAGGGGGTGCCGCTGGATCGGACATCTCCCCCGATGTAAGGTGAGCCCAGTGGGGCCCCCGTGTCAGTAAGGTTGCTATGGACGCATTTGTGATGGTCAGCGATGGGTGCGGGCTGGAGCAGGTTTGCAGGCGGCTGGTCGATTCCAGGGAGGGACGGAGGGGGGGAGGAAATCTTGCAGTAAGGAGTATTCTGCTGCCGACTGACGTCCAAAATACCAAAACCGCTGGAGGAGTATAAAGAGAGGATTGAGGCCATTGCCCGATGGTGGAACTGAGCGAGGCCCAACACATCAGGGAAGGAGGAGGGAGGAGGGAGGGAAGGAGAGAGGGAAAAGAGGGTGAGGACCAGGGTTTGTGTGGTGAATGTCTTGACGGGCGCAGGCAGGCAGGCGGCAGGGGGCCCGCCCGTAAAATCGGACATATTCTGTGCAGCAGTGTGCGTGGGAGAGAGCGTGTGCCGGAGTCAGCAGGCCACACGGGCTGGCTTGTAGGAAACCGGGTTTGTGAATCCCTAGGGCGTCTGTACACGTTTGTATCGTCTATCGATCGTAACGTAGTACTGTAAACAGGGCACTAGCCGCTGTGATCTACAGACGGTAAAACATTTCACCGTTGGGATCCAGCAGGTGCCCGAATCTGCCCCGGCAACCCCAAGCTTGGGATTCTGAGATTTCCTGGCCAATAGCATAACTGGATGCGAAGTACCGCACGTGTTTCAACTCCTCTTTGCATTCATTAAATGATTGCTGGGTCCTTTCGTCCCTAGAAGATATTCCGCCCAGCAGTACTCTGAATCGGAAATGTGGGACTGCCGTGTCTTGGGGACACTTCTTCTTGCCCGCCTCGTGATGTCACTCGGGCGAGCAGGCGAGCCGCCTACCTAGAGATGCGGGCGGCAGCAGAGCGCAACCGCGCGTCGGCGGAAAACTCGGAGCGAGGACGAGGCACTCCACCCGGGCAGCGGGCGGCAGGGGCCCCGGGGCGAGCACCTTCGCCGGCTGGGCAAGGTGGGTTGGAAGGGGACCTAGGGGAACCGGGGGTGATGGCGCGGGGTTGGGCGCCGCAGCGAATGGCGGCGAATATAGCATGTATACTTATTTAATGGAACATGTGTCTGGAAGAGGCTGGAGACTCTCGTGAGCAGGAAAGAACACTGGGCAGCCCAAGGAGGACTCGGGTTTGATTCTCCCCGCACCTAGCGGGTGCTATGGGTTGCAGCGGGCTTGCATTTGCCGTCCTGGCCAGGGCCAGCAGCAGTTGCAATGACAAACAGCAACAGCAAACAGCAGTTTTACGTTACCGTTAACATGACGAAGGTACTATCGTTGCTAGTTGGTCTCCTGCCGGCGTTTTGTCGCTGCTGGTGGCCCTTCGCGACGTCGCGACGCACACGGGACCCCATGGTGGCTGCAGGTGCACCCGCCGCGGCCTCCCCCGTGTCGCGCCCCACCGACCCATGGGCCGCGAAAAGGGCCCGGTTGGAGGAGGAGCGCCGGAAGCGAGAGCAGGAGATCCTGGAGTTCCAGCGACAGCACTGGCAGGTGGGGGTACTTTTGCTCCTCATTATGAAATAGTTGCGCCTTACTGGATCCAGTACTGGACTCGAGCTGAAAGATGACAAAAGAGACAAAAGAAAACAAATGGCGGCTGGCCTGAGGGGACGGGTTGGGATCTCTGGGGATTGGAGCCGGAGAATGGGGGGGATAGGGAGGGGAAAGCCCTAGAGGTGTGAGGGCGGTCATGTCTCGTGTTGGGGATTTTCTCCTCCACGGCAGCATGTGGCAGGCCCTTTCTAAACCGCCCGGCTGCAATCCCCCCGGGCCAACAACCCTGTGCAGGAGGTCCGCGAGGCCCGCGAGCGCAACAAGCGGCAGATCATGGCGGAGGTGCGCGGAGGAGCAGGAGGGGGATCTCCGGCCGGGGATGCCGCACAGGCTTCGCCGCCGGATGGCCAAGGTGAGGGGGCACATGATAGCGCCGCATGTGCTGGTGGTAGCGGCAATTTGCGTGTAACCGTGTGCTAGAAGGGAATCGAATGCTGTCAGATTTGACTGTGACCTTGCATGTTATGTCCCGGGGCTGCCGGTATGGCCACCGCCAGGTGCCCGTGCACCCTCGCCCGCCGGCGCTCCGGGCCGGCCAACCGCAGCTCCGGCGGATGCGGCGACCCCGTCTGCGGCAGCGGCTGGGGGACCTGCCGGCCGGGGCGGAGCAGCAGCAGCAGCGGCAGCGGTGGAGGACGATGACGACGACATGGATTTCGCCGCCATGGTCAAGGATATGCAAGATGTGTTGATGCAGGTGGGGGACGCGTTGTTTGAAGAAGAGGAGAAAGAGGGGGAGAAAGGGAGAGAAAATTATCATAGTACAAACGAAACTACACAAAAAAACCTGAGAGCCAGCAGCCCATGGAACATTAAGGAACTCCCTCCGTGGTCCCTTTCATCAGCTGGTCACCCTGCTGTGGCCCTCATAAAAAACTTCACAAAACTTGCTACAACGTATTCCTTGTGCTTCTAGCGTACTGTACACTGTACACTGGCCGCCTGCTTGGCTACCGAGGTCACACTGGTGGCGGCGGCTGTTGCGTCATGCAGGACGGCGCCAATGCCGTGGAGGTCCGGGGGGGCTCTGGGGAGGGCGACGACGAGGAGGATGACGAGATTTACAACGACGAGATGCACAACGCGGTAAGTAGGTCTGGAGTAGCACAGGGGTAGCACAGGGAAGACGGGGAGTCCTTCGTGTGCTACAAAAAGGTTTAGCAAGGTGCGCACGGTAGTATGCGGTTTTTCCTTTTCCAGCGGCACGGCGGGTGGTAGGAAAATATGGATTTGGGCCACATGCCCAGGTGCATGCCGAGAGCGTAGAGGTCTCAGCGTAGCACAGCCGGTGCTTTGGGACGTCCTTTCCAATATTTTTCAGCAGCGGTTTGATGTCAAGAGAACACAGTCCCTCCGCTCTATACTGGCAGCACTTTCCGACGTGTGAAACTCAAACCCCCTCCCCGAGGTCCCCATGGCTCGTTCTTCCCCCCCTCCCTGGCCCCCCGCTCAGGCTCTGTCGGGCCAGTTCATGCTCAATGGCCAAGTAATTCAGCTGCCCGGGGTACGGGAGGGAGACAGCCTGGCGCTTAAGGTGTGTATGGGGACGGGGAAGATTATGGGGGCGTCAAACATGGTGGCAGGGGCAGATGGTAAGAGTATGTCTGCACCCACCCCGACCGCGCCATGGCGCTCGCTGCTGGACTGCGACTGACGCCCTTCGGGTTGTTGCGGGTCCTTGCCGCTAGGTGGAGGCTCTGCGGGTGTTCTTGGAGCAAAACCTGGGCACGGATGCCTTCCTCAAGTAAGTGCGTGCCGACTGGCAACGGGGGGAGGGACGCGGGCTGGGATGGAAAGTTACAACCCATTCATTCTTCAGACCTTCATAATTGGTAATTGGAGGTATCTTCATAGCCAAGGGTTTTACAGGATATTCACCGAATGTGCAGCTTTCAGTCCTTTCACAACCAACCTCTGTTCCCTCCGTCACGGCATCCCTCGCAGGGTGTACAGGATGTTGGAGAGCCTGACTCCGCAGGACGACGAGGCGCAGGTGTCCGCCTTGTTCCTGGAGGTGCTGGGGCAGGAGAAGTTGCCATACTTGCAACTGGTGCACCAGCTGATTGTGTGCGAGGAAAACATGCACATGGAGGGCGCGTAGTGATATTGGTAGGTTGGTGGGGGGTGCTGAGCATTTGCAAGAGTGCAAAACCGTTTATTGCCGATTGTTGAGAGGTCCTATATGCAGGAAAGTGGATGGTGTGTGATGGGTTATGATGAGATATGGGGGGGGTAAGGAAGGTGACTTGGACACTGACGAGGCAAGGAAGTGAAGTTTGACATAGTAGCATAGCAGGGAGGGAAATAAGGTGCCCGATGATTGGGATGCGGAGTGGCAGAGGCAAAGTTTGGACGACCATACTGGGGGCGAGGGCGAGTGAAGGGGATTAGGGACGGGGAATTGAGAACGGAGTACTGCTGACTCCGACGGAACTTAACTGGAGGGGAGTGGGACCGTGACACCCAGGAGGGCGACAGACCGGAGGAGAGGGGCTGCCCCTACTGGTGGTGGTGGGTGCAAGTAAGTGACCGACTGTGCGTAGTGTTACTAGATAGACAGCATAGTCGCGTAGAAGAATTGGTGTCTTATGAATGAACCCCACTGCCCGAATCCATGTCTGGCCGGCAGGCACAGTCCCTGTGTGTTATTCCTGGCGGGCCAAACGTCATCGTCGTCGTGTGCATGTCTCGCAGACAGATTATCCAGTGACTTAGAGTAGCCATGTGGCACGACAGGGGTGGTTGACTGTCCCATAACGATTGGGAACAGCGTTCGTCCGCTGTTCCCGTCCTCGGAAGCATGGGATGCGAATCACGTGCAGTGTGGGAGTATTGCTGAGGTTACGAATGAGCAGCAGCCATGAGCATAAGCATGTACATGTAGTACATGTGTGCTAGTATTTCGCACGCGGAGTGAGGGCTGTGGGGAGGTAGGTCACGTTAGGGTCGGAGGCCCTTTGGACAGATGTGTAGTGCAGCTCTTGTTTGCATCCACCTCCAAGGTTGTTAGCGTTGGTGGCCGAGTGGCGTAGGTGCCAGATGTTGAGCATAGTGAGCAGGTTGTCGTGTTGGAAGCACAGAAGTCAAAACAGGGGACAGAGAGACTGAGGAGAACGCGGCCATGTCGTACCAAGCTCAAGTACTCCAATACGCTACAACTCCTGTCCGGAAGGCCCCTTGGATAATGAATCCATAATTACCGGCCTCATAATCCGTTTTGCGGATCCAAACACCAAAGTTCCAAAGCTATTGGCGCGAGTTTCAGCGATTGCACCTTTTGAAGACGGGACTGCTATTTCCTCATCCAAACTCTCAAGTCGTTGCACGCGGTTTAATTGATAACTAGCGCCAAGCAGCAGGAACCGCATTGGAGCTCCTCCTGACGATGCGTCTCACGAGTTCGGAAGATGGGTAAGGCCCACCCAGACCCAGGCCTTAACCTATATCGAACTAGCACCGTCAACCCCTCAATGCGCGTCCGGGACAGGACCCAATGTGCAGCTCCCTCCCACGCCCTGCCAGGCCCTGCAGCACTTCCGTCGTCGATTCTCAACCCACACCCCACCCGACTTCCTAGCGCCGCTACAGCTCTTGCTGTACCCGCTAATGCATGTTATGTTCTGTACACCAAGGCCAAGGCCCCTCAGTTAATCGAGATAGCGCCACATCTCTGGTCTGCAGGCCCGGTACCGCTGTCACAGTTTGGCTTCAGACCCTTGTCAGCACTTTCGGAATTGCAACAGGTATGAACGAGGTTCACAGCTGCTGCCGCGGCGCCAAAGCAGGGCCCCCGTGGAGCCGAGTCCTCAATCTGGAACCACCAGCTCACTGATGCTCCAGTCCTCGTAGCTGTGAGAAGAGGGGCGGAAAGGATCCATTAAAGTGCTGGGTTCATAACAATGCATGCAAACAAGAAAAGAGAGAAAGGGCAAGACAAACAGCGAATGAGGCACGTCCTGGTGTTGATGTGTGCAGAAAGGTCGACATTTAGAGATGAGGAGGGTGCCACGAAGTCACGTGAACCATCCCGCTGGTGCTTGGGTGTCTTGACTGCAGGGACCTGGTCTGGTCCTTCCCAACTTGGTCCAGCCTAGCAACAATGCACACGGCTCTTGCAGCAGGGGAGCAGCGACTGGCCCACAGGCTGCGAGGCCGTAACGAGGATGGCCAGAAACCCGCGACCAGTAGCAACAGGCTGCTCAATGCCAAAACGCAATGCCGCAGCCTCCCGCAGAGCGATCTCGTGCAGTTTGGTTGGCTTAAGAAATTCGGGAGTCAGGAAAAGGGACGGCCCGCACGTCAGCGGCCTCCTGAGGCCCACGAACCGGGGGCTTCGGCTGCCCGGGAAACCCAACCAGCACACGCTCCCCCTGATCGAAACCCCTGGAGCACGCTCCCCCCCGGCTTCCTTCCCGCCGTTTTTGCACGGTTAGGATGGGGGTTCGTGGGATGAGGCTGCGCTTCCCCAGTGCAGCCGCCCTGTCAGTTCAGGACATACCGAGCTCACCTTCCATCGGGCAGATACCGTCGGATTGTAAATGGTACCTTCTTTTCCCGAAGCTCCTTCATGGCGATCTGACGAACACACAGGCAGGCAGGGAATTACATTGCCCTGGACACTGTCAAACATAAGAGCCCAAGCCACCACCTCAACCGCCGTAAGCCTGCAGAGCAAGCTATAGAAATAAAGCGCCTTACGCTGTACAGTCTATGGGGTTTCTACGCGCGGGTTCGATGTAAGAAAAAAGAGCACCCAGATCGTCGATACAATGCGCACTACCTGCATCAAGGCGTATGTAGATATCGAGCACGTCGCACAAAATCGTTTAGATGCAAAACGCTCGCCAACCGGGCCTGCTCCCTTTTCCCCTCTCAACCCCGTTTGCTAATTGAACACAGGGACACAACCTTAAGAAAGGGACATATCATACCTATCCCAGACCCGAGGATTGCGGTCCATAACCCCAGACGATGACCCCCAAGGACACACAGAGTCTGGCCCCAGGCACGCGGGGGAGCATGCCAATGCCTCAGTTGGACATGCTGGGTAAGCACTGGTAGCCGAGGAGAGGGAAACGGGCCGTAGGGAATGGGGAGGAGGCGGACTTAATGTATGCGCACCTCGAGCGGGTCGGTCTCCCCAGACAGTTCCACCATGACGGGTGCGTTCATGCTGCAAGGCCGGTGCACGAGGGGATGGGGACAGGACCGCCGCGGCGGGGTGGGAGGTTGGCGATGAGCCGCAAGGCGCAAAAGGGGTGTCTGCCCCGTGGCTGGGCTGGGAGGCAGAGGAGGGACTGCATGTGCACAAGCGGGGTGACGCAACGTTTTGACAAACGGGGGCATACCTAATTTGTAGTGCTCGGGTTCCAAGCACTCGCGCTTTTTCATATTTAGTCATGTAACGCGTGGTGATTCTTTGTCGCTGGCCCCCCCCTTGCTGCTGCTGCTGCTCTTGGTTATCAAGTATATCAATGTTTCCGTCGCCTTCATGTGCTTCGCCAGCGAAATCTTCGAGGGCTGGCTGCGGTGGTGAGCAGACGACAAGTTCGGCGGCGACGACAGGTAACATTATAGTGCAAGGAACATGAACCCACCTCCTCGCCAAGGTCCATTGGCTCCTCCATGCCTCCCCTGAACACAAATCCATTCCCGTCAACTGTTGGTAAAGGGTCGAAGCTGATGGCACACTTGCAGGTTGCTACCCCAACTAAGCATCTTGTTCCAAGATTCTAATTTAACTTACGCGTCATCAAAATCGTCCGCCATGGTCTCGTTAATCCAAGCTCAGAACCGTAAACAGGAACGAGAAAATGCGCGGAACTATAGCTGCTAGGTCACAGGTTTTTTATTTTGGTTAATTTTGATGATATAGTAAACGCATCAACAATAAGAAACTGGTATCTTGGGGAATCCGTTATGGCGAAGGTTTGGATTCGCAAGCGAGTACGGAGAGCTGTCAGCCGATGCAGCACTTAACCAAGTTTGTGCAACACAATATCATCTCCAGCTCAGAAATATTTATCTCAAGGCACGCCCATGAATCAGCCTTTGTGAATTGGTCAGGATAGAGCACTACTTTAGCAAACTTTTTAGAATAATGGTATCTTGTCCAAACAACCCGCCTCGGTTGTTGTCACCGAGACCTACATTAGGACCAGGTCTTCGGGGTGTGACCAAGCAATCGGTGAGGCCACGCTTTTGCGATAGACTACGCGCCTTATACGTCCCCTACCCCAAATCACCCGAAAACCTGTTCCCGCAGGCATCAAGCCGCTTTGCGTCAACGAAAAATAAAAAAGCACAGCGTGCTCTCTGCACGATATTTGAAGATAGCGCACTTAGTGCGTCGTCACCCCTATTTACTATGAAAGCGCCGTGGTCACCCGGCGGCCGGACTTCACGCCGTAACAACCTGGCGATGCACCCTACCCTGGGGCGTCTCCGATTGCAAGAGCTGCTGGTGCGTCGGCTGCCGGATGCGGACCGAATGTCTCCATGCAATTGGAGCTCCATTTATTAACCGTGCACCGAACAGAAGTTAAATTTTATGCTGTTACTGCTTCCGGTTGGGCTTGAATGAGCTGATGTCGGCATTCAAATTCATGCGACCGTGTGCGCAATCCGCGCTCGTACCACCGCGGCAACCCCCGACTGACAGGACGTCCGCCCTCTTCCTGCCCGCAGGATGCTCCCAAGACACGCAAGGCGACGCCTATCAAGGAACGACAACTTACGCTATGTGCGGCGTTCGGGAGGCAACGAATGCATGGCGACCTTGACGCATTGGCCGACGAACTCGGCACGTGCCAGCTGCAGTCTGTGCTCAAGCCAGCGGCCCCGCAACCGCACAGCCAGGCAAACGGTGCGCTGGAGCTGCAGCCGCTGGTGTTAATGCAGGACGATTGAGTTTGTCACTATTACCAAGGCAAAACGTCATGTCGGAACCTGTACTTTGTCGCTGAAGCCGCCAACAACGCGCGTACTTTTCCATGATGAATTGATTCCACCGTTGATAGTTTAGAGGCCGCATGAGGGCATATGTGACACACACAATGTGCACGGACAGAGCCGCATGTAGCACGGAGCAGCGGGATTAGGCTTCCTTACAAGGAAGTAGCCGCCGCTCCACTCCCGCGGCAATGCAAGGCAATGTGGGGTGCTTTCTCCCATTTGTGCACCCCCTCACATGGCACCGCCGTGAGTTCTCGTAGGGCATATTGCTGTAGGTATGACACGCCCCCATTCGACCTTCCCATGCTGCGAATTAAAGCAGTCGAGGTTGTGCTAGGGCTGGGCATGCGCGCGTGTCTAGTAAGGCTTATGTTTGGCGCATCTATAGACCAGAATTGAATTCTATGGGCTATCGGTTGGGAGGTGTCGTCCCCGAAAAGGGAAGACATCTTCGCCTTCACGCCATATGTGCTTGGGGATGTTGTCCCCTGGAGCCGTAGGCACATCTTTTGAGCATAATGCCAGGGATTACGCCAGGGGCCAATCTTGCCGCAGCGGGTTTTACGCGTAGGTAGCTTTCAGCATTCATCTGATCCCTTTCTGCGCGCGACAACGACCTCTGAAACGTCATATCCGTAGTTGAAGCACAGAATTTGTACCGGGTCAGCACCGGTCGGTTGTTGAACATTGCTATGGATTGGTGAATTACCTGGCATTTCGTCATGCCAGTCACCAATACGGCACCAGGGTCGTACAGCCATCCTGGTAACCCTTCCCATACAGCAAGGTGTAACCCATATAGTACGCAGTTGTGATCCCTGACTATGCATCACAATAGGACACAACGTTTGTCAGTCTGTGCTGCATGTGGTGTCGCAGTTCCAGAACTCTCGCCTTGATGTGCTCAGTTGCCTGGGGTTTGCCGCCATGATTATGGCTTAGGAACGAGGCTGAGTGACTGCTTGTAACTGCACCCCTATCCAGCCGCCCCAACGGGATCTTTAGATTTAACGGCGACCGATTTGTGCTGGATGCGTCGATAACGCTAAAGCATGAATATGCTAATAACCTGATTATGATGTAAAGGACCTATAATACATTAGAACTCTTACGGCCGGAAAGAAATATGTAACTTAATTACCTAAGCCCCTGGCGGGTGCAAGAAACGTGAGACCGTACGGTCGTACATATGATGTTTCAGCTTTGGAAGGTTCGTGCCCGTTTGGGGGTTCGTGCCCGTTTTGAGACCGTGCAAACGCCCTGTCGTTACCAAGCACTACCCTTCAACACCTACCAATTACAACTCTACATCCACCTTTCCCCTCCCTTCCTGCACAACTCAGGCGCACCTCAACCTGCCGCTCGATTTCTTCAGATCCCTCCCAGCACCTCACATCAAGTCCACCGCCATGAAACGCATGTATCCCCTTACACGCTCATTACCATGGCGTTCCGTGGGCATCAGACCGCTTCATGCTTCATTCCTCCTTTCCCAGCTAACTTACCACCCTACCCGTGCAACCCTGTAAACACCCACTCACGCGGTTCGTATTCTCTGCCTAGACACCAGAATCCTTTCCAGCACATGACATGACAAGCACAGCACGCACAAGCTTACCGCGACACAAGGAACGCTGACATAAGCCTTATGTGTTTTCTTCGTAACACATAGCCCTACATACACACCACATCTGCTCCTCTCCCGAAGCCCGAACCCTCCTCTTCCTATCCCCTGTTCTATCTGTCAGCCTGCAACCTTACACGCCGGCAGTCACGGACGCGGTCTTGGCCCTGGCCTTGGGTTGCGGCATGGCCCCGTCGTGCTCCACCTTGACTCGGCATAGCTCCTGGTGTCGCTGCGCTGACAGCAGGAAGGGCCCGACAACCTCCCGAGTGAAGGTGTCGAGCGAGGGTAGGAAGCCTGCCAGGGCCGCCGCGTGAGTGAATGGATGGCGAGGCGGGCGTTGGGTGATGTAGGCGAGGGCCGGGGAGCTCTGATGGTGATTGGATGTGGTGGGTGGCTAGGGGGAGGAACGAAGGGGAGCGGCGCAGTCGCCACTCACCCACGTTGTGGGTGCGGGTCCGCGGTTCTTTGAGATAGAGGTGTGGACGATGGAGGTCGTGCCGCAACAATGGCCCGACCCAGATCAGGCAAAGTGGTGGAGCAGTCAGGTCGGTGGCCGTTGCGTATCTCCCTAAGTCGCCCGCTCCCCTAGCGGGGCGGAAGTCATCGCCAACCGACCCACCGACCCACCCGGAGGGCAGTGCGGCAGCGGCAGCTCCTGCTGGTTATACAAGACCCGTACGACATGGCGGGGCTTATCCTCCCCTGGCGCGTTGGGAGCTAGTTGCCACAGCTCCAGAACCAGGTTAGACAGGTACGGCGGCCATTCGGTGACGTCCACACCCAGCGCTGAGGGGCGGGGCCCCCGCCAGGTGGCGGCGGAAAAAGAGAGCAGCAGGAAAGGACGAGCGAACCGAAACATCACTTCGAGACGCAAGAGGGAACGGGGCCGGGACGATGCGGCCAGGATGACGGGGTTGGGAGAAGCAAGCAACATGAGGAGACGAAGGGAACCACGGTGGGTAGGACGGGACATGACCTGGGTGTCCCCCCGCAACTATAAGGGCCATTGCGACAACGTAATGGCTACAACCCCCACACGGATCATAGGACCGGTAGAGCAGCTCCAAAGCCATCATAACGAGATGGACCCACCATTCCATGTGCCCAGATGCGTGACGGAGTACGGAGGCGACAGGCGGAAATCCCATCACACACACACACACACGCATACCCCGGCCTCTATCCTAAGCTCTCATCCCAAGCTAAAGGACTGGACCAGCCTACTGCAGTCCAAGTCTATTCCCAAGTCCCTGGGTGGGAGCGGGAGAGGGGGAGTGGGGAGGGGGAATGAGGGAGCGGGGCAGCCACTCACCGGACAGCATCGGCATGATGGTGCTGTCGTGACTGGGGCGAAACCGGTACGGCGGGAGGGGTAAGGAAACGACAAAGGGGGGGCAAGGGGGAAGGTGCTTGTGTCTATGTGTGTGTATCTATGTGTCAAAAGGTTATGTGTGTATGTATGTATGTATGTATGTGTGTGAACTACGGGAACTGGGTGGGGCAGCGGGTGCCACTTATCCTCGCTCCCTCCTGCAGCGGCACACGTGCGGTTCAGTTCCTTCACACGCCACATAACGGCCCCCCTGGCAACATACAGATCCTGTGTGTTGGTGCTCTGGACGCGGCGGCAGTCGACCCGCTGTTCTTGCGCCACCTCATTTCCCACCTTCCAACTCACCGTCCTCGCCGCACAGCACCACCTCAACCAGCCCCCCTCCCCTCTTCCCCCACACTCTCCTCACAACAGCTACCCTTCCCCCCTCCCTTCCTCTCCTTGCCCGCTGTATAAATATATCAGCGGATGAAACTGGCGGCCACCATTCGGCGCTGCCACCGTCCCTGCTGCCGCCCCTGCTCCTGCCCCCGACCCCGCAGCTGCCGCCGTCACCGCCGCCGCCGCCGTCGTCGTCTGCTGCATGTTGTCCACCAGGACGTGCAGCAAGCGACCCATACTGAGGCGCAGTACAGTACGACCATGGGAGTCCCGTACACTGGGCGCCACCTCGGCACTGAACTCCTTGGTGGCCTGTGGCCAGGAGGTGAAGGCGGGCGGGTGCTTAGGAGTAGGGGGGGGGGAAGGGTGGATCAGGAAAGCGTTCCAAGATGATTGGCAAGTTGGTTCACATGGTGTTAAAAACTCACTGTAGTGGATATTCGACAATAACGACCAGGCCCACTATCCAGGCCGAATAGGGGGTTCGCCCGGGGCGGGGGACGCATGGCTGGGTTGGAGCGAATAGGTGCTACCGGGGTTTGGCGGTTGGACGGGAGCCCATTTGCATTTACCTCCCAGAACCACCCCCTTGCCCGCCCGGCCCCTCACCCACACCCCCTAGCACCCCTTCCCTCCCTTACCAGTCGGTTGATAGCGGCCCTCAGTCGGGGTTGGTGCTCGAAGCCGGGTGGTAGTGCCTTGCCGTGGGCCTCCAGGGCGGTGAGCACGTCGTGGAGGCTGGTGAATATCCACTGAGGGGGGGGGAAGGGGGGAAGGGGGATAGAAGGTTTGGGGATTAGAAAGGGCTGGAAGTAGGGAGGGCGGGAGAGGGAGCGTTCCGTAAGGGAGTGCAGAGGGTGGGTGGGTGCAGTGCCGAGTAGAGGGGCATGGGAGATGGGGTTACAATGATGAAAAAGACCGTACAATCAGGAAGCGCACACGTGCGCAAACCTGGCTTTACGACCCTTCATGTCACCTAGTCCTACCCCACATATGCCCAACCCCTCCCAGTCCCTTCGCACGCACCCGGTTCGAGTCAAAGGCAGTGGGGTTCAGTTTCAGCAGCCTCAGCAGCTCCTCCCTTGCCCACATGTACTCGGGATCGGAACGGACCGCGGCTGGGGGTGTTTGAAAAGCGGGGGCCGAGGAGTGAAAGACGAACCACGAAAGAGTGAAGCCGGGGGGGGCCCCCGGGAAGAAATTACGGAAGGGATGAGGGGTCCATCTCCGCTTGGTAGCAACAACCAGCGAAATCACTTGCAGCAAGAAAGGCAACATTGACCTGTCGGGTGCAGTCCCCCAGCCCCTCTCCTCTTCCCCTCCCTCTTCCCCCTCTCACCCCTGCCGGCCTCCCTGGACATGGCCTGGAACGAGCCCAGGTGGGGACATGCCCCGGTGTCAGCGTAGAGGATCTCATCCAGGTCCCCTGGAGGTGAGGGGAGGTGAGGGGGAGGTGAGGGGAGGGGGAGGGGGAGGTGATGTGGAAAGAAGCAAAGAATCAGCTGCTGAGGTCCCGGGGATAGGAGGGGATTTAGGGCGGGGTCGAGGGAGGGGAAGATAGACAGCCATCGGGGCTTTTGAGGGGAAATGGCCATTGGGGAGTGACGGGTTGCTCCGTCGGAGGGATGGATGGACAGTGGTGATGTCGTCGGGCCGTCGGACCGTGGGTATCTGACCTTCCCGCCTCTTGCCCTCCCTTTTCCACCTCACCAGCCCGGTGCATCCATCTTACCACACAGCCACACAGCTACTCAGCCACTCACCGGAGGTGGTCACCCGGGGCACTGAAGACGATGAAGACGATGAAGACTGGGCGTCTCCCTCGTCGTGCTGCTGCTGCTGCCCCTGCCCCTGCCCCTGCCCCTGCCCCTGCCCCTGCCCCTGCCCCTGCCCCTGCCCCTGCCCCTGCCCCTGCCCCTGCCCCTGCCCCTGCCCCTGCCGTCCTTGCTGCCGTCCTTGTTGCTGCGGCACTGGTAGGTCCGGGTACAGCCCCGTCAGCACCCCCCGCAGGGTGGCGATGGTCCGGGAGAAGTTCGTGGTGCGAGCCTCCAACACACCCGACTGTGCGAGTCAGGTAGGCGGGCAGCGAAACGCACAGAGGGCCTCTGGGTTACCAGGGCGGCTCTCCGTTTCGTTGTGCAATTACATATGCATATGTATATGTAAGGAGTTGTCACGGACATCACAACATCAGGGTTCTGTGTGAGCTGTGATGACAATCACATTATCATTGCATACGCAAAAGTACACATCTCATAATTATTATGGGAACCGGGAATATGGGTCAACGCAACGCTCAACGTGCTGTTGCTTGTTGAACAAAAGACATGTACTCATGTACCCACTACTTTTTAATGCACAAATACATACAAACAAACATACATACATACAATACAGTTAAGGCCTGACTTCTGCTCCCGGAGGTTCCGGATTCAAATCTGCCTTGCCGAGCCCTCGGTGTGTGAGGGGTGATGAAATGGGAGGTGGCCCGCCATCTTGTGGACGGTGTAGGACGTGAGTATATCAACTTGGAAGCTGACCAGGAACTAAGTTAATGCGCCGTTGATCCGCTAGATCTGGTTGGATGCTGGTGGTGAGTTGCTGAACCCAAGGAATACATTCTGAAGTCGGATGGGGTGAATAGATTAGGGTGCCCCTCTCGCAGGGGAGAGCAGGGAACTGCCTCGGGTAAGGGGGCCGCTGGTGGAGCTACACCACTCTGTAACATCATACATACATACATACATACACCCACTGCGCCTTACACATGTACACCGTCTACTAGCTGTCGTACGCCCACATACACCATCACACCATCACTGGCCCAAGGCCATGAACCCCCACATAACCTTTGCGCGCGGTTGCCAACGAACACATGCCGTACGCAGCCCTGGGCACCTGGGGGCGCCCCTCCCCTCTCACTCGGTGCTTTGGCGGCAAGAACGCGGCCTCCTCTACATAACGGTTCCGGAGCCACCGGCCCAGCTCCAGGGCCTGGGACTGACCCAGCAGTGTCAGCTCGCCCTTGTGGCAACCGCCATCCAAAATAACTGAGCGCTGCATACCGAGAGGCGAGTGGGGAGACGAAATCAGAAAAGCGTGGCGGGGACAAGCCCTTGCGGGGTATGCACGGAACCGACAGCGGTGTTCGTTGAGAGGCTTACGCACCGCCAATCCTTCAAGACCCACAGTAACCGCAGTAACAGGATTCATTCATGAAAAAATGTAATAATGCTGCAAAGGAAATCGAGCAAGGGGGGCAGGCGCCCGGCGGCCGGGAACACAAGCTCCCTCCGGTCAGGAGGACATTCACACACCCCACTTACCGGCGCACCCTGTACACGTGTCATACATTGCCGTATACCCTTTACACGCACCGTGGCACACGTACACGCGTACCTGTCGCAGGTTCCGTTTCGATGGGGGGTCCTCCACACCTGCAGTGGAGACGAGCCGCACGTCAGCGGCCTGCAGGCGGGGGAGGGGGGGGAGGGGGGAAGGGGGGGGAGAGAATACAAATAACCCGGGACCATGGGGACACGTTGCCCGTTGGGGCCGACGGTGCATCCGGTTACGAATGGAAGCCAGGGCTGCCACGTAAGCAGGCGAGGAACCCAGATCCCAAGCCCGCTTAGCGCCGTCCACCCGGATTAAGAAGCAAGCCCAGCGGGTTAAGAAGCAGCCGCAGCCGCAGCCGCAGCAGCTGGTAGTGGTGGTCAATGTACCATAGACCCTATGGCCGTGAGAGGGGCTGTCGCCCGTGGTTAGGGCCCATGCAGGCCGTGGGGAGGGGCACGGGGGGGACCCGTCACTGCCACCAGCCACAGTGACACCAGTCGCAGCATATCAGGACAACCTTCGACCACCAACAAGCTGGCCGGCCTTCCGGTCCATGCCCCCCTTCCTACCAACACGGTACCACCCGCATCCATATTAGTTCTTCTGTAGCTCGTTTTTCTTCTCCGGAGCAGTCTCCTCTCGTCCGGAAGTCGACCTCTCATTACGTCCCTGGTATTGGGGCTGGTTGGCCTCTCGCTTGTACTGCATCAGCCACCCCTACCCCCAACCCTGAGCCCGGAGCCCACCTGGTAGGCTTCCCCGCACACGTCCCACTGCTGGCCCAGCCATAGCTCTGGCATGCTGCTCAGCGGCGTTCGGGCGCCGTGCCTATTCCACATGCGCCCCAGGGGGGAGAGGGTAAGGAGATGGAAAGGGTGAAGGAAGCTGGTGCGTTACGGACATACATAGTTGCACCCGGCACGACAAGATACGATCGCACCATGCCCTCAACCGTCCTGAAAGGACGGGTTCTTGTACACTGTCCATAAAACCTCTGTGCGGGGGGGCCTGCGGCTTGTGCTGGAGGCCACATTCACACATGCACAACAAGTAGCACACTTTCTCGCAACGTCTGTATTTGCGTAAGCGGCACTCGGTTTCAGAAAGCCGCATACAAGGAGCGGTCTGTGAAATTCTTCGGGAGTTTGCGGAAGCGCGGACGACTTGTGGACCGGCTGACCATATCCCTACCTGAAAACTACCTGCACGAGAACGAGCTTCGCACGGTGCGGATCGAGCCGATGGAATACCCCCGTAATGGTGTCGTTGTCGCTATCCCCGTCAGAGTCACCTCCGCTGGAGCGTGTAGAGGGGAGCAATGATGCCGGTGTCGGGTTCATCGTGTCGTATCCGCTCGCGTCAGCGTGGCATGCCCAAGGGATGAGTTGCGTCGGAAACGAGAGCATAGCTCGGGTGAGGGACCCCAAATACCCAAATCCTGAGCCGGTTCTCTCTTGGCTGTCCCTTGGCCTATTTCCGGCTTGACTCTTAGTAAAGCCATCATTTTTTCCGCTGTCCAAGCCGTTGGCAAAAGTAAGCGCACCTAAACCACTACCTACGACGGCTATTGCCCTGATGGGCAGCTGAGGTCCCCGCATCTTCGTGCTGTTTTTAATTGGCGCCCGCACAGGGCAATTTTGATGCTAGCCGATAGATATTGATAAAAAATTGCACAAATAAGTTTGAAGCTTATATAACGCATTACGGTGATGGTGGGGGAATGCGTCTACCCACATTGTGAGTCGGGCATAGAACGCGGGTACGGAAAGTAGTTGGCGAAGCTCCTCGCAATTTTATGCCGGTGTCCTCCCGGATTCCTGCATGCCGCCAAGGGCTCACTGGGCATACACTTGTAGACCTTTTAGGTTTGTAAACGTGAAGCTGAAGGACATTTGCCAGGTTCACAGGCCTAAACATCACATACAGCTCATTGACGGACACACTCGTTGAGCGCTCAACTTCATACAAATGGCGCTCGACGCGGGCATCTTAACGGTCACAATTGAGTATGCGAAGGTAAGGAAGCAAGGCGTGAAATGAGTTATTGGGTTCCCTTGTTAAAACGTACAAATTTTCACGTGCTGCAGGATCTGAAGGACAAAGACTGGTAGGATAGGCGATTACACGTTTCTTTTTCTGCTTGCTTCGTGCTTTCGTCAGCAGGCCAACTGATCGTTCACTTTTTCTTGCACGACTCTTGACACCTTCGCTGTGATACAGGTTTGGAAAGCAGGTAAGGCTCATGTCCATTAGAGGCGATACGGGAACGGGATAGTTGCAACCCAGCTTCTATGGTTGTTCGTGAGGCTCGTAGAGCACGTTTCCTGTCCAGCCCGATGCCCAGAACGTCGCTGCATTCTGTTCACATGGACCTACAATTACAGCACTTTGAAATTAAGGTTTTCGCATAACTAGCCGGGCCGCGACAGCGTCACCTCGTACCCATAAGAGTGCGGAATCCAGGGGCTGTTTGGTTAGCAACTTAGCAACCTGGGACGTAGGTTTGTAGCACCCCCGTATCCAGATTGCTGACCACATCGTCCCTGGTCTCGGTAAGATATTCATGTCAAATATGAAGCGTGGGTTACCGGCTTGCAAGGGTACAAGCGTGAGGCGCTTGCGGCCCAGCTGGACGTGCAGGCGTTTTTGCGTCAGCCACAAAGGCGCGGATGGGTGACACAGCTGCACAAAAAAACATGTTGTCCAGCTGTGCGTGTGAGACACACGGGATGCCTGCTGTGTTTGGGATTGGCAGCTGATACGTTCCTTTTATGATGTTGGGTTGGGTCCTGTAGTGTGCTGGTCCGCTGTATCTGCTTGCGCGCGTATGCAAGATATGGTGCACGTTGAACATACCTGAGATGAGCTAAGCAAGAGAGGCCTTGAAGTGAAGTGCGGGCAGATACGTGACGGGGTCTTAGTCCTCGAGTGGCAGAGCCAAACGGATATATTTACCCATGCATGTCCCAACCGTTCTGATGAGCGAACCAGGCCGCCGCTTGGCATACAGGTATTCCAATACGGGTCACAACGGGAAGAGCTGAGAGCCAGGTTTTGTTGTACATCCCATATCTGGCTATCTTCGGCATCTGGTTTGCACATTCACCAATGTTTGCATTTGTCCGGTTGGTCGGCCCCCAGGATCCTTTTGCTGTGATCCGAGTGGGCGGACAGACCTTCCGAACCAGGACTCACAACAACGGCGGCAAGAACCCGGTAAGACGGCCCATATCTCCTCTCTGCCCATATGCTGCTACAGTAGCCACAGACTGCCTATTGTTGTGATTTCGGCTGTGCTCGTTAGCAACTGTTACACCAACGCCAACGCCAACATCACGTGGTGTCTTGAATGTCTCGCGACGTGTGTGAGGAAGCCAAATGAGGAGTGCAACTGGTTGGACACCCCAGCATGATGGTGGACAAGCACGTCTGGAAACTCGTCTCTGCTCGCAGCATGTGTTTGCGGCAACCTTTTGCTTCCCGAACAGCTTTTTTCAGCTTCGGCATTCCGTTGAACTGGTTCTTGGCTCCCCATCATCACAGCCATACCTTCCAGCAATCTGTCTACCCAAAGTGGGTTGCTGCTGTCGACCCTTGGTAGCTGGACACCTCATGACGCGACACCGCGCGACACCGCGCACCACATTCGTTTTGTGGCAATCCTTCCATGCGCATCATTTTACAATTCTTATCCTATCAATATGTATTGCCTTGGACTTTCCTGCCCCTCCACAGGTATGGAACGAGACCTTTAATATCAATATCGTAAGTACGGGTTGCTAAAGCACAGCGGATTGCACGGCGGGGTAAGCAGCATTGAGTTAAGAGCATTGGCAGTACCTGGCAGTAATTGCATGCGGTCCTGAGCGGTGGGATGGGCATCGCCCTATTGGCTGCGGCTGTATACATATGTGGATGAGGCCAGCTGCAGATGAGCAGCGTCAGGTTCTTCCCTCCCTGTGCCCGCGGTCGTGCTGGTATTGATCATATGTGAAAGGGAAAGTTTGAGAGCTCGCAGCCACTGCCATTCATGCAGTTCCCAAGTGCACGTGTGTGCATGCTTGTTCTTGATGTAAGGCCTTGGGCAGGCATTGTCCTGCCACGCCGTCGATAGGTCATAGCCGTACTGCGCACGACTGCACAACAGAGGGGATGGACATGGCGCAAATCGCATGATGTGAACAAGGAGCGGGTTATTGCGATCGCGTGCCGCCTCACCCTGCGGGTCACAGCAATTTTGTATATATAAAAACGGGACGTTGATAAAGTCAAAAGCGAAAGCGCTCCGCAAATAGCAAGCGCGTGAGTAACAAGCATGCGACTAGAGCGTGCGTGTGGGCACTCAGAGCAAACGGGCGGGCTTGGAGCAAAGAAGTGGACAAAGACGTGGGCATGTGCTCGCTCCCATGCGGATATTGGGGATTTCGCTCCAAAAGCGGTTGCCTTGCTGCGCCGGGATGCCAGCGATCTGGATGATCTGTACATGGGGGCTTTTCTTGCTGCTATGCGGTAGTATCCCCTGTCGATGTTTCCCACATGCACCGTGTGCCTCAAGCTGCGTGTTTCTGTGGCCGCATTTCTACTGGCGGCTGTGTGGGGACCGCGGTAAGGAGGGGTTGTTGCCTTGTTCGAGTGCCTTGTGAGGTTGCGTACAACCTCCTCGAGGCGGCCCCCTCCTGCTCATACGACATATGACAGGTGAATGACAACACCATCGATATGACCATTTATGACAGCGATCTGGGCAAGGACGATTTCATCGGGACCGCAACTATTTCGCTTGTCAAGGTGCGTCTTGTGCTCCCAATTTGAAATACGAAAGGGTGGAATATAGTTACTGGCGGGTTGCATGATTGCGGAGTGGAGATCAGGGGCTGGTGTGTGTGTGTGTGTGTGTGTGTGTGTGTGTGTGTGTGTGTGTGTGTGTGTCAGGAGGACCCAGCCGTCAAAGGCATCTACTACAACATAACTTAGCTACATGACCCAAAGTGTGCTCCACCGTTTTGGTTTGAGATCCCCTTTTGAAAAACCTGGATAAGGGTTGATCTAAGAGTGGCCGTGCCCAACGCTGCCAACTTCAAGAACCCCGGCATTACCTCTTATCAGCAGTCTCTTGCTCACCTCTTGTACAGCCCTCCCCATCACACATCTGTTTTCATTCCGCCTGTCGCTCTACTTGGCCGAAATATTACGCGTATCGAATAAGGTAGATAGGAACACGTTTACGTGGCTTTTTGTTCTTTTTGTTGATGCTTATGGTTACGTAGCGTTTCCATCTCGCTGGTGTATGGGCACATCCGCTCAAATGCTTGCAGGCTCGCGAGCAGGGTCACGACTACCAGCAGTGCCCGGTGCGCACCAAGTCGGGGAAGCAGCACGGCTTTGTGGCGGTCCGACTGCAGTTCGTCAAGAATCCGGGCGGCAAACGTAAGGATGCCTGTTGAAGCAGTGGAACATGGTACATGTGTCTCGATAATGTACAAACGCGTGCGGAGAGATGTGTATGTGTCGATTTACACCGTGCCCCCAGCAGCCTTGCGTATTTGTTTGTATGCTGCTGCCTGCGCACGTTTCCGCCTGCGTTCGTTGTCTGATTTAGCGTGCATATGCCATGTGAACGCATACACCTCTGAAGATGGGAATATCCCGCCTGGCTATTCACATACATGTGAGGGTGTGTGCCCGTACTTGTACATGGAACCCAGCCTGGCAATTGGAATGCTGCGGGCATTGTTGTGTTATCCCCCTCGAATACAGCTGGTCGCTTGTGGCAGCCAGCCATGCCTTGACTTCGGAATGGGAGCAGCGTGGGTTGGTGTACAACGTGGGACCCCTATTGTCCCGTGCTTGTTTCCTGGACCTGGGATACGTGGGTCACTCATGTTTGATTTGCTCGCTTCCTCCTGTACGCAGACCCCGCCACTGCGCCTTTAGCTGCCGCCCCACCGTACGGTGCTCCACCTCCTGCTTACGCGCCCGGTAAGAGAGGTTGGCATGGATTGCAATGACACGTTCGTTGACAGTGATACGAGCGAGGATGAGGGGGTTTGTGAACAAATCCAAGACGCGGACGTGTTTGAAATTTGGCATCATGGTACTGCATGGTACTGAGATCTGGGCGAGTGTGTCTTAGTGCTTAGACTTGGGCTTAAGAGAAGTACTTTCGTCTTCACTTTTTGGGCTTTGCACCAACTCCAAATCACGTAACGGAGTCTGTCATCGCATGTTCGCGTTTCATTGTTGATCAAAGTTCCCTATTTCCCCCGTAAAAATCCTTTCCTGACGTGCACGCGCTCGTTGCGCGTCAATTTGTTCCCCAACAGCCGGATACCCGCCTGCTGGAGCACATCCCCCGCCGCCAGCGCCCTACCCGCCGCCTGCTGGAGCACATCCCCCGCCGTCAGCGCCCTACCCTCCGCCTGCGGGCTACGCACCCCAAGCGCCGCCGCCGCCAGGGTACCCACCTGCTGCACCGCCACCGGGCTACCCTCCTCCCCCAGGTGCGCGTCTGGGTAATGAGGTGGTCGCGGTTCCCTCGCGGGATTAGCGCACTACCTGGAAGCGGTAAACTATGTACGTGGAAAGAGCGCCCTCTTTGGCCTTACGCCGCGTTCTCTGTCCTTGCTGAGCTTCCCTCTCACGCCAGCAACATTTTACGTCGACATACTTGTTTACCGTCTGTTCCAAGTTCTTCCATGTATTGTCATACAAATTGCATGACCAGCACCTTAAACAGGATGTCTTCGCTGCGTTTCGACCCCCACCATCATGGTCCCCCTCTCGGTTGCGTCTCGGTCCCTGTCTATGTCCCATCAAGGTGGCTACCCAGGACAGCCGTACGGCGCCTACCCGCCGCCTCACGGTACGTGCAGGGCAGGAAAGTATCTGGCTACAGGAGAACCTTGCAGGCAGCGGGTATTTACAAACGTGCTCCTTTGAAACTTGGTTGGCTTTTGATTGTGGCGTTTAAATGCAATTTGCATGCACCCAGCAAGTGTTGCTGCTTGCTCCTGTTTTATGCGAGGTCGACAACGGCTGAGAACCACCGCCATCGCATTAGACCTGGGCGGATGGCTCACCATGAGTCAGCCTGCCTGCACATACCCTGTATGTACGTCGCGAGCGCGGCCTAACAAATGGCAGCACATGAACTCCAAACACGGATTCCTCATATTGCAGTAGCGACAGCAGAATCCTGTTCTAGTCCTTTCTCTTCTCACGACCTGGTCTGACCTCTTCCTGCACTTCTCCTGCGAAAACAGGCGCCCCTCCACCCTACCCGCCGCCAGCAGCACCCTACCCGGGTCATCCGCCCGCGGGCTACCCGGCACCTTATGGTGCACATCCGCCGCAGGGCTACGGTGGTGAGTGAGGAGATTTGGCGCCCGCATCACCGTGTGTGCCTGAGTACCCATGTCTCCACCCGCGGTGTCGCCCCTCTCACCTTGTGCGTTTCCAGTTCCTTTGCGCCTCATTCATGTATTAATGCGAAGTACCACCGAATTCCGTGGCTTTCGTTTTACAGGTTCTTACCCTTACCCTACCGTTTCCCCTTCCCCCTCCTCCCTGGATAGCTCCTCACGCTGGGTACGGCGCGGGCATGGCCATTCACGTGTCGGGTGTGCCGCCGTTGGGCCACATGTTGGGGCACATAATGGGCCACAAGATGAAGCACAAGAAGTACAAGAAGCGGAAGGGCTTCAAGGGCTTTTTTAAGTTCTGAAGCGGCTTGACGTTGCTTGCAGCTGGCGGTGAGCTGGCTGGGCCTCGAATGTAATGTGCAATCCCCGTGTGAAGCTGTGCACTTGTTCCTACGACAAAGCAAGACACCGTGGGGGCAGTTTTGAGGTCGAAGGCCGTACTCATGGTTGGCATTGCCGCTGACTGTTGGGTGCACTACATATTTATACAGAGATATGGAGGGTTACAGGAGAGGTGAAGATATTGCTCTCGAGAGAGGATGTCCCGTCTAGAAACCGTGGTACGCGTCGTGCTGTTTGACAACCTCAGTAGTTATCGTGCATTTATCTGGAGTGACTGCGAGGGTCTTGGCCCGTTTAACGCTGGCAGGTGGTGTCCATAGGTCGGCAACTAAGGCGGGTCCTGCGGGTCCATACCACAGTACCCGCAGCCGAAATTCGGCTTAAGGCCCCGGCTGCGAGTCCCTAATGATCAAATTTTGACCAAAAGACGTGATTTGCAGCCTCTATTGCGGCCGTAGGGCCACGTGCTGGACTTGAACTCCGTGTTTGACTTTGTAAAAGACTTTCATGACCACCTCTACACAATTCGGCGACGGTTGTCATAAATAAATTATCACAGGTTTAGCGACGGTACTGGTGACTTGCAGCTGCTGCAGCACTTGACTTGGTCAATTGTGGATTTTGATATGCCACATGGAACATGTTCCATGTGGGCTATCCACTGGTACCATGCTAAAACGCTGCCTGTATGCATATGCTTACAAACAGAGTGAGGCATGCACAGTTGTGAGCTCTGAAAACAAGTTATTTGTGGTTTCTGCAGCCGTGGGGATGAGACCTGCATAAGGTCGCCGGGCACTGTTCAGGCCATGCACCGCTTCACATGCTGGACGGCTTAAGATCACCATCAGACCCCACGGAGACACCTGTGCAGATCCTCTGTATACTGAAGCCACACACCTCTTCTGTGCTCCTGTCTACCTATATTCTTGTGGCTCTGCCGATTCTGACGGAATTGCTGACCGTGCTTGGAATGGTAGAGATGTGAAGCGGGGAGACCAGCTGCCAAGGGCCCTTACACTGCAGAATGTGTTGATCAGGGCTAGCAAGTAGAGGGCTACCAGCTCCCCCGGGGTGGAATAGATGTCACCCGGAAGGTTGTCTGCCTTCCACCACCGCAGAACTAGCGCCACATTGCAGCTTACTCCTTAGTGGTCCTGGCCGTCAGTGATTCTGGTGCCGCCTGCACCAGTTTCATGGTGACTGCTTGGGGGTCGGTGGTGGCCCCGTCCCCCAAGGGGCCCAACAAGGCCTGCATGTGCAGCTAGATCTGCAGATGGCAGGCGGCCAGGTCAGCAGGGACACAGATGCATGTTTTGCTGGGGCCAGAGAAATCTAAAAGGAGTGCCAGGGTAGCCCATGCCGCTGCACCTTTAGGGGCCGTGTTGCCGTTGGAGCCTGGCAGGAACAGGTCCATGGCTCGGCCCAACATTACGACTCCGTGAACGAAGGGTTCAAACCAAGCGCCATCTGTGGTGATCCTGGCCCACCAGTCCCTGGTCGGCCAGTATGGTGCAATCAGGCACACACAGGCCTTGCAAACCTCGGTGTGCTGGAGTATCATGCTGAAAGGCGGGTTATGTAGCAGTCGCTCACCTGACGGGAGGACTGACAGAGCGGAAGCGTGGAGTTATTAGTCCTCGTCGATGTAGGAAGAAGTCCAACCAAGCGGCAAGCACTAGCGTACATAAGATGTGTACGTAACGGTTAGAGACGGCGGCAGCGGAGTCTTGAACTCCGAACACCTAGTAATGTGATACGTCAGTGTCTGGCCAGAACACCCCGCCCGGGTAGCTTATATCTCGGCCTACCTGCCGGATAATCTCTACTACGGACCTTGCCGTACTAGGATAATGTTGGTGGGGCCCGGGGCCCCATCCCGTTAGATTCGCTTACTAACAGCTGCCCAGTTCGTGACATGTGACGAAGCAAGACGACCGGAGGGCCCTGACTCGAAGTCAGCCCCACCCTGGAGTTAGTTGGTACCGCTTTCATGTACTTCCTCAAAGATACTGCTTCTCTAGTACTGTGATGTTTTATTTCTTATATACAAGAAAACTGAACTGAACTTGCAAGGCGCCACCACAGTTGCCGGTGCCATGAAAGCGCAACCGTCCCGGGACACAGGCTCAGGCACAGAAATAGACTTAAAGGGTTACAGAAAACATAGCTGTGAACGGAAATAAACAAAGCCATGGAGTTTGTCCTGGACCCGAGCCATCTGCTTGCATCGCGAAAACCACGCGTCGCGCGACGCAATGTCAGTAGAGTTTGCCATCGTCACAAAACAGCAAAACAAAACACATATTGGTAAAACAAACAAAAACGGGGATAACGGCTCGCCGGTCAACACCCTCGCTCGCGGTTCAGTTTCTAAAAACACAAAGGGGCTAATGTCTCAAAACAGCTATCAAACATACACACCGCTATATGACTACTCCACAATAACACAGTAGTCCTCATCGTCTTCCAGCCATGCCAGCCGTCCCCGCGCCGATGCCCGTCTCCGCCGGCTGAGTGCTCCTCGCTGACCAGCTTCGCGAGGTGGCGGAGAAGTACGTCTCCACTGGGGTATCCACGGCAGAAGCAGTTGTTTCGCCACGCTTCAATCCTTCCATTGCCTTCATCAGGGCAGTCCAAAAGCGGAACGACAGCGCCGGCAGGCATCAGCAGGACGGCGTCAGTGGGACCATCAGCACCCTGCATCTCTATGGAGACGCCGTGCTGTACGAGTATCAACAGCAGATAACAGCGCCGGCGCGAGGACTGCAGCAGCCGGAGCGGGGGCCGGCAGCGATGGGGGTGTCACGGGTAGGGGCGGGAGCTACAACAGTTTCGGCGGCGGCCGCAGCAGCCTCGATGGCTGGGGTGGCGGCGGCAGGGCCGAGCGACACGGCATCAACAGTGGCGGCGGCGGCGGGACTGAGAGCTACAGCAGGGGCGGTGGTGCCTACGTTAGCCTCGGGTGCTGGAGTGGTGGTGGCGGGGCCGGGTAACGCGGCAGCGGCGGCGGCGGTGGGGGGCCGGAGTGCTATGCCAGCAGCAGCAGCGGCGGCGACGGCAGGGGTGACTGCAGCAGCCGGAGCGGGGGCCGGCAGCGATGGGGGTGTCACGGGTAGGGGCGGGAGCTACAACAGTTTCGGCGGCGGCCGCAGCAGCCTCGATGGCTGGGGTGGCGGCGGCAGGGCCGAGCGACACGGCATCAACAGTGGCGGCGGCGGCGGGACTGAGAGCTACAGCAGGGGCGGTGGTGCCTACGTTAGCCTCGGGTGCTGGAGTGGTGGTGGCGGGGCCGGGTAACGCGGCAGCGGCGGTGGCGGTGGGGGAGCCAGTCAGCCGGCAGCAGACGGGGCATCGGCGCGGGGACTGCAGCAGCCGGAGCGGGGGCCGGCAGCGATGGGGGTGTCACGGGTAGGGGCGGGAGCTACAACAGTTTCGGCGGCGGCCGCAGCAGCCTCGATGGCTGGGGTGGCGGCGGCAGGGCCGAGCGACACGGCATCAACAGTGGCGGCGGCGGCGGGACTGAGAGCTACAGCAGGGGCGGTGGTGCCTACGTTAGCCTCGGGTGCTGGAGTGGTGGTGGCGGGGCCGGGTAACGCGGCAGCGGCGGTGGCGGTGGGGGAGCACTCAGCCGGCGGAGACGGGCATCGGCGCGGGGACGGCTGGCATGGCTGGAAGACGATGAGGACTACTGTGTTATTGTGGAGTAGTCATATAGCGGTGTGTATGTTTGATAGCTGTGTTGAGACATTAGCCCCTTTGTGTTTTTAGAAACTGAACCGCGAGCGAGGGTGTTGACCGGCGAGCCGTTATCCCCGTTTTTGTTTGTTTTACCAATATGTGTTTTGTTTTGCTGTTTTGTGACGATGGCAAACTCTACTGACATTGCGTCGCGCGACGCGTGGTTTTCGCGATGCAAGCAGATGGCTCGGGTCCAGGACAAACTCCATGGCTTTGTTTATTTCCGTTCACAGCTATGTTTTCTGTAACCCTTTAAGTCTATTTCTGTGCCTGAGCCTGTGTCCCGGGACGGTTGCGCTTTCATGGCACCGGCAACTGTGGTGGCGCCTTTCAATTTCAGTTCAGTTTTCTTGTATATAAGAAATAAAACATCACAGTACTAGAGAAGCAGTATCTTTGAGGAAGTACATGAAAGCGGTACCAACTAACTCCAGGGTGGGGCTGACTTCGAGTCAGGGCCCCCAGGACTGCGTGCACCGACGAAACTCGGAACATGTACGAAACTTGAGTCAGATCGTTTAACAAATTAACAGTTATTGTTAAAAGTAATCGTTAAAATATTCTAAGGGAAATGTAGCTTGCTACAGGTTAGCACAGCCCCCATGTGAAGCTGAAGGCATCTACCCCTGCAGTGCCCAGCGTGAAGAACCTCGAGTACTACACGGGAAGCTGTCGATTGGTATGCAATGTGAACAAGTTTACATCGAAGGGCCCCCACTTGGAGTTCAGCGAGCGAAAGACGACGGCTTGGAGCATCCAGTCGTCTGTATCCTTCAGCTTCGACAGGAAATCGGCAAACCTGTTTCCTTCTCGGGGCCGCCACTTGGCCAGCAGGTAGATGTCTTGTTCGAAGCAGAATGCATGCAGCTCACATTCAACCGTGTGGGAATTATCGGCTTTCACTGAACCTTTGTTAACAATGTTTGCGGTGTTGAGGTTGTCTGTCAGCACCTTGACTGCCCGGCCGGGTAGGCCTGTGGGGCTATTGAAAGACTGGATGGATAGGCGGATGGCGCGGAGCTCATGCGGTGTGGATCCCATCCCGCTATCTTTGGGCTGCCATCCGCCCTGGGCCACTGCTGGCTTGCCATCCAGGACGTCCGGGACCATCCAGGCGCCCCAGCCGCCTAGGGAAGCTGTAGACTTGCCAGCCGCGTCACAAAAGATCAGGGAAGGCACCTGGGTGGGAACCCATAAGTGACGATGGCTGTTAGATTTATTGAAGGACTTCTGCCAGAATTCCAGCTCCTCCCGCGCGGCGGGGGAAAAGTGGGAGGTGGGACCCCCACATCATTCATGACTCGATGAGCTTGCCCAGCACACGGGTTTACAGCCGTGACCAGGGTCCAAAGGCCCAAGACGTCGAGAGAATTTGCCCTTTAGTTGAAGCGAGGGCCTCCACTGGGATTATATGTCCACTGAGGGTCAAGTGGATTGTGGTGAGAAGTTTGTCCCTCTTATTCTCATGAATGATAAAACCCCCTTCGGTGGTGTCAATGAGCACTTCCAAGTAGCGGATTCTTTGCTGAACTGCGCCCAGCATGGATTTTTTCCTGTTGACTATAAAACCGAGGGCTTCAAGCTGTGTCACTACATTTGCCCTCCATGCTACCAGCCAGTCTGCATCCTGGCTGGCGCGAGCTTGGTTATCGATGTAGCCAGTGCAGCACCATCCATGTGCACACCAGGGACACATGACCTCCTGCATGAGTTTAGTGAAAGCCCAGCATGCGGACCCTAGGCCGAAAGGTAGCTGGGTGAAGACATAAAACACACCTTGCCAACAGAACCCCAGGTATTCCCAGAAGGATGGGTCGATGTCTAGATGGTGGTAGCCACTCTTGAGGTTGGTTGCAAACATGAAATTGTTTGGGAACAGCCAGCCAGGCACCACTCAGAGGTGTTCATAGAGAAAGTCCAAAATGGAAAGTTGTTGGTTCACTGGGTGCCCATCTGAGCCGGCACTTCGTTGTTTGCTGAACCCCCCAAAGGGCAGACCACACATGGTTGTGTCGTCCAAACTTGAGCAGTGCCTGAGGCCACCAATTCTGCAGCAGCTTGATAGGTGAAAGCTGCATGCTTATAAGCAGAGGTGTGATTCTGGCCAAAAGACAGTGGGGGTGGGGACCCCTTCTCCCACTGCAGGGGAAACCCACTGACCACCCAAAATAGGACAAGAGCATTTGTAACCCACACCTTCCACATGGATAAGCAGCATCTGCCCTATGGCATAAACACGTCGGTTACCGACGGTTTTGAACACTACCAGGTTCATTAACCGATCTGAAAGACACATCCTGATGTGGTCCTTCAGCACCCGGGCAGAGTCTAAGCACCATGCAACCTGTGAAGGCACTGGCATGCCATAGAGCACATGTACAACTATACCACATCATCATGTCAATTCAACCTTATTGGCAATTTATGGCAATAGCAGTTATGTGGCCATGCCCAGTTACCCATGATGGTTACGGGAACTGAGGACGGTTACTGGCTGATGGTCCATCCGGTAATCTTACTGGCCCAATAACCGAGGTAAGGTGATTTCAGTAACTGGGCCGGTAGGGTGGCAACTGGGCCGGAACCGGCCTGATGTACGTATGCCATAGGGCTGAGCCTGCCGTGTAGCTGAGTGGGTGCTGGCGACTGAGAACACAGGACCTCAGGTGATAACTAGTCTCCACTGCTGAGATTGGCTGCATATTTACCTTTCTCATTCCCCCAGAGCCTGTGCATTGGTGACAGCCATACCGACCTCCACACAACACACCATTGGCTTGAGGACCTTGATGGTACCCTTCACATTTGGCAGAGCCTCCTCCAGCAATGCCTAAGGAAGCTTTCCCTGTGTGGCAAACCCTGCTTGCAGAAGCCTGCCAGGTCCGTGGGCTGCTGGGCCTCAATGGGTTCGCCACACAGGGAAAGCTGATTTTGGCGTTGCTGGAGGAGGCTCCGCCGAATGTGAAGGGCACCGTCAAAATCCTCAAGCCTTTGGTGCGTTGTGCGGAGGTCGATATTTCTGTCAACAATGCCCTGTCATTGATAGCTACGAGCTGAAGCTCTACTGAGTGGAAGGCAGAATGCCTCTATCGAAGGAGCTGAAGCGGTTTATACTCGCCACTCAAATACGGTTGTACAACTGTCGCGATGTGGGACTGGATTGTGCTATAACACTTCATAAGACCTAGTGGTCTGGAGTAAGGTTGGCAATGCTCCTCGAGACGTTTTCTAGTGTCCATTTCTAAAACTCGTCAACATCTCGGGAAGCAGACTAACACGAAAATGTACGGTAGCGTTAACGACTCTCATGCTCTGGATTCAAGATAATCCCAAGGAACTGACTTTTAGGCCAGCCACGTCTGATCCGACATGCACAGATAGAGTAGGATAGGACTGTCGAGCTTATGATCAGTGTACTTTGACTCTTCGCCGGTTCTACTTCTGCGAGCAGGAAAGCGGACATAGCTGAGCTGAAGCGTGCCAAATGGACAGGTTGACGACCTTGTTTATCGGATATCTGCATTACGGCTTGGCTTACTGAACCTTGGCTTACTGGGCCAAGACAAGCAGAACCCTTAGCAGCACATGCAGAGTTTTCATAATGCGGTAGACCTGTGGAGTGATTTATCATTGTCATGAAGCAGTTTGCTGTGTTATCGTTAGCGTTCGCCATTTGGCTCGCGAATAGAAGGCGGCGAAACGCATCGCAACCAAAACGAGGGGCAATCGAGCCTCCGTTAGCTGGAAGTCACTCGGGTGTAGGAGTTCTACAGAAGATCCAGTCATCAGCCCAACCTGCAACAGTCGCACCAACGTCGCCAGCAGGCAGCAAGTCCATCGTGGGCGCTGTGCTTCAATGGATATTCCTCATCCTCCTTGGTGCCTCCCTATCGCTTACAGCTGCAAAGGGCTCATGGGACGTGTTTGCGTTGCTTGTGGCAGCTGCTGTGTTGCAGCTGGGAGGACAGGTAGGGAGCAGGGGAGAAAATGTGTCCCGCGCTGAGTCCCTCTCGCTCTCCGCAGCTCCTCTTCGAGTGATGTATCCTGGTGTCTTTAGGAGAACCAAGAGCATAGCTAGGGACACACTTAACTATTGAGCTTGGGACTGGGTTTCAGCCAATAGTCTGGAAACGGGCAATGCGGCTGGGAGCGACTGGGTCTGCTGCATGCGTGGAGCCCTCCGTTTATGGAGGTATCCCACTTCCTAATCCCGCGCCCCCGCCCCATGTGTGGCCGGTCCGCAGCCAACATAGGCCGGGTCACATCACCTCCAGCGCGTGCCGCTGCTCTGCGCCTACGTATCAATGGACAGCCCTCTGTATGCCTTCGTCTTGAACCCTTGAGTTTGGCCCGTACCTCAGATGCGCAGGCACCAGCTGAAACACCTCCATCCGTCTGCTTTCCCTCCCCACACCCTGCCTCACGTTCCCTGGTTACAGCTTACGCGCTGGCTAGGATCAGGCAGCGGAAGGAGCAGTGGCAACCGCCGCAGCAAATCATCCCATGGGTCGGCTGGTGCCGCCGCAGCACGTCGGACCGGCGGCGGCAGTGTGGTCGTGTCCGATGTGGCGGCCTCACCCACGGTGCTGCTACCGGACCCCCGCCTTGGAGGCGTGTGGGTTAAGGTGGGTTGCGGACGGGATTTGAAGTATGGGCGTCGTTGTGAAAACTGTGTAGGAGGGGAAGTGCGTGGAAAGGGGTTCCGTGGAGGATTAGGGCTGGCGGCGTTGGCGAGGGCGGGGGTTTGCTGTACGGAAATGCAGGAAGACAAGGAGCCCAGCGGCGGTGGTTGCCCGGAAAGGCCTGCCGGGCACATGTTCGGATTGGCTGCTTCCGCGAGAGTTCCACCAGGTCAGTTGGTTGGTTGAACACTCCAAGACATTCGCAGACCATGCGTACTCGCGGGGCATCTCCCCCGAGTACCCTTGGTCGGATCTCCCCTTAGACCAAGTGTCGTGCATGGACATTCAAAATCCCTGTCAGAATTATCATCTGCACAAACCGGCCCCCCACCCTGCCGGGTTATTCCCTTGGGGTCTGGGGCTCGCTGTAATACCTACGACTACAAAGCGGTATACACACCTGCCCAATCTGCAGGACCCTGAGCGCTCTGACTCCATGGACGAGGCGACGGCGGTGATGCGCCTCAACGGCCTCGTCCGCACCGCCATTCGCCTGATCAGAGGGCTGGAGATAGACCCGGAGGCACTCAAGGCGGGCAGGTGCGGCCTTCCTTTCATTTTTAGTTAGTTCGTAATGACTGCGGCCTTACTTCACCAAGATTGGCCTTTCGGATTGATGTATGCCATACACCTCGTCGCGTGTCGCTGAAACTGTAGTTCGTACGTATATTTATTCGCCATAGTCACTGTCTGCAGTGCCCCCTGCCATGACTTCTTGCCTGCCGCCCCTTGCAAGAGCTTTGTCTGTCCGTCCGTCCAGCGGAATGGTGCCCTTCATCGCGTCATGCGGTCTGTGTCTGTTCATATGTTCATTTACCTGCTGCGGGGTCTCCATGCACATGCAATTGAAATTGATGACAGCTCACAGCAATCCAGGACGCAACCAGGACCGCGGTTCAGAGCTTTAATTTCATGAACCACGCACCGCATAGAACGCCACGCAGTATGTATATCTACGACAACCCTTGCCATGCGTACGCGACCAAAATCCTACAGCTAGGGGATGAAAGCCCAATAAGTTCGGTGAGGCAAGCTGGTTTTCTGCGAACTGTATTCTTCTTCGTGACTGCTACGTGCTCGTAATTGTTTGCGTGCTCTCGCTTGCTTGCAGGTTTGACATGGCTATTTTTAGCGTCATTTCTTTCTTTAAGGTACGCAGCTGAGCGAAGGCCTTGGGCCGTCTACTACATCCCCCCGCTTGTCTTGGGAGCCGTCTCGGTTTCGGTCACCATTTGCTCTGTCACCCGGGTCGGCGGTTCTCTCTTCCTTTTCCTCTTAATCCAATGGGTGCTTCAGCAGCAGCAATGGCAATAGGGAGTCGTCGTCTAGAAACAAGAGAATGAAGACCTGGGTGCAACCGGGACCTGACGTGGCGCTGGGGACGCCAAGGAACCCCTGTACATCCCCGTTCCGTCCTCGCGCCTCGCACCTCCCTTCATTTGCTGATTGTTGATGCGGTTTCTTCTTCCTGTTCCTCATCATTCCCATCTGCCCACCCGGCCCCCAGGTCCGGGAGAGCTACCGACTGGATGGGACTGTGGCGCACTTCAACCGGAGGGACCTGCGGCGGGGTAAGCGGCAGCAAAGGAGGTTCTGGGAGCAGGGGACAGTTAGGCTGTCGGTTCACACCCATATATACCAACAACAAGGATTTGGAAACGTTTGTTCGGTCCTCCGATGGCACAAGTAGCGTCTGACGGGGACCTCTGTTTACCGGCTACTGTGGTTGAAGACTAATGCAACAAGGCGTGTGGCGCCCTTGTGTATTTAGTTATTCAGTTATTTTTACTTAAAGATGGTTATCTCTCTTTTAGGCCGTGTTCTATTGACGCTTACTTGCATCTGATGTTATTTTTACTTAAAGATGGTTATCTCTCTTTTAGGCCGTGTTCTATTGACGCTTACTTGCATCTGATGTTATTTTTACTTAAAGATGGTTATCTCTCTTTTAGGCCGTGTTCTATTGACGCTTACTTGCATCTGATGTGCCTCTTCTGGGCTTTTTGGCGATGCGCGTACGACCAGGCAAACACACTGCGTCCATCGCTGTACAGCCGGACGGCTCTGTCGTACTGTCGATCAGCTGGGGTGAGCCGCTTTCCGGCACCGGCACCGACCACTTCGCCGTCGTACCCGCAGCAGCAGCCGGCAGTGAGCCCGTGGCAGCAGCAGGTGGTTTGATGGGTTACGGCAGTACGACAACACAACAGCCGGAGGCGGCGCCCAACGGTGGCGACCTTTTGGTGGTGACGTCTAAGCTCCGGGTGGCGGGAGCTGCTCGTCAAATCGTGTACCGTACAACCTACGTTCGAGCGGGGCGAGGCAGCAAGCAGCACCACGATCACCGGCACAACTAGCGTGCGGCTGCGAGGCTAACATGGCCGGAGACATCAGGATACATCAGGCATCAGAGGAGCAGTAAAACGCTGTGATGGAACTTATATCGGCAGGAAGCCAGTTGCTGCGAGGTCGCCATTATTATCATCGGCAACAGCAGCAGCTGCACAGCATTGGCGCCTAATTAAGCACAGCAGTGCCGCCGGGAGTTCCTGCTGCTGCTGCTGCTGAGACGGCGGAGGTGATGGCGGCAGCAACAGCTGGAATGCCGCTGGCGGTGTTGGGTGCTCGCTCGGTTACTCTTGTAGGCTTGGATAGGCTTGGAAAAGGTGTTGGGCTGCAGCAGCCATTTTGTGGCAGACGTGAAGATGAAGGTTCGGGCTTATGTAGCTGTGCTTCCACTCCAAACTGCGCAGCCAAGAGGAACACCGCAACGTCATTATCCTCGTCAGTTCCTGCCTGTGGGTCAGACCATTGAAAGGCAGCTGGAGTGGGGAGGGCCACTGCAACGACCCCGCCGTGTGTCGATACACGCGTCTAGCTGGATGGCTGGGTTACGGGTGAGCGGACTTCCTGGGCTATATCCTACACACAGTGCCTAGCGCTGCATAATGAGAGGTAGCGCTGGTACTACATACATCCTTTGTTCTGGATGTGTGGCGTGTGCTTTCCTTCTTACCACAGACGGATAGAGTGGGCTTCGGCGCAGTTGTGTACAAAACTTTGCTTGAATACCGCGGAGATCGTGCGGTGGGAAGGTGTGGATCAAGCGGGGATAGGGGTTAGGGCCCGTGGATGCGCATGGATGTGCCCGTGGGGCTGCAGCCAAGGGCTCTCACCCGGGGCCCATCCCCGACCCGTATGGCGTGGATGTTTGATGATGTGAGCGATGCGAAAACTGGCGACCGGGCAGGCGCTGGGTAGGGGGTGCCCTAACTGGCCGGAACTATAAACATTTTGACACAGAGGATGTTACCTTTGGGCTAGGAATACATTATGTTCCGTGTGTATTTGTAAGTGTTTTCTGGATGTATGTTTGGCTGTCTCGTGCTGGCGATGATAGCACTCTGTAGCAGTTCGTTGCAGGCCTCCTGCCGTGCGGGTGCCCGCTATTGGACGGACCTGGATAAATGCACACAACCTGCGCTCAATATTGCACAAAATGGGATTTATGTACGTGTGCGCTTGGAGGGTGTGCTGTAACCCCCAATTTCCGAGTGGCACACATGGCCCTTATTCAGAAGTTTGTTATGCTTGCTTTATCTTGCCTTTTATATTCTTTTTCTTGAAGTTGCGGCTCTGGCCTTTACTGGTGGATGCCTTGCTTCCCGTCGCCGGAGGGAATAGATGCTGGATACCAATTGAACTACGTTTTGTACTGTTTATCCCATTATAGACCGCTAAATTTGCTTATTCCGCTTCTAACGTGTTTCCAGTCAGTCAGAATGCAAGGCAGGCACTTAACTACAGCATGCTATGTATGTATGTATGTATGTATGTATGTATGTATGAGAGCACACTATGTACCGCAAAAATTTAGCAGGCTGGGAAAGGAGGCACGGAGGATTGCTGTGTCCCTAGCTACAGATTATTGTCTTGCACGCGGAATATATCGATATTTTGCTTTGGAGACGCAACTTGATGCTTATCCAAAGTCGCTAGTCACTGTCCTGTACGTGATGATGGTGTGCGTTGCAAAGACATAGTCTATACCTGACTAATATTCGCGGATGGTTTACGTTGGTTTTCAAAAGTCGATTGCCGAGGCGTGTGGACTTCATGCTTGCTTGCTCACGTCGACCGTTAATGCAAGCTTCTTGGAGTTGTTTGCCGTTTTCCTGTTGTTTGCCGCAAGCTTTGGTGTATGCGGTCGGCAAGTGGGCAAATGACGGAGCGCGCATTCACAAACTACCCGACATGTACTACCACTCTTTCGACTGCATGCACGGTTGTGATGTGTGTGTGTGTGTGTTCCATGGACAGCTAAAATGAAAACAGGTTTTGGAAGCCGCGAGCTGTGTTTGTGTACGTGTGTTTATGTGTGATGCATGTGATACGTCGTTCACAAGATGCGAGTCCCTCGCGGGTCACCTTTCATGTGTGAACCATGCAGTGCGAAGAGCCAAAAGACGTCTGTAAAATGGAGGAGTGATAGATAATCTATTTCTGGGCATATCTGTTGAACCAAGGCATGATCTGTAGACCATCCTCAGGATGGTATAGGCTATACCATCTATTTCCCGGTCCTATCTCTTATACCCTGACCTTTTTTATATGTCATAAAGTCTCGCACAGGGCTTCCACCATGCGCTGTGACATTCTTTAACGTCAGGTACTCGCCATGGCATGCTGCCGTTATCAACTGCGGTACGGTGCGCCGGCTGTGAACTTCTGGAACAGGGACCAGAAGATCAGCTCCAGCTGCAAGGCAAGCGCACCAGGCTTGCCCGCCAGGCAAATCGTTCTAGGATATCTTTTCCTTTTTACAGGGTGGTTAACTTCGCCAGCGGCCCCTTTCCCGGGCAGTCCCTGCTCTCCCCTGCTAGAGGGGCACCCTAATCCGTCACCCCATCCGACTTCAGAGTGTATTCGTTGGGTTCGGCAACTCACCACCAGCATCCAACCAAATCTAGCGGAATAACGGCGCATCAACTTAGTTCCTGGTCAGCTCGCAAGTGATTTTATCACGTCCTACATCGTCCATATGATGGGGGGCCACCTCCCATTTCGACACTCCTCAAACAGCCGAGGAGCAGGCGGATTCGAACCCGGGTGGGCCGGGAGCAGAAGTCAGGCCGTAACCTCTGCCAGCCGCCTGCTAGTCCAAGCTGCAGGCGTCCTCCCGTTCTCCAAGAAAACCTGATGTACGGCTGACGGGCGTAGTGGAGTCACTACTCGCCATGTCGTACTTGTTCCGGGATCAGGTTGTTACATCATCTTAATCACAACCAGCCTAGGTGGCGACTAAGGACACGGGATGTACAACCCGTACTACTGTACTGCGGTGTAAACGGAAACGTCTAAGCAATAGCCACCTGGACGCATTTGGTCGTGATCTCAGAATCCCCAGAGATATATAATCCCCTGCGATTCTGCATGTCGCTCACGATCTTTGAACCCTCGTCTACAAGCAAGAAATGTTATAGGTAAACCAGAGGGTTGCAGAGATGGGGGATTGGGGCCCGGTACTGGTCAGGCGGGATGGGGAATAGGGGTGACGATGTCAGGATGGGATGTGGGGCCCAAGGCAAGGATTAGGGATTAGGCGTGCTACACTACTTTTTGGATGGGGATTGCTGTCGGGGTGAGGATGGGGACGGGATCCCTGTCTCAGGGATGGGGATTGCAACCTTGACCAAGGAGGGGATTGGGAACCCTGGCCAAGGATGGGGATGGGACCCTGATCGACAGGATGGGGATTGCAGGCTTTCGTAAGTTTAGGATGAGCTCGCTACCATAGGATTGGGAACACAGTTGGAGGATTAGCATTGGGTGTTCTGCTTGTAAAATGAGGCTGCAGGTGCAGAATTGGGAATACTGACAAGACTGCAACAGACTAAGGATGGATGGTTTAGTTGTCCATAGTTGCTTGCATGGTGTGCTATCACTTGTGGTGCATCTTACAGCGTCTGGGAAAGTATTTTAAGTGGTGGTCAAAGCCAGTACCAAACATGCACGTTGTCGTGGTCGATTTTGCTCATACACTTCAACTCATGGGTCAGCAATATGGTAAACCAAACACCGAGAGATATCTTCACAAAGCAAGGCACCCCTGCCCAACAGCACCATAATCAGCTGTCCAGGTATAGCCCATGCCCATGTTCACCAGCACCACAACGGGCCTCCCATTACCCACTTGACACACATTAGCACATCTCACCAAAAGCGGCCCCTGCAGGCTGCTCCACTGCTGTCTGCCAAGAGCATGGCCATCATCAGTGCATGCACCAACAGCAGCCATCTCACTAGGCCGTCATGCATTCAATTGTTAGACCTTTGCTAATAAGTCGCATCCCATAGCAAACCAAACAAGGAAGTTCTATGAGTTGGCAGCACCGAATCTAGGCTGGGGAGTCTAACATCAGAGTCGTCCATGCATTTTTGCTTCACACCAAATGGCTGGCACTCATTGCAAACAACACAACAAACCCTCACCCCCTACCGTGGGGGGGACAGTGCCCACTCGTAACCCGGGATGCTCAGATGGGCCTGGCGTCGCCACATAAGCAGTGGGCAATAGAACCTCACGCTACACTTATGTAGGCTTGCCCACCTGAAAAATTGTCTTACTGTGAGAGGGTGTGGTTGGGGTTGCTGCAGCCTATGTTGTGATGGGATTTGGCTGCCGATAAATGGTGCGTGCATGGTGAGTCGAAATAGGTGCGATTACCGATGGAAAGCTTACAAGGAGCAAAGTGAACTGATGAGTTGTGCTTGGTAAAAAAGTCCACATTACAAAAACATGCCGAAAGGCCGACTTGTTCTCCTGGAATGCCTGTGATGTGTTTGTGAAACCCTGGAATTTGTTGTTGTTGTTACAGGGTGGTACAGCTTCAACAGTAGCCTCCTTCCCGAGGCAATTTGTTGTGAAGAGCCTATAAAAACATACACGAAATGCAAGCAACATATCTTATCCTTCCTCTCTTCCCGTTCCTCTTCATCCTTTTGTTCTCTCCCTCCATACCCTCCTCTTTTTTCGCTCTTTTCCTTACCAGAATGCGGAAACGTTTCCTCCTCTTCCTTCTCTCTCCCTTTTATCCCTTCTCCCCTTTGTATCCCTCTTCTCAATCCTCCCTGTCCTCTCTCTCACGTCCATCCTCCTCGTATTCCTTTCTCTCCTTCCCCTCCTCTCCTTCCACTCCCTTCCCTCCCTCCACTCTCACCTTATCCTTCTTTCCCTCCTCTCAAGGCGGCGGGATAAAGCCAACCTTATGGAGGGCATGTTCGAAGCCTGTTTGAAGGATTACGCAGTCCAGCTGCAGATTTTATTCATGAGGCAGGTAGTGGGGACAGCACAGCCTTCCTACAGGCTGGTTATATGCAGAGCTGGCTGAACTCCCCTTCCAGTATTGCATGTTGAAACATTCCTCTGTTTCTGGAACCGCCTTCAAAAGCAAGTGGGGTCCATTGCTCATGCAGTTTTACAGCAGGAGATAATGTTATGACTGTTTTCCTTCTTGGAGTGCAATATTTGGCGTGGAATACCGCAAGTAGTCATGGGGGTAAAGGAGAGTGTTGACTGGTTGTTGTGATAATGGAGTGATGATAACAGCAATAGGAGAGTGTTTGATGAGCGGCTGGGACCATATGTGTCTGACTGTCTTGCCAAAGGAGTACCCATCAGATGGGAAGCAACCTGGAGTGCAAATGGTGAAGTATAAGCACTGGATGGGGCTGCCCTTTTTGGGAGCCACAGCCATCATGTGGCCAACACATGCTAAGGTTTTCATTCCTCGTTTAGCACATCATAACCTAATGCAGATTCATTTCTGTTGCTGGGCTCTGGAGGCAAACAGAGCATGAAGGGGCAAGTACCATGTCCCCAGGGGGCAGCAGTTTTGCCACTGTTGTGGTACTAATAGCCGAATCAAGGTTAAAAAGCACATGTTATTGGAATGCCCAGCCTATATTATTGATAATCGTGCTGAAGAGGGATTCAATCATCAACAGAGCATATTTTAGGACATGAAATGGGAACCAGCACAACTTGCGAGGATGTTGGAACATATAGGGTTCATTGGACCTTACAGGGCCTGATTCCATTGACTATTAGTGCCTGGTTTCCTGTATAGTTTGCTTCCTTCAGCCTACTTTTGAGCACCAGTTTGCTCCCCAATACTGTAACCTATTTCTAAAACAGTGCATGCTCTTGCAACGTGACTTCATTAGTCTCCACATCCTTGACAGGTTTTTACAGTATACCAATTAGGTGGTACAACAAATGCCAAGCTTATCATGATAAACAGGACTAGGTTAGCCAACTTAATGCCTAGCCACTGAATAGCAACCAGGAATCAGATACATAAAAAAACGATGCCTAGGACAACACCATAACTGCATTTAAATGCAGTTGCCTTGGCCAGCGCTACAACAGCAGGGGTGTTAAACCTGCAAGACACGAACCCTTGCATAAGTTGCCACCATGGATGGCAGCGACATCTGCTTCCCATCTATGGTGGCAGATGGCAGCCATAGATGGCAGCAACATCTGCTTCCCATCTGCCACCATAGATGGGAAGCAGATGTCACTGCCATCTATGGTGGCAGTTATGCAAGGGTTAGCGTCCTGCAAGTTTAAGACCCCTGCAGTTGTAGCGCTGGCCAAGGCAACAGCATTTAAATGCCGTTATGGTGTTGTCTTAGGCGTCCTTTTTTATGTATTTGCCAGCTTTTTTCCTGGCTGTTATTTGGTGGCTAGGCATAAAGTTGGCAGACCAAGTCCTGTTTATTGTGATAACCTTGGCATTTGTTGTACCACCTACTTGGTATACCGCTCGCAAAAACTAGTCAGGGACGTGGAGACTTATGAAGTCTTAAAGCTGCAAGATGCTAACACTGGCATAACTCCACCATAGATAGCAGCGACATCTGCTTCCAAACCAACATTGACAGAATCATAAACAATCTTCCATAGCATCAATTGATTTTTCCGTTGGCTTGCCGACATGGAAGGGCCATGCTAGTTTCTGCCATGCAGAGTGAAACGTATGCAGTATGCCTGAAGTGCACAACATATCGATATGTGACTAAATATGTGCTGCTGTGGACTGAGTATGCCAGGATAGGCTATCTATGAAGCGATGCCTTTCCTAGTGCACTGACATACCAGGAGAATTACCAAATACTTTCTAGTGCTAGGCTACATTCATAGCTTCTCCAATTCCTTCACACTCACACTGGACGTCGATCTCGATGTGCTCCTTGCGCCCTGTGAAAGACCAGGGGCAGGCAACAGGATGCCTCAATTTCCACATGATAGGCAGGCATTTGGAAGGCTCCATTCCTTGATACCTATGAAACTCAAGGCTCATCCAAGTCCTTGTCCTCGTATTGTTGTCGAGCTTCCTCGCGTACCTCGCGTTGTTGTTGTTGTTGGTCGTGCTTCAGTTACCATAGTGTCTTCAGGTGCTCGCGTAAGCCTTTGTTATTAGGCTCCGCCGCGAGCTTTCCCGACACTTCTGCAACTTGCTCGTCAAAAGACAGCATGTTTTCGCTAAGAGTGCAGTTAAACAAATTTCGCCTGTTGTACATGGATAGTGATTAGTATGGCGGGGCTTGGGGTTGCTAAATCCTAATCGAGGTTAGGATGCCCTGGAGTGGTCGCTAGTACGGCTGCCATGTAACTAAGCGCAAAGTAAATTCAGTATATATTCGAGACGTACCATGTTTCCGCTTTGCTGCAAAATGGTCGTCCCTCCATCTTCCATCTTGTTCAATCCTCGAACTATCTGAACGAATTCGCATACGCTTATGTCAACCTTGGCCACCGTGTCCCGAATCATTGTCTGAATACCTAGCCAACTTGCCGCTCCTAGCTCCATGTAAGTGCGGCTCGAACCGGTGGCGGCTTGCCCCGTGTCGCCTGCAACATGGGTGTGGGTATACATAAACGGTGCATAAGGCCGGTAGTGCATACGGTTGAGCAGCTTTCGCCGCCCTGCAACAACGCTGACTGCGTCGGTGATAACATGGGGTCACGCCATCCAAAGAACTGCAGCAATTCACGGATGACGGTCAGCAGCTGTTTGATCGACAAACACGGTAATCCAACATACGGCTTATACAAATGTCCAAACTACACCAATAAAAAGTTGGGGAGGTGGGAACAAGAAACTCATCCTCGAAATTGTGGCAAGAAGAGGGTGCATGCACTCAGCGCATGGATGCAATTGAACAGGGCGGAGGAAATGCTCCCATCCTGTCCCCCTGTTGGCCCTCAGCTGCTAACGCGCCCATGCTGGCCAGAATGGCAAGAATGTTTCCTGATCAACAATTTGTGATACCCTCAGCCCAAGATCTGAAATGAAACGAATGCTCGGTGGCACATTGTACCAGGCCTCCTCACCCTGGAATGGCGTTGGTAGTAAAGACAGATCACGGTGGAATTTCGCGCACCTCACACGCACAGCAGCATTCGTGCAGCACGACAGCACACAAAAGGCAGCAGCAAGGCAGTACGACAGCCCTGGCTCTCCGGCTAGCGGCTCCCCCGAAAGCAAAAACTTAAAACGTCCACATCGTCAATACCACCGGGTGGAAATAATGAATGCTTCTCGGTCAGCAGAACGTATGCCGAGGCGGTCGCTGCGGTGTCGATTAGCTACTCTCGGCGGGAAGGCTTTCTCCCAGCCGGGAAACCTTCCCAACACATAATCCAGCACCGAAGCTAATACAACTTGCGAGCTGACCAGGAACTATGTTGACGCGCCGTTGATCCGCTAGATTTGGTTGGATGCTGGTGGTGAGTTGCCAAACTCAAAGAGTACACTCTGAAGTCAGATGGGGTGAATGGATTAGGGTGCCCCTCTAGCAGGGGAGAGCAGGGAATTGCCTCGGGAAGGAGGCCACTGGTGAAGCTTAACCACCCTGTAACAACATCAACTAGTAAGAGCTTGAAGGTGTTATGGTTATGCGGGCAGCAGTACCAATGATCCGTCCGCATTCACAGCTTCAACAGAAATGATACATAAGGAATTCACAACACAAGGATTCAGCCTGTCCCTGTGGCACGTGGTTATAAAGCACAAAGTCAGATGTCGCGCAGCAGTGCTTGATGGACAGCTCACTTTGCTCAGGTAACGTGAAACGTCCGTTACGTTGGCTTGCTCAGCTCTGAAGGCCTAGAAGAAGATGGACGAAACTGTACGGCAGGGCCTCCCCACAGGAAAAACGGCTCCATGACTCAGCAAAATGTTTATGAAACACGGAACAATCCAATGCTGCTCCCTCTACGGACACAAGATAATAGTCGTCAGACACTGACTGATGCGACCCTGGCTGACAGCTTTCGGTTGTGAACCACAGCTGCAGGATGGGGATGGCCCTGGTCGAAGGGATGGGAAGGGATACTGGCTGACAGGATGAGGATTGGGGGGACACAGCTGCAGGATGGGATTGGAAACCCTGGCCGTAGGATTGGGGATGGGACCCTGGATGGGACCCTGGCTGGCAGGATGGGAAACCTGTCTCAAGGGATGGGATTAGCACCGGCCCTTAAGATGGGTGATGGGAGTCGGTCACCCCAGCCAGGATGGGAGGATGGCTGACCACTACCACCCCCCGGGATTGGGGGACCCTTTTTGCAACCCTCTGGGTAAACGATTTGAGCATGTTGGACTGCATAGCGTTAAACACAGCTATGCGCCGGAGCCCTTCCGGGTCCTACTACAGCTGGCACCATTTCTTGGTATAGGTGTCGGTCACTTTCCAACACATATCCTTCCGCGATTTCTTTGGCGTGGTAGCATCGTGCCATCACACGTCAAGAGAGTCCACTTTGGGTCGCTGTGGACCTTTAGGACATGCGCTGCAAACGTGCGGTTCCACTGCTCACCGAGCATGCTGACAGCATTTCAGCATTCGAAAGTGGCAATACCAGTAGGCCAGCAGCCTCAACAATGACACTTTGACAACATTACGGTTGATTGATCTTGGGTGCGGATACCGAACAGAAAGGTCCCCTTGTGACAGCCCAATCATCAAGCGTCACACCGTTGCCCTGAGGAGCTCGATTCGTTGGCTATGTCAGTCAGCGAAAGCTGAAGGATGCCCAATTCAGCCATCCGCGCAGATTTGACGGTCAGACAGACAGATGCGCTGGTTTTATTTTAAGGGACATCGCAACGGGAAGCCTTGTGCCATCCGACCTGCCTCTTATTTGTCCCCAAACCTATGAGGATATCAGATAATAAGTCTCTAGCCCGCAGGTTAGCCACGCTTACTCACGTACGTGGAAACCGGAAAGAGTCGGGGGCCTTACATTCATGCACGATTTTATAATTTTAGACGGCTGCAATGGACCGGTCAGAAGAATTTGCGGAGTGCAGGAAGTCACTGCAGGAGAGAAGCAGTGGAAATTGTATTTAAACCGGCGGAAAGAAGGGACTGAAAGACGTGGGTGGAGTCTGATGATCCAAAAAGCTCCTTTTTAATCCAAAGGCTCGGGTACCAAGCTGGGCAGGAAAATGTTCAAAACATGGGGACAGGGAAACTACCCAGATACTAATGGTACACCGTGAACGCCGCCTTTTAGTTAGCTTTTGGCCAGCTATGCTTAGGTACCGGGAGCTCAGGTCGCACGGCAAAAATCCGGACCCTAGCTCGCGCGACAATAAACTCAAGACATGCAGCCGTATTCGCCAGTCGCTTGCTAGGCAACAGACGGACGTGCGTGTGTGTAAACCGCGTTTGTTGCCCTCGTACGCGTGTGCGTTGCTGCATGCAAGCAGGAATGCCGATACCGGGCATGACCCTCCCTCTGTCAGCTCATTTGTGCGGGAGGCAAAGCATGTCGAGTGCGAGTCGCGGGGGTGTGGTGGTGGCCATTGCCTTACGCTGTAGCTAAGGCGTCAGCCACCTCGTCAAATACAGAAGCGTTCTGCATACCACAATTCACGATTGACAACACAGCAAGTCAGCGCGCGGCGTCGCAGCACCACCCGAAAAGCCTCAGAGGGGTCTCAGGAAAGCGGCCGACACAGCGACACAAGCGAACTAACGGCAAAGCGGCCAGCCCGCATTGCCCGCCCCCAGTACACCGCAGTCCCGTGAAGAATGTTCCAGGTGCAAGGTACGCCAGGATACGCACAAGGACGGACGAGCAAAGCAACCTGCTGCCCAAGAAAGTCGCAACCCGGCGCTGTCGCGGTGCTCGCGCGCAGCAAAGGCGGCCAAGGTAAAACCATAGGAACAATCCACAAAGCTGCGCCACCCTCCTCCCCTGGAAAACAAGCGAGCGCGCTCACAAGCACACATAGGTATATACATATACATATAAGCAGGCGTTCCCTTCACATCCGCGCCCTCTGCGCATCTCAACGTCCGTCCCTTCCACCTGCCTCCGTCGCTCAACCCCGTCTGCCAACCCCTTTCTCTCTCCGCAAACAACACCTTTTGGGCCGCAGCAACACCGGCAGCCCCAAAGCAGGGGCCCAATATTGCGCCGGTCGTCATTTGACGGCAGGAAAAGCGGGTACAAGGGGGACACGTAGATGCAGACGCTTTCTGTGCGCTGCTTTTGAATTGCTTCCAGCCACTAATAAGCGCTGCCCCTCCCGACCATTGGATCCGAGCGCGCGAAACAGCGACATATGCTGATAGCCGCCTCCGCCTCTCCTGGTGAGAGAATCCAGGGGGGGTCAGGCAGAAGATGTATCGACGGACCATTTGTCCGTCACTCCAGACCATCACCACAGCATGTCCAGACACATCCGTAGCCATAGGGCCCCCGGGGCCACTTACCCCAGACGGGGCTGGTAGAGGCAGATTGCAAAGCAAACAAGTTGAGTACCTGCAATGATGCAGCGGCGCGTTGGCAGTGCACTCACTGCGCACATTGCTAGGGGACCACCAGCAGCCTCCGCCTTAACCCTTGCCCTGCCCTTTCCACCCGCGTATGCTCCTCTATTCGCGACGTACGCTTCAACCACTCGAAAAACCATATTTGGGTTCTGTGTCGTTGTTGTGTATGCGACGTGCAGCTTCTCTTCTCTTCTCTTTCACCGCCTCTTTGATGACGCGACGCCTCCGCATCACCACCATCGTCACCATCAGGACATGAACGCCACACACGCCAGCGGACATCCACGCGCGAGCGACCCGCGCATGGGCCGCATGAGGGCTCCCCCAGGGCTCCCCCGAGGCGCCCGCACCCAACACCTGCTGCTGTTGCTGTTTCGCAAGGTTAAATCCGGCCGGCCAACCGACCGACCGACCGACCTGCTGGGTATGTCTCCAGACAGGTGCAATCATTGTGCACCATATCATCATCAGTATAGAGAAGCGTTCCGCCACCGGGGGTGGTGATGCTCGCCGTGCATTGCTACTCCTCGTGCATGCGACAGTGTCGCGGGAGAATCGATTCAATAATTCCGCCAAACGCGGAACAACAAGAATAATAATGTGATAAGGCAACATAAAACGTATACCTCGTAAACATAAACCTGCATGTGCAGACGATACTAATATTGCTGGCGGTGGTCGTGATTGAAGTGGAAGTAGGACACTCACCATCTCCGCGAAAAAAAATCTCAAATACCCCTCACCACTATTACCTTTACCATCACCACCATTTTGATACACTAAAAACCTCCCGCCAGCACAGCCGCCCCGATCGTGCGGCAAATCCAGGGAACCCCAAGAGGAAGGTCTTGAGGATCCTAACGATCTCAAGACGTACCATGCTAATTTTTATTATACTATACCCACGTTGCGAATAACCTCAGATGATGCACCGATGAACCGCAGCACGAAAAAGTAGTTAAGGAAAACTCGATACGACGTCATAAACTAATGTATTTCATGGGGCAAAGCAAGCGAGCCTCATGTTAGCAGATATGTATCGTAATGCCGCCACCGCTCCAGCACTCGCTCTCGGCTATACGTCGGCCAGCCGCCGCCACCGCTACTAACTACCTACGCACGCCACCGTGCTGCACACAACCCACAACCGGCCACTCGCCCCATGCACTCCTCATGCAATTCTGCTACGTAGCATTTAGGCCGCATTCCGCAGCGGTGCCTTCCTTTTCTCGTTTCTTTTCTGATTACTGCCAACGTCCCGCGGCACTTGTCACCTTGGCGCTTCTCGTTGAGTCGGGGAAACCCCCGCACATTCACACCTTCTGATTCTGGTTCTTACCATAACAGCTGTTTATGGCTTCTCTCCGTGGGCCCTCCCCCACCGGGGGCCGAATTGTGCCATGCATACATTTCTTCTGGAGCCTATATACATACATACATACGCACATGGGTGTGAGGCCTATACAGTCCCATTCGAACAGATAGATCTGAACTCACGCCATGCATTCTGGTCTCTCCCAGTACGCGCCATACGGTTTTCTCAAAGCTTACCTTGCTGGTGTGTGAAGGCACCGGAGGCATCCACAGCCACAGCGCAACGCCTCACACCCACCTGCACCTCTCCCTTTTAGCCTCCTGCACAATCTTACCCCAACCACCTGCGCCTCCCGCCGCCGCGGCACCCGCCCCTGCCACCCACCTCCCCCCCAAGCATGTCCCCCCCAATGCGAGGTTGCTCAGAGAACCCGGCCGTTAGCGTTCCTTCCTTCAATCCGCTTTGAGCTTCAGCCCCCGGAGGGTGGCCGCCGCCCTTGCGCGGCGCTCCCGCAAAAACAGGGCCCGAGCCCGCACATCCATGATCATGGACATGGCGGCGCCGGCGCCGCTAACCGCCCCGGCACGCAGCAGCGCCGCGCCGTATGTCGGGCGCACGCCTATGGACTGCATGAAAGCCGCCATGACGGGCCACTCCAGCACGCGCGCTGCCAAGGCCCGGGGCACGCGGGCCTGCGCGAGCCAGGAGGGGTTGCACGTCAGGGCGTGGGATTGCATGAAGGGGGTCCCCTTTGTGTCTGGGCGGGGGGGGGGGGAGCGCTGGGGGGGGGCCTTAAGGAGGCGGAGAGGGATGTACGGGAAATCCCAGTAGACCTGCGTGAAGCCCACATGCACCCGAGGTGTGCGGCCCTAGAAAATTCACCGCATCATCAGTCGCCCACACATGCCGCCACTCTCTTCTTCCGTTCTACGTCGGACCTCGAACGGTACCCGTACCTGCTCAAAGGTGCCCTCCATGAAGCCGTCGAGCAGTATGTCAATGCCGTACCGTACGTACTTCTGTACGGACTCGGACATGTGTAGGTGGTCAGGAAGGATGGTCATCAGCAGTCTGCACAGTGTCCGCCCCAACAAGCAAGATAGCATGAGGCCCTCGCGGACGGTGGTGTACGTCCGCGGCGCCAGGGCCATGACGCTCAGTGACACCACATAGGCTATGCCGCCAATCATTGCCTGCGACGGGGCAATTTGAAGCATGATTGCGCAGATGACCAATCACACACACAAGATAACTTACCTACAGTTACAACATAGGACTGCGAGTGCTTTATGTGCACAGCTTGCCTTATATAATTAGGAAAGCTACCAAAACATATATATGCGTGGCGACGGAAGGAAAGAAGGATACCGAGCTGGCAGCCAGTGCACAACCCGGAAAGAGCTCTAGGGTCCATTTGGTCTTGGATCTAAAAACGACCGGCAGGCCAATCAGCGCTTCAGAAAATGAGCAGATGTAATTCAACGCCCATAAATACATACTACATACCCACCTGGCGTCCCTCCTCCCGATTGGGGCTCTTGTAGAAGGCCGTCACGTGGGCCACCACCATGATGATCAGCCAGATGGACGTGGAGGGGGATGTGCTTCGGGTGACGTAATCCACGTATTCGCGTTCCAGGGATCGTTGGCTGAAGCCACGTAGTGACAGGACCATCAGCTCCGATATGCCTGGCGGCGCCGCCAAAGATGAGTCGGCCATTCGTTCCACCCGCTCCTCCTCCTCCTCCTGATTCTCTGGTGCCGGTACTGCACCCACTTCTCCTGCTGCTCCTGCTGCCTCCGCTGCCGCCGGCAAGTGTGCCTTGGCATCGCTCCTGCTGCTGCTGCTGCTACTTCCGGCAATGGGCAGCTCGCCAAAGGCCGTGACTGCTGCAGTGAACTCCTTTTCTTCTCCTCTATTACCTCCTTCCTTAATTTCTTCTTCGGCGGCGGCGACGGCGGCGGCGGTCGCTGCAGCGTTCACATCGTCGGCCACCTGGCGGGTTGGGGGAGGGGTTAGTCCCGCGGGGAAGTGGATGTGCTGTTGTTTTCCTAAGCCCCGTCTGTCAGGAAGATCTATCTATCTATCTATCTATCTATCTATCTATCTATCTATCACCAATTCACGTAACCTCATAACGCAACAACCAAATCCCGTCACAACTCCAACAGCCCTACACACCACCGGCTTCTCCAGCGGAAACCACTTCCAACTCGACATCAAGAGACCGCAACCAAACCTGCCCGGGGCACCCACCCGTCCTAGCGCCTCCACTGCCGCAGGCACCTGCAAGTCGTGCCCTCCCAACCCGGCCCACAGCATGGCCGGCGTGTTCCCGCGAGCGTCACGCGCCGTATTCCACACCGTCACTGCGCCTGGCCATGTGGACAAAATCCAGCACAGCAGCGCCTCCGCCTCCGCAGCGTTGTCCGCGGTGGCGGCAGAGGCGCCGCAGCGCGCATCCGCCGCTAGCAGGTGCAGAGCCGTGATGCCGCCGGGGCCGCATGCGCCCCAAACTGCCGCATCCGCCGCCACCGCAGGAGCAACGCCGCTGCCGCATTGCCACTCCAGCACCGCCTCCACCATAGCCTGCCGGCCGCTGCGGACGGCCACGTGAAGCAGCGGCAGACCCTCCTCGCCGTCATCAATGATGGCGGCTGCATCGCCACAGCTGGATGCTGCCGCCGCAGCCCGCGGTGCTAGATCGGTATGTACGGCGCAAGCCAGCGCCACATGGCCCTGGTTCACAAAGTGATTCAGCAGGTGCCGTCCAGCGCTCAGCATCATGCGCTGCATGGCAGGGGTCTGCAATGTGGCCTTGACCTGATCGGACACATCCAGAGAGTCGCGTGGCGGTGGCGGCGGAGTCCTTGCCGTTGCCGCCGTGCCGGCGGCAGCAGCAGCGGCGGCGGCAGCCGCCGTGCTGGGTGGTGCCATGTCCGCAGCTCCGCAAACCGCCGTGAAGTCCAGCCAGGCGCCCAGATCCCCCAGCAGCTCCTGCGCCTCGATGCGCTGCTGCGCAACGCTAGCGTACGCCTCGTCCTCGGTATCGAGACGGCCAGCAGCGGCCAGTTCGCACTGTACTGTAAGTAGCTCCGAAACCATGCGCTCATCCGCCAGACAGGCCACGGGCACCACATCCAACACGCGGACGCCGCGTCGCAGCTCCAACTGAACCACCAGCCCCGGGGAGGATTTCCTCCGGCCTGAAGACAGCCGCGCCAGGTCGAGCTCCAAGACCATTACAAACGATGCTTCGCCTGATGACGACGACGACGTCTGCGCCATGGAGGCTTTCGGGTCAATCGAACGCCGTGTTAGCGACAATATCGGCATTTCGACCGTCCTGCCATTCGCCCTGGCAATGACTGTAAGACCAGCTGCCGCAACATCCGCCGCTGTCTCAATGCCCAGACGATGATTTTGCTGATGGCAATGATGGTGACAATCGCATGGGGGGCTCTCCGCACGTATGACTACTGCTAAGCGGAGGGACCCGCAACCCGCGGCCGCGGCGCCGGGGTCAAGCTGAGCCGCCGCGTGCACAGCCAGCGGCGCCGACAGCGACAGCCGAGCCAAGCCATCGCTCTCCTCGCCAGTGCCGCCGTCGACGCCGCTGGCCTCGCGGCAAACCTGCCATTGCTGCGCATCTGGACTCCACTCCATGCGCCAGCACGCGCCAGCCCGTTGAAAGAGGACGGTATGCCGCTGGTTCGAATGGCCGCTGCTGCCGGCAGCGGCGACTGCAGTCGCGGGTGATGGTGGCGGCACCCGCAACGCCTTCAGCAACATAGTCGACAACTCCAGCTCGTCGCGCCTGGAGCTGCCATTGTCGCCACATCCATCAGGACCGGAGGTCGCGCACTCCACTAAATCCAACGTGAGCTCCACACAGCTGCGCGCAGGGTGCGGGGACGGAACGGTGAACTGAATTTGGGGGGTTTATAAGGGGGTTTTAGACCTAAGGACAGGGAAACAAAGCCAATACCCAAAAGCAACAGCCATGCTACCTAATCCTGCGACACTCAGGGGGATAGGTAAAAAAGCTCAACAGTTGGACACGGCGGCGGCGGCAGCTGTGGCAGCCGGTTGTACCACAAGAATACATAACACCCGCGAGCTACCGCAGCAAAGCCAGCACTCATTCCCCGCGTCCACATCCCGCGCCCTGCCCGGGGCCATCCCGGGGACGTCAGAGCACGCGTGCCGGCACGCACGCACGCACCCGCGCCGGACGTAAGCGCCGACGACCAACAGGCCGGTGTCGTACGCCCGCAGCGCATCGCTGACTGTCGACACCAGGTCCGGCCGTAAATCTCGGGGGTCCAGGTGGGGAATTTTGATGTGAAGCTGCGTGCGACCCGAGAGGCCGGCAGCACTGCCGCGCCCGGCACCCGCGAGCCCGTTGCCGCCTGAGGTGGCGGCGGCCGCCGTGCAGCGTGGATTGCGGTAACGTAGATTTTTAGGGCGCAAGGCGGCAATGGCGAGAGCGCTGTCCACAAGTGCCTGCGGCACGGCAGACGACTGACCGCTGTTGACGGCACTGCCTGCGTGACTGGTCTTGGTGCTGGGGGCCGCGGCGGCGGCAATCGTGCAGGCTGGGGAGGCCAACACTGGCGTCAGTGCGGGTGCAGCCGTGACGGTGCAGTTTGTGGTGGCGGTGTTGTAGCTGCAGGGCGCCGGCGGCTTACGAGGGCTTGATGCAACGGCTGCTGCAGACTGCTCCGGCAGCGAGGTGTTTGCAAGGAGGCCATTGCAGACGGCGGTGGTGGGCTGTGTTTCGCAGCCTCCTGCGTCCTCATTCGCAGTGGCCCTGAGGACGTCAATGATATCGCCTGCGTCCGCGTCTGCATCTAACATGATTTTATGCAAGCCTGCTTGGGAGAAGCGGGGGGGGGATGTGTTCGTTTCCAAAGCCGGGGGAACTCCACGGAAGGGCGTGCTGTGCGTAGGCGTTGTGCAGCATCTAAAGGTCGCACAGGATTCAGCGGGACTCACTCTGTGATTTTGATATTGCCCCAAGAGACGCAACCAAGGCTCCAGCAGCCAGGGCCCACAGCCAGAGGACAGCTGCTGATACATACACCCTCAGCAATAAGGGAAGGCCAGCCGCTGTTGCCCACGCAAGAGCTATGGCGGCTGGTCGGTATGCTTTGTTAGTAGGAGAAACCTGCAGAGGTTTGGGCCAGGTACAACGAAAGCTCGGACGAATCCCGACACGGTTGCCACAACGAAGGCCCCAGGCGACGGACAGGACGCTGCTCGCTGCCTGAAGCTTCTTTAAATACATTCGCTTACCATGATAAATGAAGGACCCGCTGCCCACGTTGCACCCATAGAACACCTCGCAATGCACGCTGTCGCCTTCGCGAACACTTTATACGCGATAAAGACGCTTCCAACGCGGCCGCCGACTTCGTGTAGGTTTCAAACAAACGGGTGTGAGTTGTTCTCCTTGCCCCCTTCCACACAGGTGAAAGTGAAACCTACGCAACCATTGCGCCGTATAAAAAATTATGCTAATGTTGAATTCATCCACAGAGTAAAACAAGCAGGTTGCAGGGTGCGGACCGCATCAAACGTTCGGCTGGTCAAAAAGTTATAGCTTTGCCTCATTAATTCTGTTCCTGATAGATATGTATATATATATATCGTGTACTCGTAAACGTTAGATAATAAAATTGCGTCACCAGCAACTCCACTACTCCAGGATTGTCGTAAAGTTTGCAGTACGTTAGCATGCAAGGGATTGCACAGGTGCAGAATGATTGCTACACAGCAAGGTTATGTGTATTCCAACATTCGGAGACGTACTTTAACCTGTAGGTTCGTCAATATCCTCAAGGGCCGCACCATCAACATTTCGAGTAATTAGGAGGATTGGACTTTATGTTTGTGATCTGCGCTGCTTCGTGTGGTGTAACTTGCTAGATTTGCAAGACAATGTGTGTTTCCTGATCTATTGATATACGAATGATTTGAACCCACCCAACCACCCCCTCACTCACACTCTTCCCCTTTCTGCCATGGTCTATCCTCCTTCCGCCACTCCTCCCACAGTAATAGTCGGTATTCCTCAAACATCTCATGCAATACATCTCTAGGCAGTTGAGAGTTGCCTTACAGACCATTACGTCATGTCACTGCTTTCCACGCACACAACACACAATCCACGCACAACGCATTCTCCCACACGCACCTACTCACGCACTGCGCTGCATATATCTTCAGCCACTGTCACTACCAACCACCGCTCCTTTCTTATGACACTCCTTTCCCCAGCTTCCCCAGCAAGGCTACCAACCACACCACCACCACCATCGCTCTCAGTCCGCACCTGCCCCCACCTCCGGGAGCGGCACCAACCCAAAACGACGTGCTCCGACCTGCAAAAACCGCCCTGACCGCGGCTATCACCCCACCCCAGGAAAGGAAAGAAGCGGAATGTAGGAAAAAGAGCCACACAATGCAGTTTGCTTTCGCGCGCTGGTGCGCTATACACCGAGGCGGCAGCTGATGGCGGCTGGGTGGATCGGCTGGGTGAACCATCCCCAGCTGTGCAGACTATCCCCAGCTGGTTGGTTTTGGGTACTGAGGGAAGAGCGCTATCCAGGATAATACGCCGCGTCATCTATCCCCCGGGTCAGCCAAGAATGAATCCAAGTCCACAGCAGGTTGTGAGGTCCATACAATGAAAACAACTGCGGTGTGCGCCTATCAACCAATTTACATGTGCTACAACCGCCGCCGCCCTTGTTGCCACAGCCGCAGTGGCTGGCTACCTGCAGACCCAGGTAGGTCGGTCATCACCGAAACATGCGTCGTGCGTTGTTGCGGTGCGGCAGCTTGCCCTGCAACCCCAGCTGCTGGTAGGCCCGGTGCACGTGTCTGGGCAGCAGCGGCCCGGTGTGAGCCTCCTGGGAGGCACACACGCGGGCTGGGAGGGGCGGGGCAAGGCGGGAGGAAGAGGGGACGAGGGCCGGGGCAGGGAGGTGTTAACAGCAACGCAGTAGTGGTGACGGCGGCAGGCAGGCGATAAGGACCGCTTGGGGAATGCAGCACGCGATGTGGCGGGAGGGATGCTGCAGCTGCGGGATGTGGCGGGCCTGGAACGAGGATGCACCCTTAACCCACCCACCTAGCTCCACCAGCTCCCCCACGAACAGCTTGCTGATGCCGCACATCGCGATGACCGCCTTCTCATTGGGCACCGCATTGAGGAGGATAGCCTGCATCAGCTGCCGGGGGGTTAACACCATGGGGTGATGATGATGATGATGATGATGATGATGATGATGATAATAATAATAGTGATGGTGATGCAAGAGGAATCGAAATACTACTTGGCAATTGTCGTCCAAAGTACGAGCTACCGGAAGCGGGGTACGACATGGAATGGAGCGGCTGAACGACGGAAGGAAGCTCAGGTCGTCTCAGGCAACGACCCCCCTGATGCGGCTCCGGACTAGACTCGCCATCAAGATGCGGCAGCTGGTCGGACGAGGGGCTGGCAAAGCACATGAACCCGATGAAGGGTGGAAATGAAAGTGTAGTGAGACCAATGCCTCCGTCCACAATATAGCCATGCAGCCAGCAGTCCATGCATGTGTTGGACTAGGACCAGTGGTGCCTGCCCTGGTGCTCTTGTGGGGGGTTGTGGGTTCTGAGTTACGATACGGTGTGCAGAGGGGGTTACGAAAAATCGAGTGGAGCGGGGCATGCCGCGGGACAGAGAGACCGGGGTTGAGGTTGGGGAGGTAGCGGCTGTGGGGGGGTAAAAGGAGCTAAAAGGAAAGTGAATGCGGGGTGGTGGTGCGATTGGTCAAGCGGAGACGTATCCTCTCTTCTTCCTCCTGCCCTGCCATGCCATGCCATGCGTTGCAATGCTCAGCCCTGGCTCCTCCTCATCCCCCTTCCGCGCTCCCGACTTTCGCTTGCGATGCTGGGGCTGGTATTGGCCCCTTCGTGGATTCCCTTTGTCCCCCCTAACCCTCTGAGCCTTCCCCCCCTGGAGTATCATTTCCCGCGGTGCCCTGCCTTTCGCCTCTAACAACAGCTTCCTAGGGCTGGCCTCCCTCCCTGAGGCTCCCTCCCTCACTCCCGGGCCCCATCCTCTTTACCTTCTTCATCTTCGGCTTTGGCAGTGACGAGCGCATGAATACCTCATAGCGGTTCTTTTGCTCCTCGGTCAGCGAATCGAACACCCTGGGGAGGGGAGATGGGAGGAGGAGGAACGAAGACGAACCACGAATCAGTTAGGGGGGGTGAGAGAAAACAACTGCCTACTTTCAAAGCAGTAACTGCCTATTTCGGGGGAAGGGGGGAATGAGCCGCCGCAGGTGACACCCCCACTAGGGGACGGACGCAATTGCCTCATGACAATAATAACAACTGCCCATTGCACCGTGAACTGCTGTGGTTGGGTCAATCCCTTGGAGACATGTACATGCTCCTCTTAGGAAGCAGCAACCCAGGAGGGCCCTTCACCCCCGGATGAGCGGCCTTCCGACGTGACAGGCTGAAAGAGCCCCCGACTGTCAATGTGCCCATTTGCAAGGATATCCACGACATTAGCCAGCCGGCTAGCCAAGGGAAGGGGAGGAGCAGGGCAGGAAGGCATTTCGCTGGACCGGCCTCTCTCCCCTGGAGCACCGCATCCGAGGGACCCTGCCCTCACTGCCCTGTACCCGGAGGCCCCCATTGCCAGTATGGACGAGTTGCGGGGGGTTGCGGGAGGTAAAGGACAAAGGGCAGCACCTAACCTCCGCAACGGCTGCTGCTGATACTGCTGTATTTAATGGTGCGTGGATGTGATGCTATTGTTGTGCAGATGCCTCCGCTCTCTGCTTACTCTTTCTTGTAGGCAGCCGCCGCGTCCGGCGCCGGGGTAGTCTCGGGCTGTGCAACACTGCCCTGCGGCCCTTCGCGCAGCAGGTGGAAGACCTGCATGGTTCCGTCCCCACCGGCCTGACGGGAAGGCTCCCCCCGGGCAGAGCCCTCGTGGTCGTCATAATCGTCCTCTTCTCTGCGGGCCGGCCGAGCGTGTCGGGATGCAAGTATGCACTCCGAACACCATAGGCAGGCTATGCACGATAGCACGCCGTGCCAGTAAAGTGAAGCGGATGATGAGGATACTTACAGAAAGTCTGCAATGTTCTGGCCATCCTGGCCGTCCCCGGCATCTCCCGCTGTCGCGGGCGCGTCATCGGCGCCCGCAGCCTCATCCTCAGCGAATGCCGCTTCGAAAGCGTCCTCTAGCTGCTCGTCTACATCCATGGGTGGACCTTATCCCAGCGATTGCTCAGTTACCGTCACAGCTTGAGTGCATTCGTCACCGGGCAAGATTGTGCACGTATATCAGATTGTGCACGTATATCAGTGTTAAGCATCTGCTTCCACATTAATAACTCGCATACCAGGGCCTGCGTCAAGTGACGAGACGTATTGCATCTACTTGTGACGCTGACGGACGGTACTTGAACTTTAATTTGAGCACGGTTTAGATTAGAACTAGAAAGAAACATGTATGTACGTCATAAGAGGCTGTACTTAAGCAGACTCGCAAGCGCGCAGCTTAGTTGTGCGACGGAAAGTCTCGCAGAATTCTTAGCTCCGGAACCAGTTTATCGGGGACGGTTTGCATCTCGTGTCGCAAGCCATGCCCCGAAAAGCACCTCTATCAGGGTCCTTCCTTGTAAGCGAGATTCTCCCTGTCACCCTTGCCAAGGTTGTTTCCGTACCATACATCTACAATGACTCTGCGATTTTAAAACCCTTTTACGTGGAACCAGGGCGCGCCAGCTCCGGGCGCCACAACCTTTGCGTCACTCGTCCAAGCCCGCCCCGACAGCCTGTGCACACGCATCGACTCCCCACCTTCCTCCTCGCAGCCTCCAGGCTTCTCAACTCCCAAGTTTAATACTCCAACCAAATCATGCCCCATGCCACCCAGGTCAGGAATCCCTCCAGTCCACCAACAGATCCTACTGCAGCGAACCCCTACAAAACCCCAGCACGTGCGCTTCTCGCCCTCCCCTCTCCCCTTCCGCCATCACCGCCCCCTCTCATCCCTTCGACCCCGGCGAAGCCCTTCCCCCCAACCCTACTCCCCAGCAGCTCAGATTCTACCCCTCTCCCGCCCTCAAACAGGCACTGCTTCAGGCCACAACTCGGCCCAAATCATTCCTCCTTAATACACCCCTGAAAACACAGTTCCTGACCCCGAGATCAACCCCTCATCACTGACGCCGTGAAACTCACCCCCGCTCCCGCAATTCAACGACGGCCCCCCAGTTCCCTCGCTTACCCCTCCCTTGCAGACCCCGTCTCCCTCCCCTTCCCACCCTGAACACGGCACCGTCGTCAGTTGCTCCACCCGCCCCCTCCACAAGTCCGCCCACTCCCCTGACCTACTCTAGGGCCCCCCGCACCCACTCCTCAATCATCTGCTGTGCGGCCAGCGGCTGGTCATGCGGCACCATGTGACCAGCCCGGTACACCACCACATGACTCAGGTGGCCGGCGGACCGCCACCAACCAGCCACCACCTGTAGGGCAGGAACGGGCAGGAACGGGCAGGAGCCAAACTTTTATTTATCAAGGGGCAAAGGGCCCTCCTTTTCCTTTTCCCAACCATCCTCCCTCCCCTCTGGCAGTCGGTTGCATCGTCGGTTGGCACTCAATCACTCCTTGCTTCTTGCATCACCATCATCACGTGACCGCCCATCCCCCCTCTCCTTAGCGCACCTTTCCAACCTCCTCCTGTGCACCGGCCGTAGCTGCTGCTGCTGCTGCTGTCTTTGTGGATGATTCTGCGACTTCGGAAGCGACGACGGCTGCAGCGCCCGCGCGGGCGACGGACGTAGCGACCCCTTCGCGGCCCAACCGAGGAGTCCTGGAAGGTGAGGTGGTGGTGATGATCGGCCCGTCATTCAGGTACCAGAGCCGCCCCCGCTGCTCCGCAAACGCCGCCTTGTCAGGCCACTCTAGGGAGCTCAGCCACGAGGTGACGGAGGCGACGCCGTCGAGGATGTCGTACTGACCCTGTACGACGAGGGTGTGTCGGTGGTGTCGGTGGTGGTGACGGTGGCGGTTGCAGTGATGGCAAGGGCGCGTTATGCACGATTGATACCTGGCTGATGTTACCTGGCACAATACTTGACCCCCGTGACCCAAAGATTTGTTTTAAAACGCTGCAAAAAGGAGTTTTCGTGGTTATGTTGTGCCTTTTAAACGCTGATGATGTTTTTGTCCATGTTTTGGGTCGGGCCGCCACTCCTCTCCGTCGGCGATGCAGAGCAGTAGACAACTTCCACGGAGTCCCTTGGCTTATAATCAGGAAATGCCGTTTCAAAGCTCGTCCATTTCTACGCCGTACAGTTTTATCCGTCTTGGGCGACCTGTGTCTATTATCTCGACAAAATGACGCTAGGTCACTCGGTGCCACCCTCTTTGGCCAGTCATTAACCTTTCACCTGCCGTACCTGGTACAGCAGTACGGGAATGTGTGATAGGAGGTCCGGGATCAGGTACTTGACACTGCGCATGACGTCAGCGGCCATGGCCTCCCCCACAACACCGTTGCAGCTGGCGTAGCGTACGTCGGGATCGGCACGCATGGCCTCCTTGACCTGTTGGCGCAGTGAGATGCCGGGGATCAAGGGGAAACGACGGGGGAAAACACATACACACACGCGCGCGTAAGGAGAATACACGTAAGCATCGTATTTGGATGACCACGCATCATTGCAGGGTGTTTCAATGGGCCCGGTTGCCCCGGGATTATTTTTATGGGAGCATGGTATGGGTTGGAAGCAATGTGCTGGGAAGCGGTACTGCAAAGGCCAGAGGACAAAATTCTTCCGTTGAGTCTAAAATACACCTTGGCTGCCACCCCCGGGGCGTAGTCGTACTCAATGCTGAAACACATACACACACACAAGTTAATCGACGCCGTGGCGCCTTCCGCCACGGTGCACGCCGCGCGTGCCGTACAGTGTCGTCATCACGGTGGTGACCAGTGTGTGTCGTTCCGTACCTCCGGCAAGTTTAGGAAGCGGTCCACCGCCTTGGTCGGGTCGTACCCCTGTACGGATGTACGGGGCGCGGCGAGGTTGCGGGCCGTACGAGTGGTGTGGCCGGCAGGGCAGGCGAGGCTAGGGAAGCTTGGCGGCAGGTGGTGCCGCCGGGGGGTGAGGCCCCGGGTTAGTCAGTGGGTTCGTGGACACCGGCCATGCAGAGGTTGGCAGCGGGGGGTTGGGCTGGGGCGGCACGCAAGCGCGGAGCCCATCGTAGGAGGAGGAAGAGGAGAAGGAAGCGGTGATGGAGGAGGAGATAGGGAAGGGGGGGCCGAGGAGGGGGAAGAGGCGGGGCCAGGAACACGCACATAAGGTTTAACATCTCCCAGATTCCTTACCCGGCGCCCTCACAGGGCCCTCACGGCCCAAGCACCCTCTTGCCACCCCCCCCGCCCTTCCTCTCCGCAACCCCACCTCTGTACGCCGCGTGTCGAACATGGTTGCCAGCCCGGTAACGTTGGTAATGAAGCTGATGGCGAAACACGCAGGGAGGCAGGGAGAGGCGCAGTTAGGGATGTCAGGGCGAGACCAGGAGGAAGTGAATATACGGCAAGTATACGGCTTCGTGCCAGGTCAGCCAGAGGTAAGGCCAGGAAAGGCAGCCCAAGAACCCACCCGACCCCAGGGGTGGGGAAGGGATCATTTTCGTCGTGGCCACCACCACATCCATCCATCCATCACAACCACCACCGTCTGCATTAGCAGTATCGTCAAGGTGGCTGCTGCTGCTGCTTGCTCTTCCTGATTGCTTCCTGATTGCTTCCTGATTGCTTCCTGATTGCTTCTGCTCCTGCGGCTATTGGTGTTTCTGCTGCTGCTGCTGCCGTTGCTTCTTCTTCCGCTGCTGCCCCCCCCCCGCCGCGCACCTTCGTAGTCGCTCCCTGGCGGTGTGAGCTTCTAACCACTTGGACTCGTCAATGAGCGCCACGACCTCCACCGCCCGGCCCGCCACCTCATCACGGAGCGCTGGAGGGAGGAGCCCGGAGTAGAAGGCCGCCGCCGCCAGAGTCTGAGTCTGGGCTCGTGGGTCGGTTAGGCCGTTGCCGATTGCCACACCGCCCAACCGAAATAACGGTCGGGAGGTACCGGGTGGTAACGACCGCCGCCACTGCAGCACCGGCGCTGCTGCTCCTCCTCCTCCTGCTGCTGCGCCATCGGCAGCATTTGACGCAGCGGTGGTTGGCTCAACGGCCGTGTCAGTTGCGAGTTTGGTTGCTACAGCAGCGGTGCTGAGGGAAGCGGCTGTAGCAGCCGCCGTAACGCCGTCCAACTGGGCTTGGAGGATGTAGTGCGCAATAGAGGGTACGTACTTGCCCGCGTAGCTCTGCAGCCAGAGAAATCCGCGTCATGTACGAGCACAGTACGGCAGTACGGCGAAAGTCAGGGACACGCGCTATCACGGCATGTCTGGCCGCGGAATAGAAGTTGTTCTCATTGTGGGGTGGTGATGGGGGCCTTTAGGGTCACCATAGCATGGACGGACCGTCTGCCGTACCTCGCCCGTGATGAATAGCGGCCGCGTCGCCAGGCTGCGGTACAGTGTGAAGAAGGCCTGTAGTGCACCGTACAGGTGAGCCGCCATCCCCATCTCGTCGCGGGGAATGCTGCTACTGCCGTTGCCCGCGCGGCTGTAGCCAGTACCGACAGGTTGATCCATGAGGAGGAGTCCAAAGATGCGGTTCCAGGCGCCTGTGTGCATCATGCGGGTGTTTAAAAGGGGGGGAAGGTAGGTCAGCCAGTGCCTCAGAATGCACGCTGAGCGGTGGTAGGCAAGTACGAGAAGCTTAGTTCGTGTGTATGCCCAAAGTGATGCCTGTGATGTGGGGTGTTAAAAATTACATGTGTGTCTGTATGTGACGTGTGGTAGGGTGTCCGCCCAGGACCCCCCCCTCAGCCCCTGCTCCAGCCACTCCTCACCCCCTCAGGTGGCCCCTCCTTCCCCGGTCTGGTGTCCCTCATTCCCCCATGTTGGCCCCACCTCACCGCTAACATCGAGTTGGCGACCGTAACGGCAGGCGGGGTCGCACCCGGGGGGGTTGCCAGCGACCGCAACGCCGGGTTTCACAAACACACACCCGTGCGTATAGACACGCTCCACCAGCCGCACACACGAATACGTCTATACATGCACATGCACACGCACATATACACGACCCCTACGGAACCTGCCCCCCTCACCCCGCCGGACCGAATGGTTTGCCACCCGGATCCTGTCCTGTCCTGTTCCGTGAGCCCCACCCACGCTGTTCATCCCCCCAGCCAAGGTCGGGTGTGAGGGGTTTGTGTCTGCCGCACCGCACCGGGATTTCTCCGCACCCCCAGGGTGTCGGTCACGGACCAGGGGCCCAGCTCGTAGAAGCCTCCAAAGGTGCTGGCACAGCCGGGGCCCCCCTGGAGGGGAGGGTGGGGTGGAGAGAGTAACTTGACTGCCAACTTGACAACGGACCCAGACGCGATCGCCTCGAGGGAGAGGGGGTAAAGTGGATGGACCTCTGTGGCTAGCGTGAGATGGATCTCACACGCGCCTACTTGATGCAAAGGTTGGAAGAAGAGGGAGAGCGTGAATAGGTTTAATTGTTGTAGAAGTGCGTGCCATGTGACGACGTTAGCCGTTGACAGTTGGCAGCAAAACGTACAGTGTCACCATCCTGAGCGGCGGCGGCGCTGCTGACTTGCCTGAAGCCATAGTAAGATGGGTGCTTCCGCAATATCGTCGGAATTCGTCTGGGCCTCGTAGTAGGCGTAGTAGATGGAGGAACCGTCACTGTCGACTTGGAGGTAGCCCGCGAGTGTGGGCTTAATATCTGGAACGGCATCAATGCGTTTTCGAGACGGGATGTCTCTTATACAGTGCGCAGGCAATATTGAAGCCAAACACGCTAGCAGCGCGATAAGGAACGAATGTGGCCTTGCAGAGCGCGCCATGGCAACCGACCCTCCGTGACTGTTGCATACTGCGGACATTCTATGCAATGACAATTCAATACATCAAATACATGCTACATTTCCGGTTACGCGCCCTCGCTGTATGCAACATAGGAAAGAGAATTGTTCCGGAATCGAGCTTCGGAGCGGAGAACAAAGGCATTCTTATTAATGCATCGACGCATGTGCTACTCCGAATGTCTCTACAGCCAATCATGATGAGGGTGTCAGGAAAGACTCGATCATTTTATACCGTCAAAAGGAACATCTAGGATGCTGCATACAGCCGCCCCGCTGGCTCTCCCCGTACCAAACAGCACAGCAAGTACAATCAATTACATCCTGTGCTTCAACAAGCCGTTGCTCGTCTTCAAGGTTTTTCGACTGCTTTTCCACCATGATCGCGTGGGTTATCGACAGCTAAAGCGATGTGGCTTGATTCGCAAATACGAAGAGCCAAAAACTTAGGCGATAGGAAGTCCTGGCAATGAGGCCGCAACCTTTAGCACTGCTATCGCGCCGGCATGAAAGTCGTCCTCTGGCGCACACCACTTGCACACCCTTCCCAGTATCAGCGATGTTGTACCCACGCCCTCTTCCTCCTTCCCCGTTCTTCCTGCGGCCCGCCCCTCGAACACATGGACTTGCTTGTCCGGTCTCTAGTGCCATTTCGGTACTGTCCATGACCTTCAAGACTACCAACACCACTACCCTATCTAACTAATGCGCTTGCGCACATACATACATACATACATACACAGTACATCGGCCGGTCCGCAACTGAACCATACTGCGCCGTACAACGTCCAAGCATCCAAAGCTGCAATATCCGACCCAATACCCGTTGCACTGAGACTTACGAAAACCACATAAGCAGAGACACACACACACGAGCACACACACACACACACACACACAATCCTTCCTAAATCCCAGTTCTTTAGTGCACACATACGTACGCACACCGGCCACACAGCTAGCCGCCCCTCCTCCTCCTCCTCCATCGCCGCTGTCTCCGCCACCGTGCTTCCCGTTTCCATAACTGTGCTCCTATTCATTATCTTGGGGGCCCGCCCGCCTACTATTTGCTCTTGAGCGGCCTCCAAGACCCCGTCCCTGTCTCCTCATCCACCGCAAACTCCTCCTCCACGTCCGTGATGGTCATGCCCCCGGGTGCGAAGCCACTCAGTAGCGCCAGCAGGTCCCGCTCCGCCGCCGTCACCTCCGCGGGGTCCACCTGCCACCAACAACAAGAACAACATCAACATAGTCACCATCACCACCAGCACCAGCACCAGCACGAGCACCAGCACAATCGCGGTAACAACAACAAGGCGGCCCTCATCACCTCCTACATCACAAAGGTCCGTGGCTTTCATCAACCCAACACTGCCACCGCCCCGACGAGCCTGAGCTTAGTCGCTCATCTGACCCGCCTCGTTCTCACCCCTTCAGGGGCTTTGCCAGGTTTGCAACCACTCAGTCAGTAAGTCAGTCAGTCAGTCAGTCAGTCAGTCAGTCAGAGGTTACTCGAGGAGAAAACTGGAACGGGAGCGGGTGTATGGCAAGTTAAAGTTGGGTGTTGGAAGGTTATGGCCCGACAGGGAGAGCTCCAGCCGATATCCCCCACGCCCAATGTACATAGTACTTGTAAATCCTAAAACTCTCCGCTGCGGGGCTGAAGCCTGAGGTACGGAAAGTTGCATGCATCTCTCCCGCTGCTTCGGCCAGCGACGGAACAGGGGAGAGGAACGAGGAGGCAAACCCACAATATTTGACACATGGACCATATACAGATGTGAGGCGGTACGGCAATCGCCACGTCCGGTCCATGTGTCAAACATGGATGGAGGCATGCCCTTCACCGCCGACCTTTCACAGGCTCCGCAAAGTGGTGAAAATATTCGTGAGCCCACAAGCTCACGACAAGCGCACCTTGGGCAGCGTCTTGAAGTGCCGCTGTCGGGCATTGCGCATGGGGGGTGTGACGCCGTCCGCACTCTCGGGCCCTTCAGGGAGACTGCTGCCCGGGGGCCCTACCAGCAGCAGCTGCGTGTTAATAGAGGGGGACCGGGGACGGCGGGGCCGGGGGTCCCGGTCGGTGTGGCCTTGACGATAAGTGCAAAGCATGCGGCATTGGGGCAAGTGATGAGGTGATGTGTCTGTGTGCGCGTGCACGTGTGTGGGTGGCAGTGGTTGTGTGTCGGCAGCAACACTACTGGAGAAAAAACAAAACCACTGCCGGCTGACGTCCAAAGTTGCGCGCTGCAGCTGCTGCTGCTGGAGTCCAGAGTCAGTCACAACGCAGCCGGCCCCCTGCGTAAGCTGTACCGACATTTCTGGCCGTCGTGTACCGCCTACGTAGGCGGCTCCTCAGCGGGTGCGGGTGTGTGAGGGGGCCAATGTCGAATGGAAAGGTATCCCATGCGGCAGATAGGATAGGATAGGTTGGATTATGGCTATGGCAAGAGCGATCAGCAGGCAGGGACAAAGGCAAGTTACCGCAAGAAAAGAGACGCGCTCTCTGGAGGCGCCTTCCACTAAACACTGGATGAGACGGGGGCGAGGGGGAGGGCGCCAAGTGTGTTCAATGCGTTTAGGAGGGCGATATACGGGAGGTGTGGGAGGTATAACAGCGCCGAAATACCGAAACACAACCAAGGGCGTGGACCGGCACGGGCATGGGGTAGGGTAGTCGCATGTTGTAGGTTGCTGCCTTTGGCAAACGGCAGGAGTAGGATTACTCGATGGCAACTTGGAGGTTGTTGCTGACTGGGATTGGTGGGATGAGGATGAGGATGCGGGGGCACTCTGGCTCAGAGTTGCGACCGAGCTTGTCCGTTTGGAAGGCGAGCGTGAGCAGCGGCGCAGGAAGGAATGTCTGCATTTATTTTGCGTCCAGAAAGCGGCGGCCAGCTACGACAAATGCGAGGTGCCTACCTGTCCCACATCGTTGATTTTCACCATGTTCACATCATCGTACGTTTTGTACGCCTCCACGACGGTAGGCAGATTGAGCAGTTTGACGGGGTACGGCATGCCGTCGACGGTTAGCACGCCGTCCTGGTTGTTGTCTGTCGAGCGTTATGAGCACAAAACGATGGCAGGTAGCGGATCCCGCGTTTGGCAAGTGCGGGGGCGGATTACTTCGGCGAGGGGTCACGAGGAGCCAAGTGGTTTGGGCAATAGGCACGCACGCATGCAGCTCAGAACCTGAGAAATTCAGCTCTATGTGGCCATGTGCGGTAATCTCCTCCCGTAGCATCCTGTGCAACTTGTCGGCCAGCGCCTCGTCCAACACACGCAGGACGAATTGCTCTTCCGTGCCCGCACCCTCAGCCATCCCGAAAATATTACGCTAAATTTATACAACGATCATACTTGTGACTAACGTAACAATTCTACGTCCTGCAATGAACCCATTTTCGCCCCTTTGTGTGGTCTGCACGTACAGCTAGAAGGATGACAGCAGAGCAATTCGTAAAATAAGTTAATATCCAGTGCAGATTAACAAGACTGGCATTGACAGTCCACAAATAGTTAGTCGATCCGCATTATTGACTTGACCTCCCAGTCCGCGACAGCTCGTGTGAGTGCCTTTGCAACTAGGCTTCTAAAACGTCATGATTCCCGTAACTGCAACCTTACCTTTCTATTAATACAACTTGGACCTTGGAGGCAAACAGCTTTGAAACCGGACAACATTTAACCCAAACATGCAAGCCTGCCACGACTGCGAAGTGCAGATGTCCAGCCCCTAGCGCATGATGGGCTGCGTCCTGAAGACGCGCCCGTGTCCCGTAGACGTCATACTAGAGTCCTTGAGGAGAACGAGCAGCCGCGAGCTTGCACCCATCCCAGCGGAGACGACTCAGCTATCAGCTGTGGAAGCAACCACCGCGACAAGCTACGCAGGCTCACGAGGACCCAAACCCATCGCAGGATGGCCTGTAGTCCCAAGCGGCCAGATCCGCTTCGGGACGCGGAAGCGCGCGTTCGAGCGCTCACTCGAGAGGTCGGGACGCTTCGCGAGGACTTGCGGCGTGAAACTAAGAAGCGAGAACGCGCAGTAGCGCAGGTGCGCCAAGACTATAAATCGTAAAGGTTCGCTGCCGGACGTCGCCCCGCATGCGTCCTCTCCTCCCCACGCTCATATCGGCGCCATGGGCGCTGCATTCTTTCATCCCTGTGCTGACGTCAATCACCTACACCTAAGCGGCCTTGCCTTCTGGTGTCCAACCTATTGCGCAAGGAGGGCAGCACAAACCCGGTGTCCTTCAACACGCTCTACCCTGCCCCACCCTGAGGCCTCTACCTACGCCTCCTGATGACCACTCCCGGTGACTCCCTCTCGGCTCACTTGCCTTAAGGTCACCTAAGTATGTTCTCGGTCCTCGCGGTCTCGGTGCCCGGCTCCGGCAGGCCAAAGAGAATGAGGAGGCACGGCGCACCAGCGAAGCCCGTGCCCAGGAGCTGGCGTATAGCAATCGCAAGTTGGCTTCGGAGCTGGACACGTTGCACGAGGCGGCGCGGGCGGCTGCAGAGCGGGACCGTCGGGCGCTGCGCAGCCTACGGGAGGGACTGGCGTCGGTGGAAGAGGCAGTGGCGGTGCGGGCCCGCAAGGGCTTTACGCAGGTGCGTGAGTGTGCAAGTGTGTGCACGTGTGCGTGTCAAAGAAGAAGAAGAAGTGGGTCACGAACAGGCGGGCGAATAAATGGGCCAGGAGAGTTAATGGATACAATTTAACACCACCAACTGTTCCAATAAAACTTGCTGCATATTGCTGTCCCCTGGGGCGGCTGCTGCTGCTGCTGCTGCTGCTACTGTCCGTTGTCTGGAACACCCAAGGTCCAGATGTTGCACGAGGCCCAGCAGCAGCTACGACAGCTGCTGTTCGGCTACTCAGGCGGCGGCAGCTCTGTAGCCACCTCCTTGGACCCGGCGTCCGCCGGCGGCGCCAGCGCCAGCATCAGCATGAGCGTCAGCGGCCTCTCCGCCGCCGTGACATCGCGCGCGGCGCAGCTGCTGGCTACGGCACAGGCTCACGCGGAGCAGCTGGCGCTGCTGCTTGCAGGCGGCGACGGCGACGGCACTGGCAGCGGCGGCGGTGGCAGCGCAGGCAGCTCCGGCGGTGGCAGCGGTGTCGAGGGGCTTGATGGCAGCAACGACAGTGGCAGCGTGGCGGGCGCGGTGCTGCTGGCGGCAGCGCGCCAGGCCTTGGCCCCCGGCGGTGGCGTGGATATAGAAAAGGATCAGCTCCGCGAGGAGGTGTTGCGACTGCGGGGGGCGATACGGGCCTTGGAGGAGCGCTCCGGTGCGGAGGGGCGAGAGGGGCCGAGCTGGTCACTTGGGGATGCAAGAAGAACGCAGGGTTGAACTCGTAAAATCTTGGCTACATGAATTTACACACGACAGACACGAATAGCGTGATAGTAGCGGATGGACTCAATCCTCGCGCAGAGCACGGTACCGCACACGGACTAAAAGGGCAAAGTGTCGGTAATATGGCCGACGTCACGGATAAATCAGCAACGGGCCACAAGGAACGGGCCCCGGAACACCGTGAAACCACCCCCCAATCCCTCCAAGTAACTCCAAGTAACGGAACTCCTCCGCCGAAACCCCACTGTAGCTGAACTACCATTGCCACCCCACACACGCCCAACTCCTCCTACACGCCACACTCCCACCCCACATCTTCAAAACCCTGGGGCCCTCAGGCCCCGGCAGCTTCACCGCGCTGGAGCTGCAGCAGTCTCTACGTGAGGCCCAATCTGAGCTGGCCAGGCTGAGATCGGAGATGGTTCACCTGAATGCGGCCGCTGCGGCGGCGACACGGGAGCAGCAGGCCACCTCGGAGGCCCTGGAGGAGGCGCGACGGAGGTAGGCCTCCGTGGCGATGGGGGAGGTGGAGGCGGTTAGTGGAGGCTGGTGGGGAATGGGGGCTGGAGGTCGTGAAGGAAATGGTGGCCGCTGCCTACTTGTGCGAGCGGCCTGGTGGAGAGGAGGGGTACACAGACCGTGAAGAAGGGGGAGAGGGATCTCCTTAGAAAGGGGGTGGAGATGCAGAGATGCGGCACGTGTGGGGAGGCTGGGGGGAAGGTGAAGGTAGGGCAGGCGGCCTTCCCTGTCCCTACCAACTGCTGCTGCTTTTCCCGTGACCGGCTTTCCCTCCTCCCTTTCCCTGTCGCGCCACCCTCCCTGCCTCTTCAGAAACCGGCTGTGTGCCTGCTCCGAAACCTTCCTTGCTGCGTCTCTGCGCTTTAAGCTAGAGTTCCATCCCCGAAGGGTCCCGTGGGTCTTTGTTGACGCAGCCAGCCAGCCAGCCGTCCGAGCCCATTTACCGCAGTGTGAACCTCCACCCGCCGGCCCATCTCGTCCCCATAACCTTCTTCCACCACAGTCCCTTCTCCTCTTCCCCCCTTTCCCCCCTTCATGCCGCCTCCGCCCCCACAGGCTGCAGCAGCAGGACGAGCTCCACGCTGCGCTGGTGACTTCGGTTCGGGAGCAGGAGGACAACAACATGGGCCTGGTAGCGGAACTCACGGCGCGGCGTGTGGAGCTGGAGGGCGAGGTGGGGAGCGGGAGTGGAAGGCTGGGAGGGGGATGCAAACGTGAGGGGGGGGGAGGGGCAAGGAGCAGGACAGGACAGGACAGGACAGGGAAAGCCGACGCGGGCTGGGATCGGATCGGATCGGATCTAGTCAGGGCGGATCTAGTCAACACGCAAAGTTACGATGCTTTGTGGTAACAAATGCATCCGCGTATCTCTTATCTCGCTAAATTATCTCCGTGCTCGGATTCCGATGCTCTGCTGCTGTCCTCTGCCCTCTCTCTACCTCTCGCTCTGGACCCCGCTATTCGCCTCCGCAGATGTCCAGTTTGGTTCAGCGGCTGGGGGCGCTTCAGCAGCAGGTCTCGGAGCTGCTGGAAGAGCGAGCGGGAATGCATGAGGTGCTGCGGCTGCGCGAGGAGGAGCGGCGTAGCCTGGAGGATATGCTGCAGCGGAGGGAGGAGGAGCTGCAAGCAGCCAAGGTGTGTATTATGTATGTATGCATGTATGTACCGCTGGTGCGTGTGCGTCTGTGTGACGATGGGAATCGGGATGGATGTAATCTCCGGATAGCACTTCGACACTACGGCACCGCGGAGGTGTTCAGTTGAACCAAAACACCCCTCACCCGCCGCTTCAGCCCACCTTGCTGCGCTTCCCTTGACCCCGTGGATCCGGTGCTCCCTGCCTGCACCCGGTCCCTCATTTCCAGGCCAGCATCCTGGAGCAGGGCGCCGATATCCGTAACGCCCTGTCCCTTATCAGCCGTGCACCGGGCCAAGCGCCAACTGCCATAACGTTGCCGCTGACGGGTGCAACAACAGCAGCAGCGGCGCCCTCGGCGGCAGCTGCCGCAACGGCGACGGCGGCGGAGCGGATCTCAGCGCTGTCGGCGTCCCTCGCGCTGCCGAGGGCCACATCGGCGCCGCCCCCGGCAGCGGCGGCAGGGGGAACCTCCCTGGACTCAGCACTGGCAGCGGCGCTAGCGCCGTACCATAATGCCAGTGCTGCGATTGGGTCAGCGCTGGCGGCAGCCGCCGCCATCATCCCGCCGATGGCAGCTGCCGCGCCTGCTCCATCCCCTCCGCAGCCGGCGTCTCTTGGCACCCTGGCGGGTGGTATCGGTGCTGCGTCCTGGCTGCAGCCAGCGGCCACCGCCGCCGCTGCTGGTGGCGGCAGCGGCAGCAGCGTCCTCGGGCAGCCCCTCCCGCCGCCGACGGTGCCTTCCTCCCTCATGCAACTGCTGCAGCGTTCGCAGCCCCAGGCCCAGCTCCAGCTCGCGACTCATCCACCGTACAAAAGCCCAATCCTGCAGCAACAGCAGCAGATCACTGCGGGGCGCCAGCATCAGGCCTTGGCAGACCTGACGGCGCTGCTGGGTGGCCAGGGAGCCGCACCATGTCCCCGGGGGCGGGCCGACGCCGCTGTGCCATCGGCGCGCGGCGTCCAGCCGCCCGTGGCTGGCGGCTGGGCGGCAGCTGCTGCCGCAGTTCCGCTAAAGGCGTCGCCGCCGCTGCCGCCGCCGCTGCCACCGCCGGCTCCTCGCGGAGGACCAGGGGAGCCGCCGCACGGCCGCAGTGGCGCTGCTACCGCCACTGCCGCCGCCGCGACTGCGCAATTACCCTCAGCCAGTCGGCGGCAACCTTCAGAGCAGGATCCCGACGGCCGCGTCGGCCCAGGTGGTGGCAGCGACGAGGGCGGGCCCGCAGGCCCGGCGGGGGACTCCGCCTGGAGGCCTGGGGGCCGGCGACTGGTGGCTGGCGAAGGGCTGCTCCTGCATGCTCTTCACGGCGCTAGGGGACTGGGCGGCGGAGAAGGCATGGGGATGGGAGCGGCGAGTACGGCAACGGGACTGGGGATACGGGCAAACAAGGGTGCGGCAGCGCGACGTAGCCCCGGGGAATGGGGTGATGATGCTTTGGCTGGCAATAGTGCCGGGAGAGGCGGAAGCGGAGGCGCTGGCGTCAATCGGTTGGCGGCCCTTCGGCGGGACATGCAGAGCTTGAATGACGAGATTGCGCAGATGGAGGAGTCTTTGGCGGTGGCGGCCAGGAGGACGCGATAACGGGTGGTTCGGGCTCGAGTTCTCTGCGTAGGGTTCCACTGTGTGCTTGACGACGGTGTGAGCCTCTCTCCCTCAATCTGCAGGTAGGGGGCAAATGGCTCGCTCGTTGGGATGCATCCTTCCGCGCCGGCTGCTGGTGGGAGGTGAGGTTATTATCGTACGCCGCAGATTTGTGCCATCTATGTTTGGAGGGAGAGGTTACTTGGAACCCACGTTCAGGCGCCCCCGAAAACTCACGCCACTCCACGCCTCCACGCAACGTGATTATACTGGGGATGGGTTTGGGGAATTGTGGGGATCCATTGACACAAGGCTGAGAATGAAGACGAGCATCGGCCGCGAGAGGGTGGATGGGAGGGGGAGAGCAAGCGAGCGAGCAAGAGCCTAAGTGACGGCGTGAGGAAGTCCCGCGCGAAGGCATGAGTGCTTTGCAGGGCGATAGCTTGCTTGTGCGTCCAGCTTTAAGCTTGGAAACGAGTGGTTGTAAAGGTTCTTATCCCTATCCCTTATGGCTGGTTGCATAACAAATTGCGGGATGCGAGGCGAAGTGCGGTCTTGCGTACTGCTGAAGTCGCAAGTTGCAAGTCGCAAGTTGCAAGTCGCAAGTCGCAAGGAACACGCATAATTTCTATTATAATATTCTATATACGCGAATACGTACGTGTGCATACTCAGTTTGTAGAGCGGATCTCAAAATGGGAGAAGTATTGAACCGTTACTACTACAGCAAACAAGTGCGCGAACGTGTTTGCCACC